GACCAACGCACTCGCACCATCATTGAATGTTGACGAGTTCGCTGCCGTCACCGTCCCCTTCGTAGGATCCTTTACAAATGCCGGTTTCAAAGTGGGAACTTTGTCCTTCTTCAAGTTGTTGTAACCCACATCTTCGGAAACAATAGTGTCTCCCTTCTTCCCCTTGCCCGTTACGGGGCCCACTTCTTTTTTGCACTTGCCCCCCGCCCCGGCCTTTTGCTTGCTTTTTATCCAACCCTAAACCCCCCCCCAACCCCACCTTTCCATCCTGACTACCGACTGACTAGATGCGTAGAACACCATCGGCGGCCTCACCCGCACGGTCGGGGGCATCACCGGCGCCGCGGGCCGCGGGATCGGCGACACCATCACGGGCGCGACGGGCAGCGCGGGAAAACCCCTCGGCGACGGGCTCGCCAACGCGTTGACGGGCGTCGAGAACGGCGCGCGCAAGGTGGCCCGCGGCGTCGAGGATGCCGGGCAGTGGAAGGGTGGGGCGAAGAGGTTCTAAATTTCCCCCCCACAAGACCACGGATCATGGATAAGGGATAAGGGATAAGGTGGGGTGGGTGACTTCTCGATAGGGGGAGGATGGACTATAGTATGTCGTTCCAAGGCATGGGGAAAAGTCCAGTTAGGTCAGTCAGGAAAAAACTCGGAAGTCGAAAGTCGACAAGTTTCACGCCTGACAACAACAGCACAAAGATGCCAGCACAAGAACCGCAAGGCAAGGAAGAGAACAAGAGGACTGAAACAATAAAGTCTTGCAACGAAATTGTCATACGCCATGATATCGCCGGCTGCACTGATCCTTGCAGTGTCTCACGAGACAACCTCATCAGTCACCAGGGCAGTTGTTTTCAAAGTCGATAACAAATACTGTTGTTGACTTCATTCCCCATCATGCATTACATCAACCCTTGATATATATGTCGAGACTTGTCAGAGCATTTGAGCACCTCAGCCATAGAGCAGAACTGTGAATAGAAACACCAGCCCCTGCGCAAAACCATGCCGTTGACAACCAAGACTTTCCGGAAATCAACACAAACCACCAAAAAAGATGTCGTGAGTACTGTTCGGTGCAGGTTGAACCGTTGCTTCCGCTGAATCCTTGTCACATACCTATGATAATCAAGAAAATGCCTTCATGTTTGAGCCACGATAGACCAGAATGTTGAACTCCGATCAAGCTTTTCCATATTGCCGATTGTGTTTTCCAACCACATAACTCCGTAAATTGAAAGGATTCGCAGCTTCAATTATGTAGGCACCGGTGCTTCGAGTCCCGTGAGGCCTTCCTGCTCAAACCCTTCAACAGGAGTACAAGTGCAGAAAAGGTTGGTATCTCCATAGGCGTCGTCAACTCGGGCTACCGTGGGCCAGAATTTCTTCTCCCGCAGCCACGGCAGAGGATATGCCGCTTGCTCTCGGCTGTACGGCCGATCCCAGTCATTTCGCATCAGATCTTGTTGTGGATGCGGCGACATCTTGAGGACGTTACCCTCTCGCGGCATTTTTCCGTCTTCGATAGCTTTGATCTCCTGTCTGATTTCGATCAACGCATCGCAGAATCGGTCAAGCTCCTCCTTCGACTCCGACTCCGTAGGTTCAATCATGAGAGTGTTTGCCACTGGCCAGCTCATGGTAGGGGCGTGGAAACCGTAGTCTTGCAGCCGCTTGGCGATGTCGATGGCCTCAACACCCGACGTCGCCTTGAATCCTCTTGCGTCCAGAATGAATTCGTGTGCACACCGTCCATTGGCATTGGTATAGACAATGGGATAGTGTGGCCTGAGGCGTGACATGATGTAGTTTGCATTCAGTAGTGCCATTTCCGTACCATGCTTCAGTCCTTCACTACCCATAAGTTGGATGTAGGCATAGCTGATAGGTAGAATGAGAGCACTGCCCCATGGCGCAGAGCTTACTGGAGAGATGGCTGTCCTGGCTCGATCCGGTCCAGGGTGGGGATCCACAAGAGGGTGAGTAGGTAAGAATGGTTGAAGGTGATCCTTGACCGCGATCGGTCCCACGCCAGGTCCACCACCTCCGTGGGGAATACAGAAAGTCTTGTGCAGGTTCAGATGGCACACATCAGCTCCAATTTCGCCGGGGTTGCATAGGCCGATTTGAGCATTGAGGTTGGCACCGTCCATGTAAACTTGACCGCCGTGTTCGTGCACAATCTGACAAACTTCCTTGATTGCTGGTTCGAAAACACCAAAAGTACTGGGGTATGTAACCATAATTGCAGCCAGGTCATCTTTGTGCTTTTCGCATTTCTCCTTGAGGTCCTTGATATCCAGATTTCCGGTCTTCGTGTCGCATTTCAATGGGACAACTTTCATTCCAGCCATGGCCGCAGATGCAGGGTTCGTTCCGTGAGCGGAGACGGGGATCAAGCATACCTTTCGCTGACTCTGGCCTCTGGTGGCGTGATACTTCTCGATGACCCGGAGACCAGTAAACTCACCCTGTGCGCCCGAATTTGGCTGTAGACTGACGGCATCCATACCGGTGATTGTCGCCAGATTGTTGGAGAGCCTCTCAATGAGAGCCTTATAGCCATCTGCACCGGTAGCGAAGGGGTGAAGTGCGGACCAACCGACATTAGACACAGGTAGCATCTCTGTAGTGCCGTTGAGTTTCATAGTACAGGAACCTAGTGGGATCATCGAGTGAACAAGGGACAGGTCTTTTGACTGGAGATGGTGCATATATCGAAGCAGTTCAGTTTCGGAGTGATGTTGATTAAAGACAGGATGGGTCAAAAAGGGACTTGATCTCTGCAGAGTATGCGCAGCATTCCGTTTGTTAACCTTCGACAGGATTTGCGAGTCTTGTAAAGCAGCTGCGACGTCACTGTCCTTGATTCCAAGAACACTGGCCAGTTTGACAAGATTCTTGCTGCCAGTAGCTTCGTCAATCGAGAAAGCGAGCCGTGGTTTACCTGGGGTACTTCCGGGAACATTTGTTCGTAGGCTCACTCCCTGTTTAGAAGCTCGAGCCAATACCTTCTCATATGCATCGTTGTCCTGCGCTTCTAGGGTAACGGTGTCAAAGAGCACCGCGCCATCGTCGCCAACACCTTTGGTGACGACTTTGAGGGTCTTGCTGTGCTTCTCAATCAACATTTGGACAAATTTAGCCATGGCCCAGATCCGATGAGCGATGTTTTTCAAGCCCTCTGGTCCGTGATAAATAGCATAGAACGCGCTCATGTTAGCAAGGAGTGCTTGAGCAGTGCAAATATTGCTGGTAGCCTTCTCTCGACGGATGTGTTGCTCCCGAGTTTGGAGGGCGAGGCGAAGAGCGCGATTGCCGAGTCGATCTTTGGACACACCGACTAGTCGACCAGGAATTTTCCGTTTGTGTTTCTCGTTGCAAGCAAAGAAGGCAGCATGCGGACCGCCAAAACCCATTGGCACACCGAATCGCTGTGCACTTCCAAAGGCGACATCGGCACCAAATTCTCCCGGTGCTTTCAAGAGAGTGAGAGCGAGCAGGTCAGTCGCGACACAGAAGGTGGAATCGGCGGAGTGTACAACGTCTGCCAGATTCTGAAAGTCGAAGACGCCTCCAGTGGTGTCAGGATATTGTGCGAGAACGCCAACCAAGTTCTTTCCCTGGCTTTTGACAAGCTGACAGTCATTCTCCAGAATGTCACCCACCACGATCTTTATGCCGAATCCTGCTGCCCTCGCCTCCAGAACCGCAATGGTTTGAGGATGGCAAAGGCTCGAGACAACAAATGTCTTGCCCGGTGCCCGCAGTCGAGAGGTGGAAAGAGCATTCATGGACAGGGTCATGGCTTCAGCAGCAGCAGTGCCTTCATCGAGGACAGATGCGTTGGCGATCGCAAGGCCCGTGAGATCGGTCACGAGGGTTTGGAAATTCAACAGCGATTCCAAACGACCCTGGCTGATCTCCGCCTGATACGGGGTATAACTAGTGTACCACGCCGGATTTTCCAGTATATTTCTCGTGATAACCGGTGGAGTAGTTGTCCCATAGTATCCAGCGCCTATGAAATTGCGCGAGAGCGTGTTCAATTTTGCCAGTTTATTCAGCTCACTTTGCACTTGTTTCTCACTGCGTCCTTTGACGTTATGTCTCCCTTGTGCATCCATGAGGCCAATGGCGCCATTCTGTCGGATCCCCTGAGGCAGAGATTGTTGTATGAAGTCTTCAAGATCCTTGACCGGAGGATCGAGTGTCTTGAGCATCTCCGTCTCGTCCTCAGGAGACGGACCGATATGGCGTCGACTGAACAGCTCATTCTGGGCCAAGAACGGTGCCCGTTCGGAAAAGGTCAAGGAATCAGGTCCATCCTGCTCATTGCGGTGTTGCACCGTAGAAATACATCTCTTGCATATCCGAGCAGTATCACCTCGTAGGATCTGCGAACGTAGGAGTCGGTTGACAGAACGGGTGGCGCGGGGTAGGACAATGGTTTGGTTGGCCATGGTGGTGGGCCTCAGGCTAGATAGTAGGCTACGAGAACCACATTGAAACCGTCGACGAAGCAACGGAAGGACGACTGAGAAAAGAAGAGAAAGACCAAAGAACCAGGAGAGTCGCGGTTATTGAACGTGGACAGCGGTGACCCCAACATACCACCTATCTGTGGAAAAATAATGCATCGGAGGAAAAGCACGCGGACTAGTGACCGCACCTGGAACCAAAGCTTGCAGGGGTCCAAGGCTGTGGGTGCTGCAAGTGGATAAAGCTCTTGATTTGCTGAGCCACGTCCCGATAACATGATAGCGTTCGATGAAAGGCCAATCACAGAGATCCAAACAACGGGAGAAACCCTTGAGCGTGCAACGATTCTGCTTGCATGGTTCCGAATATGGGCGAGATCACGAAAATGATATTAATAGTGTTTGTTTCAAAGTCTTGTTTATCCAGTAGAACGCTAAAATTCGTTGTGGTGTTACATGCACAGGGATATCTAGGAAAATATTGTTACACATGCTCCATGACGGCAGCCGACATGCTTGCTCGCAACCAACACCTTCTACCACAGCTGCTATTCCGATGAATTTGTTCTATGGTAAGGAAATGTTACTCAATAACGTTCGTGACCTGAAATATATATGTCAGTTTGGCCGATTCTCCATGCTCAGTCGGTTGTGACTACACTTACGTCCAAGAGGCTTAGCTCTCTTCGAAATGTCTTTCGCTTGGTGCTGCTTGATCTTCGCCAGACGAGCCCTGTCAACTTTGTCAATATACCTGTTGAAGAAATTTCTCGACGGATGGGGTATGCTTACTCTTCCTCAGCCTCGCGCTCAAGCATCTTGACACGGTCTCTTGCCTCCCTCACAGCGGCCTTTGCCTGGACAAGAGCGCGATCCGCTTCTCTCTCAGCAGTCTCGGCCTGAAGGACTCGCTCACGCGCGGAAACGATGGACGGGTCTTCGTGATTACGATGGAACAATCCGCCAGAGCCGCGGGTCGAACCACGGGAGACTTTGGAACCATGACGACGGTTATGTGAGTCGAAGTCAGAGGACGAGGCGGACGAGGAACGACGGCGATTGAAAAAGCCTCTTCGGGGGCTGCCGTCGGCCGATGAGTTTGAGTATCTGGGTGCAGTTGTTTGAGCGGGAGTTGGCTGTGCGGTCTTGTTTCCGAAGAGAGGCATCTTGACTGCTGAGTGACAGGTTGTGTGATATAGATTTGTCTAAGAATTTCAAGTGGTAATGTCCAAGATGGTTCGATTGAAGACGATGGCTGCTGTTTTGAGGAGGTGCTATGCCTCGCATTTTAAATGCTTGTCTCCTATGCCATTCTGTAGGTGATGGTGTTGTCCCAGAATCAGGTTTTGGACGCCCGTGTGACGTAGGAATGTGGACGAGGCTTAGGAAAAGGGAGTGATCGTCAGCCTTTTTAGCCCAAATGACGCCAAACGTCGGCAACTAGAACCACCAGGGTCATAAATTGTGGTGTTGGTCTCACATTCTGGGGAAGACAGACCTGGACCCTGCACACCCTGATAGCCAGATAACTTGCTTCGTCGTATCAGGCGCGTCCAGACCGTGCTGTGACGACGGCAACTACATCTTGGGAAATTTAGCGGGAGGCTAGCACGCTGAACAAGTCCAAGCTTATGGCGATCTGGTGGTCCCGTGGCTGAAGAGGCGACTCCTTCATCCAATCCACTAGTTGTATTAACAGGTTTTGCATTAAGAGAGTTCAGAGGGAATTGTAAAGATCGGGGAAGATATCTCGATGGTATTGAGCGGGAGCATTAGTTTACACCGCATGATAGGTTGATTCAGCCCGCATCAATCCTCCACAACTGAATCCCAAGCTCCGACGGCTGTAGCCTCGCGAGACGACATGCCTGTTTTGCAATTATCAAGAATTGAACACTCCTTCAATAGTCCCAAAGAATTGGCATGTTTCAGTTGGGCGAAGTTGGAGACCTGGAGACAGTTGGGTGCCAGTTTCCGCGATTGTGGTGACGTCAGCATCGAGGTGGCGTCTGGTGGCGTCTGTGCTGTGTGTTCTGTTTTGAGTCTTGGCTCAGGGTCCTGACCAGTCACGTGCTAGAATTGTGGTAATAAACATCACGTGACTCAACTCGGAACAGTACTCGGGATAATTGGATATCTGGGTGAAGTACAAAGGCCAGTGGTAGAAGAAACCTTCTCAGGAGAGTCGATTGCCTTTCTCTTCAACTCCCAGATCGGCCGAGCCCGTCTATACTGATGGAACGAAGTTGGACTTGTGGAGCTGCTGAACGATTGGGAGAGCAATGTTTGACATGTTTCCTTTCGTCACGCCTTTGCAATCCACCCAGAGTGTATCATGAAATCGAATATGCGATTAGCTTTATTGACATCGATCTAAACCATCGGTCAGTAACAGCGTCCATGCTAAGAAAGTGAGCCACTTACCCTGCAGACTCCCCGAGCCTCCTTTTTCTTCATCTGCCCGCCTTGTTTCATGGCTTCCTTCAATAAGCCTTCTTTGAGGGCAAGATATGGCTTCGGTCGAATATGGAGTGTGTTGCATAATTGAATTTCTTCCTCGCTCAAGAGTTGCAGATCAGGAGCATACGCTTTATCCTCTTCCAACTTCCAGGGGGTCGTCCCATTCAAAGGCTGCACCACATAGCGAACTTTAGGTTTCGGACCTGCAGAGCTGTCTGGACCGCTGGCCTCGGCGAAAAGTTTGTCAAAGTCGTTCTGCACGGCGGGCTGACTGTCAGCAAACTGAGGTACCGTTTTCTGTTTGCGCTGAAACCGGAGAGGCAATTCGGGCGTGGTCAACTTGGATGCTTCTGTGGGCAGATCGGGTTGTTGGATCTGGCTACCCTTCTTAGGTATCTGAGGCATCCTGTCAAACTGTCCCTGGGGTTGATTCCGTAGAGCACGGGCTTGTTTATCAGCTTCGTATTTCTCGCCACCTCTCAAGTCGCTAATCCCCATCTGCTTCCATTCCTGTAACTGAGAAATGGCAATGCGCAAGTTGTGCTCAAGAAGGAGGTCCCTATTCAATGCCTCGAAATCTTCGTGGTTCATCATTCGGGCAAAAGGCTTGGCTCTGTGAAGCAAATCTTTCTCCTCCTTCGTTCTCTTCTTATCAATAAGCTGGTTCTTTTTGTATTCTAGTAAGTTGTGCTCGAAAATAATTCGTTTTCGGTCCGTTCTCGCTTTTAGTCTGGAGTTGTAGATGTCGAAGACTGTCATTTTCAACGTGGTCTCCTCATCCATCTGTCCTGTGACAGGGTCAAGACCGTCACCAGGCTCGAAGGACATATGCTGAACTGCTTCTTCGGCGTCATTGGCAAACTCGGTCTCGAATTCTAGACGACCAGGCATGAAACCTTGCACCTCGTGACAAGCTGGTACCGAGGCAGTGGGCTTCTGCTTGGGCGTGGCAGGGGGAGCCGACTTCGCCGCTTCCTTACGTTCCTCAATGCGCCGCTTTTTGCGCGCTTGGAATTCATCTTTGGGTATACGTTCAAATAGTCGGGTGTCTGCAGGGTCGGCCAGTTCAGGGAGAGGGAACCGCGAACTGTTGATATAGGTGTTGATGTAGTGGTCGCGAACTTCGTCCTTCTCTCGATAGCCTCCAATATGCTCTGCTACGTCGGCCCACGAACCGAGTCCATACCTCTCGGAGCCTTCGAGCAGTAACAATTCTTCATCGGCACCCCAGTCCTCTGTATAAATGGGGATCGAGTTCTGTTCCACTACATGGTATTCGTGCGTGCGGGGATCGTGATTTTTAGAGTGCTCTCCGCGAGCAAAACAGGGTACACAAAGATCGTACTCGCGGCAAGCGGGATTTGCGCAGGATATGCGGACGGTGGAGGTGATATCGATAGAGCAAACATCGCAGTGGTATTTGGTGCCACCGTCGCCGCCGCGCGAGGCTGCATTTTTCCTTATGACACCCATGCTTCTCGCGATACGAGCATCTTCCTCGAGATCGGAATCAGAAGAAAGATATTGCGCGTACTCAGCAGGGATTGTCGCGTCCTCGCAGGCAGAGTCAGCCGGTGGGTCTCGAGGCCGTCGAGGCGCAGTTGGTGACGCAGAGCGCTCGGAATCGGACTCGAGGTAGTCAACGGTATAGCGGATGGGCTTGCGAGTACTTCGGACAGGCTTTGAGCGTACTCTAGGTGTTGATGGCCGTGAGGATGGTTTTGCAGGCAGGGATATCAGGTTGGTTGTTGTACGACTGACGTTCAAAGTTGGGGGCTCATATCCGCCACCAACACCACCAGCCGCAGCGCGCCAAGAAGCCATTTCCGCTTGGGTCAATCTCACGTGACCGTGGATTCGCCTTCACACGGCCAGTGACGGCTCAGTTTCAGGCCGATGTCTGTCCGGGTCTTGTTCCGCCTTTGGCTGAATAAGGAACTAAAAGCCCACTCAGCAGCCTGCGCCGCCCTCGATTCCCAGTCTCCCACCCGCTGTGACACCTTAGTTTCCAGGTAGTGTGGAGGCTTCAGGTACTCGCATCACCACCCACACTTCGCCCCGACAGGTGAAACTCAGGCCCCGGCCGTATCGACCTGGTGTGCTGTTGTGCAACTCGGATTCAAACAAAACAAGTCCAGTCCTGCGATCTTCTGTTATTCATCAGCATCCATCTTTGCCTCCCTCCATCCTTCACTGCAGAACACTCACCACTTCTCAACGCTCCTTAACGACTTCACCTCGTCTTCGCCTCGGTTACCTTCAGGTGCTCGTTGTGCCACACTCGCAACCCCTCCTTTCACCGATTGTCTACAATTGAAACCTGCGCTCCTTGGAAATATTGTCGGTCAACAACACACCCTAAGGCTGTGCCTGCAGCACCCTATTGGTACTTCACCTTCCTATCGTCAGGCTATTCCTCTGCCCCCATTGAGCGGTGATTCTCAGTCCATCATCATCAGCTATCGAGGTCTCAGCGGAGGTATAACACTCGAAGATGTCGTGGAGATTGACAAAGAGTAGGTTGATGTAACGGCTGTCTGATGGAATCCAATTGACAAAGAGATAGAATTGAAGGACACTCACCTGGCCCCTCTCACAAGTGGCTTCGGTCGATCCACGTCCACCTCTACTGTCAAACCAGAAGATGCTTCCCCTGCGACAGACTCGCCAGAGTTATCAACAACCCAGAGCAATACTAGCACCACTTCAGCAAATGGCATCGGTTAGTGAATCACTCTTATCCCACTCGTTTGCTGTCTGCCTTCCTTACTGACGCCAACTAGCTGCTTCAGAACAGCTCACTTCACCCCCTGTCCAGACGACCAAACCTGGAATCCTGATAGTCACTTTGCACGAAGGCAAAGGATTCTCTTTGCCACAACAATATCAATCAGTATTTAACAATTACTATGGCTCGGGGACCTCGGGTTCAGTCAGACCAAGCTCGTCATATGCCTCTGGGTCTGTTGCAGGATCATACGCACCTCCGAATCGGCCAGTCTCAACTCACGCTGGAATCAACGCTGCGCCAACAATTCACGGAAGATACAGCAGCAAGTACTTGCCTTATGCTCTCCTTGACTTCGATAAGCTGCAAGTGTTTGTCGATGCCGTCTCTGGTACTCCAGAGAATCCGTTGTGGGCAGGTGACAACACCTCTTTCAAGTTCGACGTGTCAAGAGTGTGCGAGCTCAGCGTCCAGCTATACCTACGTAATCCAGCTGCCAGGCCTGGGGTTGGTAGAAGTGAAGATATATTCCTTGGTGGCGCTAGGGTCACCCCGAGGTTCGAAGAAGCCCGCCAATTCGTTGCGGATCCAAAGAAGAGTAAGAAGGAAAATGAAAAGGCGGAGGCTGCGTTTCTGTCCCAGGAAAAGCAAGCCGGCCAGCTCGGGACTGAGTGGCTGGACATTCAATTTGGAACCGGCTCCATCAAGGTTGGCGTGAACTATGTCGAGAACCGACAAGGCAGCCTCAAGATTGACGACTTCGAGCTCTTGAAGGTTGTAGGAAGGGGCAGTTTCGGCAAAGTCATGCAAGTGATGAAGAAAGACACCGGACGGATCTACGCTCTCAAGACCATCCGAAAGGCTCATATCATCTCTCGGTCCGAAGTTGCGCATACTCTTGCAGAACGATCAGTGCTGGCGCAGATCAACAACCCTTTCATCACTCCACTTAAATTCTCGTTCCAGTCCCCTGACAAGCTCTATTTCGTCCTGGCCTTTGTCAACGGAGGAGAGCTCTTCCATCACCTCCAAAAGGAACAGCGATTCGATATCAACCGCTCCAGGTTTTACACCGCAGAGCTGTTGTGTGCCTTGGAGTGTCTTCACGGTTTCAAGGTCATCTACAGAGATTTGAAGCCAGAAAATATTCTGCTGGATTATACCGGTCATATTGCCTTGTGCGACTTCGGGCTGTGCAAACTGGATATGAAGGATGAAGACCGAACCAACACGTTCTGCGGAACCCCCGAGTATCTGGCCCCAGAACTTCTCCTTGGACACGGGTACACGAAGACGGTCGATTGGTGGACTTTGGGTGTCCTCTTATACGAGATGCTTACTGGACTCCCACCCTTCTACGATGAGAACACCAACGAAATGTACCGCAAGATTCTACAAGAACCGTTGCATTTCCCTGGTCCTGAGATCGTTCCCGCAGCGGCGAAGGACCTCCTTCAAAAGCTGCTTGACCGCAATCCTGAGCGTCGGTTGGGAGCAGGCGGGGCGGCGGAGATCAAAGCCCACCACTTCTTTGCCGGCATTGACTGGAGGAAACTGCTGCAGAGAAAATATGAACCCAGCTTCAAGCCGAATGTGGTAAGTGTGAGAACTGATGTCTATAGAAGCTGTCGCTAACATGTGTCGAAGGTTGATGCACGAGACACCGCCAACTTTGACAAGGAATTCACGTCCGAAGTGCCCAAAGATTCATACGTCGAAGGACCTGTGCTGTCGCAGACTATGCAACAACAATTTGCAGGATGGTCATACAACCGACCAGTCGCTGGACTTGGTGACGCAGGTGGTAGCGTTCGGGACCCCGCGTTCGATCGCATTCAATAGAGACCTTAGCGTGTTCTTGTTTCTCATGTAATGAGCAATGAAACGGTCTATGAACGAAAGCTGCATGTCGCGGACTGGTGGCAGCCGTGGCCAGGGACTTTCCTTTCAGGGATAGGAATAACAACACCTTTGTCAATGTGGCGAGTCAATCAGTATCTCGTTGCTTCGGTTTGGAGATGGATATCGGATGGGACTTTCAAAGTGCCGGGAAAGCAATTCTGCTGGATCACTGGACTGCGGCACATGCTTCATTTCTTCCTGTCAGCGTTTGGACATGGACGGCCTTGAGGGCTCCAGTCTCAAACGCTATAGCTGGCCCTCACGACTTGACCTTGAGCACATAGAGAGACGGGTTTCAATAGCTGTGCTGCCCTTTTCTGCGGGAGCTGCCAATACAATACGAGTACTCGGCGATATCCCGCTTGCAAGTATAAGTACGAGGAATGTATACCCTTGGCGAGCGTGGCGAGATATCTCATCTTGACCTTGGCTTTGGCGGCCCGCCGCGATGGCTCGCACCGCTCCGACTTGGCGCCGGGGCGGAGCATCAGAAAAGTCCTTCAACGTTTTCACTCTGTAAAGGATTGTAGCGCCCAGAATCCCAATCACTTGTCGCTCCGTCTATGCCCTCCGCAGCCACGACTTGACCTCCTCTCTTCCTCTGATTCTTTTTCATGTCCGGCGCTTTCCCTCTTGACCCAGCTCTAGTCAGCCCCTCTCTGGCTAGTCCCGGTGACTTCTGTGAAAGCGGTCGCCACATGAACCTAGGTAGAACACCCCGTATTCCCGTTGATGTTCAGCACGCACACACTACCTGCTACTTCATCGCCAATGGTCAAGATATGGGCCCCGGTACTCGCTAGGTTATTTTTCTGCTGGCTCTGTGTCCAACCTGTACAAAAAGACAACGGTTAGTCTCGACAAGCCACTCCTTGAACCCCCCTCAGCAAACGGACAGGTTGAGAGGAGGCATGTCAAAGTCCCCAAATCCTTCAGAGTGACAAACCTTACAGCTGTCCAATATCTCCAGGCCGGCATTTCCAAAGGTGTCCTTGTCGAGCGTGGGGCCTAACCCGCTGTCCAAGTAGATCATCTGACATTCCCCGAGACTGATGCCCTGGCCGCTTTCGTGAGATAGGGTGGAACTATCTGCAACCGAAGCCACAAGGTCGAAGCAGTCTTGGAAGTCGGCCAGGCCCTCTGGGCCGAGACACTCGTTGATGTCCTGGGCGGCACGAGTGTTGAGACCAGCTTCCGGGACAGAGTCCGCGATGGCCGAGGTGAACAAGCACAATGTGACGAATGTGGAGCAGGGCTTCATGGTGCAATTAGAGGGTTGGTTGGTATTCTCAAAAGTCTCTCTCGGTGTTTCTGCCAAAGAGTATCGCGAAATAATTTCCCACGGAACATTGCCAGGGATCCTCGGAGGGATGGGTCTCTTCCCTTGTGACTTCACGAGGCCAGTAGAATACTGCGTGAATTCCACTCGAGGGCTCAAGGTTGTTCAGGATCAACGAAGACTCGGTCGCACTCTTGCTGGTGGTGAGGTTGATTCCATACCAGGTCCCTCGAATGGTGTGGGAGACTGGACCATTGTCAGATGAGATACTACCAGTTAATGCTCAGACTGACTTCCGAGGCAGAGATACGGGCTAGAAACCCCGAAGTTGCCACATCATTGAGCATCTCAACACCATTGCTCAATCGACCGGGTAGCGGTCAGGCATTGCGGGACTGAAAAGCTCATCAGAACATCAAGTACATCGATTGCGATGGCAGCCTTTGGACTCGAGTTGATGCCCACCGACTAAAGGGTGAATGGATGCAAAGTCATATCTGCATTGTCCGCGACATACTTCTGAGCTTCTACGGCTCTGCTTTCCGCCAACGTAACGGAACGTCTAATATCTCCCATACCGCATCCTTCCGGTATGCAGGATTTTCCTCCTCGGGCGAACCTCCTCAGAAAACTTGGGATTTGGCAGTCCCTGCCCAATCGCCTCCCAGTCGGGCAACCGTCTCCAATGCTTCTGCCACATGCACAGCAGAGAAAGCCGAAGAACCCGGGGAGCAAACTGCTTTCTGTTTGCTCCTGTCAACGCCAGCAGTTGGAGGAGAAGAGAGGCCGAAGAAGGGAGACCTACCAGATTACAGTAGTGGGGTGAAAACCAGCTACGACTCTCTTCTAACAGGCATGGCTCGGGGATCCTTGGGCAAACGACGAACTGAGTGTGAGGGAGGGCAGCTCATTTGATCGGTTCCGCGACCTCTTGGATTCACATGCCTTTTCGAACAGGGTGGATCCGTTTTCCCCAAACTCTCATTATAGGCATGCGGGTTCTCGAAATGCCATTTGGCGCATCCTGATGTTTGTTTAGTGTTGGAGTTTCCAACCTTGTCACGCCAATCGAGACGAGGAAAGCTAGCACGGGGCATTCACAGGATGAGGATATTGTCAAAATGACTCTTTTATTTTCTGCCTCACGAGAGAATGACATTTTAAATCGAGGTCCTGGATCTAAGACCGTCCTCTACACTCGACTCCTTGGTCCACCCTTGACCCCGTCTGATGGTTGCGCAGGACGTAACGGAAATCAGGCCATGTGTCGGTATGGTCGGTTCCTTCTGAGGTGTCTGATTCAGACTGAAGGTTTACAGTCATCACCCTCGCGCTCGCGTCAACCGGTGATAGTTGATCATTCGGAGAGGTGAGTCTTGACACCGAAGCTGAGGATTGTTTTCTTGAGGTCCTCGTCGGTGAGGGATCCGTCTTCCAATCCCTGCAAGATGCTTGCCACAATGTCGGGGCTGTCAGCGCCTTTAACGACATGTTGCACTCCGTTCTCGGTGTGCGTGAAGGTGTCGGGCTTGACAGTGGTGCAGTTGGACGACTCGAGGTCTCGTTTGCCCGGGACGTTGGTCGCTTGTAGCCATTTCACTCCGTTTATCGAGGCATCACCCGTAGGGCATATGCACACAGTTTGTTGTGCTTGCTCCAGCTCATTCTGGCAATTGCCGGACCGAAAGGCGGCAGCTGTGAAAGGTGAGATCGGGGACTGAGGTATTGCGACCATACAGGCGCCAAAGAAGGAGCCAAAGTCGCAGCAGACACCTGGGTCCAGGTCGGCACAGGTCGCCGATGTGCCTCCTCCGCACAGGTTGGCTTGTTGAAACAGGACAATGTTGGCGGTGCCGGGAACTGCTCGCACGCCCCAAAAGTGCGGCAGCAAGGCGACCAAGACGTATTGGCCAAGGATGAATTGCATGATGACTTTGCAACACCGAGTTCTGCTGATTCGAATAGATGGTGACTGCTTTCCTTTGGATTGATTTTTTTTGGTTGCGAGGGCTATCGGCTTTTATAGGGACAGGGCATCCTCCTAGCCACCCCCTCTCAACTGTTGTATCTTTCTCTCTTCCAAGGTCATACGTGAGGCTCGCGGGCAGCTTGCGGATCTCTGGGCTAGAGATGGGTAGTGCTCGCCGTAGTATTATCTCGAGGTAGTATACAGTAGATGAGCGACAGTTTGATTTCCATAAAGTAATAGTGACCAGTTCCCACAATTCCTTCTCGGGAAGTGTCCGAATGCCCACTCACGTACCGACTCGTCATGCTTGTCATCGTCTTGTACACCACCTTTTTAAGATCCTGAGTTGTTGTTTGCTTCTTTTCCCCCCCCCCCCCCCCTTTCCTAATCTCGTACGAGTGGGATCACGCATGTCGCAGATCCGATTTAGGGCATAGAGAACGCTCTGGCAAGGTCAATCAGTCCTTGTTACCTCGTAATACTCGTAACTCGTACTGTGGACCGAGGGGGATTTCCTACTCCACATTCAAAGTTGCACCAACTCCTTTTGGAACGTGGATCCCCATTTTGTCACTTGTTGCGGCCTTGGCTCGAGCCGTGGAGGCGCGTTCCGAAAAGGTACGGCACAAAGGGACGGGGTGAATGATGATCACTCTGGCGCAGGACAGATGGGATCATGCTCAAGCAAGCCATTCTCCACACTCGGTTTGCTTGACCATAGCTTATTGACATGTCTACAGAGCCAGCTAGGCCCTTTTGATACATCGACACACTATGCATGCATTTTGACCCGACCATGGAAGTGACAGGACTGAAGAAGGTATTGCAGCCACGATCTAGACTTTTGAAAACGTTGGAGATACGTCCACTCTCAAACAAGAATAGATTCGATATCAACCGTGTCTAGCACTTGTACTCGTACGAGTGAACAATCTCCCCCCCCCCCCCCCCCCCCTTCCAAAAAGCTTAGTAGTAACCCCTTCGCGGACAAACCAGTGTCCTCCTCTATCTCTCATATAGGATATGGGGAGGGAAAAGTGTGGTTGGCAAACTGAAATCCAGAAGCCGACTCAGGAAGATAGATCCTCTACGCTACCAGAGTCTTGTCGAAATTCCGCGGTCAGCTACCAATGTCAGTGGTCAAGGGACCCTTGATGAAAGTGGCCGCGGTGTTCTGTGAGCCCCGGAGGTCAGCGGATGGCGGAAGTGAATGGATCTGGGTGAAGGAAAGGGATGGCAAAGCGCATGAATGGTTTGAGACATCTGGTTGAGCGGCGAGAAGAGGAAGTAGATGAACTGCGTTACACCGTGTACAAAGTAATGTATCAGCAATACATGTCAAACTCTGGACCCCTTCCCAGTCGGTTTGGGTGCCCCTATCCCGTATAGACCTCTTCCTCCCTGCGTAGGCTCAGCGTGAAATCGAAAACGAAGATTACCCAGCCGAATACAGTGTCTCCGTCTCAACTGACGCTTTAGCGACAAGGTCCTTCTCATCATTCACCGACCAACTCTCGCACACCTCATAAATGACACGTCAACACGACTATACGCCACAAGCCCCGGGTGCCCCGTGTCAAAGCCGTACGGATCTCTCAATAGCTTGGCACAATGCTCCCGATGCTTCAGTTCCATCGAGTCCCCGTCGACCATCTTCCAACCCTTCTCGTAGGCCCGTACGAGTTTCATGAACATGTAGGTGCAATGTCTCAGGTGAAATTCCGGATGCGAGAAGGCAGAGACGTACTCTCCTCCGGCCAACTCGTCTTTGCTCATGGGCTTGGTGAGATTCGGGTCCCAGAACCAGCGTCCGTCCTCGAGTGGCGACAGGGACTCGGAGAACTCGCGGTCGAAGCATTCTTCGGGCAGCCACGCCCCCATCATGACATCGTAGTGGCATCCTCGACTCTCTGCCTCCAGCACCGAGTCCCCACAAGATGGAATTATCGAGTCGCCGCTCCATCCTCCACTTGTCCTCCAAGAAACCGTGCCCAGGAGAGAGACCATGCCGATGGAAAGGACGGCCAGGACGACGATCGCGTGGTGCCACTTGCTCGGCTTATCCGGCTCCATTAGTCTGCAGAGACGGTATTCGACCCAACAAAAAAAGGGGAGGGAGATGATGAAGTGGCCAAAGCATAAAGTAGGGTCGTGTTGAGAGGCGAAGAACACCGATTTGAACTGAGACTTTTGGCGGGAAGGGTACTGACTTGGCCACACCTACATGTACTCTAGATGCAGGGGTTCGATGAGGACTGCGGAATAGCACCCGCACGGACGGTATCAGAATAGGTCAGACAGGATTCGACGGACTCGGGTTAGAGCAAAGGAATCATACTCGCAGGCCAGGCTGGTTGAATGAAAGTACCCTCGTATATATACGGCACATACCCCAACATTTGATGTCCGGCCCCCGCCTGTGCTGCAAGCGCTTTGGCCTGGCTGTGGGTGCCACGGACATAGTACCCTAGATGATCTAGTCACCCGTTCAATCAACCTGCGAAAGAATCAAAAAACATAGTGAACTGTGTCGTTTTACGCGGGTTCGGTCGAGACCTAGTTATCTAGCTGCCTAGGAGGGCTAGACTCCTGTCGATCATTGCGCGAAGGATTTGAAACGTACTCGATGTTTTCTACAATACTTCGTTACGAGGTGTATCAAGGAGTATTTGTTATCCCGAACCGGCAAGTGGACCAGTTCACAAGTCGGAGCAAGAACCCACGAGTAGCATCCCTACAACGTGTATCGCCGTGCGAGTTCCTAGCGAGCAAATCCAGGACGCGAAGGATTGCTGGAGCCACAAAAAAAAAATAAGTAATGAACTTGTCTCTCCCGAGAGTTTAAACGAACCCTATGCTTACTCGTACACTAATTTCAGCATGGTATTTTGAATTTGGGCCATACAGGTCCTCGAATTCGTGTTGTCCCCCTCCCCCTTTCTTCATGCCCGTTCGATATTCAGTTTCGCCCTGACTTGTTTTGTCCTCCCGGCAGGAGACGGGTAGAGGCCTGGAGAGAGTGACACTTGTATCTGATTGGTGCTATCTCCAGTACTTTGCTGGAAGGCAAGCAAGTCCATACGGGCAAGAAGAAGTTGATTCCTCAGGCAGGGAGGTACGGAAGGCTATTATGTTTACTGTTTGGTTCAGGAACTCATAAGAGAGCCTTTTCTGGATCTTGACTCTTGTCTTCCACCGCCGTCATGCTTCTGGATGCCTCTCACAAGCCTTTGTCCGTTCTCCTGAATGACTTGTAACTGGGAGCTCCTCCGCGCTTCAGTCGAGAATATGACGATCCGGAGCAAAGGCTCACGAGTCGGAAGGTGCGGCCGCCTTTGGTTCCAGTCTTTGTTTGGCTCTTTCCATCATGTGTGTAAGCTACAAAGGCTTGGTCAGCTCTCCACAGAGCCTTTCATCCTCAGTGCCATCTATCAAGAGGACCCGGGTCGAGTTGACCATGGCCTCCCTGGGCATCTCGACTTGGTCATCTGCGTGGCACAGGAGGGTCTGCATACCTGTCAGCTTTCGTCCAACCAAAGACTATGCGAGGATGGAGAGAACCCACTCTTCTAAGGTAATCCAGGCAATGCGGCCAGTGCAGGTTGTCTCTCCAGTCCATACCGATGTCTTGACCGTCATGGCAAACTTGCAGTGCCTGCCTCAGGGACGCTAAGCAATGAAGTTGGTGGTACCTATGCATTAATGTTATGATCTGTCGCATAGCTTCTGCCCGCCGAATGAAGGAATATCTGGCGGTGGGGTTTTGAGGCACTAAAAGACACTTACATGGTGATGAGGCCTGTGGTGCCATTGGCGTTCACATACCCTTGGGTCTCATCTGATAGCTCATTCCAGAGGCTGTCAAAGTCATGGCTCAGACTCATGTAGTCTCTGTTCCGGCCGTATTGCGAGACGGTAACACTCCTTCCCTGGGGGCAACATGAATCGTTCCGACCGACTCGTGTCCAAAGTAGGCTGAGGAGAAGGATGACAGCAATGACTGTCCACGCAGAAGGCGCACACAGGACTGCGACTCTATGCCATCTGTGAAGGTGAGAAGTCGTCTTAGGAGGGTCTTGAGTTTCTCGATTCAAAGGGAGCAGCATATGGGCGCTTTCGTTGTCCTCAGCCTGGGCAATGTCCGAACCCAACATTGCAACGGTTGTGCTTCTGGCGCAGTGGCTCTGTCAGGGAGCGATTGATGTAGAAGATTTCCAGTTGCCACATTCAGAAAGGCATACCACGCATATCAATAGCGTAAGCTATCCTCCACAAGATGAGAGGATCTCTCCTTTAGAGGAATGGAGCGAAGTGTAGTCAAGACCTCGCCCTTGGTAGGAAGAATTCCGATGCAGCTTCAGAGGACTCCTGCTGCTCGTGGAACTGCGTATGCTGGTCACCTCGTTCTCCGTTACATTAGGTTGCTAATCTCGTAGCTTAGTGCTGAGGAAGGGCCAATATATCCCTTCAAGGGGGAAGAGCTGCGCGTGAAAGGATTGTAGGGTCGCAGCACTAATGTTGGCGGATGGAATGAAGCAATAGAAGAAGTATTGCAGTCGAGAGCCCAGCCCGTGTCCCTTGCATGGAGGTTCACTTAGCCAAGCAGGTATGGTGCTCGAACTGCGTGTCCCCTCTACATTGAGCAGGATTAAAGGAACCGCGAGACATGAAGTGAACGTGGAAAATGCCCGGGAGTCGTGTATATAAAGTCGTGAGTAAAGGGAGCTGTCCCCGTCACCTAACAGCAGCTTTCATACCAAGGTTTTAATCTACTTCGCCGTCGATCCTCGTCACCAAGATGCAGTTCTCCATCTATTTCACAATCGCTGCCGCCATTGCTGCCACGGCTGTCCAGGCAAACCCCCTTGTCCCTCGAGCAGAGCAGTTCTCCTGCTCCGGGGTAGGTTACGAACCCTCGAAGAAGAAGAAAAAAAAAAGACCCGAGATTCTAACACAACCTGGTGTAGCACTGCTTGGATGGTCAGAATACCTGCTTTTGTCCACTCGAGGGCGTTACTGCCAGCTGCTCCTCCGGCGGCGTAAGTCTCACCAGATGTAGAAATTTCGAGGTGATCGAATGACTGACGAGCTCATAGTGTAAGAGCAGTTCCGACCCGTGCTCCATTATCAACGTGAGTGGGATCAACTCTGTTACCTGCGGCGCTCCTGTTCTTGGAGGCTGCAAGCGCGACCTTGATGGGCGTAGCGTTAGTATGTTCAAGCTCTCAGTCCATATTGTCAACTCTGGCGAAGCTCTTGCTAATCAAGTTCTCCTCAGCATGTTAAAAGCCGGTACTTGGAGGATATGAGGCCTAGGGGAAAACGACAAGGCAGTCAGAATGGCGAGTATGGGAACAGAGGGGAGACTGTGCGGAACTCGTACGAGTATATACCTAGTAGGTAGGTAGACCTATACGACTGCCTATGGTAGCCTCGGTATTCACTCCCGTCTTCATTGGTAAAAGTCAAGGTAGCAGATAGAAGTCAGTCATTGAGGAAGTTGAGTCCACATAATGAAAAGCGATTAGGAGGATTTCGGACGAGGCTGAACCCTTTTCCATGCCAATACTGCCGATAACGGAGCAAAGCCGGGACGTGTTCCCCGCATCTGACCCGTCGGCGTTGTCGGGGGTTGGAGTAAATTGACAGCCCATTGGAATATGACCCGACCGTGTCCTGCATCTTTGTGAGAAACAGCATCTCCGACGCGACACTTCGAGTACAGGGGCGAGCTTTGGGCCTACTTCCTCTGAAGCTCTAATCTGAGGCCACACTCTTCTCCAGGCCGGACTGGAGGTTGCGGTGTAGAGAGTTCTCGGGAGAAGGGTACTAGCAAATTCCAAGCAGCTCTCACTCATGGCTGCGAAGAATGTCCTTCGCAGGGCAGTGCTCTATGGTAATATCTCGTCTCATCTACTCAGCTATTTGACCTCTCAAACTCTGTGAGCTCATCTGCTAACTTTTCATACACAGTGCCTGGCTCGTCACAGCGCTTCCTCGACAAATCCCGCTCCCTCACCGCCGACTGCATCGCTTACGACCTCGAAGACAGCGTGACGCCTGCAAAGAAAGCCGAGGCCCGGATCCTCGTGCGCAAGGCCCTGGACCAGGACCTGCCCACCGGCGTAAAAGAGCGTGCGGTGCGGATAAACAGCGTGGGCAGCGGGCTGGCGCTCGGCGACCTGGAGGAGGTGGTCAAGTCGCCGAACCTGACGACGCTGGTCGTGCCCAAGGTTGAGAGCGCCAGCGACTTGACCTTCATCAGCGACGTGCTCGCGCACGCGCGCTCCAGGGAACATCTCCAGCAAAAAGGCCAGGTGGGCGTGTTGGCCCTGATCGAGTCGGCAAAGTCGCTGCTCAACCTGGCCGAGATCTGCCGCGCCGCGCCGCACCTGCTGCAGGGCCTGGTGTTCGCGGCCGAGGACTTTGCGCTCGACATGAGCATCACGCGCTCCCCGTCGCTCACCGAGTTCCTCTACGCCCGCCAGCTCATCGCCACCGCATCGCGCGCGTACAACCTCCCGTCCACGCTGGACCTCGTCGCGACGGCTTTCCGAGGCGAGGCCGACCAGGAGACCCTCGTCCGCGAGTGCGAGGAGGGTAAGGGCATGGGATACAACGGGAAACAGTGCATTCACCCATCGCAGGTGGCCACGGTCCAGAATATCTTCTCCCCGAGCGACAAGGAGGTCGAGTGGGCCGTCAGGATTGTCATCGCGCAGAAGAGGGCCGAGGAGATGGGCAAGGGTGCGTGGAGTCTGGACGGCAAAATGATCGACAAGCCCGTCGAGGGTAAGGCTGAGCGCATCGTCGAGAAGGCTGTCTTGTGTGGGATGGACGTGAAGGGATTGAAGGAGAAGTGGAAGGATCAAAAGCCCGAGTGAACGCCTAAAGGCGGGGAGTAAGGGAAATGGGATCTATGCTTTTTCTAACTGGACAAAACACTTTTGGGAGGCTGTTCCAGCCTGTCCTGGTCTTCCTCCGCTGCGACCCGTCTCGTTTTTCCTGTCCAAAGATCTATACTGCTGTACAACCGGACCACAGTTCGCCCACAGAGCTTGATGTACCTGTCCTCGCCTGGAGGCGACCTTTGAATCGAAAACAGCGTAAGAACGCTTCTATTTCTGCAATAATTGCCACATCTTGTTGGCAGAACGTTCGGAAGCCAAGATGTCCTACTACTCCTTCTTCGTCTGGCTCAGGTCTCCATTCTCATACCCCTTGGTCGTGAACATAATTTGCTCCCTCTGATCAGTCTTTTTCTTGATTGTCAAACAGTTGATGTCCAAGACTTCGCAGATGCGATTGATCACCCGCACCGCCCACACGAAATACTGCACCATGGCGAATGCAAAGCAGCCATAGAGGTACCACCTTTCGTACTTGGCGGGGATTGGTGCAAGTCCAACAAGGGGAAGCCAGGCCATTATCGCCCCGCCGGCCAATGGAACCAGTGCGACAGTGAAGTACGGAAATGGTCGACGCGTCAAGTGGTGGAGAATGATCTTTGTGGTGAGTCGACCAAAGACAAAGGATAGCGTTAGGCAGAATATGATGAGATGCTTCTCTTGTAGGAGAATTGAGTAAGGGGATCCGCACCATGCACAAACGGAGGCGGTATAGATTATCATAGGGACCCATTCGAGGAAGACGGGCCATAGCGGAAGGTTTTGTCGTTTTCGTGCCACGTAGACATTGTATATGCAAGAAGGCAGATGGGCCACAAAGAAGGCGAAAAGGACGACGGGGACCCAAAGGTCGAGCAACACCGTCTCACCGAATAGTTCCGGATAGCCAATATAATCGACGATTCGATGTTGCCAGAATTGAGGACCAACGACGCCTGAGACCACCATGAAAAAGCATGCAAGGATCAGACCCTCGGTCGGACCGTTGAAGGCTCCGAGAAAGAGAGTATGAGTGTGGTACGTCTCCCATGTGGAGAAGAACATGGGCAGACAAGGGACGAGTGCTGTAAAGGCACCGATCTTGGAATGGCCCAGGCCCATCGCAGCCGTCTCAAGCAGGCTGCCCAGCGTGCAGTTGAGTGAATCAATGCCGTGATCAAATAATTCTCCAAGACCACTGGATGTGCCGGTTCGGCGGGCCTGTTTGCCGTCGATGTTGTCCATTGTTGAATACATCCATAAGCCCAGTGCAAAACTGAAACAGAGCCAAGGTGGTGCCGGGCCCACAAGATCCGGAACAAAGATGCACAGCAACAGGATATTGACCAAGATGCAACAGAAACCCAAGAGCGTCACCATGTTGGGGGCAAGCCACATGGGAAGAAGCTTGACAGCGGCATTCCACTAGAAACCTATGAGCTGATGTGGACGTGTTACCAAGCGAGTTCAACGACGTACGTAGTGGCGCAGGATGTGATTTGATATCCATGACTCGTCTACACTTTGGTACTTATAGGTCTTCAGGTGGGCCATGGCCTCATCTGAGAGAGGGTCCTCTGTTATAGGATCATGAGTTTTTCTGGACCGAGAACGAGCTTAGAGTGCAAGGAGGAGCCAAACGCTGAAAACCTACCTGATTCCACCATGATTCAGGTTTGTTACTTGCGGCTCTAACCCTGAGTCCAATGAAGATATAGGAACGCGCTGAAGGACTAAAATGACAAGAGGGAGTGAGAAGGTAACTGAGAAAACAAGCGTTAGGGAAGCGGACTAGCGGTCTATCCTGATGCTCGACATGACTGTCAAATGCTCACAAGACTGAAAAGGGCCTCCAATAGAGAAATCCTCAGAACAAAACTAGCAATGGGGAAGGGGAAAGGAGAAAGGAAATTGTTGAAGTCGGCAGAAGCGCGACCAACGTAATGCCAAGACTTGGGATTTGACGCCGCTTTACCTTCACTGTTGTTGACTGACACGTGCTGCTGCCTTGGCATTCACTTCGCAGTTGTCGCATCCCTCCGACTCCTGGCTTGAATCAGCCTTCTCTCCCGGTCTCTGCGATGGTTCATCTCCGCCTGTACTCCTGGAAATCGACAAATGAACAAATGTTCATATTAAGTGGTTGGTAGACTGGCGCAAGCGTGGCCGATGATGCGTCGCGACATCCTCACTCTCTCACCCTCGCCTCTCTCCTCACCATGGAGCCTCAAGGGGATCAACAGCCCGTGACCCAAGAACCATCATTCACTGTCGCGCATCAAAAGGTTGAGCTTGATGTCAATTTCAACCAATGTATCAGAGGGAGAACCGAGATCACCATCTACCCTGACTCTACGGACCTCAAAGAGATCAACCTGCACGGGCGACAATGTACAATCAACAAGGTTCTGGTCAACGGCATCCCGCCATCCTCAGTACGGCATGAAGATCCCTGCGATCAGCTTACGCTCCATTTCCATGGCACAGTCTATCAACACCACGTTCTGGCAGAGAAGGTGGCGAGATCGGTTGGGGCGGAGCCGTTGCCGGATATCACCATTAGCCTCCCAAAGAGATTGAAGATTGTGCCAGTCGCGGTCGCAGAAGTGCACACCCAGGCTGCTGGCTCCATCAAGATCACAGATCCACAATCTCAAGGTGCTTCTGCCACCGAACTCACGCAGGCGCTGTCAGATGCCACTGCCGCGAAATTCACCCCTTTGACGCTAATAATCGAGTTTGAGTCCTGTCATGCACGAGAGACTTTGCACTTCGTTTCTGGCAGGGGTGGGAACGGTCGCTGGCCTCATGCATATACTCGAAACAAGCTGGGCCGTGGTGGTGCCTCACCATTATTTCCATGCGTGGACGAAATTAATAGTCGATGCACATGGGACATTTCTATCAAATGCCCGAGGACTGTGGGCGACGCTATTGACCAAGCGGTGTCACTCGACAGTGTACAGCGCAATCTAAACAAAGCCACAAAGCCACCGTCTCGCCAAACCTACGGCACGAAAGAGATGATCGTGGTCTGCTCAGGTGAGCTCACCGATGAGATCTTAGACAAAGGAGATCCTACGACGAAGACCATGTCATTTTCCTGTTCACAGCAGCTGGCGCCGCAGCAGATCGGCTTCGCAATCGGACCTTTTGAGCAGGTCGATTTGAGTGAGCTTCGAGATGCACAAGAGGTTGCTGACATCGGCCGCAATGCCGTTGAGATGTTGGCGTATTGCTTGCCTGGACGAGCAGAGGAGACCAAAAACACCTGCTTGCCAACAACCAAGGCCATGGACTACGTCGTTCAGAAATATATATCCTGCCCCGTCAGATCCTATGCCATGTGCTTTGTCGAAGATGCTCCTTCTGATGTCTCCATTTTTGCGGGTGTCACAATCTGCAGCACTCGAATCTTGTATCCGGAAGAAGTTATCGACCCTGCTCAGGAGGTTACGAGGAAATTGGTATATGCCATTGTCTCTCAGTGGATTGGTGTCAATATTGTTGCTGAGAATCCTCGAGACAATTGGGTCATCGTGGGAGGTGCCTACTTTATCACCAACCTCTTCATGCGAGAACTCTGCGGTAACAACGAATACCGAGCTTATATCAAGCAACAAGCAGATCGTGTTGTGGAGCTAGATTATGAACGGCCTTCGATCTACGACTTAGGCGCCGTTACCTACGTTGACCCGAAAGAGTCCGAGTTTCTGGCAATCAAAGCCCCCGTTGTGCTGTTTATTCTGGATCGTCGCATAGCGAAGAAAGAGGGTACATCCAAAATGCCTGGTATCTTGGCGAAGCTCCTTACCAAGGCTCGAACGGGCGATCTAGAAAACAATGCGCTCTCGACGGAGTTGTTCCAGAAGACTGCTGAAAGGATGGGGCACGACAAGATCGATGACTTTTTGGCCCAGTGGGTCAAAGGCGCAGGCTGCCCACGGTTCTTCGCTCAGCAAAGATTCAACAAGAAAAAGCTGGTCGTCGAGATGAGCATTCGACAAGAACAGGCTTCACGCGAAACCGTGCGGGATCTGGATCCCGACAACTTCATGCGAGATGCCCGCAACGACTTCTACGGGGTGTGGCCTGCGACCGCTCAACAAGTATTCACCGGGCCGATGACGATTCGGATTCACGAAGCGGATGGTACTCCTTACGAACATATTGTGCAGATCAAGGACGCCAACACTGTCATGGAAGTCCCATACAACACCAAATACAAGCGCCTTAAACGAAGCAAGAAGCAGAGGGCTCGCGCGAACACAAAAGTTAACACGGAACAGGGAGAAGAGGAGAACGACTCTCTCGTCTATTGTCTGGGTGACGTGCTGCAAACTGAGGAGGAGATGGCGAATTGGCGAATCAAGGAGTGGACGTCCGAGCAGGAAGACAGGATGAACAGTGAATCCTATGAGTGGATTCGACTGGATGCCGATTTCGAGTGGATTTGCACCATGAACCTGGCCATGCCAGGGTACATGTACGCATCCCAACTACAACAAGACCGAGATGTTGTGGCTCAGATAGAATCGATCCGCACAATCTCACGATATCCACCGGATGCAACTACCTCCTCCATTTTTATTCGCACTCTGATGGATCGTCGATATTTCCATGGCGTCCGGACTCTGGCAGCAAAGGCCCTGGTTAGGCATGCTGCAGAAGAGGTCGACAACATAGGCTTGTTTCATTTGAGGAAGGCCTACGAAGAACTTTATTGCGCTACAGATCAAAGTTCAGCCTTGACACGGCCCAACGACTTCTCTGATCAACTCTCATACATGTTGCAGTGTGAAATAATCGAGGCTATTGCGGAGGTCCGGAATAGTCAAGGACATTCCCCGAAAGAAGTGAGAGACTTCCTGCTGGAGAAGCTGAAGTATAACGACAACTCGGCGAATGACTATTCCGACGCGTTCTATGTTGCTCGATTAATGAAAGCGCTGACTGGTGCAGCCATTGCGCGACCCAGCTACAGCGAATGGGATATTGCCGAAAACTTTGAAATCGAAGACGAGATTCACGATCTGAAAGAATTTGAGCGTCAGTTCCTGGACGAGATTGACCGGTACCGTCGAATGGATGAGTGGACGAGTTCATACCAGAACCTGTACTGCCGAACGGCTCTAGAGTGTCAGGCGATGCTCGCTGCGGCGGGGATCGGCCAGTTTTCACCCTTGCATTTCTTACAGTACACCAGGCCCGGAAATTTCGATATGCTGCGGCGGACAGCATATGACGTCCTGGTCACACCAAAGGTGTTTGACGACCCGTCCATCCTGCGCTATGTGCTGTATTGCATGGTCGCTGATCCGTCGCCTTACATCCGACAAAGCCTCCAGCGTGCATTCGGCAAGGTTCTCGGAAGACGGGCAATTGGCGAGAAAACCAGCATTGTACAACCGGTTGCCGATTCTCTGATCATCGAAGGAGCCGCAGCCGACACGGAGGAGCCTTCGAAGCGGCAAGAAGAGCTTTCCAGGCGACAGACGCTGGGAGGAGCGGTGAAAGCACTGAGGGAAGATCTTGGTCAAAATGACTTTCTGAAATCGGCCCTGTGGAATGCCATCTGTTACGACCAGATCACACTCGAGGACCTACAGACTCTACTCGACTTTTGCCGCTTGCTGTACGAGCCCGTCAACCAGGTAAAAGTTGCACTACGAATGCCTCGGTACTGGAAGGTGCATAATCTAGGAAAGGTGAGTTTTTCCCTCCATTGGTATCTGCATTGATAATTTCGGGTTGCCGAGTTAACGGGGCTTTTTATCACTACAGGGCAAGCTCAAGTTCTCCGAGACTCGAAAAGTCCGCAACAAGCCCGTGCTGAAATGGCAGCCTCCACCACCTCCCACTGCAGTCTTTGCTCCTCGTCCTGAATTGCCGCAATCGCGACCAAGTGTCGGAGGAGGAAGCGGCCTCAAGCTGAAGTTGAAGGTGGGCGGGGGTAACATCGACGGTCATTCCACAGGCCCGAATCGTCAACCTTCGATCTCTCTGTCAAATCCAACACCAACACCACCGCCGATTGCCCATCACGCCAAGCCAGTGCAGCAAAAGCAAGCTCCAAAGCCGCAGACACTTATGGGAGGAGCTGGTCGTATTACTCTCAAGATTCCCAAGAGACCAGCTGAAAACGGAAACTCCTCCCAACATTAGGCAGCTCGGCTGGAATGGTTTGAGCCTTGACAGGTCGGAGAGGTAAGTTGGAAAGAGGTTGGATGTCTTCATGGAGAGGGGGCCCGTTGGCCAAGAGGAGTCTCCTTGGAGGGGATTGATCACCCTTGTGTAATCCGCATTCATAGATCGCCATGTAACAATAATAGCGAAGCGCTCGTTTGCTTCGAGGAGATGATCCCCAAAAGGTGCCCAGACGTAGCGGATGTAGCATTTTTGATGACTTTTTTCCCCAGACCTCATTCTTCTTCCGTTTCTGGCATGAGCTGTCTCCTTGCGCGGGCATAGCGTCTCATCGTCGATCGTCACCCATGCGTTCTAACGCTTCGAGCATGACAACGGAGTTGCCACGGATGACCACCATACCTAACCTCTCGCGTTCGCCGCCCGGTTTTTCTTCGACAGCTTCGTCGAGGACAATGTTCAAAAAGACCTGTATTTAAAACGCCATGGCGGCCAGGAGTGTTAGCGATCCAAACCGTTCTCTCTCTTCTTGTCACTGCGCGCATCGCGCTTGTGGATGTAGCTCTATTATTCGGCGCATGTGAACCAAATGGCTGAATGTGGTTGGGAAGGGAGGGGGGAGGGTTGTCGAGAAAAAGAAAAAGGTTGTGGGATAATACATACATCGTAACCGCGTAGGACGCCGATGACTTTGCGATTGCCGTTCAATTGGACGAACAAGCGCTTTTCCATGTACTATTGTTGTACGGAAGTGACACTATCTGTTAGCCACAGAGCACATTTTATTTTGTGTGGGAGAGCCAACAATTGGGAATGTCAAGCGCGGGTGGGTGGAGGAGGGCGAGGAAGGGCGACAGAGAGAGATGGAGGGGTTTACCTTCTTGAGCTCGGGTTGCGCTTGAGGCATGGTTGCGGCGGTGGAGGATTCGAGCTGCTTGTTGACTGGACGGTTGATTTGAAGCAGAGAGGGTGGTATAAAGGTAGAGGCGCCGCAAGGGGGAAATACTCGTCGACGTTCGTGTTGTGTCTTGTGTTGTATGTGTCTGAGGTCCCGCGAAGATGCGCAGTTGGAGAAATCTCAATGCCAAGATTTTGTCGAACTAGGCTATTTCCAGACGAGGCTGTCGCCGCCCTGGAGCGAACTGCCTCCATCACCACCACCACGTCTCTGTATATGTATTCTATATGAGAACCAAGTACATGCAATCCCTTGGTATCTTGTAGCCGGTTCTGGCCTCACAATCTCACTCGATTTGTGTCGTCGGCCCTCAAACTGTGAGTCCCAGAAAGTGTTTGCATCTCTTCGAGCCCTGCACCACTTGACCCCGTTTCTTTTCAATGGGTAGGAGGACCCGTCAACTCTGTCCGAGGAATGCTAGGACGCGGTAACGTGGAATGTCCTCATGGGTTGCTGTTGATCTTCGCCTCCCCGGCATTCACTCAATCAGATGCATCCCGAAGATATGGAGACTATGGTGCTCTCGCCACTCTCCACCGATGAAAATGGGCTTCGCGCTCCATTCGTAGACACCACGCTTTGTCATCCCAGTCTTGTCCATCACCCGCATACTGAGTGGATTGCCCTGGTTCACAATCGCCCTGACATAAACTTTCTTGAAAGGATCCCAGAACGATAGCGCTCTCTTGCAGGACTCAAACACTGCCCTCAATGACTCGGTGGCGTATCCTTTCCCCCACGCTGTCGGCAAAAACATATACGACAATTCGACAGTCAAAGTTGTATCCGCAGCCGCAGCCGGGATTGTGAGACTCTCTGGCAAAGCAAGGTGGCCGCTGTCCACCGATTTCATGGTTATAAGACCAATGGATTCTGTCGCATCCACTCCAGGCCCGACAGTTTGTGGTTCGGTCTCCACGGAGCTGGCTGTCGGCTCAAGGATCTTATGGACTGCATAGGCGACCCTGTAGCTCTTTGGTCGTTCTGGTTCTGTTTTGTTGGTGGGAAGATAACCTCCAGAGATTCTTTGCGTGTCCTCGATCGACTTCGCCCGACCGTGGATGCTTTTCCGTCAGCACACAGTCAAATCGAGAAGTAACCACATTCAGGAGCAAACAATATGGAAATTCTGGCAGAGACAAACCCGAGGACAATGAAGGGGATGCAAGAACTTACCTCCACCACGTAGTCTTCTCATCGCTGTGCAGCTGATGCAGCCACTCGAACTCCTTGCTTCCTGCTTCAGCCTTGTCCAGCAGAATCAGTTTCAGCCGCGGTGTCAAGATAACCGCGTCCATCGTGACCCTGAATCAGAACGCTCCGCCACTTTGCAGAGATAAGAAGAGTATGTTGGTCGGTTCGAGTGTCGCTCTCGCGGCCGCTCAGCATCTGAAGTAGTGTTGTTCCTCCGTTGTACCAAAGTGGACCAAGCAACAAGGTATCATCCGAGGCGACTTTGGCGCCATTATCGGAAGGGCGCAAGGCGCGAAGCCTGTGATGGCCTCCTAACCTTGATTGGAAGCCCTTTTCAGAAGGCACTCTGGACTCTGTATAGTGCGTACGTATACAGAGACACCAAAGTACAGGCACAGGTCAAGCACGATGGTGGATATTTCATGTACCTAGGACCATTGAAATATACCTACGTAGGCATGTACTGACGAATAGGAAGACCCTTGAACTTCAAGTGGCTGCGTGGCTGCTTACCTGCAATGGTAAAAGGGCCTTGTCAGACAGAAACGGTATCATGACTCCAGTCAAAACTCCACCCAGATCTTTCCGTCAGACAACTCTTCATTACTCCAGCATCTTTTTCCCATTTCTTCCCCGCAATTTTCAAATCTACAAATCTGTATAGCCTGCGTGCCTGGTGCCTGGGTATCCCATTCACAGTTTTCAGAATAGACCTCGCGTATCCTGAAAACCCCCCATTGAGCAAACTTCATCTCAACTCCTCTGTTATATTCCTCCCACCATGGCATCACTTTTTACAGCGCGGCGGAAACCGAAACGCATCGCGCGGGAAGAGGCAGACAATCAACCGGATGACGGCGAAGAAGGTACGTTCAAACGTCCCAAGAGGCGAACTCTCTCTCACACACACACAATATCAAATATCCACTGCAAGTTGTGACCGTATCTGACACTCTTCTGCGGACGATTTAGTGGTGTGTTTGAGTGCGTGATTGTGATCGTTTCCCCCGCTGACGGCGAATTATGTTAGACACGGGTCCCGTGGTAAGACGGCCGACGCACAACGCTCCGCGCACAAAATCCAAACTACGAGTCTCGTTCAACCCGGGCGAGGAGGGCGGGGCAGCAACGGAGGAAGCAGCAGCAGCATCTGCCGGTGCGACACCACAAAGCAAATCGGCCACGAGACTGGGTCTTTCCAGCGCCGCGCAGGACATCATCAGTCGAAGGGAGCACGAGGACCGAGACGGCGAGGGCCAGAACCACGATAGACCGAAATACAACAAGGCTTATCTCGATGAGCTGCGCAACTCGACGCCGTCGACCCCACGCGACCTGTCGTCCCGGGACAGCCCGTCGCTGGACCTGATCGAGCCGTCGACGACGACGAATCTAGCACTCGACCTCGAAAGCAAATTCGGCAAGACGGCAGTTCTATCCTCCACGCTATCCCCCCACATCCCCAGCGCCGCCGAAATCAGGGAGAAGAAGGAGCGGCGGGCGCGCCTGGCCAAGGAGCAGCAGGCTGCGGAAAAGTCGGAAGATTTCATCTCGCTGGAGGACTATGACTCGGACGGCGAGTTCAAACCGCGCCGCATGCAAGTCTCGTCGTACCTGGCACCGCCGCGGGAGAAGGACACGCGTCTGGTCCGCGAAGACGAGGACATCGCCGAGGGATTCGACGACTTTGTCGAGGATAGCGGGCGCGTCACGCTTTCCAAGAAGGGCCTTCGCGAGCAGAGCCGCAAGGAGAAGGAAGCGATCCGGGATCTCATCAATGAAGCCGAGGGCGCGAGTCCCGACGACTCCGCCGCCGACGGGGACGGGGGCGATTCTGCTTCCGACTCGGACTACGAGCGGCGACAAGAGTACGAGCTGGCCCAGACACACCACGGCATGGACGGGCTCGCCGCCCATGCCGACCACACACGCCGGTTAACTCGTCCGCGCCAGCCGCGCGAGACCACGCCCATCCCCAAACTCAGTGTCGGTCTGGCTCGCCTGCGCGACATGGTCTCGGCGCTGGAATACGAGCGAGCAAAGATTGCCAAACGCAAAGCCGACATCGAGCGGGAAAAGGCAGAGATCAAGCAGAGCCAGGAGCACATCCAGCGCAGCCTCGAAGAGGCCGGCCAGGAGCTGGACAAAGTCCAGAGGGAACACGCAGAGAGGGTCAACGGGACAACAGGAGGGGGGTCCAAAATACCCGTCGAGGCGGACGGCCACTTTGAATCTTCTTCCTCGAATTCAGCGCCCCCTGGGGTCGAAAGGGGGTTGGAGTCTTTTGGGGACAACCGGCCTTGATCTCTTCTGTACTGTATCTACGTACACTGTCCTACCACCGCCGCTGCGGATTCTAGACAGATCTCATATAGCGACTGTACCATCACTACGAAATGGACACCTCCGGTAACCCGATCACTATTGATAGGGAAAAGGCAGCACGTGGAGAGAAATCCATAGTATAATGATACGTGAAGGAATCAATGCACCCACCCACCGGTGTCAAGTCATGTTCACGTGGCTCCGTCATTGTTGGTACTCAATTATTCTCATTTTTCTTCTTGTCTGCTATTTTGATTCTCAGCTCTGTCTGTCTTGCTCATTTTCGATTAAGTGGTCTTTTCTGGAGGAGTCACGCGGCTCGGATCAGAGTTGCTGCAACGTGTCAGGGGGGGAGAGTGGCACAGGATGCTGTCTCTTCGGCAGACAATCGCTTTTCCATCTCGCAGACTCGTTCTCAGAGATCAAGCTCCATTTCCATTCTCCCGAACCTGCATTGCTATTCTTTGATTCCCCTCTGTCCTAGCTCGGTGCATTGCAAGAGTCGATCGTGAAATCCAAGAAGCCTAGGCTCGGGTCGCATACGTGTAACCCTTGTTCACAAGAAAGACACATGTGCAGAATCAGCCACCCCCTCCATTGCTCGTCTCCAGTACTCATTTCACGGCCCGCAATCCTCACCGCACTCGTTGCTGGTCATTTTCAACCTTGCCGACCCACATGATGTCGTCGTTCAAAGTTACATCGTCTCTCGGCCAATCGCGCGCCTCCCGACATGTGCAAACCAGGCGCTGATATTTTGGGAGCGCGAGGGAGGCGCCTCGTTCAACCTCAGCACAATGCACGAGGCGGCTGCCAGGACGAAAGCTGGTAGACAGTCGCGCACAGATCATTCCGGAACAAATCTAGAGAGCGGAGAAGACAAAGAGCTAAAGGAAGTTGTCAGTACCAACGGGACCGGCTCATAAAATGGACAGTGAACTTACGTTGTTCGTCGCAGCAATAGCAATGCTGTCTTCAAACGGATGCCAGCTCATGTGCAGGATCTTTTTGTTAAAATCGATCTGGTCGGCGTCTGTTTCCTTTCTCATTCTGCTTCCTTGACCTGCTGCAGGGCTGCCTGCTCTTGAACCACCTTTCTTGGCACCGTTAGGGCTGGCCGAGTTGATGGGAGTCGGCACTCCAACTTTCTTAGCCTTGAAGGCCGACTTGTCTGCCTGCAGGACCACTTCCGTCTCTTGTTCAGGATCCGAGGGATAGATCATGAAGTTGTTGTTGTAGCTCCCGGTCATGACGTTGCTCCCGTCACCACTGAAGACCACTTCGAACTTGTCGAAGATACTGTCGTTTTCATACGTGTCGCACAAACGAGGCCTCAAATGCTCATGGATGGGGATGGTCTTGACGGGTTGTCTCTCCATGTTTACGTCCCAAATCTTGACCGTCAAATAGTCTCTTGATAGAATGTACCTGCCATCATGTGAGAAGCGGACATCGGAAATGGAGGAGATGATTTCGGAAAAGAAGGATCGCGAGGAAGGGTCTTCTTCTTGCTCGAACTCTGCCAGAATGTTAGTTCGTGCAAGGCGCCGGGGAGGGGATATTCACGTTTAGCATGGTGGTCGCACAGTGCGCTCTCACGCATATCGGCCAATTTGATTGTACCCTTTGAGCTTGCGTACATGAACCAATTGCAGCTATGTGGGTGGAACTCGGCGGCGGTGATGACTTCGGTGAGCTCCTCCATATTTGCTGGCTTGATATCAACGATGTTGAAGCTCTGGTCTTGGATGTTCAAGTTCCACAAGTTGATGCGCAGATCATCACTGCTGATGAAGGTCTCGCCGTCGCTGTTGACAGAGATGCTATTGATGTGATAAGCGTGTGCATTCGCGTACGTGCGTCGAGGAACTGCGGCCACCACGGTATCATGGTGAGTCATTCGAGGAAGCTTCAGCTGAGAGGCATCCTTGAAGTGGATGTGGTTAGGACGAGGTGCCCCTCCACCACCAGCACCGGCTGGGGTGAGGTCTTGGGAGAGGTTGTTCTCGGCGACGACTTTGAGGGACTTCTCAAAGACTTTCCAGAGTTTGATGGTCTTATCGTTTGTAGAAAGAAGATAGTGAGACGCATTCTGTCGTCGGCACCATTTGATCTTGTTGATCTTTTCTTCTATCTCGAGGGATTTGAGATAATCAAACTCTGGTTCGTGGGACTGGAATTCGGTATGGAATTTGTACTCGCATGTCTTTTTCTGTTGGGAAAAAATGTCAGTAGTGTGAACAGTGAACGGGCAATGGAGTTTCACTAACAGTCTCATTTCGTTCAAAAAGGACAACGCGACCACCTTTGTCTCCGGTTGCAAGATAGTTCCCAGTGTGGTCGAATTCGACGGTGGAAATTATATCGGCCTCTGTTATGTCTTCGACATCTCCTTTATCGCCAAAACATTGGGTGAACTTCCATGTGGGAGTTCCGGGTTCAGTTTCGACCATTTTTCATCACAGGGTGCGCTGCAGGTCCAGGAATGTCCAGCAGCACGCACACAGCAGTAGCACCCTAGATCGACGCAAGATTTTACCGCTGGCGGTGCATGGAGCAGTCGCGCTCGATTTCAGGGGGTGGTCAAATTGGTAAGAGGGCGCGGGCGCGGTGTCGAGCGCAGAGTGTCTGTGTAAAGTGAAGTGACGTGACGAGGTTGGGCTGGGGATGAGATGGCTTGGGTTTGGGACAGTTTTGTAAGCGATGCGGCTCAGGCAACAAAGCGGTGATGATTCGAGTGACAGGACGACGAGAATGAGACGGAGAATGCCTCGTGACGGACGGACAGGGGAGATGCAGAAAAGAATGAAGGATATCGGATGTCAGCAGGGGATGGTTACGACTGCGGTTGTATGTCAGTTTAGTCCTGATCGTGGGGGAGTGAAGGGCAGTGATGCAGTTGCGAGGATCCAAAGCAAGGTTGCAGGTACCAAGACAGCAGGTTAGCCGCGTGAGGGCGGATAGGCTGGCACCTGGGAGGCAGCTGGGCAGCTACAAAGAGGCGGCGAGGCGCGGCTTGGTCATGATGATGACGATGATGTCGAGGGGCACCTGGGAAAAGTAGCCAGAAGTGCCTGGACTTCCCTGGAGGTGCCCGAGGGGCGCCTTCTTAACTACTGAACCCCGGCACCCCCGGTGCCCAAGGCCCCTCGCTACTCGGTACTCGACAGTCCAAGCTAGTACTGCTAGGCAAAGCACCACATGCACCCGGCCGTACTTCCTCCGGCGATAATTGCTCCTTCAGCCTCGCGAACCTCGGATCAATCATTATCGTCTCGATTCCATCCCCTGGTCCGGCTTCCCTACACATACATATCTCCCCGATGTCCTTGATACACGGTCAAAAGTTTGTCTGGTGTTGCAAATTTGGTGTTCTTGTCGCCTTTTCAGCATATTTCCGCCCATCTGGGTATTGATCACCATGCGAATTCGCCTACAGGGAGCCGGAAAGGGACTGGCAAAGCTTGGCAGTCGAGCACGTCAACCGACAGAGAGACTCAAGAATATACTACCAGGACGGGCGCCGATAGGGACAGGGGCATTATCTGCACCCGAGGTCAGGGCGAGGAATTCGCGATTGAAAAGCCTGGTCAATGACTTGGAAGAATCTTCGAGGCCAGATACCAACAATGCAGCTGGGTCGGGTCTAGATGAGGTGTTTGACGACGTCGGAGCTTCGAGACAGGAGTCCCCGCCATCTCAGACCCGGTCCAGAGGTGGCAAGCTCAGAGAGGGCATTCTGGTGGACAATGGCATTCCTCTCGTCTCTCCGATCCTTGCCCGCGACGCTTGCAAGTGCTCGGAATGTGTCGACCCTTCCGACCGACAACGCAATTTCTCCTACGCAGACATACCCACCGACATTGGTTTCAGCAGAGTAACTCCCGTCGAGAGTTCGGGGGACACCATTGTCAGCTGGCGCAATGACGCTCCCCCGCACTCCGCAGGTACATCGACAATCTTCGACAAGGAGACCATCTCGTCTCTGAGGAAGCCGTTCCGCAACCCGCGCTGGCATCTGTACAGCCTGGCGCAGAAACTGTGGGACGCTGAGTCATTCACGCGTGATTCCAACCGATTCGACTTCAACGAGTACATGAGCAGTGACGACGCCTTGGCCGAGGCTCTCCACCTGCTGTGGCGGGACGGCCTCGTGTTTATCGACGGGGTGCCCGAGTCAGAGGGTTCTGTTTCGCAGCTGGTGACCCGTATCGGACCGCTCATGAACACCTTCTACGGTCCGACATGGGACGTCCGTTCGGTGCCCAACGCCAAAAACGTCGCCTACACAGCCAAATACCTCGGGTTCCACATGGACTTGTTGTATATGCGGGAGCCTCCGGCGTTCCAGTTCCTGCACTGCATCCACAACGAGAGCGTCGGGGGCGAGTCCCGGTTCGCCGACACATTCAAGGCTGTCGACGAGCTATACTCGCAAGACCCGGCCAAGGTCCGCGACCTGATGACCTACCCGGTGCGGTACGAGTACGACAACGACGGCTACTTCTACTCGGACCTGAAGCCCACGATCCTCAAGCGACAGGAACTGAACGTGCCCAACCGCCCAACCCACAATGCCCAACACCCGTACGTCATGTCCGACATCGGCCGCGTCTACTGGTCGCCGCCGTTCGTGGGCAACATCCACCCGAAGCTGGAGCACCACGAGCTCGTGCGCTTCGTCGCCGCGAGCAACGCCTTTGCCTCGATCCTCGAGCGGCCCGACATGGTCATCGAGGAGAAGATGGACAGCGGCACGTGCGTCATCTTTGACAACCTCCGCGTCGTACACGCCCGCAATGCCTTCGACCTCAACTCGGGCCGCCGCTGGTTGAGGGGCGCGTACCTCGCCCGCCAGGATTTTGTGAGCAAGGCCTCGTCCATGGTCCACCGGATGCCCGCCAACATTAGGTTTTATACGCTCGACGGCGAGCAGTCGTGAGGCAAGCGCAATGCACCTGATGATCGTCATATCTGGTTTCCACGCCGCTGCCGCCGCCTCAACATGTGTGACCGTTCTCGAAAACCCCCGGGAGAATAGGCGACCGTCTGTTTCACGACCACAAATTCAGGCCGCGCTCCCTAACAGCCTTACAAGACGAAGCCATTTCTCTCTCCCCTTTATGGCGCGACACGTGCCTTCCCCTATCGCTAGTCTGACAAGCAAGCTCTCGGAGTAACGCCATGCCATGCCCTGTCCACGAGGTGAAACAGAATGCGCTGGTCACCAAGAACCCACATTCCAACGAAGACGCGGGGGGGGGGGGGGGGGAGGAAGTAAATGTTCTGTACTTGTAACAATCCGTCGTTCGTACACAGTCAGACTGCCACACTCCCTCTAATTCTGATCGTCGCCCTCCCTCCATATCCGCCATATCGCCATATCTGACAGATTCCGTTTCTTCGTCTCATTGGTTGCATGGAACTACACGAGACTACATTGGATGCTATGGTATGATTACCTGGATACCCCTTTACCTGAGAGTGTATATTTCTTGGGCAAAACAACAAAGACACAAAAGACAACGGTCAGACAAAGGGTTAGAGGTGGTCAAAAGGTCAAAGATCAACCAAGTACGACGAATGAGAGTATACTTCTAGACAGGTTGAAGATAAAAAAGAAACATTCATGACAAAAATGCCCCGAACTGCGTAGATTGCGCAGACTCTAGACCGAATTGGGTGTCTAGACTGTGTAGACAGTCAGACAGTGTAGATAGACAAGATCGGAAAGGAAATTGATATGTACTAGGTAGGTATCTATGGTACGGAAAAGACTCTTGTTGGGCATTCTTTTCCAGCCTTTGCGCTATGAACCGGGCAGAACAGCAACTACCTATACAGGTAGTTAAGAAACACATAAAAAGGATCATAGTCTCCTATACCCCCTATACACATTGGACAGAGAAATTTGTTGTTGTTTTTTTGTAGAAGTTTTTCAAATGTCACATTTCTTCATTCTTCTCATTTGTATTGACGACACCAAACACTCATTAATGACTCGCCCACAGTGTCCAGCTATTTTGACGAGGGTCCGCTCAGTGAGAAATCCATCAATGGCTGACCGCTCTACGCGGTGGTAGTTGCGCTAAAAGGCTTGAAGAAGTCCGGGTCGGCTTCGAGCTCTTCACGGACCTATACACACATATCAAATCAGCACCATTCAAACCAGGAGGACAGAAGGTAAACATACAATATCAAGCCCACCGATGAGCTCCCCATTCGTATACAATTGCGGAAAAGTAGGCCAGTCGGAAAACACTTTGAGGCCCTCGCGCACATCATTGTCGGCAAGGATGTTGAAAAATCTATTTCACACACAACGTTTAGCGCATGTCCGGGATCCAAGTCGAGGCGTCAAGGGGAAGTAGTGACTGCAGCGTACCCATATTTCACTTGGTTCTCGCGCAGAATGCTGACGAGCTGTCGACTAAACCCGCATTGCGGCGCACTGGGGGTTCCTTTCATGAAGAGCATAACCGGCCTGGGACATCGTCACTGTCAGCAGAGCTGTTCTCTTAGGCGACCGACGCTTTCGATGTGTGCAGAAAGTCGACCGTATCCTTTGTACAAATCCGTAGGATGAAACTTACGCAGCTTTGACCAACTTCGCCAACCGCTCATTCAACTCCTCTGTGGCCTCGGCCCCCGACGCGGCCTGCGAATCTGAAGGCTTAGATACATAAGAGCCCGAGTCCTTTGTCGAGGTCGGCTGCTCTGAACTTCCGTTCGTATGCGCGTGGTTCTGTGGCTCCGCCTTCAGCGGCGGTGGCACCGACGCACTGCCGTTGCCGTTGACATTGGCGGCGTTAGAGCCAGTGCCAGCGTGTCTCTCAACCGCTGCTCTTAGTTTGCCTGCGTCGCTCCCACTCACAGTCTCCAGCGTCTTCCCATCTCGCTGAAGGACCAGGTACGGCACCGCGGTCACATCGTATTCTTCGGAGACATCGGGCAGTTCTTCGGCGTTTATGGAGAGGAAGGAAAGATCGGCGGCGCGGGATGAAGGGTAGGTCGAGGCCAGGGCGGAGAGGATGGCGTTTGTCTGTGCACAGGGCGCCGCCCAGGGAGTGTGGAAGTAAATTACGTGCAGGTGTGAAGGAGGGGCAGCCGATGTGTGTTGCTTGAAGGCCTCTTCCGAGGGGACCTCTAGGAGGCTCAGGGTCGCCATGGTTCAAATTGCGGAGTCAGACTTCTTCTAGAAGGAAGATGCAGATATCATGAAGAGATCAGAAACAAAACGAAGCAGAGACACGCTGCCCGGCGACGATAAATGGGCTTGCGACAAAACTTCGAGGTTGAGTAATTGTAAAAACTGCGTGATGGTCTTGTGTATTTTACTGTATCGATGACGCCACATCGGGGCGTGATCGGCCATGCCAGCCTTGCACACCTTGTCCCACCTTGCCACTGGGTGCCACTCTAGGTGCCTAGACATTTAAACATGAACCACATTGGTAATGCAGGTAATGGTACTATGAGGACAGGTATTCTGCCGTCTGTGGGTGAGTGACAGATTATTCACTACATATGCAGCGAGCTAAGATAGAAAAACGAATGAAACTAGTGTACAAAATGTCGTCCCGCTCTGGCTTCTGGCTGTATCCTCCCTTACCAGCAATGTCCAATCTTGGTGGCTGCTGAGGACGACCAAGGCTTCCCTGCTGTTGTCGAGTATGCTTAGAGCTATCTTAAAGTCCAATCGCACATCTTGGTCATGGCGACCCGATTCCCATTTCCCTCAGCCAGGACACAGCCGAGATGCTTGCCGCAGACTGCATGAAGAAGTGATCCATTGCTTCAGCTTCACCCTGATCCACAGCACAATCGTAAATGTGCCAGAACAAGGGCAGGTCCAACTTGTTGGCTTGTTTGCACCTCTTCAAAATATACTTCGTGGCAGCGTTGACGTCGTTGCCACCCTTGTAGTCCTCAAAGTGAGACTTCATCGGCGACGTTGCAATACGTTTTTTGAAGGCTGCTGCGTTGGTCAGGACGAGCAAGATGATGCTTTTGGAGAAGTACTCCGACCGACAAATGACCTTGAGGTCTTGCAGTCTCTCCAGTAGCACATTCGACCTGTGCGTGTGATCAAGATATCGATCATAGCAAGTGAGATCGATGGCAAAGAGACAGAACTGGACGTCTGCGAATTGCGAGATGATCTTCATCGCAGATTGTTCCTTGAGTTCGATAATGCGCAGTGTGGACGAGTTCATCGTGAGTTCCGTCTCTTTCATAGTATCGATTGCTTCGGGGGCTTGGATGATATCCATATTGCTAGGGGTGTAGTCGGCCTGACAGATCCTTTCGATCGCGCTGAGGTAGCTGTAGAAATGTCAGCAGCTGTTGAGCCTTTCAGAGACGGAATAACGTACTAAGCAGTCTGTCCATGTTGCTGCATCACCGAGAAAGCTTGTCGAACGTGCCAATTGTTCCAGATATGTTTGACGGATCCTGCGAGTCCCACAGGGACTTTCCAATCGGGTCCCCCTGACTCGGCAAAGTCTCTGATGATGTCCGCATGATCTCTGCTGGCTTGACTGACGAGGCCGTTACCAATATCTTTGACGTAGTCCAAAATGGCCACAAGAGCTTTGAGGGAAAGACATGTGATTAATTGACGATACTGTTCGACTTCTGACTCGGAGTATGGCTGTCCATATCGTTGCCGCATTTGCTTGACGACGGCGGATCTCCCATGTTTGTCTCCGACAGCAAGGATCTTGACTTCTCTACTCAACTTGCGGGCGTCTTGTTTAAGCCTCAAGTCGATCTTGGCTGAGTCGCGGGCAGTGCTCTTGAGTTGGAAAAGAGGCGTGTCGGAGAGGGCCCGCCGTTGGCCTTTCTCCCCAGCCCGATCTTCTGTGGGGCTGTTGGCACGCCTGAGCATAGACCGAAAAGTGTTCTGATAGATTCTATGTCGAAGAAGGAGACCGTCAAAGTCAAACGTCCTTGACAGTTTCGAGGCAGTAGAAAGACCTGTCTTGAACGTGGCGAATGAGGCAGAGTCGCGGAAGCCGACGAGAGACGTGGCATCGTCTTTGGCTCGATTGAAGACTTTTCTGCTTTCATCTCTCACCAGCAAACGTTTCTGATCGGTCGGTGTCCGACTATTCTAGTCAATACCTGGCTTGCAGATGGGATTGGTTCCCTTACCATTGGAACGCCGTCAGGCACAGATTGAGGGCATTAATCTGATGATCTAGGCGGGTGAGACAGTCTTTGGTAGCCTGGTCCTCGAGAAGATAGAGAACTTTGCTGCCGACCTTCAGAAGCTCCTCCTCGTCATCCCATTGGAATTTTGATATCTGGTTGTCGATGTATTCGACCAGTAACTTGCAATGGGTGATGGCGTCTCCGAGGTCTATCATCAGCTGGTAATGCTGAGAGTCGCCAGAGAGACATTCCGCCCAGTTCTGGACTTGAAGGAGGGCAGTCCGCACTGTTCGAAGATGGCCTGTTAGAAGACTGATATTGAGCTCCGCCTCCCGATACCTCTGGCGGAGTTGCGTCAAGGTGGCGACCGATTTGCCAATGACGGAGACTATGCTGGCAACACCAGCAACGATACTCAATGTGCCACAAAAGGGCTCCATGGCTAGACCGCCAACAGGTGTTTTCTCATGTGTTTAGGGAAAGTCCTCGTGTGAGCTTCTGAGGGCGATGAGTGAAGAGGTTGTGCCAGAACAGGTGCCAGAGACGTCCCAATATTCACTCTGATGGCCAGGTACTCCCACATCGCATGGCACCACCCTGGTAGAATCCATGCATCGCTTGGGATAAGTGGATGTGAGGGCAAGCAGGACGGTTGGTTGCAAGCCATGCTGAGGCCTAGTGGGTTGAACACATGTCCACGGGCTGAAACTGGGCAATGAGCCCCCTTAAGCGCGCGTTATCTTGCGTCAAGCCCCGGACTTTCCTTGCTCATCAATGTGCTCGGCCCCAGATAAGAGTGGATTAGTAGGTGAGGGACGGATATTGGTCGTCTGCCTCTTTCTCGCGTGGATTCGGAGCATCCGGCCGACATGGGTGAGCAAACATTCTACGCGGCAAAGGAACATTCTCTGACAGAGCCCAGCGTCTCCTCCCCTAGTAAACTGCAAGCCACAGTGATCTGTTACTTCCGGCCATCCCACACCGTAAGTTGGTGGCCTTCCCAGAGGGCGCTTTCTTTAGGCAATCACTGACCGTCTCGAAAAGCCACATGCGCCGGACACTGCAAGGAATGGGGCGGGGATTCAGGGGGATGCTGAGGCCAGGAAGCAGACTGCGTACAGACGAAAATTAAGAGGCAAGATGTCCGTGGTGATAGTAGTGATGGTTGCTCGCAGAAGGTGTGATTCAGGTGGCTAGTGGACACCAAAGTTCATCTGCTACGCTTTAAACAGAAAAGGCGCAATTCGATCATTTCCCTAGTCGGTAAAGACGTCAACCCCGGCCAGATACGAGACCACGTTGCAATCCCCTGAAACACTTGCAAAGGTGTTGTGTCCCTGCAAGGGCATCCGGGCATCTCGATTGATTCGTCAATTTGCTGACAGCAGAAGATACGAGGAACGTGTCGTCCCACAACTTGAGCACCGGCAGCCGATGTGTTTGCATGGACTAAGGTGGCAGGGGAGCATCCGGTCTCCAGGAGGGAAATGAAACTCAGCCTTAGTATAGAGGTAGACTGTGCCGTGGCCGCCATGTTTTTGCAAGGATCTTCAGCCTACTCGTGCTACTCATATCTCTTGGGTTCTCCGCTTTCGCCAATTTCTGCCTGGCTAATTCTGCTAGGCAAGGAGTTGCCGTGTAAAGCCATCGTGGGCTTGAAGGGATGGAATTGGTAAAGGTTCGTTCGCTCGGATGCTCTGTCTGCTTGGGAAGCATCGAGTCTCATAGTCGCGCTGTGGACGAGTTGAACCTCTTTTGGATGTGTTTGGTGTTCTAATTCGGACGGGTTTGGGCTGCCTCGTGGTGAGAAACACCATCGGAGAACAACCAGCAAACAAATGTTCTGGTCACGAGAAGCTTTTGCATCGCCTAACTCAGCCTGATCGCGGAAGTGGCCCGGGGCGCGAACTGACGCCTAGTGCGACCTTGGCGGCCACCTAACGGGGCACTGGGGGACCCCTCATCCACCCAGCTCGCTACGAGTATGTAGGTAGCGCAGTTGCGAGTGTCATGGTGACCACCTGCATTCGGACTTGAATCACCACGCCAATAGATATGGACCTGAGCCTGCGAGCAGACAGCTCACAAGTCCCCAGGATCCTCGATGCCCTTGAATCACAACACCCTTTAGTGCACATAGCTGCAGGGACTAGGGTTGTCGGTGCAACAGTGCGATGCTACTTGATGCCTTGAAAGCGGCTGCAGAAAGGGCCGCAAGGCAGAATTTCATCAGGGGATGAATTGTTCAGTGCTATCTGAAAGGCTGTCGATCTCTCTCTTTCCCTCGTCTACTCGTCCTCAAGCCATGCCATTTAGGACGCAGGTCCGTTCGATGCTAGCTCGTAAGGGAAGGATTCCGTCCAGGATGCTGGTCTTTGCGGTATCTGTTGTTGATACCTCAAGGGATGTCCTCCAGCAGTGTTGAAGTTGTTAGATGTCCAGGGGATAGACATTGTGCGATTGAAAGGGCAGATCTCAAGGCTTGAACAGACAGGAGAGATGTGTAGTTCTCCTTTGTCGAGGAGGATCAGCCTCATCAGCCATGATGTGCTCCTTCTGCCATGGGAACTCATCAGCTCCTATCCCTCGCCCTATTGCTAGCAAAGAACTTCCTGTTCCTGTGGACTACCCTGCTGATCTTGTAAGGCCACATGTACTTCAACAGCAGCACAGTGAATTCCCAGTCCTGATCGTCAAGCTCGCCTCCGTGGGCTTAGCCTGGCCTCGAGACTTCGACTCCTGTCCTCATTGCTACCCCCAACCTTGGTTATCGGCACACTGTTCCAGAGCCCTTCATGCAGGGTGATGATTCGAGGTAGATCGTGACATGAGCAAGACTCGACACACCAAAAATGCAACTCCAACATAATGCGCTGTTACAATAACGCTCAAATGATAGTGTCGACAAACAAAGATCACCAAGATCAACGCTTAGATTTACGATCATGCCTCTCGATTGCAATCAGCACCGGAACCAAGAAGACCGCCCCTGCTGCCATGACCACACCGACAAATATCTGCGCGTGGAGAAACTTTCCCGCGGCGACGTTTGCTAGGGCTCCAGCGATGGGAGACCCGATGATAGACCCAACGGCTCCGGCACTCTGGAGGTCAAGTTAGTATCAGTATCGGTGCGAAAGCCTGTCCGAATTGGGGACAGAGGTACGAAAAGACAAAAGGCGACTTACCCAGCCCATTCCCATCCTGGTGCCAATCACCCCCAGATTTGGTGATATCACAGGATGCGGCATCGTCGAGGTCGGAGCCGTCACCAAGACCCCGGCGACGAATCCCCAGAGGACACACCAAACAATAAATGCGGCCGAGCTGTGGATGGCGATCCAGGAGAAGATGAGCACGGTGCCGAGGACGGCGGAGAAGATCAGAGTGTAGATGGGCTTGACCCGTTGGCCCAGAAGGTATGGGAACGTGCGGCCGAGGAAAGATCCACCATTCAAGATGGCGAGCATATAGAAAGCCATGTCTTCCGACGTGTCCAAGACCCAGCGTGCCCAAGAGACAATAAAGAACAGAGGGATATAGTAGGCCAAAAACAGGAAGAACAAGGAGGCGACCCAGGAGAGAAAGACGGGCTCCCGGATCGCGGTCAAATCCCAGAGAGACCGTGCTTGAGTGGACCCCTCTTTCTTGTGTCTACCAAGAATCAGGCAGATGAGCACTGCGAAAGCCAGGTTGATAAAGGCAATACAGCGGACGGTCCAGCCATACCCAATGCGTGGCTGTAGTTGGCGGAACATGATGGGAAAGATGACGCCGCCCACGCTCGAGCCCACCGCCGCAGCCCCGACTGCGATGGGCCGTCTGGTGGTGAAGAAGATCGAGATGAGCGCCAAAGTCGGCACATACGAGAGTCCCGCCCCCAGGCCGACACAAACACCCTGGGCCAGGAAGACTTGGTAGTAGGACCTGGCCAGACTGGTCATCATCATGCCGAAGACGGTCAGGAAACAACCGGCAAAGACGAGCGACCTGAGATAGCCGCGGTCGAACAGGGGCCCGCCAAAGACGCCCGTGAAGACGACCAGGAACGCCTGGACGCTACCGATCCATGATATCGCCGACGCCGACTCGTTGGCGAGCAGGTCTCTGATGAAGAATGCTTGAAAGGCGCCAAATGTGCTCACGATGCCCCAGACGTTGGCAAAGACCAGGAAACCCGCAAAGACCAACAACCACGCTTCAAACCCTCCGTTGGGAGGTACAAAGGTCTGCTGCTGAGGAGGCTCTTGTTGTGAGACGTGATCCTCGGCTTCTGCAATTGGCGTGCCTGGTGTCTTTTCCGAGGCATCCCAGGCATTCTGTGGAGCTATGGACGATGACGACAGGTCTTCGTCATTCTTTTCGTCGGGACGAACAAGCATAGTATAAAGAGTATATCTCTATCAGGCAAACGTTTTCATCCAGCTTGTAAGCAGGTGGCCAAAGGTCAAGGACTGGACCTGCTCTCCACTGAAGGCATAACGTTTGAAAAGGGAAAAAGTAAAAGTTGAATACTCTAGCTTCTACCTCGTACTTACCCCAGACAATTCTTCATGGTATTCTGCCGCTCTGTGTGCCGGGATCCCGGTGGCGTCGTATTATGTGCTTGTAAGGATCATCCATTTGCGGGAGGATGCGACCGAGGTCGCTCGCTGTGAATTGCTCCGCACGGCCAATTGGGTAGAAATAATATATTATACCAAGTTACTTTGTACGAGGGATGTGAAAGAGGCATAGTAAAGTAAGCTTTGCAAGGGAGAGATGGCGCAATGCCCGTGCGCAACCCCCGTTCTCTTACCTAAAAGATTCGCTGTTTGCCGCTCGCCTTTCGCCGGTGTTCAGTGCCGGCTTGTGTGAACCGAGGCCAGAGATGAACAGGAAGAGGAAGCCCAATGGATCTCTGTAGTGGGCCTATTATGGCCATGGATTTTTGTAACAATATCGGGACACCAGCTGTATCACTCACTCTGTGAAGCCTAAGTGAATCCCGAACCATCTCGCCTGTTTACCCCGTAAATCCTCAGAAACCCACGAGGCTGTGGCAATGTCAGCATAAGGCGCAACAATTCCCCGGATGTTTCCTCCTCAGCGGTCATCTTGACCTCGAAGACTGGGAGGACTTGAGTCTAGGTTTGCCATGTCCCTTGTGTCAGATCTTAGTACCAGCCTTGTCTTGGTTTCCCAGAGCTCTGCCATCTCAAGAATCCCAGCCTTGCCACCCACTCTGCCAATCCGCCAAGTAAGCCATTAACCTCGCCATCTGCACAGAAAATGGCGCAATATCATGTAGCAAGACAAAACTCCAAGAAGAGGTTTACACGGATATCATTCGGGCACAAGAAGAGTGATCCATATAAGTCACGGATAGGGATACCCCTGCTCTGCTCTGGTCCCAGGGTCTTTTGCTGTCAGCCTTCTTGTTTCCCATCTAAGCAATACGTCGCAACCCAACGAGAGACTTGAGGCGCCATCTACACTGTGAATACTAGACCACCAGCTCGAAAGTTGTCAGCATGTTCCAAAGTCGGATCGCAGCAGCAGCAGCGAGTCGCACCCTCAGCGTACGACAGACACACTCCCCTCTTCGACGTCCGCTGGTCGCTTTCCGCCAGTTCTCTGGCTCTGCATCCGTGCTTCAAAGCCTCCCGGTGCGAATCCATGGTCGAGGCACCGGCACGCAACAAACTATCGAGGTAGAGGGCAAACCATACAAGATCCTGACCGACACCTACCAAGTTCTGGGAGGAAACGATTCGTCGCCGTCACCCGTGTCCTACTCACTGGCCAGTCTAGGCTCCTGTACCCAGGTGACTGGATCCGTGGTTGCTAAGGACCACAAGATCAAGGTTGGGCAATGGGACGTCGCGGTCGAGGGCATCCTGCCCACCGCGGTGCTGGTCAACGGCGAACAGGGCAACCCGAACTGGGAGAAGGTCGTGTTGACGGTCAAAGTCCAAACCGACATCAAAGGCGGCAATGATGATCCAAAGTTCAGGCATTTTGTCGCCGAGTCCGAGCGCCGGTGCCCGATCACGCAGCTCTTCGTTCGCAGTGGAGTTGCGTTCAGCAGTCAGTGGACCAATGAGTCACTCTGAGAGATGGAGATTGGTGCAGAATGCGCGAGGATAGGAGCTTGGACAACCTGAATGGATAGCGGCTGCGAAAATGCTCTATCTGGAACCGGTTGAACCCATGGTGTGGTGTTGGTTCAGGCCTCATCCGAGCTGATGCCCAGTGTCTACCAGGTCTTCGTTGCCGTCCTGAGCTCGTCTTACCCAACCTACGCAGATGTTAACAGAGAGACTTTGCAGCTTTTGATCTCTACAATAAAAGATTCTTCTTGGTTCGTACTGCTTGATTTTTGGCAGGGTCCTACTCTGACTCCTTCTTTCCTGGCTGCAAATGGCTGTGGCGCTTCGCACTTTCTTGTCCCGCTGGTTCATGGTTTGAGGACCTCGTCCTCTTGAGCGACTACGGCATATGACCTCCAACATATATGGCATCGCCTACATCCCAGTCACCGTCAAGAGTTCGATGAGCTGCAAAGTGGGGAGTAGCTTTGCGCTTGAGGACCTTGTGGAAGACATTCTTCGATCCACACAACGCCCTCCTCGCATACAAATAGCCAGTTGCCCTGCGTGACTACGGCATCTACCCCTTTACATCTGGTGTCAAGCTCATCTTCTACACACGAACAGCCATAGACTGATCCCAAGGGACTCCTTGTCTCTAAACCCTCGTCAAGCTTTCATCCTGAAAGGGGTTCTCAGCCTTGTTCAACCAAGTCCCACCATCTCTCTCCATACACATCCACGTCGACACAACACAATCATACAAGATGTCTCCCCAGCAGAACCTCGATTTCGCAAGTGAGTTCCTCAGTGAGGAGGAGCATCGCACCATTCGCACATTGACACAGATCCTCTCTTGGACACAGAGGCTGGCTGAAGGCGGCAAGGCACATGTCAACTTCGTCGCAAGTATCTGTTCAGAGGCAGCGGAGGCACAACAGAACTCCCAACACAAGCTTCTGAACAGCTTCCTGCGATCCGTCGACGGTGGGGGTTCAGAGGCGATTGCAATCTTGCCTGGTGGGTTCACCAGCCACGGGCTCGCTCTCTTTGCTGGAGGCGCCCAACGGTCACTGGAGGGCAATGCTCAGACCGACCTCAGGGAGCCCAACGTTTCCAAGGGTGAAAGATGCAGGGTGGGATTTACGCGGTACACGGTCCCTCCCGATTTTGTACAAGACCCTCTACCATCCCTTTTCGACCTCCTAGAGAAACATGGCGGCGACGTCCCTCCGGCCCTCGCCGTCCAGCTGACCCTGACACTGTTGAAGCACGCCCCGAGGCAGATCGGCCAAGAAGCGCAGCACAAGGCCTGGGAGGACTTCTCAGTGTTCATGACCTGTGTCGGGCGGAAGCGGCTACAGGACGTATTTGACTTTGGAGCGAGGGTTCGAAACTTTTACGCGGTCTTCCGGTATGAGGACGGGGACGGAGAGAGCCCAGCCTCGTTCGCCGACGCGGGAGATAAACTCACGCCCCCCCAGGCCAACGAGGAGCGGTTTAACGGTGTTGCCCCTCTCCCCAAGGGCAAGGGGCCAGAGCTCAAAACCTTTCTTAGGAAGCTTGAGCTCATCAGCAAGGCCGATCACAAGCAATCTGAAAGTAGCGAATATAACGCACCTCGCTTCTTTTACGGGGCTCTATGCACGCTCTTGCGAGGTATAGAGAAGGCGCTGACTCGTGCTAAGCTATCTCAGCCTCCTTGGGCCGGACAGGCAACTGATGATAGAGCGGCCTTCAGCAAAGCCATCCATGCTCTGGAGGCCATCATGCATTTCCTGTGGGCTTTTGTAGCCCGCTTTCGAGAACAGATCCGCCTCACACTCAAGTGGGTGACCCGCATATGCGAGCCCAAGCACGACGCCCACCTGGCCCCTAAACCAGGGATCGAACAAGCCAGTCCCTACCTGGAGGGGGAACACGTCGTCACCCTGAAAGAGATCGAGGACGGGAAGACTTGGGACTGGTCCAACGCGTGCCTCCAGTGGCTACAGCTCCTGCTTTCTCAGCAGGACGCCGCCCGGGACATTCACATGTGGGCGCCATCTCGGACATGGCGATCCAAGTCTTTGAGGCAAGTGGTCCCCCTGGTCAAGGTCCACACGATTGAGTTCAGGGTCGCACCCTGGGATCGAGGCTCCCGCGACCTGTGCAACGTTCGGCAGGAACTGGAAGAACTCGTATGGCACTCCGAGGCCAATCGCAGTGCTTTGACAATGTGGCTGGAGCGGAACGGACACGGCGATCTGGACGAGGCGAAATTCACGGGGGCTGTCCACTGTGAGACGATGCTGCTCACACTGCACGCCCTGACCCTCCCCTGGGTATTCGGAGGCACTTACCCAAGTCCCGAAACAATATCCCAGTGTCTCAGGTCTCGCGACATAGTCGTCTCGCCGCAAGTCATTGGCAAGCTCCAGGCCGGTCGCGACATGCTGGGTGTCTCGAGAAGATGCTGCCCTGGATGTAGGGCCGTTGTCCTTGCGATCCGCAACCTGCAGAGCTTCCGTCGACGAGTAACCCCGCCGCCTTTCCACGGGGTTTGGCTCCCCATGGCCCTCCCGCCCTGGACGCCACGTCGCATCGGCCTCAAACTCTTGGAACAGCTTCGTCATGAGATTCGTTATCGCGACCGACTCGCTTTCAAAGCCTTGACCCCGGAGGAGCAGGAGGAGCTGAACCGGAATCATGTGCCCGAGGTCATTCTTCCTCCGAAGATTCCAGAGCTGCCAGTAGGTTGGGTATCTTCTGAATCCGATTCCGAATCTGCACCGGAAGTTTGACGAGAGGGTTTTCTCTTCGTGCCTGCAAAAGAGTTTGCCGATGTCCTTGGAAATGGAAAGGCTTTGTGGTTTGACCTATATGGAGAAGGAGGGGGGATCATCAACAGTCCCGCGCTATGGTTAGGGAGAGGAACCTTGTTGATACATAGTATGTACTCGGCAGAGATGAGGAATGTGGGACTTTGGAGGTCCATTGTGAATATTGTGTTTAGGCATAGCTTTCTATACGGGGTGAATATAGTAGATACTAAATGTCCACCCGGTTAACCGAGAAACGTGAGCCATGAACCTCGAACCTTTCTGAGTGGTTGTCTATCTGTCTGTCTGCCCGTCCGTCTTTCCCCATTACCCTTAAAAGGGGTATACTTTGTATCCTTCGGTTTGATTTTATTCGGAGGTGATCAGAGCCGATCAAACGGGAACTGGGAGGTTTAGGAAGATCCAGCGAACTACTTGGTATGTATGTATGTGCGGCCGTGTATACATACATACGCATACTTATTGTATACATGTACAGTAACTACCTAGGTACCTTGTACGTACGTACGTAGGTGAAGGAAGGGTAACGCAGAGTTGATGCATGCTGAAGTGGAGCGAAAAGAAGCGAAAAAGAAGGAAACAGGAGCCAGGCTGTCAGGCCAGGCCAGGAGAAGAAAAGTTACGGGAAAGAATTCCGAACTACATACATAGTGAGAACCGAGTATAGGCAGCGTTCGTGCCAATAATGCCGCCTAGGACACACACCGGTGTAGCCTGGGTGGAAAAGACAATATTAACACTGGGGATAGCTGGCTCTTTATGGCTTCTATCTTCTGTCTGTGCCTGCTCGTGTGAGAGAGGCGTACGGCGACCATTTCTAGGGGCCTCTCTGGGTGTGTGTTTATATATGTGTGTCTGTCTCTCTCTATCTTCCCCCGCAAGAAAGAAAGAATGCTACACACACGCTTGCACCCCCGTTGCAAATGCTCCTCAGTGCTTCGTCTGCCTCATCGTCGTCGCCGCCGCAAACACCAGCAGGACTTGCATTCCGCGAAACAAAGCCGCGGCAGAGTCTTTTGGTTGACAAAACCCGCAGGCCACTTTTGGTGGCTTAGACCCTCCTAGACTGAGCCAAGTTGACTCTGCCTGCCTATCCAACACCGGGTAATCAGTTGTATCACCCAGCGTTGACTGCAGACTGCCATGCTCGAAGTAGTCCGAGGATGAAACGAGTGTCGCCAGGGAATGGCGGGGACAGGTACCAAGAATCTCGCAAGTATTTTGTTCGTGTTCAACGAGATTTCCCAGCCGGGTACCACATGCAGCCATTTCATGGTCGGCCTGCCCGGTGCCTTGGTTCCCGCTCAGCTGCAGGTCTCGTGGGCGGCCCTCCCTAAACCACACTTTGTGCGCGCACGTGAACGGCTACCACAGAGAAGAATGAATAGGCCACAGTATCCGGTCGACATCGTCGCAAAGGAGGCATTCGCTTGAATCCAGTAGTTGGAAGGCTCTCCGAAAGATTACCAATCGATCATGCAGCCTTTGACAGCACATGTGACGAATCATCGCTTCCATTCCCCTCTGCCTCTCATGTATCCCTCGATAGACCTCCACACCTCCTCTACAGTCTCTCTATCCCTCCACCGTCGTGACATCCTCGTTTCTTGCTCAACATTTTGTCCGTGTGCTCTTTCATCCCACCTTTCGACAGCAAAGGTTTTGACGCTGGATCCCCACCCTTTAACTTCAGCCGGGATGGGTAGACCCTTCTCTCCGACATAAATACCAAGGACGTGACCAAACAACTCCTGTGGTTCTCGCCATTTGTAGCCTCGAAATTGCCATATCTGACCGGTGGTAAAAACAGCAACGACCCGGGACCAGTAATCTGGCTTGAAGTGTTCGGGAGAATCGACGAGGATGAAGCGGTACGGTTTCTCGCTCAGAGAATGCATTGTGCGGGTGATGTGCAGCAGATTGGCTGTGGTTTGGGTAGACAGGGTGGGATGGTCCGGGGGCACATACAGGCCAGTATCGAGAAATGTTTTGATGTTGGACATGCGGAGCAAAGACGATGCGGATGGAGAAAGGAGGATGATCGGGTCGGATCGTTTCGAGGACACGGCCGATGCAAGTGGTTTGGACGAGTTTGCGGCAGGTCGAGCGGCCAGTTGAGCTGGCTTTGCTGGAAGACTACCTGGTCGTGAAGATGAAGGGAGACCTTTTCGTCGCCCCAGGAAGGTTTCTGCATGCTTACGGACATGTGAGAAGTCCTGTCAAAAGGGTTAGCACATGGATATTGGTACGTGGGTGGGTGTAGTCCTTACCGAGGGCTTGATCCCGCGTAACACTGTGTTGTGATCGCCCATCCTTCGTTCACCGTTGTAAATTGCCTGCAGCCGCGCATCGATCACCTTGACAGGTCTCCCACCAGCGGATTGTGTAACACCGACCCCCGAGCCACTGACTGTAGGCACAGCCGCACCACCAGCAACATCAGCTGCCCTGTTGACCGCATCTCCCAGAGCAGCCGCGCCTTCAATGGGCTTGATGTATTCCGACTCTTCCGAGGCTCCTTCGAGCCAGGTGATCAAGTCCAAGCGCTCGACAAAAATCAGATTTCGCACTTTGTGGCCTTCGGGTAACTCCTTGTCGAGCTCGGCTGCGCGAGCAATGTACTCGGGCACTGGAACATCCTTTTGCTGCCAGGCGAAGAAGATGCTGCGTAGATCAACTTGGGCAGTGTCCGGATTCTGCGACGTAAACCGTGTCTTCGTGTCTAGAGGGAGGCATTGTGAGGCGGGGTGTGTGAAGTAGAGGTGTGTCGCCTCGACTAACGAATCTGTTTGGTTTGCTTCGGCGGTGGCAGGATCTGAGGTCTTTGTAAGGGTTGGGGGTTTGGAGGCTGCAATTGAGGACCGCAACAGTTGCAGCGCATCCGAGGAGGCCATCTCTTCGACTAGTGTTCAACAGGGATCAGTGCTGTTGTCTAGGTCGATACGGCATCGCCGTGTGCGCGACTAATGTTGTCGTAGAGGGTTGCATGCAGGACTGTCAGTCCCATTTGGGGCCTTTCCAAGAGTGGTAAAAGACAGGATGCCCGCTGAGTCACGGATTATGATTTTTCCGTAATGTCCGGCACGCACGGGCCTTTCCCCCCTTTTCCCACGGCCTTCAGCCTCTTTGCCAACGGATCATATTACATGCACGACGCAAGCCACTTCCATCCGTCTTGTCCAAAAGACTGCTGTATTTGTGTCAAATCGTTGCTAACATTGCTTTGTCCGACCCATGTTACATGCGCTATGCATCTTGGCCGGTCAGCGTGTCATCGACTGGACGTCAAACTGCAGGAAATACTAGGATCTTGGAATCGGTCATCTCGCTTTCCCCTTCGAATCTCCCTTCTGGAAAATTTCCAGTTCAGGAGAGTGTCCGGACAGGGGTGGACGAAATTAGGGCGGATGGCATAGCCTATGTGCTCTTTATGGAGTCCTTGTCCGAAAAGGCGATGTCTTCGTCCGGTCATGGAGCGACATACTCGTACCGAGCACAGGTGGAGCGTTGAGAGGAAGCGCAGTCGGTCACTTTTCCAATGTTGACCACCTCGTTGATGTAAGAGGCGGACAGAATGCTGCTTCTGAGAGATCTCGAGAACTACCTCGAGAGTGTAGTTGGACAGCTGTTCATATTCTGCAATATCTTGAAAGATCAGTCCATCTCATTGTTGTTTCCAATACAGCTATCCACGTCCCACACCATTTGCCCCCCCGGCGACCAACGCATTGCTCGTCTTGCCCCAGCCATCGTCTGCGATATCCGCCATCTCCCCCGATGTCTCGTCCCTTCGTCCCTATGTCCCTATCCACTCTTTATTTGCGTCCTCCACAGGGGTATCTTTCCAATGCAAATGCAGAATGGAATGCTCGCGCCCCTGAAGCTATGCCCGGTTGGAAAAAAAAGAACACACAACCACCTCTCCGACCACGCTATGCAGAACCTGTACATGATGGTATGCAACAGATATGGCAGTACACTGCCGAAATAGGAATCATTCTATTCTCGCAATAAGACAAATCGCGAGACTCATGGACATGCTCGTGCAAGTCACCCAGCTTTGCCCGCAATGGTGAAATGACAGTTTTGTACAACGAATCCGTACCACAGATTCTGCATTCGTATATTCATCACATTAGAATGTGGTCTTGTAAAATGTTATCGCTGAAACAGCGAAGACCACTCAGACGGGTCTGATTCGAAGTCGTCGTTGGTAAAGACTTGATCAAGAAGACGGGTTATGATCGTGTATTCGACCGACTGACGGTTCGGTCGGGTGCGGGTGACATTGCTCGGTTCGAGCCGATCAAGTCGATTTCGTGATCTCGAAGGACCGCAGCGTGCCTAGGATCTCGGAGGAATTTGGGCACAGAGTCCTACGACATTAGGTCAACGTGAATTCTTGGAGGAAATGCAGTACAAACTTACGCTAGCCATCAGTTTGAAGACGGCGCTTTGGGCAAGCTCAAACAAATCCACAACTTCGTCTAGACTCTCACGCATGGATTCATCATCAGCGTTGGTGCGAATCATTCGTGAGTCGAGACGATTCCGGAGGGAGTGGTCGATGTTCAGCTCTGAGGGTGCACCGGACGCAAGAAATGAGTTATAGAGACCTAGACCGATCAGCCTGGGGAGTTTTGGGAGCAAGAAGCTTCGATTGACTTACCATATGCCGCAGCGAGGGTCTCCCTGACAGCCTCGGGTCGTTCTAGCTTTCCAGACTTATCAAGATTTCGGTAATTGGTGGTAAAGTCCGACACGTCGAAGTAAAATTGCAAATTCTCCTCGCAGAGTGACTGCCTAAGAAACTCTTTGAAGAGCAACCGCAGGGCCGCGTCTTGCAGGATCACGTTCAATCGGCTGACGTTGGAGTCCTTTGCAAGTCGACTCTTAGGATCCTTTGTGTCTCGACTATCTTCACTGTCAATGCTCGCAGGCCGTGCAAGCCAGCCGCAGACCCGTTGTCCCCGTTCCGTGATCGTGTAAATTGCATGCTTGGTAGGTTGGAAGTACGTGGCCATTGGGTTCAGTCGAATATATGCTCGGTCCTCCACAACTGGTGCCATCAACTGCCACTTCACAAACAATTCTGCCATTTCGTAGGTTTCTCTGCGGTCGATGGTGGTGCAGCAATCGAGTAACCAGTCGGAAGCGGCTTTACCAGTGAAGCTGTTGTTGACGAGTTTGTCCAACACTCTTCGTTCCTTGGCCATCTTGACACCCACAAGTCCAGAGGCATACTCGGAGACGGAGTCAGAGTCTGACAAGGATGTAGAGCTCTTGAGGTTGGGGCCTTCTGAGCCCATAAATCGGCGGAATATGATCTCGATCGTCGGCCTGTCCTGTACAAGTTTGTCGGTGGCTGGGTCCCTTTCCAAGGATACCATCTGCATCTGATTTCGCCGTAGTATGGGCTCAATGTGACGTGCATTGATTCCGTTTCGACCGCAGAAGCGGTGTAGGGTAGCAGATCCCTTTGGCGTCAGTTGCCACACGCCACCCTTGCTCACAAAGATGGTGTTCCCCTTGGACTCGGCAGATTCGATCAGCCGTGCATCAACAAATCGTTGGCACACTGAGCGAGCCATCTCCTTGGCCATGGAAAAGGTTGTCGTCGTGGTCGTGACGACCCATCTTGATGGGTTCTTTGGGTCGGGGATGCGATTAGACTGAGAAAACTTCAGTGAGCCGAGATTCGTGATGGCCTCTTCTGATAGAAATGTTTCCTCGACCCTCGAGAACCTGACTCGATGGGGAGTGAGTGGCAGGCTGGTAATGAGAGTGGCGAATAGGTCTTGGAAGTCTCGGGTGAAGGGTCTCTCATCGTCGGTCATGCGCAATATCTTGGAAGACGTCTGATGCATTTTCCCATCTTTCCTGTCCGGGTTCGGCATTGATGGGACCGTGGTGCTGTTTCTCGAATCTTGAATTGGAAGGGGGATTCCGCTCGTTCTCCGGGACTGTGCGGCGGCGTGCACTTCTGGCGACGTTGGTGACCGTGGAAGAGTTGGTCGTGTGTGGTTGATAGAGGCGGAATGTTTAGATAGGCTTCCCGACGAGGTTGCCGAGCGCAAACTTGGTGTGGAACTTGTACCCAGGGAGGCCAGATTTGCAAAGGCGTTAGATGTTTTCTCGCGTGCCAGAGATGCCAGCGACCTTCTGCTCTTGGCCTGGGCAAGACTGGTTGAACTTGAGTGGTGGTGGTGAGGTGGGCGAGTAGAGTCTGTACGAGGCGAATTCGAGGTGGAAGAGGAATCGTGGGCGATATCAGGCGAAACGACTTGGGCAGGTAAATTTGGAACAGGCGCCGAAGTCATGGAGTCGTCCACTGACACATCCGTTGGCTCGGGCATGGAGAAGACTGGAAATCATGCGGGTAAAGATGCTCAGGATTTGGACAGGTTCCGCACAGCATCGCACTCGTACTGGGCGATTTCAGAGGGCCGCCAGAGGAGCAGGACTGGCGGTCGACGGTAGTAGTGTGGCAGAAACACCAACGGGGCGTAACCCACGACCCACGAAGAGCCGGGATTGCTCACCACGAGACCACGAGGATAGTGGAGCCACTTAAGCCGCAGGCTAAGCAAGGTCCTGGGCTCGGTGGCCCTGGCAGGGGGGGTTGAGTTGAGTTAGGGTCACCAGGGTTGAAAGTGGGTAAGGATGTAATTATTCGAGAAGAGTTCGTTCCGGGCCACTTACGACCCCGTCGCCCACTACCCAGTGTGTCTTGTGTCCTCCGGAAGGGTGTGCTGAGCCTGGCCCGCCCAGGAGCGTGCTGACAGGGCGAGGGGGGGCAGATCGAGTTAGGCGCACGATTTGGCGAGGACGCCGGACAACCTTGGGAAGGATGTTGAACTGGAAGTGATCTTCGACAGCCTGGAAACTTCAAGGGTATCCTCAAAGGCCCTCCAAAGGGGGAAAGCTAGTGCTCAAATCCTGTCGAAACGAGCTGCTGCTGCTGGAGCCACGATCGAAACAAGTATCGCTGGTAGGGCAGCTTGTCTGAGTATTGTCTGAACCAGGGCTGGGTCAATCTGAGATGAAGATGGAAGATGGACAATAGGAGTTCAATTTTGATGAGGTGGCGAGAATGATGGAGGCGCGGTCAGGGTTCTCTCGTCTTTTTTTCCCTTCTCCTTCTCCTCTCTTTCTCTCCCTCTCCCTTTTTTTTCGCTTCCAGTTTGCGTTTGGTAAAAGTAACGTAAAGGGCGATCTGCCGGAGATCGTACTTAACTGGGGACGATGATACGACGACGCATGTAGTCAATGGTAAGACTGGATTCTTATTCAAGATAGTAGATTTGATTCAAAGTGGAGGACAGAGGAGAGGATTGAATTGGATCGAGAATTAGATGTACGAAGGACGGTCAAGAGGAGGTGAAAGACAGTGACTGGTGCGATTATCTGGACAATGGACATGGGCCAAATGCTAAGCATAATTCTGCATCTCAACAACGTGGCTCCGGGCCAGTGCCAGTAAGAATCGCATGATTGAATCCTCAGCAGGCATCTCCCCAGATCAAGGGCGCCAGGCTGGCATCTACCCACGATTTCTACGGGCGCAGCATACAGTAGGCATAAACTAGTCATTAACATTAGGCACCGGCCCAACCCCGACAAGCACCCACGAGTACCTCGTACATGAGTGACATTTTGTACTGTGTAGAAGTAGGTCCGGAGTAACATGCCTGCATGCCTAGGAGGGAACGAATCCATCACTTCTGGCCCCCAAAGATCCGGTCGTCCTCACCCCCTCATGTGTGGGTGCCGAGCCGAATGTCAACCACCAAGCAAGCTCTCGGCGTCTCTGTTTGACAGCTGTCTGTCTTCGTGAACAACATCTCTGAGACCACCAACTCATCACCAAATATGCCATGTCAGAGCCTTACTCACCGTATTCTGCATACAATCTACCGTTATTGTCAGCCGTGATGGATGTTTTGAGGACTATTGCAAGACACCGCCCCCTCTCCCTCTCTCCCCTAGCAGTGCATACGAGTAATCATGCGCACATGGTCTTTTGTCTGCTGTTGGATCCATTCACAGGCTGCATTCTTTCCGACCGCTTTTCCTTTTGCAGATAGATCAACCTCCACGATACAAATTGTCCATCCTTTCAAGCGGGTCAGGCAAGTTCGCTCTGCGTCTTGTGTGAAGTGGAACAAATTAAAGCAAATGTCTTTGATGCGGATTTCTATGACCGATAGAATGATACAGTAAGGTATACCACTACCGCATAGGTGACACATGAAGCATCCGGAATGATACGGCTGCCCGAGTTACTAACTACGAGTAGAGGTCCACCGCTATCCCACATTCAGTGGTAATCTCTTGTCCAACCCAGGCCAAGAGCCACCCCGAGGTAACAGAAAGCAGAGCAACCCAATGGCCGTCAAGTTATGAAGATGGCACTGACAACGGGCATCTTGGTAACACCATTGACAGTGGATGTGCAGCCCACCAACTGATATTTCATCAAAAGACTATCAAGCGGACACTCCTCTTCTAACAGTAAATGATCATCCTCGATACCCATGACTAGCACCACGTACTATCCCCACAGAATGGAAGGGAAACAACGTGTGTGCGTGCTTGCGACGATCAGGTTTTCCGGAGATTAACAGCATCTCGATTTGTTATTGGCTTGACTCGTGACAAAGAACTAGGTATGACATCCATCGCGTTCCGGCCAACAGGCTGACCTCCTCGGAGCTTCGCAGTGCTCCTCACCTCTCGCAGTCAGTGCGGCGTGAGTGCGAGACCAGCACTATAACATTCCCGGCCAAGCGGGCGTCGTACAAACAAGACGTTATCTACCTCCAGCCGAACGTCGTCAGGATAGGAAACATTGGTGGTTTCGGATACCCGGACATGTTGGAGAGATTCAAGGCCTCCAAAAGGTCGAAATCCTTCGGGTCAGTACGTGTACAAGAGGCCCTTGACCGGTACTACCTATCTGCTAGAGCCACGCAGAGGCATGAATGCTGAAGAATCAAAGGCCATTGATCTCGCAATATCACTCAATCTGGTAGCTCGGTTTTGGCCCGCCCAAGCTTCAATGCCGGCGTGCCGTACGAACTGCCCCCTCTCCTCCATCACCAAGCTTCTGAGGGCACCCTCTTTTGCCTGACTCGGGGGTTGGAATGCAGGGTTAGTTGGAGGGCAAGGGTACCGTAAGAGGGATCGGGCAAGAAGGTTGAGATTCGAGAAGGCTACCGGCCACTCCCCGGTGCCCAGGCTGGAAATATCATGGGACCGTCTCTCTGATACGCTGGAGTCATCCGCCGAAAGGACCAACCATGGTTCATCCATCTGGGACGAGCAGTTCCTCAAAGCCATCGACACAATACTCCGTACAGGTACAGTACGTACTTTTTGCTCGTACTATCAAATGTGCCAAGAGGAGATGGTCGTGCAACCTCAATCACGGGTTGTCGTGCCGCAGACTTCGCGGCGGTGTCAAACTTTGACCAATGACTATTGGCTTCACCGCTCTTGGGGGGAAGAAGGGGGCGACGAAGGAGCAAGGCAGAAGACGTGGCATGGCCAATTCACCGTCCAAGGACAGAATAACTCCGCCTCAAAGTTCAAACTTCACGTATGATGTTCGAGGTTGGTGATCGTCAGGCTCGAGATGAAACGAACTAAGGAGAGGGGATTTTCACTTCAAACCAATGGAACCCTGCCAGCCTGGCATTTTGGGACTAGTTTCCAAGGTGCTTAAGCCTAGGCGAGCATCAAGCTTCAGGTGATGGTGTGAAGAGAAGAAAAAGCCCTGAGACTACGTCGGGATAGTACTAGGCTGTGCAGCTGATGGAAGCACCGGCAGTGGAGGCATCAGAGGGTGGTCCCTCTTGCTAGTTTGGAAGCCTGGCTCAGGGAGGCCACGTGGAAATGTGTCAAGGGCCAAGGGCCACTTCTTTCAGGTGTGGGCGCCTGGGGTGGGGGTGCCTGGCTCTCCGAGTACGAGCAGCTTGCTAGGGAGGTACTCGTAGCCTTGGTTGACCCGGTTTAACTGGATACGCGGGATTCATTTGGTCACCTTGTAGGGGCGATGGGGACCTCAAACCACAGCCTTGGTCCTGGGAAACAATCAAACCCATGTTGACCATGTTCGTGGACCATGGTCCGCCCCCGTCGTTCGACGTTGTGGCTGACAGTCAGCGAGTCTTCTAGGCTTCGAGAAATATTCCAGGTTCCACAATCGAAGCAGTTTAATCTGAGGCATGATCCACGTCACACTTTGACGGAGCGACATTTCCAGCATCCATGACTGTGTCACTCGTACTGGGCACACCCTGTCAATCAGCAGGGCTGAAGATAACTACGCGCTACCCTACGAGGACACACCTACTCGTTTGTACCTAGATAGTTTAAGGGAAAAACCAAAAAGGGGGGCTGATTCGGGGAGTGGCCACTTACCATGGGTGTGTTGAAAGAGAGGTGCAGACTCTGTTGTCATCTCATCCCATTATTGTTCCATCCACCCATCTCCATGTAATAATATCTTCGTCACATCCATCCTCCACCCAACTGCCTTAAACTCATCATGGCTAGTGAGGCCGACCTTTCTCCACGCCGCCTCCTGCACCTTGTTTCGATTTTCCTTCCCCAATTTTCCCCTTCTGAATCAACCAACTCCAGCACGCCAGAAATGAGCTGGACCTTCAAACCACGCCGGTGGCCAGCCTAGCGGTCAAGTCCGCCTGGCATCTTTACTTGATCAGGATTCCCTTTTGGGGCTTGCAGAGACCGCCAGTTGCGTCTCAATGCCCATTCGTTCCTCTGCCTCGATTCCATTTTCCGTTTTCAGTGGCCTCTGGGGCAATCCAGAAAGAGCCATGGAAACATTTCATCACTCATCTTGTCCATCACCCACCAGCCCATTTCGATTCGAACGGCTAGAACTTTCGGAGGCTTCTCGGCCCTCAAGGTCCACCTGCAAAGAGCCAACATCCCATCCATCGTTGACCTCCTCGAATCAAAGTTCCTCCCTCAATTTTATTGTTACAAGATCACAAGTTGCCTTGCAAGACGATCCAACCCCGCAGCTGGTAAGGTTTCGACTGCGCAAGAAAAAAACAAGGAAACAGGACAAAATCAGACACTACACGTATTAGCACAGGCTCACCGAGAACCATGTGCCATCCCCTCCTCATGCACATCGGAAGTTCCCTGCACGATCTCTGCGCAATGGGTGCACTGGGGCCCTGCAGCCAAGCCACTCATACTCTTCACGGGTAACCCGCACTCAGTGAAGCCACAGAGTTCTCCCTCGGGCAATAGTTGGCATGCAACCGCGGCAAGGCAGGGTACACTTCCCACACGACACTGGGGCTAGAAAGACCTGCTTGACATTGATAGGTGGTTTGTCAGACTTGTCCTCTCCGTTGTTGTTGCCTCCTACACGCTTTGAAGGCGCCAGCTCACCCCAAGAGCGAAAATAAAATATGGCCTTTGTGCGGGTGGACCAACCCCGGCTGTCGTGGCCTTTCCCGTGTCTCGATCTCGACCACTGCACCAACTCGTCACATTTGCAGAGGACTTGGATTCATGCCCCTCAGGTCCAAAGGAAGTGAAAACTCCGATTCGCCCCTCACATTCTGTCCTACCAACCCGAGCAAACTGTCCAATGTTGTCACTATATTCAGCCCATGCCGAGACTCACATCCACCTGGATTGATGCAGGTAGCAGGCTAACATGTTCCCTGTTCCACGTGGCCGACGCCGCTAAAGCCAGATTTTGTGGCGGCCACGAGGTTTTTCTGCGGGACACCGCACCAACTGTGTTTCACTGCTCAATTATCACTGCAGCCCAGCTGCCGCAGGCACCAGATTGGCATGAGCATTGCCTAGGACGATTGGCTACGACTCTCACTTGAACTGCCTTTTTGGTTAACTCTCAGACAGTTGTTGGCACAAGCGAGGGTCACTGGCTTGGTACACCTCAACTTTCGTGTAACTGCCCAGCGCTCTACCGAACGTTCGAATCAGTCCAAGTCCATCTTGTCGTGAAAATCTCAAGAATAACCCAGCAGGCTAAATCCCAAATCATGGAATGCAATGCTATGTGATGGCCAATGTTCCTTTCTCACAGAATGGATAGAGACTGCCTTTCCATGTTGTTCAACACTAAGGATTTTCCTAACGAAGCGAAGCAAGGTTAGTCGGCAAACGCGGTAAGAATTCTAGCACCACGAGTTAAACATGCCCAATGACAGCGTCCGGTGGTCGAACCTTGATGAGAAGAGAATTTGGGCCGAATGAAGGCATCTGTGACCCTTTGTCCAAGTGTCGACCTCCTTTGATCTGGACTAAGTTCTGCGCTTGAGCAAGGTGTACAGTAATTCGATGACATGGCTTGAGCAGTCAACGGTGAGGCGCAAACGCTAGCTTAGACGCGGAGTTCTAGATATTGCCACTGTAGGACCAGCCGCTGTCCTTGAACAGTGTGCCTCGCAGCTGTTGCAGAAAGGACGCCACACATCCCAGTCTTCCGAAGGGAGAACAGTTGGAAAGAAAGCTGCTAATGATCCGAAATATCACAGCAGCAAGCCGTTAACTTCATGGGTTGGATCGGCCGATTTGTTCTGTCTCTCCTTTACACGAAAGTGTAATGTGGGCGCTCTCACTTTCAATTAGACGCCCATCCCTCACCGACAATCAAAGGGTCCTTCGACTATAGCTCCCGTCTGTCTCTAGTCTCAAATTTACTTGATAGGATTAGCTTATCAAACTCTCCCAAGTGACTACATAGATGGCAAGACTGTGCGGTGAGGACCACGTGGCCAACCCAGCATTTGCAGGAATTTCAGCCCTTCACTGCATTAGCTGCTACGAACACGAGCGACATCGAACACTGGACGTCGAAAGGGAACTCAAGCCATGTCTGGCAAGATTCATCCTCTAGCTCTATGCTTCGCAGCTTCAGTCGTTTGCCCAACCCCGTATCTGCGCCCAGTTACGGATGCATCATTTTGGTGACTCAATCTGCATTCGGAAGTGACCCGAAGATGAAGTGGCCACAGTCTGTCTAGCTCTGGACACTACGGGATATTCTGTCCACAGCTCGCTCGTGCAGCGCCACTCAGGATGTCGTGGAGAGACGACCCAAGCATACTACCCTACCTATCAGCCTGGATGATAATCTAGTGTCAGCAGAGCGAGGGCGAGGGCTCGACCAGAAAGATGTGCACCCACCCCCTCGGATATGTTAGGTGCCCCATCAGATGTAGGTCCATGTGGTTAGTCGCTAAGACGACGTGTCTTCAAGCAATCCAGGCATTCAGCCTCTCGTCCAAGATCCTTTTCAATCGTCATGGGGCTTCGTGTTTGTTCTATCCCTGAAGCATAGTTCCTCAGGCGCACTGACCCTGTTTTCACGGTAATAAGCCGCAAGCTTTCATTTGTGAAGACTGGGCAAGGAAAATACGGCGTACTGTTGTATCTGCTCTCGGTATACGCATGTTCTTACTGCTCCTATCTTCACAGGAAGGCATTCTCTCTACATTCTCTCACGGAAAGATCTCGCCGACTACCACAAATCCTCTATATCACTCAGTCCTCTGAGTACATGCCTGACCTGAAGTCTGATCATGCATCACTCAGGCAACAAAGCGGCCCAATGGAGGGAACAAAATGTGAGGGCATCAGACTGATACCAAATCTTGAACTAGGTGCCACAGATGGTGGCAAAGGGAGATTCCCTGTTATCGTGACGTCGAAGAACCTAGAGACAGTGGATTGAGAGTCTATCATACCGAATTCCCAGCCGGCCACCGTTTGTGAGGAGAAAGGATCCCGAGTCGTTGTCTTTTGACTGCCTCGCGTCTTGGTTTCCTCGACCGTCATCCTTCGTCCCTCGTCCTTGCTTTCGACGCCCCCAACGCGCCGCAGAGATTTCCTCCCAGCTCATGACACGCCGGGTTCTGCAAAATCAAGAGGCGAGATACTCGGGTGCCAACAACCCTGGTGGTGAAACCCCGGATGTACTTATCCTTTCTCGCGGTCTCAGAGATTGGGCGTTTGATTCGGAAACCCAAATTCGAAGAAACACAAACAATAGAGGAAAGATCGAAGCAGAGCGAGCGCATCCCCTGAAAATTGGATGCTAATCGCCAGACGAAATGAGAAACGACACACCCAACAGGGGCTGTTGTCATCCACGGCCACAGAGCATCCATCTTCCATCCTTTCTTTTTTTTTGGTTACCTTTTCATCTCAACAAGTACCTTGGCTTGCCTGGTTACTTGGTACCTTGGTTACTTGGTTGCTTGCTGAGGTAGTCACGTAGTCAAGTACATAGTCAAAAAAGGAACACAATGCAAAAGATTCTTGGAGACGAACATAATTTTCAAAAGGATTTCGCACACTCGGTCACCCAAAAAAGCCTTTCATAGTATGTATGAAAATATCCATTCATTCCAGTTATGCATCCAAGCATTTATCCCTCTCGATTGTGTTTTGATTCATTCGACCGAACAGACTTTTTTCCTCGTCCCTTCATCGTTCCTTGGACGAGTGTCTCGGACACCCATGTTCCATATCCCATATCCCATAGAGCATATGTCTAGAGGTCCCTCACCATTCGACAGGGTCGGTCTTGACATCGCCCCTATTCGTCTTGGGCACGGGCGCGGCCTCGACCTTGACGGGGCCCTTGCGCCACTTCTTCAAGTACCCGCTGCCGTCCAACCACGGCGTGTCCAAGGTCCTCTTGGCCTCGAACTGGGCAATCTTGTCCTCCATCTGCATGGTCAAGCCAATGTCGTCGAGACCCTCGACGAGGCAGTGCTTGCGGAACTCCTCGACCTCGAATGTGGCGAGCTCGTTGCCCTTGTCGTCGCGGATGGTCTGGTTGGGCAGGTCGACTTCGATCTCGTGGCCGGCGCGGGCCTCGTCGGCAATCTTGTTGAGTTTCTCCTTGTCCGAGATGATGAGCGGCAACATGCCGTTCTTGAACGTGTTGTTGAAGAAGATGTCTGCGTAGCTGGGCGCGATGACACACTTGATTCCAAAGTCCAAAAGCGCCCACGGGGCATGTTCTCGCGAAGAGCCACACCCAAAGTTGGGGCCGGTGACGACGAGGATCTTTGCCTTGCGGTAGGGTTCTTGGTTCAGGACGAAAGACGGGTTTTCGCTGCCGTCTTCGTTGTACCGCAAGGGGTGGAAGAGCGCAGAGCCGAGACCCGTGCGCTTGATGGTCTTGAGGAACTGCTTGGGGATAATGGCGTCGGTGTCCACGTTGGCTTTCTCGAGAGGTGCTGCGATACCTTTGAGCACCGTGAATTTGGGGAGTCCCCCGGATGCTCCAGATGCCTCAACATGGTTGGTGGCCGTGCTGGTTGCGTCCGTGGGGATATCGAGGATGCGGTCAAGCTCTTCTTCGGAGTCGACCTCTGCAAACTCGGGCTTTACGTCGAGTTTGGGGTCTGCTTTGGCGGGAGTCGCATTGTCACTGTATTTGCGCACATCGGCCAATTTGCCCACAATCGCCGCCACCGCCGCCATGACAGGCGAGACGAGATGCGTGCGACCCAGAGCACCTTGTCGTCCTTCAAAGTTGCGATTCGAAGTGCTAGCACATCGTTCTCTCGGTGACAGGATATCAGGGTTCATGCCCAGGCACATTGAACAGCCAGCTTCCCGCCATTCAAAGCCGGCATCCAGGAAGATCTTGTCTAGGCCTTCGCTCTCGGCTTGGGCCTTGATGTTGCCAGAGCCCGGCACGACCATGGCACGCTTGATGTTGGGTGCGACTTTCTTGCCCTCCACGATCCTGGCGGCAGCACGAATATCTTCAATGCGGGAATTTGTGCATGAGCCAATGAAGACCTTGTCCACCTCGATATCTTCCATTTTAGTACCAGCGGTCAGGCCCATGTATTCAAGGGCTCGTTTGCAGCTCGCTTTCCGGTTGGGGTCCTCAAAATCATCGGGGCCCGGCACGACGCCAGTAATGGGAACAACATCCTGTGGCGAGGTGCCCCAAGAGACTGTTGGGGCGATGTCCTTGGCGTCGATGAAGATCTCGATATCGTATTTGGCACCTTCGTCCGACCTCAGGCTGGACCAGTAGTTGGTCGCCTTCTTCCACTCATTGCTGTCGACCTTGGGGGCCAGAGGACGTCCCTTGAGGTAGTCGAAGGTGATCTGATCGGGAGCGATCATGCCAGCTCTAGCTCCTCCTTCGATAGACATGTTGCAGATGGACATTCGAGCTTCCATGCTAAGACCTCGAATGGCAGAGCCGCAGAACTCGATGACGGCACCTGTACCGCCAGCGGTGCCGATGACGCCAATTATATGCAGGATAATGTCTTTGCTGCTGACTCCCGGTGCCAACTGACCGTCGACTTGTATCCGCATGTTCTTGCTCTTCTTTGTGATCAAGCATTGGGTGGCCAGGACGTGTTCGACCTCACTGGTACCGATGCCAAAGGCCAGCGCGCCGAAAGCGCCATGGGTCGAGGTGTGGCTGTCGCCACAGACGACTGTGGTGCCGGGTAATGTGAAGCCCTGTTCGGGACCGATGACATGCACGATACCTTGATTCTTGTCCCCCAGGCCGAAATATGTGAGCCCGAACTCCTGGACATTGTCTTCGAGGGTTGTGCACTGTAGTTTGCTATCTTCTTCCTTGACAAAGTCTGCCACGTTCTTGAAATTCTTCCGTGGAGTTGTGGGGACGTTGTGGTCGGTTGTGGCCAGCGTGCAATCTGGTCGGCGCACTTTCCGCTTAGCGTTCTTCAGACCTTCGAATGCTTGGGGAGATGTGACTTCGTGGACAAGATGTCTGTCTGTAGGTGATGTTAATGCCTTTATGACTCAAAGCAGTTTCCAGGCGGTGGAGGGTGTGGCATACCGATATACAGAAGGACGGTGCCATCTGGCTGTTGGTTGACGACATGGTCTTGAAAGACTTTGTCATACAGAGTCCTGGGGGATGACTGGATGGAAGGCATCTTGACAGAATCGGCAACGATCACTTCCTTGAACAAAAGACTCAAGATTTTGGAATGCAATGTTGGGATGAACCTTCGAATAGCAGGGCACAAGATTATAAGCAAAAAAGTGTTTGGGGAGACGGTGGATGGCGGGGGAACCGACATCGGAGGTCAAGGATGACTTCGCGAGGCCGCTGATTGGCTGGCGTAGGTGCCCCAGTGGAACAAAACATCACACTGGGCATTTCCCACCACCGCTACCATATCCTAATTCGGACCTGTCGACTCGATGCATTCTTGCAATGTTCGAGTTATTCGCCCCCAGCATTTCTACTACAGGGTCCTCAGCTGATTTTCTCAGGATTGTATCACAACCTGCTGCGATATCGACAGATCAATATGGTGGTGGGTTTGACCTGTTAGGAGTGCTTGGCAGGAAATGATGAGTTCGACGAATGCCTCATCCAGGATGCTCAGGAAGAGGGATCAAGCAACAACTGGACTGTGACACGCCACTCGATGAAAGCGGCTCTCTGACACAGTGTTGACTTGTAGGACCCGACCTGATGATGGGAATGAGCCGGAGGAGTCACCACCAAAGAGACATACGGTGCCTCTATCGCCAGGAAAAAGGCTTTGGGGCCACGAGGCTATCAACCTATCAACTACGAAGGTAACATGCAGTCCTGGCGGGCTCGAATACCTCGGAGCAGATCACCGAATAAATCGGACATCTCGTACCAATCGGGAGACTTGCCTAGTTGTCCTGTAGTCATGCTTTACCAAATGCCAGTGAAGTATTGACTCCTCGATAGCGCACGGGATCGCACTGTCGAGAAGTTGGAAGTTCACACACCACACACAGTGAAAAATACCGATCGAGAAAAAGAATTATTGACCACCAGCTTTGAGAATCGAACATCCTCCATTCATCGATCCTTCCAGCCTTTCCACACCCACCCTTCTTCAACTCCGGGAGCAAAAAAGTTCCAACAGGCCAAGCAAGTTCCACTTTACCTCTCCCCCCCAGACCCCCTGTGGAATGATAGAGGATGCGCTGAGTTGCGCACCCCCTAACACCCCACAGGGGATCTGGGAGACATGGCTAGACCCCGGTATAGCATGCCATGTATATAGAAAGGCCCCGCCCTCCTGACCCTGTTGGAACTTTTCCCTTTGTTCCATAGCCCGAAGTCACCCGGGGTCTTAATTGCTTAATGTGTTTGACTTCTTTTTCTAGTGGGCTATGTTGACAGGAATTTAGAGAGTGTAAATGATATTACTAGAATTTCCTCTGTAGTGATATGGTGATGTTGCTTGGCGGGAGAGGTGAAGTACTCGGTACTGTTGAATGTGAGCGGGACAGCCACCTGGTCAGGCAGGTCGGTCGAGGCTCCAAAATATAGAAGAGTGCAGACTGCGACAGCCGCAGGTATTCACATTCCACGTACAGAATCAACAATCATCTACCCCGAGCCAATTCTGCTCTTTGCAAATCTGTACCTATACAACGATGCCTCGTCCTCACAGGTTATATTCCATCGAATGTAGTCCGCCCCCACTGCCCACACAAGCAAGCGACGTCCAATAAGGAGCTTCCAGCCCTCGAATCGAAGCTTTTGGCGTCAGCGACAATCGCCCCCACAGGAAACACTCGAGAATCTCCAAGTTCGGCAAGCTTGCAAAGGGGGCTGCTCATCTGAACTAAGTGCGCCACCTTCGTAACCAGCTGAGCCCTGAACTGGGCACAGGCAAGAGAAGATTACGGTTCTTCGAGATTGTCTTGAATAAAGTGGCAAACCTGAGCAAGGTCTCGATTCCAAACAAAGCTGTGCCCGTTCCTTTCCCTTCAACCCCCATGACTTTCGTCAGACGGCCAGACAATTTTACTGCAGACTGCTGCTAGGAGAGCTGCAGAGATCCGCCGAACCGGATGCCTAGATTTGGGCTTTGTGAGCTGAGACGAGCCCAGACAATCATCCTCAGATCGACAACGTTATCTCGGTCCAACCATGTATCCCTATCCACCCCGTCTATAGCAGGAGTACCTCCGTTGGGAGGTGCTCTGAGCATCACGGGCGCGTATTCTGCGACGCGTCAAATTCGAGTTCGTGTACGCAGCACTGCCTGTTTTTCAACATGCACCACTACTTTGATGAGGAGTAGCAATGTCGCCAGAACCCCAGCACAGGCAGCTGTTATGGTCAGCAGCGAGGAGGGGACCCCCGCCCGAGACACACCTCCGCCTCTGGGGCGGATCGGAATCGTCTTCACCGACATCGTCAAGTCGACAAACATCTGGGAAAAGGACACAGAGGCCATGACCGAGGCCATGAAACTGCACGACGACATGATCAGAGCGCTCACGGTCGCCAACCAGGGCTACGAGGTCAAGCAAAACGGCGACGGCTTCATGATCGCCTTTGCGTCCGCCACGTCGGCCGTCCAGTTCTGCCTCGACGTGCAGGAGAAGCTTCTGGACGAGCACTGGCCGAAGGAGATCCTCAAGCTGCCGCCTGGCCAAGAGACAAAGGACCCGGAAGGCCACGTTCTCTTCCGCGGTTTGCAGTTGAGGATGAGCGCGCACTGGGGGGAAACGGTGAGCAAGTGGAACGAGGTGATTCAACGTATGGATTACTTAGGCCCGGTTGTCAATCGGGCGGCGCGGTTTATTCAAGTCACTGAGGGCGGCCAGATTGTTGTGTCTGAAGAATTTCTCCGTCAACTACAGAGCGAGTTGGAAATCGCCAAACACCAGCAACAGGACGACGCACATGACGCACATGACTCAGTCCGGGCAGATAACAACGGGTGTGACGGCCTCTCCGCCAAAGGACCGGGCTCAACACCGGCACCTTCTCTAGACCTACGCAGTCTGCGCAGCCGGCGAGACCAGACGATTCTCACGCACCAGCAATTCGAGATCCGGCCGCTGGGAGACTACGAGTTCCAGGGCCTGGAGGACCCTCACAAGCTCTACTTCCTGGTACCCCACTCGCTGGGAGGGCGAGTCGACCACTGGCACCAGGTCGCCCATGTGACGGGCGTCAAGGGCAATGTGCGCTCATCGTGACTTTTCGATGGCGTCTGACATGACCGACTCGACCCGAACCGCCTACCGGGAGAAGGATAGCGCGCGTGTGTCCTACGACTCTGAAGCGAGGTCGGGCATGTTCATTTGAATCCCGCCCGAAAAGGTCGAACAGAGCTCAGTCCCACGGGATTTTGGGTGGCTGGGAAGAGGAGTACGGTAGAAGGAACGTCAGAGTCCGATGTTCAGCCTCAAAACTTGTACAAACAGAGAAATTACCGAAGGGAGACTATATGGGCGTTGGTTTTTTGAGTTTCAGGCGTATGATTGACGGTGTACAGTGTTTTGAGTGTACAGTGTGACGATGGCCAGGCCATACCGAGAACATAGGATGGCATCTGCCTGGTGAACCCCTACATGTAGCCTTGATTGGGGGTGGTGCAATCGCAATTTCGATGCAGCGGAATAAATTGGACAGAAACCAAACATGAACAAAAAGTCCTTGATAATCTGTTTGGCGCATCATGAGGTCCATTTTCACAATATCCCCTAAGCTCTTCGAACACCAATCATGGATGTCCAGGGTCCTGGTGCAAATCCTTTTCCTGCCCCCATCGATACAGCCTCGTGTCTACCAGCACGCCGTCTGTAAGTCGAAGCTCTCGAAACTCCTTGCGCTTGCGGTTTATCTGGCTGGTTCCTCAAGCAGCGCTATCATTCCTCGTCTCCATCCGCCTCAGCTGCCCCATTTGTTTCCGCAGCCTCATCTGACTCGTGCTCCTTCTCGGCACCGCCGTTCAACTCAAGAAGGTCGGTTTGTGCCTTGGTAGGTGCTGATGTGCCGTTTCCACTTTCAACCTCCTCCTCTAGCTTGATATATTCATCCCACTCGGGGAACAACTCTTCGTCCTGGCCTTTTCCGGGGATGCCCAGGAGCCTTGCGACTTTGCCCTTTCCTTGTTTCTCCAGTCCGTCTTTCCACTCCACCGCCAACCCTTGGGTCAAGCTCGGCTTGTACGTCTGGCTGAACAGCACCGCTTCACTGATCCTTCCCGTTCGCTTCAGAAGGTCAATGCAACTTACCACATCGCCTGTGGACCACAGGGCAGCAAATGCGACGTTGTTGGCACCCGATTCTTCTGCCTGCTTCGCAAGTTTGAGTAGTCCTTCCTTGTTGCCAGAGCTTGTGTACAAGAGCAGCAGAGAACCAAGGTCTTTTGCGTGAGTAAAACACTCTTCCGCAAGTTTCACGTCCCAAGCTTCTAGGGCTTTGTCAGCAACAGAAGCCCACCGTGCTTGGGTATCTGATTCCCTCGCGATCTCCAACGCAATCGCGAGATTGTTCAATCCCAGCGCTAATTCAAAGCGATGCTCAGGATCAGTGGCGACTTCTAGTGCGAGCTCCTTGTGGCCCTGTGCTTCGAGGAAACGTGCAATCTTGTTCATTTGATCTTGCGGGACATCAGGAAGGAGTTCTTGCGCGGCGTCGAGTTCGTCTCGCAGGACGAGGGTCTGATAGGAGAGGAGTGCAGTAGAGAGGCTGTAGGAGACGACGCCGACGTCCTTGTCGCAGAGGTAGACGCGCTCATCACGTTGCAGATACCGTAGTAGGTACATTGGCTGGTCGAACTGGGCGATGTTCACGACTTGTTCGCCCAGGAGGTAACTGAGACGAGTGCTCGTGGTGAATATGAAAGCGTCGCCAACCCATTCGCCGGATTTTACAGATTCTTGCAAATCGGTCACCACAGAAAAGGCGGCCTCGACGCCGTCCTCATCTGCGTGGCCGTTGTTGAGGCCATCAAGGTAGGCTTCGCGATCGAAGCGGAGGACGTAGGTGGTGTCGGAGCAGGCAAGGGCCACTAGTTCGCCAGACTCACTCCAGTAAACCTGCCCGGAATCTGTCAGCCACAGTCACATCCATAAACTGATGATTATTACCTCAGTAGGCTCGACCTCAATTCTCCGGACGAGAGTACCGGTCTCCCAGTCAAACATGCCGATTCCCCCTTGTCCCTTGACACCGAGTAGAGCACCGCCGCAGAGGCCTTCAGCTTGAAAGCCGACATCGAGACTTCCGCTTTCTTTCAATTTCTTGAAAATCTTGACGCTGGTGCTAGATTCTCGGATCGCATAATCGGTTGGATTTTGATGTGATGCCCTTGGACCAATGTTAGCAGATCATCGCATCTCAGGGTGAGGCCACTCTACCATGCAAAATCAAGTGCTGAGCCGAAAGCCTGATTTCTCCATGCCAACGCTGTGTACTGCGCGGTTGTCAGAAGGATAGTCTTCGCAAAAGAGAAACGCGACGATGCTTACAATGATGAACTCTCCGTCACCGCAGACGCTGACAAACCTGCCGTTGGGTGAATGAGATAGTGTAGTTGGATAGCTGCATCTCTCGTTAGTGTTTTCGCCTCGTATTTGAGGGTAATGCTCACATTTCTGTGGTGCCCATCTCCTTGCTCGGAAGAGCAATAGGTGCGCCATCTTTGAGCGTCGCATCTCCTCCTTTGATGATAGCAGATACTACCTCGTTGTGTCGCGCCCAAACGAGTTTCCCCGTTCCATCCATGGACACGGCTGGTTCCTCTCTGCCCATTTTCACCACAACGGCACCATCATCAAATCCCATTGCGACGCCTTGTTTTCCTCTTTGGTACGAAACACACCAAGCCCTCTCCAGGCCATAGCTCAATGATTGCTCTAACCGATACGTATTGGCATGCCATATCTTGATGGTCCCGTCTTCGGAACCGGAGATGATGACTGGTAATTCAGGGTGATAGCAGGCGAAGCTGACATTGCTAGTGTGTCCTTCGAGTGTTGCGATGAGAGCCTTGGTGGTATAATCCCATACTTTGACCGTCTTGTCATCGGAAGTGCTGAGTAAATAAGGCTTGTCGCTGTGTGGGTAGTAGTCGACGTGATTCACACCTTTTTCGTGTGCCTCGATCGTCTGCTTAGCGGTGGCATTGTCGATGCTCCAGACCTTGATAGTGCGATCTAAGCATGCTGATGCAAAGACATTGGTATCCTTCGGGTTGATCGCAAGACCCATCACATAATGTTGATGCCCAACAAACTCGCGCACACACCGCCAGTCCTTTTCCCAGTCAAACATGCGAATCGTCATGTCATCTGAGGCTGTCAGGACGACACTCAGGACAGGATGCACGACAATTGCGCGGATATAGTCTGGGTGCCTACACCCGTCATTGTAAGCCCACCTATTCGATGTCTTTGAGGTCACAAGCAACTTACGCCTCAAATGATTTGACCTTTTCACTTGTATTCCAGTTGACCACTCGAAGTTGGAAGTCATCGCTGCCACATACTATCCAGTTCTTTCTTTCAATGAATCTCCCTGCCCTTACAGGCACATCGGTGAGCTCAAAGGTTTTGATGATCGACTGTGTTTCGTAGGACCAAATGTGAGCATGGCCATTGTACAAAGTAGTGAGGATCTTGAATCGTCAGCGTCTGGAGTTAACAGGGAGGTGTCCAGGAAAGTTATACCCATGGCTCGGTACTGCGTAACTGTTAGAACCCTGGATTCTCATGGGATTTTTGTACTTGCCTATGGAAATCGATCCCCTTCACTCGCTCCGAGCCTTGACCAGGTTAGTATTGGTACTGAAAGTCGTGATGGTGAGACTAACGAGCAAAGAGTTGTCTCTTGACGTCTAGGCGCATCGCGGCATCAAATAGTCAATATGTGAGTATATTTGGGGGGCGCACACAAGGGTGCTGGCTCGGACGATCAGGGTGCGGTCAAAAATTGAACTGGGCCGGAAGGAAACCGAATGCAATATTCCATATCATCAATTCATGGTCATCGTAAGCGGCGCAAGGCAGTTCATCAGAGAGAATCGTAGAGGTGTCAAGGGACGTGAGCCCGTGGTGGTTTTGACAGAATGTCCCCAACCCAAGCCTCGCAGGCACATACATTGAAAGTTTATACGGATCCTGCCGCTTTAAACCAGCCTTGTCCGCTTCTCCCCCCTACGAGTACTTAAGCTCCCACACACTTCTGTATCCGCCTCCATATTCTGTCCTTTGCAAGGAAGAAACAAAGTTCAACCAGTCAACTGATAGATCCAGGTGCTTTGGTACTCTTTAGGGTTGTTGATCTGTAAGAGGTGCCTTGGAGGTGAATGCTACGAAGTCGTGAACGCAACTTTCACCGCACTTAGAAGAAGGGAGCGTCCTTCAGCTTCGTGAGTCTTCGTGCTGTGATTCCATGTGTTCGAGTTCGCATCGATAGCAGAGCCGGTCAGGGTCAGTGAGCAGACCTCCTCTTATTCACTCACCAATACGCGATCTGCCGTGCTCGACTGTTCGACAGCCCACGACCCCTAAACGGCGGATACGAAGGCCGAGGCACCCGCCGAGAAGTGACAAATACGAGGTACGCTCGCACTATGCACAGGGCCGCATTTTCCGTCTGCGGATCAATAAAAGAGCTTTACCATTTCCATGATGATCATTAAGAGAATTGTATGGACCACTACAAAGTACTCAGTCCCCGTACACGTACTCGTACAAAGTACACATGGCCAATAAATAGCTCAACTTCAGGCACCCTGTGGTACAGCTAACATGCACTCAGATATTCCCTAGTACCTAGGTAACTCCATATATGTACCTTGTGACCGTTCCCATCTTTTTACTACCCTCTACTACCACTCGTCCAAGGCTGTCCTCCATCGTCCGTCACAGCTATGGCGGAACTCCGGCCAACGCTCCATCATATGAATGTCAGGTTACTCTAAACTGTCCCTTCCTGCCCTTGCTCACAATTTACAGGACTCGCAGTCGCAAAGAATCCTGTGGCTCCTCGAGGAGCTCGAAATCCCATATGACATCAAGCTCCATAAACGCGTCAAGCAACGTGCCCCTCCCGAGTTGAAACAAACACATCCATTGGGAAAGGCACCACAACTAGAAACAGGTGATGGAAGAGTTATTGTGGAGTCACTGGTGATCGCCAAATACCTGATTGATAAATATGACAAGACGGGCAGATTCAAGGGCGATGGCGAGAAGAATGACTGGATACGCGACGACGAGTTGTGCAATCTTGCTGCTGCCAGCATTGGCCCTCCAATGATTGTGGAAGTTATCATGACTGCGGCCGTCAGGTTGACACCTCTCTTCATCCGCCCGTTGATATCTCTGGTCCACAAACAACTTCACGCGGGCTACTCTGGACCAGAACTTGATGCGTTCTTCAAGTATCTGGACGATCAACTTGGTGACCAAGAATATTATATGGGCACCAACCCTGGTCGGGCAGACTTCATCCTCTCGTTTCCCGTTGACATGTGCGCGGCAGCTGGCTTCGTTGACCTCAAGAAATACCCAAGAGTGGAGAAATGGCATGCACGATGTCGCGAACGACCAGCGTGGAAGAGGAGTCTGGAGAAGGGTAATGGTTACGAATTGAGCTTCAAAAGCTAGCGAGTTGGCGAATCGAGCGCAGGTGTCCCAGACTTCTAAAGACTAGTGTGTAATATGTACATATGTACTCGATACTGGCAGGGCGTTCGACGGTGGACGGGTCCCTCACCGGAAAGCGAGCGGTAGGATGACATGGATGCCCATACATCGCCACTCAATTACGGTCAATTTGCATTCCCCATGAGTTCATGATATTGGATGGTTGAGGCGGGGCACCGTTGTATTCATGCAATTTTGAAGGTCGGTCTCTATCATGAGACGTTTTAAGCGTACCTAATATATGTCTGCGCAGGACTGCAGTTTTGGGAATTGACATTTTACGAGTACGAAACCCCCGTCCAAAGGCCCGTGAGGCCCGGAACAATGGTCATCCGGGGCGTATACTTTGCCTAATCGCGCCTAGAAGAGGCGGTTCGCCCACCTTGACCTCGTACTCTTGGGTACAACGTTGGGCGCTACGATCCATCACACCTCGCTTACAGGCACGTCTTCCACAAAAACGCAATCTTTGCACCCTCGCGAGCTCCACCACCCACCAAAATACACCTGGGCACTCCGTGGCAGCGCTTTAGGGAATGCAACATTCGTCACTTCATTGGGCCATCTCGGGTTGGGAGGAGATGTTTCAAGCCTGGATAACTTATCTCGACCCCCCCGAGGCGAATACGCGGATAGGTAGTGTCCGAACCTATTTACCGTACGAGGTACTCGTTGTGCGCTTCGGTTGCAGGTCTCTTGCTTCTTTTCCCAAAAAATCCCCCCTTCATAATCACACAGAATTTTATCGCTTTCTATTTCTTTTTCTCTTTTCGATCTGCTGAAGCGTTCGGTTTTACATGGTATATTTTTCGCTGGTGCGGCTGTCGTCCATCTGAGTCCCCGAACAAAACAATGTCTTCAAATACGACCACCCACACGGCCCGTCGCTTCTGCACCGAAATTACCCCCCAATGCCCCGTCGAACTCACCACATATGGCTACTATCCCAATCTCAGCGTCAACTCGTTCTTCATTGCTCTCTTCGGCCTCTGCATGCTGTTCCAGTTGGGTCTTGGAACGTGGCGGCGGACATGGACATACCTGATCGCACTCACCATCGGTTGTTTCGGTGAAGCGGTCGGATATATTGGGCGGATCATCATGCACAACAACCCTTGGAGCGGTGCTGGTTTCAAGACGCAAATCTGCTGCCTGGTGCTTGCCCCCAGCTTCCTCGCCGCGGGGATATACGTCACGTTGAAGCATTTGGTCATATACTGTGGAGCGGAGAACTCGAGACTGAAGCCTAGGCTCTATCCCTGGATCTTCATCGGCTGTGATTTTGGCTCTATCATACTCCAGGCCATTGGTGGTGGTGTGGCAGCCAGTGCAGGCGACCGCGGTGGGAATCCCAAATTGCTGGATGCGGGCAATGGGTTGATCGTGGCGGGCATTGCATTCCAGGTGGCAACCATGGGTGTCTGTGGGCTTCTCATGATCGACTACTACATCCGATTCCAACGTGCAAAGAAGGACAGGTCGCAGGCGACGATGGACAGCGAGTACGAGAAACATCTGTCCTCGCCCGGGGTATCACGCAATTTCCGAATATTCTGCTTCGCGATTGGGCTGGCCTTCGCTACCATCTTCATCCGTTGCATCTACCGGTACGTCTCTCCTGAATGCCGTCGTACGCAAAGAAGGAAAAAGCACTGACGCATGGATGATAAACAGTCTACCCGAGATGGCAGGGGGCTGGGGAGGCCCTCTGATGAGAATTGAGACCGAGTTCCTCATCCTTGATGGAATGTGAGTTTGGCTCCTGGCTCCTGATCCCTCCCCAGACATGTGCGAATACCAGACTGACATGACATTCCTCCTGCTCCAGGATGGTGGGTATTGCATGTGTTCTCCTGACCGTGTTCCACCCCGGCTTCTATTTCGAGCCCATGAGGAAATTCAAGAGACAAAACTCGGTTGCCGAACCCGTGGAGCAGCCCGAGACGGTGGAGGGCAAATCTTAAAGATATATATCCTGCCAACTTCTCTCGTAGTGTTCTCAACACATGTACAGATGACGGAACATAGATATAGAATATATAACATGTACCAATGACCTGATTATTTAATGTTCGCTGTACCTCCTTGCGTACTTGTTGGTCATGGGCTGATCTTTTTCCGGCCGCAAGGATGACGCTGCTCACTTACGCGACTAGTATCCACGAGCCTCGGCCTTCTATTGATGCCGAGCTTATGGACGTATTGTACCCTCGCAAAAAATCCCGAGCAAATACGACGCTTGGACACTCAGATCACCCCCCAAGTACCCAGGCCAAGGGAACCTCGTCCTTGCGAAACGCCATCTCCTGCTGGGTGAGGATGAGGCTGGGCCCCAGAGCCCGCGACGCCCGCGACTTTCCGAACACGAAAGGCAGAAAAGGCGTGTGTGGTGCCAAGCGAATCCGGCCGCGGATACGAGGCTTCGTTTCTGCCAAAAACACTCAAGAAGCACTCAAAGTCAGCTTCTCAACTCATTCCGTCCTCAAACACCCACCTAGGACTATGCGACATCGTCGGTGAGGAGCGCAACCACCCCGCCGGCAGCCCTTCACCATGCCTTCTCGACGGTCGCATACCAAATCCCACCACGGGTGTCGGCAGTGCAAAGCAAGGAGAGTCAAGGTCAGTGTGCCCCCCCGGGGATTGTCGTTTCAACGGGACTTTTGCCTTTCCCCCGGGATCCATAATTGGTGCAGTAGTTGATGGTAGTGGGAGTGGTGGGAAGTGGGAAGTGAAGCCATTCCTCGCTTAGTCGTCGCTGAGTCTGGCTCGATATCATTGTCTCTGCTATCTGTTGTCTGTTTGTCTGCTTGTTGTCGGTCCTGACTCAAAAGTGCCCAGTGCGACGAGACAAGTCCTCAGTGCCAGCGCTGTGTGAAGCGACAAATCCCCTGTTCGTTCCTCGGGAATGGTTCCGAAGGGTTCCCGACACCCCCAGCAAACACGTCCACCCACGATACATCGACTCCCAAGAGCCTTGACCAGCAGCAGTCAGATCCCGAGAAGACACGCTTTGGAGCACTATCCACTCCGAAAGCATCATCTCCGTTGGCGACGGAGACAGACTCTACCAATGTTGCCAAACGCTTTGATATCCTCGACATGGAACTCATCCATCATTACTCTACTCGAACCTACATGACCATGTCCTCGAGGCTCGCCACCCATACTGTCTGGCGGGATACTATCTTCGCCGAAGCCTTGCGCCATGATTATCTCTTACACGGCTTGATGGCTACTGCGGCCTTGCACAAGGCCACTGTGCTGCTCAAGACATCGGATGCGTATGCCGAGTACTCCAAAGTAGCCATGGCTCACCAGAATGCTGCCTTGGCTGGATTCATTCCGGCAGTCAGCAACCCTACTCAGGACAATGGCATCGCCTTGTTCTCGGTCTCTCTCCTTCTCACGATCTGGGCCTTTGCATCGAAAAAATTACCAGAGGGTCTGAATCGTGTGAAGCTGGACTTTGGCAGGGGCGAATCGTCCCCAGGCATCACTTTGCCACTGAACTCGCCGACGGCCGACTTCATTGAAATCATCATGATCCTCAGAGGAATCTATGCGGTGATCAGAGAGACCGACAAGTGGCTTCAAGGTGATATTGAGGAGCTGCTGCGGTATCCGCGCAGTGAAGATCTGCCTCCGCATTCACCAGAGGTGGAGGAGGCCTTTAGCACGCTCCGCAATGCCCTGGACGATCCTCAACTATCGTCACTTTGGGAGGGCGATGACTCTCAGCGAACGAGGAATCTCTTTCTCGAACAAATGGAGCAGTTGCGTGACATCTCGAGATGTCGTTCCGTGGTCGAGTGGGATGGTCACATATTTTCCTGGTTGATCATGGCACCATTGTCCTTCATCCATTGTCTGAAGCAGAGTAACCCCTTGGCCCTGGCAATATTCGCTCACTGGGCTGCCATGTTCAGGTGCATGGATCACCACTGGTGGGCAAATGGCTGGGGTTACAGCTTGGTTGTGGATGTGTCTAGCCTGCTAGATCCTGTGTGGGCGAGATACTTGGATTGGCCCAGAAGACAAGTCGGGCTCGTGTTCCAGGGCGGCGGAGCTTTCGATACACGACGGATGACCTGACGACTGACTTAAAGTGCGCTGCTTGTACAAGTTGCTCAAACGAACCTGGAATTACTAATTTCTCATGCCCATACCCGGAAGTGCGAACATTGTCCGACTCGGAGGATGACAGAGACGACGCACCCTGTTTCTGGCAACCACGAATTCGAACGCGCTTGGGCTGGAATCGAGACGTCGAAAATTGCTGCGGCAAGGAGCGTGGACGCAGAAGGAGCGCTCTACACTATGGCTCTTTTCCAACATGACCGCATGTTTCCGCTGGATTACTGTCCTGACTGAGGTTTCTCAACCGGTCATTATTATCCGCGGCGCGATCATATTATTACTATCAGTTAGTGTACTGACAGTTTGAAACCATGCCTGTCACTTTTCGCCCTCTTCCATCAATCAGCAGTGCCCCAGATAGCCTGCGAAACCAGCAATTTCTGACTCCTCCTATGTCCCACAAGAATGCCGAAGACATACCTTTCAAACCTGAAAAGCCTGATGATATCAGCTCGAGCATGAAAAGGAGTGGGAATCATCGACATGGACAGCACGAGATCTCCTGTCAAAACGAAACTGCTGGTCACAAAAAGAAGTCTCGCAAGTGCAGAAACCGAGGATCTGGCACCCGGCATCGCTCGTACAGCCTACGCAAAACCCTCTCTCTTCCGTCGGTCCAACCCCGATTTGATCTCGGGACTGTCGAACTTCTTCAGAGCCCTCAACACAGAGCACGGCGGTGGACAGTTTCTTCCAAAGCTTCGTCCACCCAGGGGCTCGCTACGCTTTTGCCAGTCGATGTCACCGCATGCACTGCTGATCCGTCCTGCGTCATAGGATTCAAATCAGACCGGAGCCCAGCAATGATCACGCTGCGTCGCGCGACGACTACGAGATCACGTAAACAAACTTCGCTCACATCATTCCCGCCACCCAAGTTCAGGCGGCATGGCAGCGGAATGCTGTCGACCTTTTTGAATTCGATCACCGGATACGACGAAGTCGTCAGCCAGGACAATGCGGAGGTAGATCGAACGAGGCAGGTCGCCCAGAAGCCACGTACAGCGTCCACAGTAAGCAAAGGAGATATTCGGCCGTCGACCTGCGCCGCTGCTCCACCTGTTCAAACCGAAGTTGTCACGGTAGAACCCCGGGTGTCGTATTCCGCACCAAGTCAGTCTGCCGCGCCCGTCCGCCGGTGCTCGACACGCTACATTTCGAACAATGTGGTGTATGAAATTATCTGGGATGAGAATTCTACTTCGAGTAGCTCCGATGGGGAGCTTCCCAACGTCTATGGGCAGGCGTCACTATTCCAGAGCCAAGATCTCACTAGGACAGAGACATTAGAGCGACGATTGTCGAAGGCTCTGTCGCAGTCACGACGAGAGTCCCTGCAGGGGGAGTGGAGGAACAAGAAAAGCCATGCGGCCAGCAACGTGTTGTCTATGCAAAGCCTGTGGACCAATCCCAAAATTTCCGGGCTCTTCTGCGAACCAGCTCCAAGAAACCCGGGTCAATCTTTGGCTTCCGAGCGTGGCGAGATGTTCCCCTCTTCGTTGACGGACGTGAATGTAGACGTCGACCTGAAGCGAGGGGCCCTTATAGGAGCATCCACTAACGGTGTCGAGTTCTTCCCTCCTCTCCGAAGTCGGGCCAATACCAACGGAGGTGGCAATTTGTTGTCTTCGTGGACCGCAGGGTTCAAGGATATTTGGGGAGCAGTTGCGCGGCGAGACCCGGTCCCATGTAATCCGTTTGAAGAAGGCTCTGGGTCAGAGGTAGAAAGGAGTCGTTGTGGAAGTATGATTGGGATCAGTTCGCGCACCAAGCGAAGGAGTGCATCTGCCGAAGGGCACCTACAGAGACACTGGACGGGAAGTCTCAAGTCCTGTAGTAGGGGAGCAAGTGAAAGCAGAAGGTCAGATGACGAGATGCTTCCTTTGTTACAGACGACTTGATACGATATAAGTGGGACGAGTCGTATAGGGAAACAGGACTACGGGTCTGATTCCGGTAATGCAGTCTTCAAGCCGACCTACACATCACTAACCCCGTACACAATACGGAATAACACGATATTGTCCTCATCAACATGCAATGATTGGGGGAAGGACACTCCGGCCGTGATGACCAGATGAAAGGTGACCATCGTCAGGATTGCATTCATACCATACCCCAGAATTTAACACTGGCTTCCCCTCCCCTGGACCCGCACCCGGATCACACTCGACACGGTGACCCGAGGCCCGAAGCGAGATGGTACAGGGAGCTCAGCACACCCAGATAGAGTTTTTATTTGCATCCCTAGGCCAACTAGATGGCAGAACGGTATCGTGTAAGACGAAGTGGAAGATTCCTGGTAGGTCACCACGACCGCCATCACCGAGTAGAGAAAAGAGATGTCTTGATAAGCAGTGTTTCGGAGCCTTTGAGCGAAAATCGTGCCCTGGATCAACTTCAGATACGGCTATCTCCCAGTATCTCAATCGAGTAGAAGTGCCACTCCAGGGACCAAGGAAAAGACTCTCATCGTCGTCGTGGTTCCCACTTGTAGCTACGGAATGGCACCCGCTCCCTCACACGGGCGGAGCAGTTGACAAAACACGACTTGTGTGTCAGAGAATCGCGACATGGAAAGCATGCTTCCGAGCCCTACCGCCACAAGCTTTATCCGGAAGTTGAGATTGTCCTGTTCTCATCGGCCCCGATCCATATTCGCTACCAGCTTCCCGCCATTCGCCATTTGGGTTCCGATGGACTGGAGCCTTTCAAAGGAACCGAGCCAGATGTGGAATCTGGATACGAAATGATTGCTCGGTACGAGTCCTTCGAGCAGCAGTCGGTGCAGGGGGAGGGCCACGAGTGGTGGACTTGGCCAGTCGGAAAGACTGTGGATGCGTTACTCGTGGACGAGGTGGGATCAGAGGAATAAGGAATCACTCCAGGGCCTGCATCGCTGGATGGGGTGATGTGGTGACTTGTTGTACCGAGTTATGTATCTCGTACAAGCACGAGGTACTGGCTCGCTGGCTATCGAGGGAACTCCATGTTGATGGCGTTTGGTCGGTCGGCAGGGTTGCCTGCGGCTGGGGCGTCGAATAGTGCGTGTGGGCTGAGTAGTGAGGGAAGAAGGAGAGTGACAGCCCCTTGGCAAGTAGAGAGACCAACCAGGCAATTGGGCAACGTTGCAAACGATCATCAACACCATCCTCCGTGATGAGTATACTACCTAAGCACCTTCACATCTATGATCAGTCAGCCGCAGTAATTGCGCTCGCAATCGACACTCACCGTTACCCAGCTAGGCAGTTATCCAGTCCTCGCCTCCTTTACCTTCCGGGACCCGAACATTATCTGCGCAAGAGTATGAACGATTTCCGAAGTACCTGCAATATCTCCGGGTGCATAAGGACCCAGGCCTATCAGTAACGCGCAGTAATGCGCAATATATTGTGGTTCCTGGCGTAAGATAATTCTGCCGAGTGCGCCCCGGTCACAGTGGCTCGGTGGCTACCAACCCCAGTGGTTCAGGTAGCAAAGCCCTCGATGGGCCCTGGCCTCGCCTCCTGGGCGGTGGTGCCTCCCGAGCCTACGAATTCCTTATCCCGTCATCTAACGCGAACCCCCGGCTACCAGGTGGCCTTGGACTGTCTGGACTGGCTGTGTTGGCAGCCTCTCAACCTCTAGTGCCCCCAGAGTGTGCCGATAGGCTTCCTCACTCACCCAGCCCAGCTGCTGCTTGCTACCACCAGCATTGCTTCTTGCTTCTGCGGCCTTTCCCCATCTTCCCAGTCAACCATCTCCAAACCCTGTCTGAACCACACACCCTTTCTCTTCCTCGACCTTTGAATCTTGGTTCTCCCATCCTCCCTGTCTAAACGAAACTCTTTCTCCTCTTTATACAACAGTTGCCATTTACAATCTTCCACCACGGTCCACTATAGGCATATACCCTCACACCCAATCGGCATATCGCCGCCTTTTCGAGTTCGCCGTGTCCCCTCCGTCCTTCTCTCCCGTCGAGTCGTCGAGCCATTAATTGAGCCCACCTTCCTCGACGTTCCTCGCTCACCTACCTACGTTGTCAGGGACACTTTTCTTCAAGAGAGCGCTGTATATTGTTGAGCCCGCCCTCTATCTGAGGTTGGTTGGGCTCTGGGCACAAGACATCGGCTTGTCAAGATGCCCTGGTCATGACATCTATCTCTCCGGCCGAACCGCGGCCTCCCCTCCTGCGACGTTCAACTGATTCGAATCGACCGCCCCATGGGAGAGCATCCAGTCATATCTTTTCGCCCACAGACAGAAAGCCGCCAACATTACGAAGGGAGACTGTAGAGACTGGGGAGGACAGGCCTATTAAGAGGCGGAAGATCGAAGCTGACTCTAACTCGAATGAAGTTGCCAACCACCACAACACCTCACTTCCCGACAAAGTCTCCGATCCACATGTCGATAATAAGACCGTGTACTGGCGCTGGGTGAGACCCTCAGCAATACGAGCGACTGTCGCCAATTCGCGGAGTAAGGAAGAGGAGGATACCTCGAGTGAAGACGGCCTACCTGAACTCCCACCTCGCCCCTGGCGAACCGCTCGAGCCGCGAAAGTTGCAGACAAAGCCGCTCCGACGCACCGATCACGGGTTGACATCCCTGTGCCCAATACTCCTGATTCAATACAAGTTCCATCCTCCGCGCCTCAATTTGTTCTCAAGAGACCGGTCGGGTTCTTCCCATGGACGGGGAAACACCCCGAGGACATCTTAAGCGACAGCAATGTTAAGAACGGCTATTTTGATAAACCTCCAAACCCCACTGAAAAGGAACTCAACACCGCGCGAGTCCCGCTCTACAATGCCTTCAAACACAAATCTGGCGTGGACAGTTTATCTACTCTCTTTTCTCTCGTCCTGAACCAGAAGAGCCAGCATGGCATTATCAGCTCCGTCTCCACGTTTAAGCCCCCTCCCCGCGTTACCTTGACCGAAGCGAAACGGAAATCGTGGATAGCCGATCTGGCCAATGCGGACGTACCCTTGAGACGGTTGAGCAGGACTATCCCCCAGGGTATCAAGGGCCAGACTCTTCTAGATTTATGCTTACAAAGCTCAGTCCCGTTGAGTCGTGCGATATGGTTCGCTAAATGCGTCTGTGCCAACGAGGTTCGCACTTTGAAGAGGAAGGGCACCACTCCTGCGGTGGCCCTGGGTGCCGAAAACAAATGGCTTCGCGAATGGACACTCAACGTCGAGCAATTTTTGGAAACCTACCTAGGACAAGCCAATGCGTCCGACTGGAGATCAAATATTCAATACGCATTGCGGTTGAATACACGTCTCTATTTAGAGAACCTGCTGGACCGGGGTCACTACTTGGATTGGATTTTGCACTCCTTCACTACAGCAGCCATCAGCCACACGCCTTTCTGGCTGATGGTAATCCACATTTACAAGCAAGACTTGAGCCAATACCGAAGACGAGGAGCGAAGCTCGCCCAAGCACTGATTGACAAGTACCGTTCGATCGACAAGCTCTCAGACCAATCGATAAGTCCATTGAGACAGAAGCTGCGGGCGGCAATCCGCGAATTATTGTTTGCACGCCCAGCTATCTTCTTGATGCCAGATCGCTGGCCTGAGAGTGTGCCAATTGTTCAAACTTGCCTTGATACAACTATCGGGCCCGAAGGCCTGATTCTCGAGGAACTCAATCGCATCAACGAGAGAGCAATGGGATTCAATAAGACAGACTTCTTGTCTGTTCGGTCCCCTGGCGAAATCATTGTCGAAACTCTCGATAAGGCTAGGGTGCCATATAATGTCGCTCTCCTTGCAGAAGAACTAGATGGAACCTCTACAGACTTCGATCTCCTCCTGCGATCGTGTCTTGAATGGTCATGTACACGATTCCGACAGTCCAGAACCCGCTTATATCTGGTCACTCGTTTGGTCAAGCGGTGGCAACGAGGCGGTCGTGACATTGACACACCTATCCTCAATTTTCTTTCCGCTTTTCGGGAGGGCAAGACGACCGCTGATACCTTGTGCTTAAGACACCTAGTTGCACAGTTTTCCCGATCTGATTGCTTTCCGCTTAGCAAATACTTGCAATGGCTGATGGTGAGAGGCCTTCCAGAGAAGGGATCGGTCTGTATCGACACTGAGTCTATCTTTGGCCGAACAGCAAAGGTTGAATCATACAGGGACTGTGCCTCTGTTCAGTTTCTACTCGACCTGTCATTGCACCGAGCAGAAGACCACGTCATCAACTTACGGAATTCGGTTCTTGAACGCGCAGGTTTCGATCCCGGCGGAGAAGAGGACATTTTCGAACGGTGTGTTCAGTATCTTGAGCAAAAGCTGGTAGATGCTAGTTTCGTCACGAAGTCTGAGCCACCAACTCTGCATGAACCTTCTTTTGCGGCGTTGCCATGGACTCTTCGAACTAGAATATCTATGTGGTTACGAGCAAGAGCTCTCGAAGCGGCAAAATCGGCACAAAGCACTCCTATGTTGCCTGGGTCCAAGGTTTTGAATGAAGAACAGTTCTTCATAATCCGTCACATTCTCGAGTGCATGGAAGATGAGGCGGTCCTTGCAGATGTGGTCGGCATTCTCTCGGTATCACAAAGGGATGACCTAGTAGCATCTCTCGTCGCCACTGTTCACTTCCATGCTGGTTCCTTTTCCGCCATTGGGGCTCTTGAAGTCCTGCAAAAAAGGATGTGTCAAATCTACATGAATTGGCGAACTGCTAAACCGACGATGCCGCTGCTTACTTCGACTCTCTTGGATTTATGTACTGCTTTTCCGGTCAAAGCACCTGCAATAAGATTGCTGCAACAGGACCTCGTTCGAGGAGACCGTGGGCGTGCAGTCGCAGCCTGCTCACCGTATAGTGACGGCATCGCGGAGTCGTTGCAGCAAGCGGGTGCCACCTTTGTGGAGGATTTTGAGGCGATCCTGCAGTCGGAGACCAATATGAATGAGCAAACCATGAATGGCCTCTTCTCGGTTTTGGTGGATCGCATTGAAAAGCAACAGAAATTTGAAGATGATCTGCGCACCTTGCAGTCATTCTGCCAACTTCTCAGCCGGCTTCGATTGTGCCGTAAGGCCCAAGGAGATCTGCTCACACAGAAATGGATGTCGCGACTCATGGCTTGCCTGGACTCGAAATCCGGTCCTTCATTTCTTCGAATCCTGGTGGCAACGGGCTGCATCACATTCACTACCATTTTCGAAGCCACGCCTGGCTCCAAGTCCGGAGTGCGGAAGAATTTGGCCGTCGCTTCCTTTCTATATCAAATTCTCGCCCCGCCCAGTTCCACGTCACTTGACTGGGCTGCGTACCAGACTCGGACTAGGTGGCACGAATACTCGCTGAGAGAACCGCTGGCGGCCTTGGAAATCGTATGCGAAGCCGGCCTGCAGGGCGTATCGCCAACTTTCGACTCCCTGCTTCTGGTTGTGCTTGTCAATAGTTGGTCGCCAGACTCATCCTCCTTGCCCGAATCCGCCAAGAAATGGTTCGTCAAGTCACTTAGTTACGCACTGAATTGTCCGGATGGTGATCTAAATGCGGCTGGTCTTCAAGCTCTGCTGGAATCCATCAACGTCTTTTCCCACCAATTTGTCCAATTGCGATTCCGACTTGCGTCACCAGCCTCTGTCGACAAGGCATCTGGACTGGATCAACCAGACCTGATCGAGGTACTCTCACAGTCATTGAAACAGACTCTACGGAACCCGCCTTCTCCATACGAAGGGCACCGGCGGCGGTTCTCACAGCTCTTTCAGATTGTTGGACCTGATGTAGCCAACCAGGTCCGCCACAATGTCGAGAATGAGTTCTTGTATGCCTTGCCGAAGCTGCTGGTCGGCAAGGTGACCAGTCCACTCTCAGCGGTGTTCCCTGACGATACGCAGCAGCTGTCTTCAATTGTTGAGGAGGCGTTCCAGGTGTGCGGGAAAGAGACCAGCCCGAGTCCTGGATTCCTGTCGCACCTAATTGATAGACTTTCACAGCATCTCAAGTACCTGGGTAACACGCACAACACTCCGGCTACCCCTGCCACTTCGGCCACGACAGCCCCGACAGGCTTTTCGGGACCCAGCGGGTCTTCTACCACTATGACCCATTCTCAAATGGTATCCATGTCATCCAGTCCGATTGCCAGCGCATCAGATGTAGGAGGTGGCTCTTGTCCCCCCGTAGGCTTGAACTACTTGAGATGCATACTACAAATGGTGTGTTTGCAGCGTCCGACATTAATCTCGCCAGGCTCCAATGGGCCCAATGTCAAACAGACGCAGAACGAACAACTTCAACTGCTTGTACGACTGGCATCCATAGCAACGCACCCAGCTATGACTCTGGTGACGGGACATCAAGGCACTCGGGAAGAGCAGATCAAGGCAAAAGAGGTGATCGAGTTCGCATTGGATGTGATAGCAACCATTATCGACGGCGTCAGTGACGAGGTCCATTTGATGTGCGCAAAGGTATTGAAAGACAAGTTACAGGACACCCGGCTCTGCTATTTGTTTGGCAGCATCAACCTGATGGGATCAGCACAGGTGCAAGACATGGGCCGGGGTTTGCAGATGGTCAAAGAAGGCAAAGGCATCATCGGAGAGTGGAAGCCACGAATGTGGGAAGTCTTGGATAGTGGCAGCGGTAAAGAGAGTGAAACGTCTTTGGGACTGGGTCTCTTTCGAGCCCGATATGGATAGAGAACGGGGTCTTCGAGACGCCAACCGCCAACAGAGGAGCTGGTGGGCAAGCCAATGTGCAATGACGACTGCGTCTACGGGAGGAGTCTTTGGTGTTGGGAGCCTCATTTCCTACTTCATCCACGGCCATTTTACGACGTCACGAGGAAATGGGTTTTTGTTTATTGCGGAAGATTTGTGTGGGGAGTTGACTGAACGGATCAGCAGGATTGGCCTTTTCTTTACTAGACTTTTGGGGACCGCAGCATTGCCGGCCGGACCATGGGCGATTCGACGGGACCGAATGTCATTCCCATGCCTATAAAGCTTGGATACTCGATTGAAGAATACTGTGTATGGGAAAGGAGGCGACCTCAACCTGAACACTACATATTGTACAGACAGCCAGTTTTTAGAATGAGCGAGTCAGGCTATAACGCCTATGCTCCATCTAGAACACGATCTTATAACTTTACACCGCAACTTGAGTCATCTGATGTGAATTGCTTGGGAAGTTCGGAAGTCAGATCTGTACACGGCAGGGAAGAGGTCCGAAAGGGGTAGTAAGAGATGCTCGAGAGATGCTTGGGATAGCTCAGGGTGATCAAACAAGGATTGTCCGGAGGTCGGTCAGCAGGTCAGGTTTGGAGGGACAAAGGGTCAATCACTGGAGACCAAGATCAGCAACTGGTTACATTAGTGTGCAGACCGAGGGGCATTGGGGGACACTGACTCTGTTGTAAAGGCCACATGCTTAGACCCCTGTTGACCGTGTCGACCCTTGAAGGCCTGGGCACATGAGGTGCTGGTGCAGGCATGGTATGCAGCTATGGAGCACAGACGCATTGGCAAGTCATGCACGCTCCCACGGCATCCCACATACACAAAACCCAGCACATGCAATGTGACGTGATGGGCCTTATTGGGGGGAGAAACACTTGCACCGCCTTTGCACCAAGGATGATTGAGCAAACCAGTTGTTGTGCTCCGATTGCTTGCTGAAGAAAGTCCCAAGAAGCCCCGAAGGATCACCAAGATTCCAAGATCCCAAGTTCCCGTCTGGTTGCGCAGTCTGGCAGTCGCCAGTCGCCATGGCGCGTCGAGATGTGCCAGATGACTTTTTGTTGATCACCTTCGTCCCTGTGATCCTATCCGTCTTCCCTCTAACCCGCCTCTTGCATTACATTGTTATGATTATTATTCTTATTACACCTCCACTCCTTTGTCCTCAGTCCTTTGTTATAAACGTGTGGTCTCGTAGGACCCTGATTTATTCTTTTCTATCTATAGTCGATCAAGTCTCGAGCCTCCTTTGTCTACCTACCTCCCCCGCTCCCGTGTCGACCCGCGTCTCGTCCCAAGTCGTTGGAATGCCCGGCTCAAATGGAAGGAGTGTTTAGAAAGTCCATTGGTACCTCGACATCTCTGTGAACGTCCCTTCTCTCCTATTCCTGGACCATGCCTTCGAAATCCCTCCCCGAACGTGGTCGTTCTACCCTCCGCCGGGATCAGAATGTTACTCCACCACAGAACACGACCCCCTCCTCGGACGACCGGTCTTCGAGAAGAAGCACCGCCAGACGCCAGACTTCGTCGAGTCTTTCGTCCGGCAATGAGAAAGCAAGACCAAAGATAGAGAAATGGACATTGGGTATATTGAATGACAAGGAGACGGAAGAAGTCCCAGGAACCGTCCTGCTACTGTCCGCCTACCGCAATGAACCCCTTGGTCTTGAATACCAGCCTGGCCGGCGGAGCAGTTCGTCCATGCCTGCTCAGCCCGTGTCGCCCAGGCGTCTTTCGGTGGCATCCCAGAAGAAAACAAAGGACGGGCAAGTTATCTTGGATCCGCAGCCGGATGACTCGTTGAACGATCCTCTCAACTGGCCCGCGTGGAGACGCGATGTTGCCCTTCTTTCCCTAGGGTTCTACTGCATGTTGGGTGGCGGCATGACGCCTCTTCTGGCCGCTGGCTTCAACGATGTTTCCCAGTCGTTTGACGTGAGCTATTCAAGGGTCGCCTTGACTACGGGGTTGTACATGATGGGTCTGGGGGTCGGCAGTGTCATCTTCTCGCCGACCGCCATTCTCTTTGGGAAGAGACCCGTCTATCTGGGTTCAGCAGTTATGTTCATACTCACTTCAGTCTGGGGTGCTCTGGCACCTAACTACGCCCAATTGGCAACCGCCAGGGTCTTTCAGGGAATATCGGTGAGTCCGGTGGAATGTCTACCGTCTGCCACCATTGCAGAAATTTTCTTTCTACACGAGAGAGCGTTTCGTGTTGGTATTTATACCTTGTTGCTTCTCGGTGGGAAGAACTTGGTACCCCTGGTGAGCGCTGTTATCATCGACTCGAAAGGATGGAGATGGGTGTTTTGGTGAGTTTACTCGTGGGGGAGTAATTATCCTGCTAACACGCACAGGGTCGTCGCGCTTATAGCAGGCTTTGGCTTTGTTATTCTTTTCTTCTTTGTTCCCGAGACTTTTTGGGACCGGACTCCCAGACCAAAATCAAGGAGACCAACGGTTCATCGAAACTGGTCTAATGTTCTTCATCCCTTGCACCAGAACAAAGACAATGCAGCCGGGCATGGGCAGGTTGACAGCACTGCGCTCCAAGCGGCCATTGAGAAGGCCATGACCCCGAGACAACACAGGCTCCACGAGCAAAACACACACGCAAGGTTTGAGGACGAGCTCGAAGAGAAGACCGATCAGCACGAAGTGGAGGTAAAGGACTTTTCTGATTCAAACTCCTGTAGTGAGAAGCCTTCAAAGGATTCAGAATCCGCCACAGATGCGGCAAATGATGCGAACACCCTGGCAAAGGTTGGCGAGGAGACGGCAGAAGCGGAGTTGGTACAACCAGAGCCCGTCGTCCTTCCTAGGAAGAAGGTCCAACCCGCCGGGCTATCCTTGCCGCCTCCGCCAGATCCTCGTTCCTTTAACAGATCCTGGAACGGAACCCACAGTGGTATTGCGGAAACGCCGACCCGTTCAAGGGCTCCTCCAGGTGAAAAAGACTTATCTGTTCCACATCTGCATAACCTCAACTCCCCTTACTACACCGACCTCGAGGGAACTGGTGACTATCTCAGGCACCATTCCACCCCCGGTTCAAGAAACGATGGATCTAGAGATCCCGACCCGAATGTGGTGAGGTCTGACACAGCTGCTACGTTGCCTGGTACCCCTAGCGAAGGACTACCCTCTCCCAAACTTGTCCGTTACACGACCAATCTCAAACACGCGCCACCAAGAACATACGTCGAAACTCTTCGACCCTGGAACGGCCGGCTGTCCAAGACCAATTGGTTCCGCGTTGCTCTTCGGCCTTTCATCCTCTTTGTTTATCCGAGCGTCCTTTGGTCAACGTTGGTATACTCGTTGTCGATTGGATGGCTGATTGTGCTGTCTGAGGCCATGTCCGAGGTCTACCGAAGCCGGGAGACGTATAACTTTACGGCCCTGCAAGCTGGGCTGGTCTACATTTCACCGTTTATCGGTGGCATTTTGGGCACGGCAGTGGCGGGACGGGTGTCCGACATCATTGTGCGATTCATGGCTCGTAAGAACGGTGGTGTCTACGAACCGGAATTTCGACTGGTCATGGCTATTCCGGTCGCTATCAGCACGACTATCGGCCTCATGGGCTTTGGCTGGTCTGTCGAAGAACGAGACGCATGGATTGTGCCTACCTTCTTCTTTGGGGTGATTTCCTTTGGATGCTCCCTGGGAAGTACAACTTCCATCACGTTTTGTGTTGACAGCTACAGGCAGTATGCTGGCGAGGCGCTAGTGACGCTGAACTTTAGCAAGAACATCTTTCACGGACTTGTGTTTAGTCTGTTCTTTGCGAGCTGGCTGGAGAATGACGGGCCCAAGACTACCTTTTTGGCGATTGGGGGGATCCAGATTGCATGTATGGTGACGGCCATTCCAATGTACGTTTACGGGAAGAGGGCCAGGATGTGGACTGTCAGGAGAGGATTCATGGAAAACCTTTGAGTTCTCAAGGCCTGGGGCTTTGAGGAGAACTCAAAAGATGGTGTGGTTATGGCGACATGGACCTTTGGTATCTCTTGTTTGTCGACAGATTGTTTGAACGGCATGGATCATGACGACTGGCATTTCTTTGCATAGCGGTGGCGTTGGTTACACTTTTATGAAACCCGAACTGGATTTACCGTCCATGATCAGGGGAATCAAGTGCGCAGCTCTTGAATGCATGACAACAGCAAATGAAGATTGGGGGTAAAACAAGATGTTTAGACACGGGAAAGAGGGAGTGACTTTCATGGCGATGACATGGCGAGGCGTGGCAAGGCATGGCATAACTTGGCGTGGCTGGATTTTTGAGAGCTCCTATGATATTACGAGTAGATGTACAGGACCTAATGATAAGGAAGCGGTGAAATTTGCATGCACTGAGTTTATAGTGTGATGCACGAGTTGACGACACGAGCGACATGTAGGTAGGTAGGGAGGGAGTGAGTGAGAGAGGTGTTTTGTTGGGGTTATCGGTTGGGTTTTTCGTACCATGTGGACAGAGTGATGAAGTATTGGGTAGATTTGTGTATGATTGCCAGATATACAGAGGATACAGAGACCGAGGCGGGACACACAGTCGTCACAGAGGACCAACACAAAGTAGGGAAGTCATGGTATTATGCATGTAGTGGAAGGTGGTTGAATTCAAAAGGAGGAAACTCGGGATGTAGGGAGATTCAAATGACGGAAAATGGAAATTAAGGGAGTCTAATGACAGATGGACAGAGGGTGGCCAAGCGGGGATTTTAATGCCATTGTACAACGTGCAGATGGGCAAAAAGGAGGGGGTTTTAAATGACAAATGACGAAAGGGGCACATGTACTCGTCCTTGTCGCCGCTGTTCGGATGGGTGTGAAGAGAGGCAGGCTACAGTACAGTAGTATCCCACCTGTTTCTTTGGTCTTTTCTCGTCTTCTTTCTAGGAAACGCCGAACGTTGATGCACGTGAAACCCAAATGGCACAGAGAGGGAGGGAGAGAGGGAGGGAAACGAACGTCACTTTGACTGCCTTGGCTTGCCTTTGCCCTACCCAGGTACCTACCCTGCTTGCCTGTAATTAGCCCCTGTCATGTATGTGTATTCACATCCCCATAAAAGGACCGAAATCACTATGCTATGCTATACTTTGACAGCTCCTATTCTTATTTTTGGAGACGTGACCTGTCTTGTCGTCGAATCGTCCTGGTGGTTTTATCTACCGGTCCATCAACCACCATTCGCCATGGATGGGCCATTTTCTTCCATCTCTATTTCCATTTCTGGGCAGGAGAGCAATGCATTCACTTCACTCGTCGCTTGTGACCATTCACCAGCCCAGTCCAATCCAGCCTAGTCTAGTCCAGGTATAGATCGATAGATAGATATGTCGATGTATATATATAGCTCACCTTTCCCTTCAATCTCTCCTTTTCCTCCCCCTCCTACCTGGGTATAGACGCCCTTTGAACTCGGGTAACCAACCAACCACGAACGAATACCTTGCATTAACCAGAACCTGTGCCAATATCTCGCCCCCCCTCTAAAGTCTTTTTTACCCAGCAAGCGAGCGACGGGCAAATTCCGCCAAAGTATGTAGCAGAACAGCAGAGCAGCAGGCCAGCAGAGCAGAGCAGAGGATCCAGGTCGAAGAAGAACAATACGATCATGCGAGGGAGTACTCGTAGGGTGCCAAAGAAACGCTCGTCTCGTCTCGTCCCGGGAAGGCCGAAGTCGGCTTTGCCTCTTGCCTCTTGCCTCTTGCCTATAGAAGTACATACGAGTAAAGGTGGCGATGGATGACCTATGTATTACCTATGTAGGCACGTAGGCAACAGCGTTTTCTTTCCCTTGAGAGTGCGAGCCAGCCCAGCGCTACCTACAGTAACAAGTACAAATACCTCGTACATAAACTTGGTATGATACCCAACGTATGATATTATGTCCGCGTATTTGGTAACCTTCGCCTCATATCACATCACCTCACTTCACTTTACGCGAACAAACGAACAAACTAACAAGCGAGATTTACGAGTAGACGGTGGTAGTGGTATTGGTAGTTGGAGTCGAAATCCAAGTCAACCTCGTGCTCGGTACAATGGATCTCAAACATAGACGTGGACATGGGAACAAGTATACCGAGTATATTTTTGGAAATGAAATTAGTCCCGCACTCCCACACAAAGTCAAGGACGGGTGGAGTCGGGGATTTACCCAGATACTTATCGAGTAGATTGATCAGGATTGATCAAGATTCGAGAGGGGGATGGATTGGGCTCGCTTAATAAGGCTCAACCAAGTACGGAGGTAGGTACCTACAGACTCGGTACAAGCATCTGAATGGTGAAGGGTGGAACGAGTGGAGGATACCAAGTACCTCGTACATAGGACAGGGTTTGCAGCCTGTAGCCTGTAGCCTGTACTTGTAGTGCCTCGGTAGCCTCGCACCCTCGGAAGGTACATATGAGTGACTCGTATAGAAGTGAGTTGCCACCATCGTTCGTCTTGTACTTTGTAGCTTGTAGCTTGTTCTACAAGCAGGTAGGCAGTGAGGAATACGAGGTGGACGAGGGTTTAGAGTTGGGAGACAAGGGAAAAAAAAAGGCACTCCGTGGGGTATCAGTCAGGACCAGGACCAGGACCGCAAGATGCCACGATGTCGATTTTGATATTCCTACAAGTCTGGACCAAGTAGATAGGCTGGAGGTGTGCGTGGCAACTGGTAACCCTTGAACCCCTGCTAACCGTAGACAGGGGGGTTTCGCGAGAGGCACGAGGGTCCTCCCATTTCCCCAATTCAACAGTAGGTGTGGTCAAAGTGGTCCACACTTGGAGACGAAAATGAGAACGAGCGATTTTTGAGCCGGGGGTCAAGGCAAGGCAGACACTGGTATGGGAGGTACAAGAGAGATAGTCGGGACCGGGATGATGGATGAGCCATGACCCAAGAGGCACGTGGCCATATTATTTTACTACGATTTCCATTGCAGGATGCAGCATGCGGGACGGATGCAGCATGCAGGAAACAACCGGATAACCTCTGGTGAATCTGCCGTGCCGACAAGTCCAACCTCGTGTATCCCAATCCCTGCAGGATGGAGTTTCCCGTCTTTTCTTTCTAATTGGTATAGGACGAGGGGCAACGCCCTGACTAAGCCAGGGGGACAAAGAGTTCACTCGGTAGGCGAACCAGGCAGACAGGCAGACACTGTTTGTGCGCAATTCTCCATCATCTCATCTGGTGGAAGGATAGTACTAGTGTACGAGTGACTCGTAGACTCGAGGTGACTCGTAACTCGTGGCTTCCTTTGTGTGCCTGTCGCGCCTGTGCCTGCGCCTGCGCCTGCACCTGTGCCTGTGCCTGTGTGAAATTGTGGAGGGATTGGAAATCAGAAGTGACGTCGCCGTCGCCCCTCAGGCCTCCTCCTCTTCTTCTGCATCCATTCCATCGATCGTGACTGGGAAAAAGTCAATCTGGGCCCCGCCCGCCTGAGTATCTGGGAATGCATTGTGATTGTGGCTGTGGCAAAAAAAAAACCATTCCGTGGGGGTCATCTGACTACTAGGCATCAAGATCAAGGCTTCCATTCTACACTCGTATACGAGGGGTCATTTGTTAGGGTATGGAATAATGGAAGTAGGCAACGAAAATACCAACAACAAACCCAAAAAAATCTCTCGCGTTTGACCAGAACTAGGGACCACCCCAGTAGTGTCGCGAAACCCCGGGCCGGCGGATATGCTTTGTCTGTTGTGGACGAGCTGTGGGAATAGAAGCGAAAAACAGGGTCCTTCCTTCCCTTTTCCATCTTGGTCTTGTGTCATGCCGAAGAACTGGGCGTCGTTTGGCGTTACATCGCAATGACGGGCAGGATAACTTTAACATCAACGTTCGACTCATAACTTCCCCTCGCAGAAACCTAGGTAAATCAGAGTAGTCACAAAACATGCGTCATGGCCCATCCCGCTGGGGAGGAAAAAACCCTGGCCTTGTGGTACCTGTTCCGTCTCCGGTTCAATCTCGTCGAAGGTGATTGGTTCGAGTCAAAGAAGACAGGGGGGACAAGTGGACAAGTGGACAAGTGAACCAACCGATAGGGAGTTGTTTAGCCCCCTCTTCTTGAACGGCGTCGCCTTGGACCGACGAGGGAGAGACTCACAAGTGACCAGACATTCCCGAAACCACTCGAGTCCAATTGGTTTATTGGTCCATCAATCCAGGCACACGCACACCAAGGCCCAAGTGTGTATGGTATGGTAGGGTGGGGGGGAGTACACACTAACCAGACAGTGCCAGAACTAACACGCTGCCTATCCTCCAAAGATACTCAATGCTGCGCTGTGTCGTGCGTGCTGCAGACTTTTGATTGAGCTATAATTATAATGGTCTTGGTCCTTCTGTCCTTCTGGCAAAGGGGCCTTGGAACTTTGGAGTGGGAGAGAAGTTCACCCAGGCAAGGCAAAGGAGAGACTCTGATCAAGGTACTGTACACTGTACTAGGTATAGTATAGGTGTCTGTCTGTGCCCGGTAATTGAAAAGTCGAATCAACCACATCTCTTCAATCCTCAATCCTCAAATACTCTCCTGACTTCGCATACGCACCGAAATACGACGACCTCGAGCAGCGCTGTACTTTTGCTGCATCGAAACGAAACGAAACGAGGCTGTGTCCCTGGTGTCCCTGACATATACCACCAAACAAGGGTCGAATGCGTGTCCTGACTATTGAGGACCAGTCAGGCCTTTGATACCAAGGGGCTGTGGCCGTGGCCCTGGCACCGGCACCTGCGTGCATGCATGCATGTCGTAAGGCATCACCGTTTTCTCTATTGCTGTTTGCTGGGACTGGAACCAGGATTGGGATTGGGACGTATAAACTCTCTCCGTTGAGAGATCTCTACAAAACCCGTCTGGAATACCTCCTTGTCTGAGTTGAATGACTATGGACAAGAAGCCCTCGAATACATCTACGTCTACAACCACAACAGCAGAGCACGTACAAGAATCGCCGTCACCATCACCAACAAGAGACACCACTCCCCTCGACGAACACCTATCAACCAGCTTCGACCTTGACCGAGGAAGAAGCCCTGCACATCCCACCACTACTCCATACACCGCCACGAGAGACGAGCAAGAGGAAGACATCTCACGCAACAGCCCCGAGAAGCCCTCCAAAGACAAAGGCAAAGACCCAGACCCAGACCCGGAGAAAGAGATGAGTTATTACCACCGTTCTTCGTCGAGCACGACCTCGTCGCCTGGAGGAAACCAACGGCCCGGACCCGATATGTTCATGTCGAGAACGAGTCCCTCCAGTTCGGCGAGTACGCCGCGGCAAGGCTCTGAGGAGGCAAAGGGCGAGGAGAAGAGGAAGGATCGAGTTTCGAGTTCCGGTGGGAGTGGTACTGGTGGTGGGAGTGGAAGCGGTAGCGGAGGCGGCGGCAATAATAGCGGCGGCAGTGCGGGTGGCAGTGGTAGTGGCAGTGGTAGTGGGAGCGCGAGCGGGAGTGGGAGTGGAAGTGGAAGCAGTCGATCCAGGCTGGTTGCGGGCGTCTTTGTGAGATATTGAGATTGACATACAGTAACAATACGGCGCACTCTGGCATTCTGGCATGCAGGCATGCAGGCATGCAGATCCCCGACATGTTATGTTATGGTTGTGGGTTACAGGTTATGGACTCCCTCTCCTCCTCACCTCACCTCACCTCACCTGGACACTCTCCCCCCCGGCTGGCAGGTATCGGAATAGTTAGTTAGACACAACTCCTGTATTTCTACGTCGACTCATCCTAACGACGATTTTCAATGTCTGAATTACCAAAGACTTCTCGTCTCTTCTTGTGATTGAGAAGCGCCCAAGGGCGACTAAACTCTATCCTATTCTATCTATCTCTTTCTATCTTCTCGATTCATTTGACAAGCAGCATGAGCCACTGGATATCATCTGGATAAGATTCCCATCCCTTGAAAAAGAGCTTGCCGTGCGTGATCAACCATGTCGACGAAAGAATCATAGTTCCGTCCTGGATGATCGACCATATGCAGCAGAGTTTTTGGTTTGTATGTTCATTAGATTTGAGTCAGGTTTGGTGCCAGACTCTGGCTGGCTGGCTGGCTGGTTGTAATCGTATCGCCTCTCCATATATCTCTAGCAAATCACCTGGGTGGAGAAGACCCGTTTGGCGTCTGCAAGTTTCTCTTCATTTCAGGCATTCCCGGCACGGGCATTCGATGGATCGGCGACGTGGCATGAGCTCGTTGCGAAAAGGCGTTGCCGGGGACATATCGGGACGGGCTGGCCGTGCTGGACACCGGGGACATCTGGGGCGACGGTGGCTGGGCCGCTGGCGCGTTGTAGTTCAGTGGTGTTACTGTCGTCCAACCCTGCGACACGGCCGGAGGCATCGGCTCCGGTTGCGGCACGTCTTCAAAGTAACTGACCCTGGCTGGCGCCGAGAGCGTCGCAGTCATGGGCTCCTGCGGTGATGCATCGGGGATTGTAGGGATGGTCCGCGAGCCTCCTCCATACTCCACACTGGGTACTGAGAGACCGCTGTGGCGAGCCGCCCGGCGCCGACCCCTGGTAGACTCGCGTCTGAGAATGTCGCGGACTTCTTCAACGTCGTTGGAGCGTTTCTTGTCCATCCGGAGTTCTCGCTCATGGTCGACAACCTCTTCAGGGTCGACGGCCACCTTGCGCTTCACCAAGTTGTCAACTGCCGACGCTTCCTTAACATCGGTTCCGGTGCTGACGCCGAGGTGGTCGGAAGATTTTGTTTTAGAGAGGTCGAGATGAGGCTTGTTCTGGTCCAGCAAGGGGACGAGTCTCTTCTTATCCAGGTTCTCGTCAAACTCCTCCTTGTTCCTCCTCGCGATTTCGTCGCTGATCGCCACGGAGTAGGTAGGGTTGGCCTTGTCACCAGCTGGAGGACCGGCACCCCCTGGACCATAGAGGGGAACTTTCCGCACGGCCAGGACCAGAGCGCACATGAACTTGTTCCTCCGCGCTGCTCGTACCGCCTCGTTTGCCCAATTTGATTTATGCCGAATCTCAATCCTCAACTCCATCTTGTTCATTTCCGCAACCCCGGTAACCTCAATGTCGACATCCGGTTGGAAGTCGCGTGCATTATCCTTATCCCGCACAAAGTTGGTCATCTCCTTCTTGAGCAGATCAATGTCTTCAAACTTGGTGTCGAAACTGACATACAGCTGAATCTGTTCGCGCATGGCTTTGCTGCGAGACACGTTGTCAATCCATAGCGAGTTGAGCACGATGTTGGGGACTTGGGTCCGTTTGTGGTCCTTGACGCGGCGGAACACCGTATAAAGAAGAGACATGCGTTCCACAACGTACTGGGTATCGGTAATGTCGACTCTGTCGCCCACGTCGAATGGATGCTTCACGAAAAGGAAAATGCAAGACCCGAGAACCTCCTGAGCGGTTGTTGCAAAAACAAAAGACATTGACAGGAGGGCAGTTCCTGCTGTAGCGAGTGTGGTGGTAAAATTCCGATTCAGCCAGGCGACGAAGATGAAGATAACAGCGACGAAGACAACTGTGCACAGCAGGCTGTCAAGGACATTGATGGCTTGATCGACATCGTGCATGCTGCTCGCGATCGACTGACGCTCTCGTCCGAACTCGGTGATTCGCAGGACCATTTCATCTAGCGAGATGTCTCCGTTGCAATCCACGTCCAAGATCTCAAAGGCTTCGTGGGCTTCTTGTTCTCGATCGTGACCCAGGACGTCAATGATATCCTCCAGGCTCAGAGCATCCTTCCCTTCTAGGACGAACGACATCCAAAGCCGCCGAGCCAAGGCTTCGGCTGAATGTTTCTTTTCGAGCGCTTGGACCACGATTGAATGCGAGGCAGTGGGATTGAAAACCTTCTTCCCAGTAATCTCCTGGGCCACATTCCCAAATGCTGCTGTGACCTTGTCTCCAACCCGTGCAACATTGTGGATGAGTTTCATTGGGGTGGCCGAGCCAGACCGTTTGTGACCAGGTAACATGCTGTTCCGATTGCTGTTTCGCTCCCCAAAGTCCAGAACATCGTTGATGAGATAATCCTCTTCGGCGAATTCTCGACAGTACTCCGGGAAGAGCTTTCGAGAAGCATCGTAGAGCAGACCAACCAGGTGGATGTTTCGCTTCGAGTCTTTGATCTTTTCATCGAACTGCTTGCGGTGATAGCTGATGGAAAGGAGCTGAATAAGTAGCTTTTCGCCGAGCAAGAGCAACGTTGAAAAGACACAGGCAAAGAGAATATTCTTGATGATGGACTCCCAAGACTTGAGGCCAGTCTCACCACGTGATCTCTGGTCAGGATTTAATGTCATGATAGGGACAAACGTTGCCAGTGATGTCACGGCCCAGCCAACAAGCGAGAGAGGTATCTCGAGAGCGCTGAGGACGAGGGCATATTTTCTTGTGCCAGGACTGGCCACCCCGCAAATAAACTGAAAGAGAAATGGTAAGAAATGAGCCACCAGTTTCGAAGCCCACAGCGATACCCAGACCACCTCGATCCAGGTGAAGAACCACAAGATCTTGACGCCGCCGATGCGTGCTCGAGGGGCGACCGTAGCCCCGACAATGATCGGAACTGCGATTGCCAAAGCGAGCGGTGCAACATAGATGAAATAGCGGGTCAAGACGGAGAAGTTGTAGACTCGCTTGTAGAATCTGCCGAATGCATTCAATGTGCCATCCTCTTTGGCCTGGCTCTGCCGTCCTCGATCCTCCAACCTTCTTCTCCTGCCCGCTGGGCCTCTGTGAAAGTGGTGACCTTGTTTCTCGTCCATCTTTTCTGAATATTCGCCGTTGTACTGGGAAGCAGAAGGAGAAAGAGCATCGGCCTTGCGTGCCCCAGTGGCGCTGCCAGAGGTGCTGACCTTGGTCAAGGGAATATCAATCGTAACGTCGTTAGGGTTTGCCATGTCCCGTGATGGGTGATGGGTTAAAGGTTGAAACCCCTCTCTTGAAAACCTCTTGTTCTGTGACATGCCGCCAAGCTATGTCACTCTAGGGCCCAAGGGGAAGTGAAAGAATGTGGGCAACAGTACCGGCAGTATTTCGTCGGGTATTTGTGTTGCGGGTGAAGTGATGAAGATCCCAAACAGACTTGTACGCGTACTCTACCTGAGAGAAGCGGACGAGTGCTAGAGATCGGAACCCAGTTTCAAGAAGAAGCGAACTGGGGTACAAGCGAGGGCGATCTGAGAAAGGAGGAACAAGAAAAATTAATGTGTTTGTACAAGATCGACAAGGATGTTGACACGGACGACTAGCACCCTCAAATACTCAATAACACGTCTCGAAAATCAGTCAAGCGAGTGCAATTAATGACAGGGATTGAAGTAATGGAAAGATAGGTATGAGGTAGAAAGTGAAGGAATCGTGAATCGGAGGATCGATGGGGATTGCAATGCATGTATGTATGTATGTATGTAGGTAGTGTACTCAATTCTACTCGATTGATGCAACGGTACCTGCGCATCCACCAAGCCAGGTACTTTTTTTCATGGATCCCCCCAGCAGTCAACAGCACGCCACCAATGAGGGCAAACAATGTTTTTTTTTTCCCTCTGTCGTTCAAATTTGTGCTCCCTCGGAGTCGCATGACGAAAGCCCTTTGTTTCGTAAACGCGCCCCCTGGTCAAGAACTGGGGAAAACGGGTGAGATTCCGAGATTTCGCTGGCCCTCATTTGACGGGCAGAAAAGTTTTTCTAGCCAGTCACCCCAGTCACTCCATTCCTTTCGGCGAAAAATGCAAGCCCCTTTCAAGCCTCCTCAAGCCCGCTCGTCAGTGGCCCAGTCATCACACTGCGTCGCATCGGCCATCGCCAGCAAAAAGCCCGCCTGCACCTGAACGCTGGGCCCGAAAAGAGCATGGGAGACGGTTGTGGCTTGCGCCCTGGCTGATTTGGCTTGAGTCTGATACAAGCTCTGAAACAGCTCCATGCGGCCGTGATCCACTGTGGTTCCCTCCAATGCATCCAGGGCCAGAAATACATGGAATTTTCCAGCTGGCTCGTTACTCCTGATAAAGTACTGGGGTAACTGCTCACCTTGTGGAGTGAACGGCGTTGAAGGTCTCACAAAGCCACCAAGGCAGTGCAAAAACCGTTCAAAAATTATCAGAAGAAGCTGGGAGCAATTTTCAATGGGAGTCCTGACACGAGACACGAGTATGAGGGCTTCATTTCGGTGTGATCGGTGCGTGTGAGATTGCATGTCTGATGGGCCGGCTGATCACTTGGCTATTCATTTGCGCTCGGCAGTACATACCTCGTCCTCCACGATTCATCAGGTTTTTGATTATTTACTTGACATCCCCAATTTGTCAATGTCTATCTGTAGATCTCTTCCGATCAAGTCATAGATCGCCTTGTTGCTGTGAGAGGTGCAGCCTCAGGCTGAAATGGATGTGAACAATGAACGACGTGATGTCTTCCAGCACCACAACCACCAACTCCTACGCTCATCAATCAGCCTTTGTTGTCCTCGACAGCCCTGGTTTGTGGTAAAAATATGTTTCGTCCCTTGTCCTGTCGCTTGTCTGCTGCTCTGGAGTCTTTGTTCTGTTTATACATAGCTGGAAGGCACAAGGGTCTTTGTTCCCTCTGGATGGGCGAAGAGCCTCCGACTACAAATGCGTCGCGAGCCCTGCCATCATGGCTGATATGCACCAAACCATCAAAGCAAGCTGCCAGATTCCAGGTAAGCCAGGTAAGTACACGCATCAAAACACAACAATCAGCAATTTCCCCCAAGGACGTACAGCTTGTGCAATTTCATCTACCACAATGCCTTATCACGAAGAGAGGCGGGAGACAACACCCCGAGGAAATGACCGCGCACATGGAGGCGGACAGGCCAAAAAACCTCAAGTCAGGAAGGTCGTTGATAAAAACGGGAAGAAATGGTTAGTGAGAGATCCTACCAGACCGAGCCGCCCGCAACATCCACCTTCCGCTTATCGACAAGGCAGAGATGCGCCGCAATATGATCAACGTCCCGGAAGTCGTCACAGTGAGAGAGGTAGCAGACCAGCTTCTGAACATCGAGCTTCGCAGCGTGGATCGCAGGCACCTCAGCAAGAACCGCGCCCGGTGTCGTACTCGCAGCGTCGTTCACACCACCAAGACGGCTCTCGAGGGGCGGAAGGCTCTAACAATAGCAATCGTCGCCGTGCGTACTCCGAAGGAGGTTACCAGTCTCAAGGACGCCAGACTCGGCAAGATGACAACCAGCAAGCCGCAGCCCGTGCCGCAGAGCGAGCAAAGCGACAAGCCAAAAAGGAGAAGTACATCAAATGGCTGATGTTCTTCACCTCGTGATGTCTCAAAACATGGTCGATAGCTCACAGGAAAAGGTAAGTCTTTCGGACGTCTTTCAGGGTTCTCGGTAGGAAAAGGAATACGTGCGCGGGCATGGCGTAGTTTATTGCTGGTCAATGAGTTGGATAGTTGATGTACTCGGTATAGATGGTTGTACTTTGTATCTGTTCCCTTTTCAAACAATGGCAGCCTCTCTCGAACTCAAATGCTACATTAGACACTGCTCAGTCGGGTCTATTGGCAGCCATCCATGGGACTTGAACGAGGGCGAAGACGACTTCGCCCCTTTTGTCCTGCCTGAAGCTTTACGAGGCACATACCTCGTACATTCCTTCATTCACCATCCGTCTCAGGAAAATCAATATATTAAGTCCTCGTGACCCCCTTTCCCCTCCTTTCTTTCCTCCCTTTCCGCTCTTCCAACCAATGTCCTTGTAATTCGTTAACTTTTTTCCGAACAGAACAGAAAACACTTTGTTAAAGGGACCAATGATTCAGGTTTCTCTTACCCCATATCAAAACCTCTTCTGGAAGGGACCCCGATCAGCCACCCCGACCGCGATGTCACGTTGGGTAGTGTGGAAGGGTTCCGCCGCACGCATGTACGCGCTTTGTCCTTCGTCACAGGGCGGGCAGGAGCATAAAGGAAAGCCAACCTTTACCTAGGTAGGTACCTTACCTCATATTACATATTACATATGACCATCTAATCGCCTCCCATAGGGGGAGAAATAGAGGGTGAAAAAAATAAACAGACCCTGGAAGCTGGAAGGGGAGGTAAAGGAGGATTCCCGCCTGGCCGCTTAGCATCGGACACACTGAACATCCGGACGGGGGCGTTTCCTTGACTCATCCGCCTTTTGTTTTTACACAACATTCCCTCTTGTACGTCGTCCCTCGTGATACTTCATCTCACCGCAACAGGTTTCCTTTCCCCCCTTCTCCTCCTGTTCTCTAAATTTCCTGCTTTGCCTTAATAGTCTGTCATTCCCGTGTTCCACCTTTGTGTTGTGTTCTTTACGGTTGCTCTCCGATTTACGATTTGATCTTGCCTTTGCCCTTGCTCGAGACATTCCACTACGCACAGGAGTCCTCCGGAAACAAATACCAACAGAGAGAGAACAAAGGGAACAATACAACAAAGTGTGCCTGCCCACGAAGACGAAGATCTCGTAGAGAAGAAAAGAAAGCGAACCATTCGTTTTGCAAGATTCAGAGCAACCGCGATTCTGTGGATTCAAGACATGTCTTCTTCAACTTCGACCCCAACCTGCGTCGCCATCGCCACGGATTCACATGCTGACGACGTCTCCAACTTCATTTCCATCATCACGGCGGCTTTTTCCAGCACCGCCCTGACCACAGCGTTCATCGTAGATATCGACGGCACACCACCACCGTTTCCCTCCCCACTGATCGACACTGCTCGACGACAGAGACATTTCTCGCGGGGGATCCTCGAGAGTGCCGCTTCCGGGGCTGAGCTGGTCCAAGCCGGGGACTGGTCTGCCATTGCGTTGTGGGAGACGCCCACGTACCAGGGCAAACCGTTCATGGACTCCAAGGCGCAACCAGGCCCGCTGCTGAGCGAATGGAGAGCCCGAGTCAAGTCGGCGAAGCAGACATATTTAGCGGCACCCTCGTCCTCTTCTTCTAGCAGCTCTGCAGCCGCAAACCCGGAGGAATCGACATCAAACACACCGTCAGGCTCAGTGTCTGAAGACTCTAGCTCCGACCACCAACACGCCCAGGACAGCCAAGACCAGCCACTCCGCCCTTTCTACCACCTCTCATTCCTGGCGCGGAACCCTGCAAGGCCCCGCGTCCCGGGCAGCATCAACGCCGTCATGACCCCGTTCCTGGAGCGCGCCAAGGCCGAAGGCGTGCCTGCATGGCTAGAGGCCACGACGCCGCAAGCCGTGCGGCTGTACGAGCGTTTCGGATTCCGGGTCGTCGAGGAGATCGTCGTGGGCAAGGGCCGTGTCGACGCTCTAGGGTGGCCCGCTCAAGGCGAGAATGCCGGGGGCGTGACGGCCTGGGCCATGATTTTCGATTCCCATCTTTGAGCTTTTAGTGACCATTGTCCGAAGGCGGAGCGGCGTTTGCTGGGCCTTCCCTCCAGAAAAGCGAGAAAGGGATCATTGCATGTTACATCTTGAGTCAAACTGGTCACGGCTGTAAGCCTTATCGCAAGGACGCAAAGGGTTGGAAATGGGAGCCGGCAAGGATTGGGTGTGTGTGTGTAAGGCGTAGTTTTGGGTATCCCTTGCCTCCTTTTCGCCAACAGAGCAACGAATGAATGAACACAAACGAGACCAAATACAAACCAGAATGTCTCCAGTCCAGTCCGATCCAAGAAAATGCTGTCCTCAATCTTTGAATGCATGACGAATGCAATGGTAATTGGGCAGGCAAACAGAGAGGCAGCTGTACGAAACGGGGAAAGGGGGGCCGCTTCCACCTGCGGAGGGCAGGAGTAGGCGTGAGAGAGACGCAAATATCAAGCAAACAATCAAACAAACAAACAGTCAAACAAACAATTGTGCATGCATATGCAGCATGCATGTATGCATGTATGCATGCTCAAGCAAACATGACGAGAGACGGGGGGGCTGCCGGATTCACCTTCATCTTCTCACGTCTTCTTGTTGTTGTTGCACGCTGCACGTTGCACGCTCACTCTCCCTCAATTGTTGTTTCTGGACGTGCATTGGCATTGAGGTCTTTCCATGCGCCCTGTAGCTGTAGCAGTGGCTGTAACTGTAGCTCGTTTGTGGTAGTTTAACCCATATCCATATCCATTTGCGGAGAAGAAAACAAAAGACAAAAGAGGAAAAGAACACCCGAGGCGTCGGTCGAGGTCCAACACAGAGACAGAGACAGAAAGACAGAGAGAGAGAGAGGTAGAGGGACCGCGTGACTTTTTATGGCCCTTGATGGGCTCCTCCAAAGCCGCCCGTAATTCTTCCACACTTGCATGCCAATGTCCAGATCTTGTGCCTTTTGTGTTCTGACTTGAGGAAGAGAAAGGAAGGAAAACATTACCAGGATGCAACCCCCCTGGTTTCCAAAGCTCCCATCTCCGTGACTGACTGGCCGTCTTTATGTTCCCTGTGCAAGCTCAAGCATCAATCACCTGTGTTTCGTATTTTGTCCTGCTCCTGCATTGCCCACCCCTGCTTCAATAACCACCTCGTATTAAACAGATCGTGACTAGTATCCATTTCCGCATCTTCTCGTAGTCTTGATGTCCATTTCAGATCGTCTCATACGTCGTCCGTCAACTGTCAACCATCAACCATACTGACTTCATTGCACGTTCCTCACCACGTCGTCGAGAGCCTCGGCAAAGTAGTGCACGTTGCCTGTATTCAACCCAGCCATGCTAATCCGCCCGTTCTTGGTCATGTACACGTGCCACTTCTCCCTGATTGCCAACACCTGTTTCTCGGTGATGCCCGTGAAACTGAACATGCCGATCTGACTCGTGATGTGGTCCCAGGTCCCGGGGGTGCCTAGCCTGTCAAGTTCGGCTTTCAGGGACTTTCTCATCTCGATGATACGTCCGGACATGGTGCGGAGATCGCCCTCCCACTCTTTGAAAAGCTGTGGGTCATTCAGGATGAGGGAAGCAATACGTGCACCATAGGCTGGTGGATTCGAGATTTCTGAACGTTGCAGGATGGCAAGTTGGGACGAGACACGTTTGGCCACATCCTGTGCGTTGGCCCCAGGAGCTGCCACGAAATGGAATGCACCCGCTCTCTCACCATACAGACCAAAGTTCTTGGCAAAGGATTGAGCAATGACCAACTCGAAGCCCTGCTCCACGAAATAACGGATCGAAAAGTTATCCTGTGCCAGATCCCCAGAGGCGAAACCCTGGTATGCGCAGTCGAAGAAGGGGAATAGTTTGCGTTCGCGCATGACTTCGGCAATCTGTTTCCATTGGTCCGGCGTCGGGTCGACACCTGTGGGGTTGTGTGCGCAGGCGTGCAGCAGAATGATGCTTCGTTCAGGTGCGGATTTCAAGGTCGAGAGCAGGCCGTCACAGTCAAGCATCTTTGTCTTTGCAGAGAAATAAGGGTAGGACTTGATTGGGAGTTGGACGTTGGTGAAGATTTGGTTGTGGTTGGCCCATGTCGGGTTGGATAGGTAGATGGCAGGGGTCGGTTTCGGTAGGAATTTGGAAAGGAAGAGACCACCGAGATGGACGGCACCGGTTCCTGAGATGGTCTGGAGGCTGCAGGCCTGTAAAGTAGAGATTATGTGTCAGCACAAAGGGAAAGTAAAGAGGTGAGAATTTGTTTGACTGCGTACCCGTCCTTCTCGAATCGCGGGGCTATCTCCACCAAGAATGAGTTTCTGTGCCGCTGAAGTGAACTCCGGGAGACCTGCGATAGGGAGGTATTCGTGGTTGAGGTTGGGATCATTTCGTAGGATCTCATCGGCCTGGACTGGGGTTAGCCACCTGGGAGCATGGCGTCGACAACCGTCGAGTGCCATGGATGGGCACACCTTCTTGACTACAGGCAACACCCAGGGTTTCGCATTGTTGTCTCTGTATGCGCCAATACCCAGATCTACCTTCTTCTCAAAATTGTCTTTTCGGTAAGCTGCCATCAACCCGAACAAAGGGTCCTCAGGAGCTTGGGGGACGACATTGGCGTCGAACAGGGTCGGCGGAGTATCGGTCGACGCAGAACCCATGGTGTGATTCCTGATCTGAGTCAGTCGGTTGGAGACGTTGGTATGTGAGGACGAAGAAGGAGAAGACGAGGTTGAGCGGAGAAAAGAAGAGTCGGAGGGGTTTGGCGGTGAGGGCATGTTCTAGGGAATTTATTTGAAACGTGGAGAGACGGGAAAAAGAAATCGTTCGGACTTGTCGTGCAGGGAGACTTGGGGCAAAAGGCACAGGAGGGCGAGGCGGAACTTTCGATCTTCTAGGACGGGCGGATGCACGACGGTTTTACCCCTGGCCACTCACCACTCACCTGGTTCTCGTCTGGGCTGTGATGATGTCGGGTGCTCAGGGACCAGAGACACTACGGGAACGAGGATACATGTACTAAGATCCCGTCGGTTATTCGGTGATCGAAGAGGAAAAAAAAAACTGACCGGGTCATATGGGACATGTGGACGTGATCCATGGCTACTGATGGCGTATCCCCAACCCCGAACATTCTACTCCAACTGCGGGCTTTGGAGGGCATGGACAAGCATGGGGTTCCGTTGGTTCGGTGCTCCTCCAAAAATCCAATCGGTGTGTTTCGATTTGCAACTGCTTCAGGATATACGACTCTTTTGTATTTCCACATGGTCGAGGCGTGCTCTTGTGCTGTCCTTGTACTGGCAGAATGAGCATCCAATATCACTCCCTCCCTGTATTCCCATCCGTGGCCTTCAGGCATTGGGCACAGAGGTGTCTGCTGAGTGTGCTGGTGAAGACGGACGGCATAGACTCCCACCAACGTGGATACGAGTGAGGGATGTTGGAGACCCAATATACATGTCATGTCTGGCCAATCTAGGTCTCTGTGAGGTTGCGATAGCTATATCGGAGACACAGCGTGCATCTTGCAGCGAATACTCGGTATTATCTTGTCCATATCGCAGTATCAGAAGATCAAATCCCACACGACCAGAAACGAACAAAATCCCACCGTCGCATAGAAGACCAGCCTCGCCGTGCTCCCCCTCTCACTCGCCCTCTTCAATTCTCGATTTCCCTTGCGTACATTCTCATCCGTATTGGCCGCGTCCTGAACCAGCGTATCGATCATCTCGCCCTGCACGCTCAAATGTCCCACCAGCGTCTGCTGCAGACTGCCAATCTCCATCAGCGACTTTTCCACCTGCGTGACCTTGCCGAGTTGGTCGTTGAAGTGTTCGACGATGCCTCTGTTTTCTTCCTCAAACAGCTGCAGCTGTTCCGGGGAGAGTTCTTGTTCCACGCCGCCGCCTTGCGACGAGTCGGCCCAGGGCTTGTAATCGTCGTGACCGCGTAGATCTTGAGTCGGGGGGAGAGATGTCGTCGTCGCCTCCGGCCCACCATTCATAGTCCCGGTCTCTGCATCGCGACTGGCCCGCACGCCCTTGTTACGCGGGTTGTAGAGTATACTCATTTGCTTTTGCTGCTCGCGCTCCAGCCGTTTCTCCACCATCTCCTGCTGTGTGGTGATTGCGTCCTTGAGGTACTTGTTCAGATACCACAGCACCCCGTCCCGAAACATCTTCGTGGTCCTCAACTGGCCTTCCTCGTCGAGTTGCTTTGGTGATTTGCCTGCGTCGGGCGTGTCACCGTCCCCCGCGGCCCACCGCCAGAGGAATCCGTCCGGTTTCCCATATTTCCTCTCTAGGACTTTGCTCGCCGTGTCGTGCTGCAGGGTCACCGCAGAGGTGAGGTTGGTGATCTTGTTGTTGATGTCGCGCAGGACCGAGGACGTCTCGGAGTCGATGGCTTCTCGTTGCGCGTCGTTGAGGTGTTCTGGTACCTCTCCCCCGAGGCTGTGTGAGACGGCAGCAGCATGTCTGTCGCCCGCGGTGTGTTTCTGATGTCGTGGCGGCGGGGCAGTCGACAGGTACGGGGTGCGGATGGCTCGCAGGTAGCGCAACAGGGACGAGATGGACTGGTTGATTTGGTACGCTTCGCGCAGGAAGGAATCGAGCTGGCCCACAAGGTCTCGATGGTTCTGGCCCAAGCCCTTTGACGAGTGCTTCTGTACCAAGATGTCAGACAAAGGTGCTGTGAGGTTGGTCATGGCAGCTACACGGTGTAGTCGACGTCGACGTATTCTTTCTCGCGGAAGCAGAATCCAGAAAATCCATTGTTAGCGGACACCTCACCCACTCCGCAGTGCCCCAGTTTCCCCAACCGAACAAGGCTGTCGAGTAACCAACAAGGTTGACTATAATAGTGCACAACGCCTCTCAACTATTTACACCTACTCATCACTTCCGACATCTCATATGGCGAGGTAAACTCAGCTGCCTCCAGGCCATACATTGAACATATCTAATGCGTGCAATCCAGAATCCCCGATTGCGCCATTGTCTACTTTTTCAAGTCATGATACATATAGTACAAAATCTAGTTACGTCATTTATTCGTGTACATTGCATTTCTAAACCGGAAGAATCATGACTCTTTGCCCAATTCCATAGCCAGATCCCACCCAGTGTCGTCTTCCCACGTTGATGCCCCCGATATTTGCCTGCCCAAGAAAATGCCGACCCCAGTTGCGACCACAGCCAGCATGAAAAAGCCATCAAACCATCGCTGCACCCAGGCTGGCTCCAGTAGCCCTGCTCCCAAAGCGCTATTGATGACGCTGCCGACTTCTTTCGGCATCATGCCCCTCAGCATCAGTGCAGAGCTGATGACATACATGCCACTGATTTGGCTGATCAGTAGTGCGAAATTTGTCTTGGTCGCATGTAGAACAGTCGGCATGAATCGAGCAAAAAGATGAAAGGTTTGCGTGACTGCTGTGAATGAAGCGAGCAGCATTGCCCCCGAGAGAAGGAACGAGATCTGTTGAGCCCATGACACCTGGTCTAGAGAAGGATAGACGTGTCGAGCAAACAGAGCAATGGTGTATGTAACGGGGTCAGTGTCGGAAGGAGTTGCAGGCCCAGGCGACAGGATGCGGCGACCGATGTTGATGGCGGTGGTGCATATTCGGTACACACAGTAACAAGCAAATATGTAGGAAAAGGCCAAAGATAGTCGCCCTGTGGCTGTCGTTGCTCGGAGTTGATTTGCCCGTCGTGCCCGGAGAATCGAGAGCGAGGTCTCCAGCGAAGAGGCCATAGTCTCGAGACCCGAGGCCTCCATTTCGAGCAGGTCTTTCTGTTGATCAAAGGTGTTCTTGCGCACAACGCCAACCGTGCGGCTCCAGAAGCTCTGGATCGGGCTTTCGGGAGCGGAGCTCTCCATCAACCTCAGCCTCTCTTTCTTCTCGGCTATCATATCCATGGTAGCATCCAATCCAGCCTGTTTGCGGGCAATGTCCGTGTCGGCGACGACCTTAACCTTGGGTCCAAAGCTCTGCCAAATGGCACTCACCGAGGCAAAACCTGACAGCAGAGCCATCAGCGACACGCCGGTGATGCCCAATCTATCTAAGCACGCCTGAAAGAGGCCGTCTGGCCGTGTCATACTGTCTGTAAAGCTAGGTGCTTCTGGCAGGAGCGCCCCTATCGCCCAGAATCCGAAGAGAAACGCTCCATACCCGGCGAATTCCAACACCCATGCCAGATGAGCCCGACTCTTTTTCTCGCCGCGAAATTTGTATCCGGACTTTGCTACCACTGAGGATATTCCCAACAGCGGAATGGCAACCACCAGAAGACCCAACAAACTCACGACTGTGATCTGCAGAGCGACGCTCCTAGCGGTGGGGTTGAATGAATTGGATATTTCGCAGAGAAGTAACTCCGTTAACACGGCAGAGAGGGCTATTGTGGAAGCGAACGTGATTGCTGCCACGCGGCGAGCGAGATGCTGAGCAGCGGAATCGGGCGATGGCGCCGTCACAGGCCGAGGAAGACCTTTCGCCGTGCCATCGGATGTTTTTGAGGGTACTTGTGACAAGAGAGGGTAAACCTTGCGGTAGGCGACGAATGTGAGGACCGCGAATGTAGCGATGAAGGGAATCGTTGAGAAAGCCGCCTTGGTGGTGAGACGAGGGGAATGCAGATAGTCCGGGGTACACTCGCCGCAGTCGTCGTCAGCGCTTGTGGGTAGCATCTTGACCAGTCTGATATGAAGGGTGGTTGGAATGGTGTACTGAATACATGTTCCTACTCAGACAACCTCTGAATGGGGCAAGAGGGAAGACAAGTTGAACTCGAACATGACATACAAGTAGAACTGAATGACCAGGACGCAAGGGGCCGAATCGAGCATGGTTATAATTTGTTATCGATTGGCCTCTCAGGTTCAGCCCCTCCGCCACGAAACGTGGTTGGTTCCTGGACGCCCAGGAATGCAGCGAGCCACGCTTTAAGGCTGTTTGGGCACCACAGGGCGTCAATACCTGCCGTAAGGGGACGCCGCAACGCGTCACATTGTCGGATACGATGAGAGCCGAAGAGGGTGCCCATCTTCAATCTTGCAGCATTTTCATGAACGTTCGCTAGACAATACACGCTTCTATCCAGTCCGAGTCTCTATCCTTTGCAAGTGGATCAATGAGTCAAAAGGCCTTCTCCATATAAAGCACTCGTACTCAGTTTGTTCCCACCAAAAGCGATTGTTAAGGTGCTTAAACAAACACATTCAGGGGGGTCCAAATCAATAGTCCCGGGACGCCGCAACCACGTCAGCTCGTCCCAGACCCCATTTCCTTGTTCAGGTTCCCGTCTCGTTCGACTCATGCCGACATCCGTCCTCAACGGGCTTGAATAATGTCGTGTCAATCACAACGCGCGGGCTCCATATTACCGTATCCTTGCAGGAGATTGTATCTTGACCGGAGCATCAGTCAATATTTGACCTCAGTGGTCAGTCCCGGCATCTCCACCGCAGTGCAGGGTATAGAGTAGCTCTTGGATGGCAAAACTGCCGCAGGACTTTAGAAGATCGTGACGGGTAACCGTCTTCCTCCATCTTTTGGGATTGGCGTTGCGGGTGTCCTTGGTCGTAAGGATAGTTTTGGGTAGCCTAGTTCTTCTGTATTGTACGACCGATTTCTTATCTGGAGGGGGATCGACCGTGGCTATACGACCGCCGTTGTGGCTTTTCGCGCAGTATGTCTGCTAGCCAAGGTGTCGTCTCTCTGACTGACGGCCGCCGCTCTTCGACTATGTTGGGCACTAGCAAACGAATGTCCTCTTCGTCCGAGATTGCGGCGTCGCTGTCGCGGTGTTCAGACCGTTTTGAGGGCGGATTGGGTGATCTTGCTCGCTCGGTGGGCGTTGTCTCGTTGTCATCCCAGTCTTCCACCAAAGCAGCGATGCTGGGACTGTTCATGGCAATGTCGGCCCTCGGAGCACTCGCGGTGTTCAAAAACCCTATGGGTAAGGCGAAGCTCCGTTCAGGCGAATCATCATCAGATGTCACGTCACTTTTGGCTGATGTTACTCGAGCAAGCGGGCCACCGTATGTACCCTTCAATATACCACGCCTGGGCGGCCCGATTGCCTTTGCAACAGCATCGGCCTCTTTCGCGGTAGCTTCCATAGAGATTGAACTGTGGCTGGCACTTTCAAACACATGGCTCCCTCCAGCGTGTTGCGCTTGCTCGAGCATGCTGCTGTAGAGACTACGGCCACTTTCCAGTTGCCGTTTCTTCTTCTTTTTCAGTCGCTTGGAGCTTGGCCGAACGACGATTACCGGAACAGGTGATTGTTGCAAGCAGTACTTCGAGACCGACCCTGGGAGTAAGCCTTGCATGCCGCCCAGGTTTCGTCCTCTTGTTCCAACAACGAGCGCAGCAGGTTCGTACAGATGGATCTATCCCGAGTCAGCAATGCAGATCTCTGCAACCGTTAATGTAGTGACGCTCACCATGCGCTGGAAGATTTCTTGCACTTTGCCCACAGCCAACTCCATGATGATGCTGATTGCTTTCTCCTCCGAGCTGTTTTTCAGCATAACACTGTCTAACAGTTGTTTAGCCTCGGTGCGATACTTGTCCCGGTCGTACGGTGTGTCATGTGCGGTCTTGGAATCTTTCTCGATAACTCGAAGACAGACAATCTCATCGCCGTCATCGACCAACTCGTCCATCATCCACTCCAACGCATATTCCGAGTAGTCCTTTGCATCGGTACCGCACAGGAAAGTCCGGCTTCGTGAAGTGGCGGCGAAGTCGCAGTGCTTGTATTGTAAGGTGAAGGCTTCAGTGGAGGCATCTCGATTGTCGATGGTGTCAAAGGAGACGCCGCGTTGGTAATGTGTGGGAGGAGGGGGCGATGACATTTTCCGTGAAGGCAGGGAGACTTTTGAGCCTTGAACGACACTTTCTCTTCTTATGGTGTCTTCGGCGTCGGCTGTATGGAACTGAACTGACGACTTGCGTCGCCCACCGTTGAGTTGGTCAACAAGTTTTGGTCGCTGAGGAGCTTTGGCCGCGCCTTTCCACACCTCGCCAAACTTAAGCTCCTCCTCTTCCTCTGGTGAGTTGGGTGAAGGAGAGGATTCGTGCGCAGTGGCTGTGGCCATTTTAAAGCGCGAGCGAGACGCGGGGTAAAGTTCGAGGACGCTCCGGCACAGCAAAAAATACAATAGCAAATGAGGAACAGGCGGGCCAAGGGTAAGATTCAATCAGCTGGATGTCAAAGAACGAGCAGTCACGCTGTGGATGGATCGTGCAAGCAGTGCCACTTTCCTCATCTGGGGGGGAAGTCTAGACCTTCCGTTACACTTATGGGGGTCAGTGGTGTGTTTTCTCTCTGCTCGGATTCTCGCGGTTTCGAAGGATGAAGGAGGTTTTCGCGTGGTCGGGGACAGAGGGACTTTCAAGGGCCGTCACCGATCAGCCGGCATGTAGCTGCATCAGGTCCGAAGTCGAAGAAGAGCAGGAGGACTTCATTGCCGGTCGTGAAGTGTCTTCAGGAAGCGGGCTGTGAACGTTCTTGGTATCTTGGCCTTGCCTGTAAAACACAATACTACTAAGCTGAAATGTTCAAATGGAGGCGAGGGCCAGCGGGGCAGAAGGAACAAGGACGAAAGACGGCGAGCCAGAAGCTGGAAGGGGTGGAGTAACGCTGAGATTGAGAGGCCGGGCCACTGATGAAGAGGGATCCGTCACCAATCGCTAGCAATAAATGATAATCAGATGAGAAAGGCGTCTTTGTGGGGAGAGCACTGCCTACTACTGATAAAAGGGATCATGATGCATTTGCCGCTGTAGACTTTCGGAACATGAGGCGATCTTTCCGTCGCCAAGGTCCTTAGGAGTACTTAGGTACAGAAGGCATTTCGTGGAGGCCTTGATAGGCGTCAGTTGTGACAGACGGTGACCTTGGCCCGGGATGAGATAGAACGATGCAGCTGCCACAGATAGTACGTTTGTAGACCACTCAACGTCCTCCATAATAACAGATAAATACATCAGTGGTCACCTGGCTTGTTCCGTCTTGCCGGTGCTGGTTGCCTACTACTGCCTGTACGGAACCCCTGGAGTTCTTCAGCAGAAAGGGACGAACATGTGCTAATGCGCGTGATCAAAGGCCATCACTGGCAGAGAACGAACGCAGGATGTTTCTAGTTAGCCAAGGCTCTGTGGCTGCTTCATCACGCTGGCAGCTGCATCTGAGCGGACCCTTGGTAGAACTACAACTCGGCAAGCATGTCATTGAGCAGTCACCCGCATGTACACCATGCAGGGCAGGCTTAACCAACGAGTGAACACCACAGTAATGGAAACCCAAGGCGACACGGGACATGAATGAAGTCACTGACCATCCATGAGTTCGACATGCTCCTCGTATGTCGATCTTTGCGTCCTGTGACCTTTCAGGCTCCTTGTCCTGTAGATTCGCCAATCGCTGCCTGCCGACCTAATTTTGTAGACTGTCGAATGAAACCATCGACATCGACAGTCGAGAAGTGTCTGCTTCTTCCTTCCACAGCAGAAAGTCTTCTGCTTTTTGCGCTCTGGATTTCGGTGGCCGTCTTTTTGTTTTCGGTCTGCCTGTCTCTACGATCGAGGTCCTGATACTGTAGCTAGATACCTAGATTCGAACATGATCATCTGGGCATTGTTGGCCACCTTGAGCAAGGCCGGTAGAGTGGCCGAGCTTGAGAGACCAAACATGGGACAGTTAGAACGCTCGCCGATACCTCTATCGCTCGTTGTGGAGGGATATCGTCCAAATTCCTAATCTTGTTTGATATACAACTGGGGGGGGGGGGGGGGGGGGCATATGGCTGTGAAATTTTGTTGTCATCGCCTTATTTCTTCAACTCGGCGTAAGGGTAGGGAACAGGGTCACCCTAAGGACAAACGTCAGTAGAGCTCCACGTTCAAGAGCAGGTCAAACAATCACCTTCCGCAAGTGAATCTTGGTCTTCCTCTTTGTGACTTGGTGCTCGACAAAGACCTCTCGAGTGTATTCTGCCTTAAACTTGCGAATGAAGCGAGGATCCCAGAGCTCACTGGCAACACCCAGGTCCTTACAGCACCGCATCATTGCATTGGATTTGCAGCCCTCGACAGCGGTCGGAATACCCTCTTTCGTGAAATAATCTTGCTCTCCGCGCGCAATCGAAACAAGTCTGTCCACGAATCAACTTATATACCATACTCGTTGGTCGAATATTCTCACCTTCCATGAGCCAGTAATGCATATTCCCGTGTTACAGACTTCTCCGTGACTATTGTCTCGCTTCTTGGGGCCAATCCCCAGCCGCCAGGTCCAAAAGCTTTGTTAAGGATTCGTCGATATTTGATCTCTGGGAGATAAATGATGCCGTCTGGCTTGATCTCGATGTCCTCAGGAGATAACGGTGCCTGCAATGCATCCGCAGCCTCTTTAGAGAATGGCTCTACGGAGAGACCGTGAAAAGACCTCGTCCAGTCCACTTTTGAGGGGTCATCTTCTTGTAAAGTCAACGGCTGATCCTCGAGGTTGTCGAAAGAATGGCGCTTGGGGTCTGTCGGCGTTGCTTGAGGAGGGGAGGTGGTCTTTGCTGGCTGCTCTGAGGCTGGTGTAGTCCCTGCGAGACGAGCTATGGACTGTGTGAAAATAGTGCGCGGTAAGACGGTACGCAGTGATCGAGAGGGTAACAGGGAGGTCTCGAGAAATGAGCGGCACAGGGTAATGGAGGAAGCAGAGAGCCGCTGAGCCGTTGATGCGCTCAAGATCTTGAAAGGTATTCGAGTAGCTGGCGACATTTTCTGTGGCTGCGATGAGAAACGGAAGAGAAATCTTGCCAAATTCTGAGAGTAACAGTGTTCTTATCCAGCGGATGCGGATGAACTAATAGAAGAGTCAAATATATACTACAGAAGACGAAGAATCAGAGAGCCTGGAAGGAGTAGTTATTGCAAAGAAGTTGATATGGAACAGTAGCTCCAATGCCTCCCGTAACTTTTTTCGCTGAGGCGCGTCTTTAAACACCAAACACCGAAACTCGTGACTCCCGCCACCGCATGCATGCGCCGTGATGTGACCAACGCAGCTTTTCTCTCGCTGCGGTATTGTCGAATTTACTGCTCGTTCGAGGGAACGTCCTTGCTTTGTGTACGCTCCTCATTTCCCTTACGCTTCCAGCATTGCCTGAAAGCCTCCATCTGTTACACCACGTTAGCTTGCTGACCTGTAGTTGACGGCTGCAATTGGGAGCCGAGGACCAACAAATCTACAGCGGAGCACATCTTTTACAAAGATCCTTGGGGTTTGGGGTTCAACACATACTTCGGCCTTGCAAGCTCTCCAGTCTTTCTTCTCATAGTAGCAATCGTTCATGCGCAGTTGCTCCTCTGTTTCTGCCATCAGAGCTCTGCAACCATTTTCTGCAGAAGACGTCAAGACTTACCAGCACAGCCCGTACTGAAAATCCGTTGGTCCCTACCGAGAGCGACATATCAGCCTGGGACAAGTGATCTGGCATGTTAGACTGCGAAGGACACTTACCACTCATCAAGTTCATCGTCGGCGGCCTCGGCCTGTACCAAGCTATCCTGTTTCGACATCCTGCTGTGTCTGCAGTCGCTTAGAGGTGGAAGAAAGAACAGATCCGCATCTTGAGCTTCAGTGGTACAGGAAAGTTGTCTGACCACTCTCAACCTACTGCGCCACTTACAACCTCTCCACAAGTATTTGTCCGCCACTACCCGCCATGTCCAACCGAATGAATGTCCTTGTCTACTCTGGTGCGCTCACTCAAGATGCGTGGCGGAGTAATAAGAATCTAATGCTATCTTCAGGAAATGGCAGCACTGTTGAGTCGGTTCGTCATTGTCTCTATACACTTCGGAGACTCCTGGCACCTCATTATGCCGTCATTCCGGTGACTGGCGACATGCTCATCAAAGAGCCCTGGACGGCGAGCTGTGCCGCTGTAGTATTCCCAGGCGGTGCTGACCAGGGCTACTGCAAGACACTCAATGGTGAGGGCAACAGACGCATTCGACAGTTCGTCGAGCGCGGTGGTCTGTATATCGGATTTTGCGCCGGAGGTTATTACGGTAGCAAGAGATGTGAGTTCGAGGTAGGGAACAAGCTCTTGGAGGTTGTCGGAGACAGAGAGCTTGCTTTCTATCCTGGCACAGCTCGAGGATGCGCATTCTCCGGTTTTGTTTACCACAGTGAAAAGGGGGCGCGGGCCGCCGAATTGAAAGTGGACAAGACTTGCTTGTCTACAGGGGCCGTTCCGGATGTCTTCAAGACCTACTACAATGGCGGTGGCGTCTTCGTCGATGCATCCAAATATAAAGACCAGGGGGTCGAAGTCCTCGCAAGCTATACGGAGCCTCTCGCCGTCGACTCTGGAGAAGGTGCAGCTGCCATTGTCTACTGCAAAGTCGGCCAAGGTGCGGCGTTATTGACTGGACCACATCCAGAGTTTGTCTTCCTGGGAAAGCCAGCAGATGACTGGTCACTGACGAAGCCTAGGTTTGCTGCAGCCAACCTTGAGACCAAACCAGATGCTCCCGGGTTCGCCGATGTCATCAAAACTCTGGCCGAGGACGAGAAGCATAGGATGGACTTTATCAAAGCGTGTCTGACAAAACTTGGCCTCACAGTGAGCGGGGAGCAAAATGTACCCTCCCTCTCCTATATGCATCTTTCTTCATCCGACCCCACAGACACCGCTGGTATCATATCGTCCTTGAGCCATCTCATCGACGTGGATGAACATGGGAGCGAATTCCTCAAGGATGAAAATGATACCTTCCAGATATTGAAACCATCCGTCTGGAAGATGGTTGATTTGACCAAAGCACTATCCTCGGAACCAGAGTCAAAGGAATCTGCTGACCAAACCGATGCCAGCTCCGACCACATAGTCGACTATAACACGGTGGTCAAGAAGATTATAGTGCATGAAGATGATCATCCTCAACCAAGGGCAACTCCGTATTTCAATCACTCCGCCTTCTACTCGAACCTGCACAAATACCAAACTCAAACCCATGGTGCCGTGAATTTTGGTGCTCATCTGTTATACGGCGAAGTGGTCACGTCGACCAATACATTGCTCGAGAAAAACACCAAGCTGCTTCGAGTTCTGCCCCAAGGGTTTACCGCAACAGCGACGGTTCAGGTTGCAGGTCGGGGCAGAGGCTCTAACGTCTGGGTATCCCCAGCAGGAAGCTTGATGTTCAGTACCGTGATTCGCCATCCCATGGCGCAGATGCAATCTGCTCCGGTCGTCTTTGTTCAGTATCTGGCAGCGATTGCGATTGTTAACGGCATTAAATCTTACGACGGCTCTCTTTATAAGGACATGCCAGTCAAGCTCAAGTGGCCAAATGACGTCTTCGCCCTCGACCCTGCAAAGGCAAAAGAGAATGGCGGTGACAGAAACGACAATTATACTAAAATTGGCGGTATCCTGGTCAACAGCCACTACAACACCAAAGAATATATCGCCGTGTGTGGGATCGGTTTGAATACCACAAATGTCGCGCCGACCACATCATTGAATCAGCTTATTCAATTCCTGCCGCACAAGGTGGCCCCCTTCACGACGGAAAGATTGCTGGCCAGGATCTTGACCGTATTTGATGACCTATATGCTCGATTTCTAGTCACGGGCTTCGACGAGGTCATGGAGCAAATGTACTACCGACACTGGCTTCACATGGACCAAATCGTGACCCTCGAAGCCGAAGGTGGACAACGTGCGAGGATAAAGGGCATCACCAGAGATTACGGGCTATTGATCGCAGAAGAACTTGGCTGGGAAGACCGCGAGACTGGGAGGAGGTGGACGCTGCAGAGCGATGCCAACAGCTTTGACTTTTTCAAGGGTCTGGTAAAGGTGAGTTTTCCCGAAATTCGCATTGCTTTTGGGCATACCGAAACGCTGACTGTCATACCCCGAACAGAGAAAGACATGAGTCATACTTGAGAAGTACAACTATGATGAGGAGGGATAAATCGCGAGGTCACTATACTCGATCATCCTCTTTTGATGACAGCACGCAACTGATGCGAGATGCGAAATTTGAAGCGCTTTTCCCCGGTACTGCTACTTGCTCCTAACTACCAACTCCCTCTTTTCTTCACCCACTGGCTTGCTCGCTTGCTCGCTTGCTCGCACGCCTTCTTATATGCTGAAGCGGGACGAAGTTCCCCGTAGGTATTTGAATCCGAGTTAGATGGGACGATATGGAAAACGAGGGACTCTCGTCCCTGCTCGTCTTCGTCAGAAAGGGCGATCCATTCACACGAAACCCCAAACGTTCTTGTCGTGTCGTGACAGAGTACGCACGCCCCTTAGTTGTCCTAATCATTCCCGGCCTCCGCAACCATGGGTATTTGCAGTTTGCAGACGTTCCGAACCTAGCCAGCCAAAGCCAGTCTTTGGTGAGAAAACCCCCCCCCCCTTCGTTCTGGCTTATCAAGCCCTGTCGATGTTGTCGGTGTTGTACTTGACGTCCTCGCCGGCCCAGACGCCGCCGTCCCTGTTGGCCTTGATCCTCAGGCGGCGGACGCGCTTGACGTCCTCTTCGTTCTCGTGCGTGAGGTACCAGGTCCACACGTTGGCGATCCAGCTGGCGCCGATGGCGCCGGCGCACACGCCAAACGACGTCTTGTACCCGTTGTGCGCGAAGCGGGACTGGAACAGCTGCGGGCCCACCACGCCGCCGACCTGGCCGATGCAGGACTGGAACGCGAGCGTGAAGGCCGTGCCCGTCGTGCCTGTCAGACTGGCGGACCGCCCTGTTTTGGTGATGGTTAGTAGAGTGCTCTTTTTGGAGAGGGAAGGAAAAGGGGAAAAGACGAGGTTGGGTTGAGACGGGAATTTGAGGTGTGTGGATACTTACATGCCCAGAATGGGATAAAGTAGACCGAGTAGAATGTGGTCCCGAATATGCATGCAATGTACGTCGCGTACCGGCTCACATTGAAGCACAGCACGAGGAAAAACGCCAGGGCGCCCGCACAGATGATCATGATGAACTGCGGCCGCGTCATGTATGCTTTACTCAGAAACCACCCGGCGAAGATGATGGACAAGACCGTCGCCGCGGCTGGGGGGATGTTGAGCAGTTGGTTCCTGGGCAGGCCGGCGAAGCCTAGACTGGTCGTGACGGTGGGCAATTGCCATTGTAGGCCGTATCCGCCGAGGTTCATGAGGATCTGGGACAGGCAAAAGGCATAGGTTCGCGGGTCTTTCAGAGACGCCCACACTTCCTTCTTGCTGAATGCCGGATCGTGGGTGCGAGGAGCATTGTCCGTGAGTCGCGCCTCGAGGTATGCTTGTTCTCGTGGTGTGAGCCATTTCGATGACCGCTTGGACTTGGGGTAGTCCGGGAGTACCGCGTATACAACCCCGGCGAAGAGAATGGTAAACAGTCCTTCCAGAAGATAAACCCTGAAGGGTTGAAACTTGGTCAGCTTTTGAGGACGAATCAACCCGTGTGAGGAACGACTTACCACCGCCAAGCGCTCAAGCCGCTTAGGCCATTCATGTAAGAAATGCCATATGCGATCAGGGATCCAACGATTCCAGCGCAGTTTTGAAAGCCAAACATCCACATGATCGGTTTACCCATCTCATCGCTGCGGTACCAGCTGCAAAGTTGAGCGGCTAGACCAGGAAAAAGACCAGCTTCCATCATCCCTAAGAAGAAGCGAGCTGCGTAGATGCCTTGTTTGTTTTGAACGGCAGCATGACAGGCCAACACCTAAACAGCGAGAAGCTTTTATGAGTCGGGTTGAACAGGAGGTCAATAGGAGATACGCAACGGAACGACATACCAGGCCCCAGGTTGCAATGATCCGAGATTGCCATTTCCGTGGCGTCATTTTCTTCAACAGGAGATTGCTGGGGACCTCGAAGACGATGTAGCTGATCTGGCGATATCGGTTAGCAACGCCACTTGCTATGCTGTGTAGAATCCTCAATGGCCCTAGACTCACAAAGTAGATAGACTGGACCCAGTTATATTCGTCCGCTGTCATATTCAGCTCCTTTAGGATATTGCGGTCTTCCCCAACCTGGAGGACTTTGACGGTTGCAGCGTTGGTGTAATCAACATTCTTGAGCATGTACATGAGTCCGATCAAGAGGAGGAATCGTTTGTCGACTTTTCGCATGACCTTGCGGTCCTCCTCGGCGGTGAAGGATGCGAGAAGGGCCTCCCTGTCATTCTCAAGTCCTGATCCACTGGGGAACTCGACAACGGTCTGTTCGAGGTCTGCTTCTTTGGACTCGGGGTACGGGGTTGAGATAGTCATGGCTGGCAACAAGGATATTCAGACCCCCTGCGATTGGGAAGATGGCAGCTCAAGCTGAAGGATATCTCTGAGAAGAACCCCGGAAAAGGCTCTGGCGAGTGAAGTCTGCTCGTCTATCGATGCTCGGAGGATGATCTATAAGAAGGTGGATGACAAGCCAAGAAGATCGCTTTATCAACAGGCCCTGCGAAAACCTGATAGCATTGCGTGATAAAAAAGACACCCTCGAGGTAGTTGACTCTCTTGATGGATACAAGCAACTTGGCAGCGAAGAGTGACCTTGCCGGTCCTTTTGCCCCATCTTAGCGGTAGCTTTTTGCCCCCCTGCAGACTTGTCTAGACAGTTCTCATAAGCGTGAATCGACAAAAATGGAGAAGGCCGCGGTCAAGCGTCATTCTGGCTTTTGCAAGCTGCAAAATTCTGTCCTCGATAGACTCGTTAGCGTTGGACGAGGCGACGTGGATGCGTGGATATGTGAATGGGACACATAAATGTAATGACAAGACAGTCTGTAATTACAACATGGTTTCTGCGTATTGGGGTAACCGCACCACACTGGACCAATACTCGCGTATACGATGGGCTGTTTTGGTCCACTGGTCGCTGGGTCGCTGGTGTAGTGGCCGCGTGAAGAACGTGCTGGGTCTTGCAGTGGAGAATCGGATAAACACGAGAAAGGAAGTAGGTAGTGCAACGGTCCTTAGGTACATGCTCATGCTGACCTTCTTGCCGTTGTCGCAGATGTCTCGGAAGGTCATTCTTCATTTCCCGCTTGCCATGGAGGATATGCCGAGGCCATCGATAAGATTTTTTCTTCTCTGAACGGTTCTGAGCACGCCATCTAGAAGAAGTGCTTGTGGCTTCTAATCTTGGGCTGATTCGTCCTATCGCGGCATGGATGCCGGCTGGAGTGTTCATTGAGGGATCTGCATGCTTGCCTCTCACATGGCAATGCCGGAGCCGCTATCGGAAGCAAATCATAGATCAGTAAACCCCCACGGACCGCATGTTTCTCGTCGTATTCCAAAGTGTGCAACGCGAGCCTGATGACTGAAACCAGGAACGCCAATCACTAGAGAATGCGTGGGAAGTCTGTTTGACTCGCTCAACAAGTTGTGAAAAAATACTCTTACGCGCGTATGCTCGAGAAAGACATAATCATACATGCTAGAGTTGAAGCTGTAGACGTGCGAGGTTGATTTGATCGCGGGAGGTTGAGGAGGCAGATGGACTTGAAATTGATGCCAAGCCCCAAAACGCGGAAAAAGCAACAACATTTTTCCGCCCCCCGCAGGGTCCAAGATGCACTGTCATGCTACTCAACATCACCTGCGCGGCCTTCATTTCGCTCAAGATTGTTTGTCTCTCAAAAGGGCCACCGAGGCGACATCAGCCTCCCCCAGTGGCAGCACAGATACCTCAGGCTTTGACAGCTTCTGCAGTTCCGTTCTCTGGCCTCAACGGCAACGTCGAAGCACCACTCTCCTCTCCTTTCTGTGTGTCTTCGGGCAATGCATCCTCCTTGTACACGGCGTACTTGTATTTGGCTCCTTCGTGATCCTGCCTGAGCCCTTTCTGTCCTGCACCGTATACCTTCTCGCGGGCTGTCAAGGGTTCGGCGTCGGCAGACTTGGGCGGTGGATACAAGCCACGTCGACGCAATTCGGGAATCAGCAGGTCAACCACATCCTCGAAAGTCCCTGGGGTTGTGACGTAGGCGAGGTTGAATCCATCGAGATCTGCTTCTCTAATCCATCTCTCCATCTCATCTGCAACCTTCTGAGGGGTGCCCACGCCAACAGGCCCAAGACCACCGATCGCAGCCTTCTCGGCCACGACCCTCGGCGTCCATCTCGGCACATCGGGGCTTGTTGTCGTGAACGCGTCCAGCATACTTCTGACTTTGTGAGCCTCGGTCGAATCCGCAGCCGTGATGTCCTGGTCGAGAGGGATCTTGGAAATGTCGATTCCAGTCCATCCGGAGAACAACACGAGCCCTCCGATAGTAGAGGCATATTTCTTCGCCTCTGCCAGCTTCTCTTGAGCCTCTTCTTCGGTTCGCCCGATGATTGGGGTGAATGTACCAAAGAACTTGATTGATTGTGGATCGCGCCCCTTTTCCTTGACGAGCTGGCGGATCTTGTCGATCTTGGGCCTGAGCACTACCGGGCTATGTGACGAGACGAATATTGCTTCTGCGTGTGTGGCAGCAAAAGCAGATCCCGCTGGGGAAGTGCCGGCCTGGAAGAGAAATGGTGTTCGCTGAGGCGATGGATCCACGATATGTCGAGAGTCCAGGTTGAAATATTTTCCATGGTGATGAATCGTTCGCACCTTGTCTGGGTCGATATATGTGTCTGCTTCGGGGTTTGGAGCGAGAGCGTCGTCTGCCCAAGAACCTTCCCAGAGCCTTGTGAGTGATTGTCAGCAATCATGCGCCAGTCTATCGGTGCGCGCTAATGTCAATACTCACTTGTACAGGACTCTTAGATACTCGTCCGCCTGCAGGTACCGCTCATCATGGTCAATGGGGTTGTCCAGACCAATAGCCTTGAATGCCGCCTTTTTCCACGATGTCACGATATTCCAGCCAATGCGTCCATTTGTAAGATGGTCGAGAGTCGAAAAGCGCTTTGCCAGCAGGAATGGAGGCTCAAAGGTAGTCGACGCAGTGATACCGAACGCGAGATTCTTGGTCACCGCCGCCATTGCGGAGATTGGCTGTCGGTCTCGTGGTCAGTTGCCATTATCCACCGTGTCGATCTGCGTGCAACAAGAACTTACGATGGTCGGATCGGTCATGGGCCATTGGGCAGCACGACGGATGCAGTTGTCGAGACTGTCCTCATACGTATCATAACCTCCATACGTGTCGGCGAGAAACAGGGCATTGATATCGCCACGCTCAAGGATCTTCGCCAGCTCGATCCAGTAGTCGAGTTTCCTCTTTGTCGCCGACTTATCCTTGGGGTTCTATACATGTTTTCAGTCCCAGTGAACTCTTTCAGAAGAGATTCAATTTCCATCTCAGGGCAAAGAAGAACTGACCTTCCATTGACCGGGTGATAGATGTCCCACTGTTGACATATCAAATGCATTGAGCAGGATTTGTTTCTTCGCTGGCTCTTGAGAGCCATTGGCATCTTGGAGGGAACCCATCTCGATTGGAGCTTTACTGGCCACGCAGACAACGACGTGAAGCAAATTGATGAAGAGATTCACTTTGCCAAAATACGACACATTTTCTCGAAGGAATGCTATCTCCAACTCTATGGTCCCATGTCCGGTCTCGCACTCGAAAACTGCAGGTGTAAACACTGTGCCCCTCAGGTGAGTTTACGCATCATCCTCCACCACCACGGCTACCCTCGCCCGTCACTCCACAAGAGAGTCGCCGGATCCGAGTCAACGCATGCATGCAAAGACGTGCTTGAACGTGTAAAGAAGATCTTCGTCACGCCTTGATGATGCCCAGGATCGGCAGGCAAGCACAGGGTTCTCCGCTCTGCGACCAAGTGAGCGGACGCTATTGCGTGATTTTAGGTCCGATTCCACGATTTCCCTCCCCCCTCCCAACCGCAACGCTTTGGCTGTGTGACAAAGTCGGAGTATCTGGGATTGGATCTGACTCGGATACCCACACATTGAAACAGGGTTTATAGAGATAAGAGCAAGGCCGGTGGAAAATTCCCGTACGAGAAAATTCTTCCCAACGAGACGTGGGTGGTTCATTTTCAGTTTGGAACACGAGGGGAGAAGAGATAAACAAGATACCCGCTTTGGAGAGCTTCGCGTTCCTCTTTTTTTTTTGTTTTCAAATGACAATCGACCTCGCTTGCAGTGTTCGTATTTTTGAGTGGGTACTTTGGTATATGTACAGTACCTAGTACTAGGTGGGTAAGATGGTAAATCTGGTAATCTGGTACCATTCCATGACTACCCTAGGTACCTACTTGGGTAGTTACCTACATACCCCTGTATCTAGCTGAATCCAAGAGTCGCCATCAGGGGCCCTCGATGTTCAATGTCCCATACATGGATAGTATGCGTTACGCCTCTAGGATCTTTGTGGGAGGGAGCTCTTGAATGAGGCGAGGTGAGTCGTCGACAGGAGACGCCTGGTGTTCGGACCCTAGATGGTGTTGGTTGGATGGATACTCCTCGTCAATCTCGTCGGCGGGGGTTCTGGGAACAGAGAAACAGAGTCAGTCCAAGTTAGTGAGTGGTTTGATATTGTAAGTGGGGATCTGATAATAACAGAGGGTGATTTTTTTTTTATGTGAAGGGACAAAAGGAGAGTCTGTCATACCTCCGTCTCTTGATGTACCACGAGATCCAGTGTGCAAACAACATCAGGCAGATGGCGTTGCCGAGCACAAAGGGGTAACCCTTGACGAATCTTGGGGCGTCGACCGTCTTGAAGACCAGCAGCGGGGTCCACGCCGTGGTGGACTGCGAGACCGTGTTGATCAGCACGAGCGTAAACGCCCGCTCGGCCGGCGAGTAGCGCAGCTGGGTGTTGACCCAGCCGTAGAGGACGCTCGACATGGCGACGGCCGAGTACGTGGTCATGAAGGCGAACCACAGGGCCGACTCGGGCACGTTCCACACCACGAGGATGATGAGCCCGACGCTGTTCCAGACGTGGGCGACGGTGATGGCCCAGGCGGGGCCCCAGAGGAGATCCGACGAGAAGCAGACGAAGAGGACGTAGAAGATGCCCAGGGCCGGCGAGATGGCGCCCAGCTGGTTGAGCCGCCCGGCCGAGTACCGCTTCAGGCTCTTGAGCCACAGCAGGTAGCCGCCCGACGACGTGTTGATGCTGCCGTTCCAGAAGAAGATGTCGAGCAGCAGGAACGCCCATACCTGCCACGACATGGCCGCCTTCTTCAACGTCCCCAGCGTGAAGTGTCCGGACGTGGCGTGGCCCGTCCGCTCGAGCCGCTTCTTCGCGACCGCGAGGTCGTGGTCCTTGATGAACAGCCGATTCGGAATGTCCGGCGTGCCGGGGAGGAGGAAGTAACCCAAAAAGCCGACGGGGATGGTTATCAGAGCACAGATGATGTACCTGTCGGGAGAAGACTCGGGTTAGCAATGTCTTTGGGAGAACGCTTGGTGACGAAGAGCGTGTCGGTAAGAACGTACATCCATCGCCAGCCGGCCAGTCCTGCAACCCCTTCCAGTTGCTCTGAAGCGGCAGACTGTAGGAGAGCCGCAGTAAGGGTTCCGAGAGTCAGGCCAACATAGAAGAAGCCGCCTCGACGAGCTATCTCATGTCCGCGGTACCACGAACCAAAGATGAAATGGACGGCGGGGAAATACGCGGCCTGTCACTCGCGTTAGTATTTTGACCAACAGATGATGCGAGTAGTCCTGCTACCACTGACCTCAAACCAGCCGACCAAGAACCGGTATGCCATCAGCTCAGCATAGCTATTGACCCGATATTGCAACAACGTGAAAACCCCCCACAGGATATCCAGTAGAGGGACTAGCCAGTGCATGGGTATGCGAGTGAAGAGGAACATGAATGGAACCTGGCCCAGAACGGCACCAACGACATAGATTGTCTGGACATGGACCAGTTCGTTTCCATTGAAGCCCTGATTTGACGAATGAGAATTGTTGAAAGACACCAAAGCTCATATCGTGGTACTCACCAAGTCTTCCTTGAGGCCTGCGACATATGCATTGTCTAGAGACTTTCATCAGCATCCATAGCCCCGAGTACCTTCGCGTTGGGGTTGTGGTGGCTCACTGATATTTGCCTGGTCGATATACTTGACCCAGTACGCCAGAAAGACATAGGGCACAATCAGGAGATCGAGTTTGGTGATGAGCTTGCGTTCCTCCTTTGTGTCATCTGGCGAGAACCAGCGGATCTGGTACCATTTTCGGGGGCCTGTCGTCTTGTCCATGTTCGTTGGCTCCATCCAGCCTTCCAGATCAATGCAGTCTCACCCCTCGCATCTACCTTTTTCGACGGCCTCTGAGGGCATTTTTCTCTCATATACCCATGTCCCGTCACCGTGACGACGCGGTCAAGGATCTGACCGTGGGAGGATGCGCCTTCGCCTCCTGACGACATGTCGCTGGTGAATGGCGAATCCATGTAACCACGAGGACTAGCTGCCTCAACGACCTTCCCCCCTGCTTAGTAGTTGCATTGTCATCGCTGCAGCTCTAGACAAAGTGACAGCCGGTGTAAATGGGGATCCGAAACCATGGCCCTGGCTCTTTCTCACTCTGTATCCTCTTCTCGTCGATCCGCTTGTGTATGTATGAAAACCCCCGCCCTCGTATGTATCGTCAGGTAAACTGGTCAGGGGTGGGAAAACGGTGTGGCCAATACAAAGATCTGATAAATAATGTCGTCCAACTCCGAATGTTGCCCGTTTTACCCTTGGGACGACAAACGTCTTTGAGGGCTGTGGGTTCTGGATCGATGGTGTCAAATAGTGGGTCGTGTTCGTGATGGGCTGCAATCCGTTTCCCTTTCTTCTCTCAGCGCTGGGTATGGATACCCACGAGTCAATAGTCGTCAACATGTGAGGATCTCGCGAAAAGAGGACCGGCACATGAAACGGGCAGGGTGTATAATCTTCATGTCTACACTGGTCAGTTCTGGTGTTGTACCCGTTTCCTACGAAGGTGTTCCAAGAACAAACCGCACAACATGGCCAACGTCGATGTTATAGATCCATTCCAGGTCAGCGCGGTCAGCATCGAACAAGCACAGTCACAGCCGAGGCTGAAGAAAGAGGCACTGGTGGTGGTAGAGGAGAGCAATCCAGCTGAAGCCTTGGACAGTGCCAGGCCCCTTGAGGAGACGCCCAAGATCGAGACACAGCCTGAGGGTCACCCTGCAAACACCCTCCATGAAGCATATCCCAAATCCAATGTACAGCTTCTTGACCATCACATTGACGAGGGGAGAAGTCTAAAGGTCGTCATCATCGGCGCCGGGCTGTCTGGTATCCTCGCCGGGATATTGCTGCCAGTCAAGGTTCCCAAGATTGAACTGATCATCCTCGAAAAGAACGACGACGTGGTACGTGTGGTTGAGAACCTCTTCCCCTTTCCTTCCCTAGACTTTGCTAACCTCCTCGTTTCAATTCGCCAGGGAGGGACATGGCTGGAGAATGTATACCCAGGCGTCAGATGTGACATTCCCTCACATGTCTACCAGTCGACGTTTACTCCATTCACGCAATGGTCGCAACAATTTGCCGAGGGCCATGAGATTCTGCACTACTGGCAGACCCAGGCCAGAAAGTACGACGTCTACAAGTATGTCAAGTTTGGCCGGCGGGTCCAGGACGTTGACTGGAACGACCAAGACGGCCAGTGGACCATCACCGGGGTGAATCCCAAGACCGGCGAGTCTTTCACTGAGAAAGCAGACTTTGTGTTGCCGGCCATAGGCCGTTTCAATGACTGGAGGCTCCCGGCGTATCCCGGAGTGTCCGACTATCAGGGCCACCTTCGACATACCTCGAACTGGGACCCGTCGTTTGACCCCAAGGGCAAGAAGATCGCCATCATCGGCAACGGGGCCAGCGGGATCCAGGTGCTCCCGAATCTGCAGCCCCTGGCGAAGCACATTGACCACTACGCCCGGAGCAGGACGTGGATCGCCGGCTCGTGGGCCGGCGACGAGCGCACCTTCGAGCCGCAGTGGTACTCGGAGGAGCAGAAAAAGGAGTTTCTCGACCCGGAGAAGTACCTCAAGTTCCGCAAGGAGCTGGAGGACAAGTACTGGCGACGGTTCCCGTCGACGTTCCGGGGGTCCGAGGAGAACCTCGCGATGCGCGACCGCTTCATCCAGATCATGGCGCAGCGGCTGGCCAAGAAGCCCGAGCTGCTCGACCTCCTCGTGCCAGACTTCAATCCCAACTGTCGCCGCCTCACGCCGGGGCCGGGCTACCTCGAGGCCCTGACGGCCGACAACGTCACGCTGATCCAGGACCCCATCAAGCGCTTCACCGCCACGGGCATCGAGACGGCGACGGGCGAACACCGCGAGGTGGACGCGGTGCTGTGCGCGACGGGCGCCGCCATCGACTTTGTGCCGCCCTTCAACGTGCGCGCCCGCGGGGTGAATCTCAAAGAAGCGTGGCGGCCTCTGGGCGACGGGGAGAAAGTCGACGCCAGCCACTTCGGCTGGCCGTACACGTACCTGGGGCTGGCGGTGCCCGACGTGCCCAACCTCCTGTTCATCCACGGGCCGCACGGGGCGGGACCGTCGGGAACCGTCCCGCACAGCGTCGAGGTCCAGGTGACGTACTACGCGAAGCTGCTGCGCAAGGTGTCGACGCAGGGCATCAAGGCCATGTGGCCGTCGCGGCGGGCGGCCGACGACTTTGTCGCCTACGCCGACGCCTTCTTCCCGACCACCGTGCTGACCGACAACTGCAGCTCGTGGGCCAACGGCGGCAAGCCGGGCGGGCGCGTCCACGGCGTCTGGCCCGGGAGTGCCGGACACGTCACCCTGGTGCGCAAGGAGCCGCGCTGGGAGGACTGGGAGTACGAGTATCTGCACGAGAGCGGCAATCGGCTCATTGGCTGGTTTGGCAACGGGTGGACGAAGAAGGAGAGGGACGACACCGAGGACATGACGCCGTATCTGCAGCTCGAGGGCACCGTAGATCTGAGACTGCTGCATGAGAAGTGGTGGGAATAGCACCAACTCCATCTCTTTGTTCGTGCCCCCTTGAGAAGCAAGATCCATCCGTTGAAAATATCTAGACAAGGCGTGGAGATTCAGAACCTCAGAATAAAAACTCACAAGTCCTGGTTCGTTCTAGTTCTATAATTTTTGGTGGGGGAATCACAATACAACCATCATTTATTTCCAGATCGGTGCCTTTCTGGCATATTTCACTTGACCCTGACCACCAATCTGCCCCCACTGATTTCACCCCTCCGCATCGAATCCAAAGCATCATTGACGGCGTCGAATCCTTCCCTCACCCCCAAGATCGTGGGAGGCACCAAAAGACCTTGTGCCAGTAGTCGTTCAAGCCAGAGCATCAGTGCCTCGCCCAGTTCCGGGATCTCGTGGAAGACTTTGATCGGTACGGTGTGGAAGTTGATATTGGCTGGTGGCGACTCCTTCGGCAGCCCAGTCAAACCTACTAGGTGGGCGGCAGGGCGCGCTGCGTCTACCCCTGGTGTCTTTGTCGGCACACTTGTCGAATCGTCGTCGACGGGGTCGGCGTGCCGTTGTAGGCACTGCAGTAAGTGTTTGGCGGTGTCTCGTCCAACTGTGTCGACGGCAAATCGAAGTCTGTTTTTTGTCACGGATCTTGTTATCTCAATCGCCCTCTCCGGATTGTGGTTGTCAACAACGATATCCGGCTTGGTCTTCGGAGCTGACGACACAGTCAGAGCATGTTTCCGGCAGTCCATAATGCTGATTGTCCGTAGCCCAAGAAGCCTGGCAATCTGGTTGAGCATAAAAGCACTAGTAGAAGAACCACCCCAGATAGCGAGCCAATCCCCTGGTTGAGCCTTCTCAGCCTTGTTGATTCCATTCAAGCACTCCGACCTGATATCTTCCGGAAGTCGCTGAGGGTCCAATTGTCTCAATATAGAGAGGAGATCCGGTCCATTTGCCACTTTGGAGAAGTCGAGCCCAACACAAATACCGAGACACAGAGCTGCAGCGACGAAAGCCACACCTAGCGCTGCCCCCGATTCTGGAGCTATGTTGGGTGGCAGCCGGCAAGTGTTGAAGTCGGTGGCGACGACACATTGCTGGTACGCGGCTTTGCGAAGGTCTCTATAGTCGGTGGAAATGACAATGACCAAGTCGCCAGGTTTGAACCGTGAATCCCGCTTCGGACTTACGGCAACCTCTCCTACAAGCTCACGACCTGATATGTAAGGGAGTTGTGGGATGCCGAAGTTGAAATCCCTAACGTGTGTTAGTAACAAAGACAGGCGGCTCCTCTCCAACAGGCCAGGGGTTTCTTTACGGTGCTTTCCAATCAATCGGGTTGAGACCGATCACTCTATTCCAGACCAGAAGTTCTCGGCTATCCAAAAGTGACGGGATGGGGTGATCTATCACCTCTGCGTAAGGCTGTTTGGGCCCATGGAGCAGCAGGGCACGCTGTTGGGTTGAGATATTCGGCAATGATGAAGAGGACGACGATGATTTTGACGAGGGGTTTTCAATCTCTTTGACGGTAAACTCGACATTGATCTCTTTGGCTGTACTCGTGGTCCTCAAAGACCGGAAGAGTCGAACGATACCCATGGCTGCTGCAACGTGAATCAGGTGTGCTGCTCAGGACTGTTCAGTGCCAAATACAAGATATTCCGTCCGCCAGATCATGAAGTCGACCCAGAATTTTGGACAACTAATCTGAAAAGCGAGATCGGATAACGGCAGCCACTCCGGGCATCTCATCGTAAGCAATATTGGTACGGGCCTTGTAAAGACTTTGACATGGGGTTTTCAAGACCTGGTGGTATTGGGGATGCAGGTATCGCGTATCGCTTGGTAAGAAAGAGGGGGTTATCCGCTTTCATGTACAATGAATACCTTGCTCCACGGTACTGATGCTGCGATTGAACGACCCTATGTCGTGCTCAGACTCCGCCGTCGCGACATCGCCCAACTCTCCCATGCGCGCCTAATTGCGGTTCCAAGACGAACATGTCCGCCCCGAGGCCCTCTAGATGGATCTTTTCCGCCCCAGCGAGTTGGTAAACATTGATTACCAGAACAAAATTTCGCTCTCACGTTCAGGCCATGCTGAAGCAGGTTGGTCACCCAGAAAAGCCGATAACCAGAATCCGCACATGGTCCACTTTCATTTGCAGAAGCATTCCAAGAGGAGGGTTTGGAGAAGTGCGGAAACGGTTCTCGTATTGCGTGCTATTGAAGACAATGACGCGATCCAGTTCTTGGGTCAAAGGTCAGCGCCGCACAAGTGACCGCAAGCGAGAGACCAAGGGTAATACTTGGCCAAGAAGATATCTTGATGCTGATGTCGAGCACCAGAGGAGATTGTGAGCCGACATTCAGACGTTGAAGCACCGAGAGACAAGATAGCAGTCCGTCGTCTGTGATAGCAAACATGGCGGCAGAGGTTGGAAGTGCGCAGGCAAATGCGGCCAATGGCACGAATGGCACGACGCGGCTTGGCAGCGGAACCAAGAAGCAACTCATCCTCAACGCCTTTGCCATGAACACGCCTGGTCACCTTTCACCCGGGCTTTGGCGACATCCTCGAAACAAAACATACAACTATAAGAAATTGGATTTCTGGACAGACCTTGCTAAACTTCTGGATGAGGCTGGTTTCCATGCCTTGTTTCTTGCCGATGTCCTCGGAGCCTATGATGGTAGGTGGAGCAAACCAGGACAATCGTCCTTCGCCTGTGCTGTTTGGACATTTCCAATCACCCTCAACCTCCCTTTTCCAGTCTTTGCACGATCCTGCAGCCCTGCTCTATCCCGAATCCCTTTGATGTTCCTCTGTGCTGGCAAATATGGGCTGCTGGATCAAGCAAATGGATAGAATGAACACAAGCTGAAGGCAAAATAGTCTACAAAGGTCCAGCCAATGCAGGTCCCGCCCTGGGATCTGGCGCCCAGTTTCCTGTCAACGACCCGTTGTACCTAGTCCCCGCCATGGCCGCTGTGACGAAGAACCTTGCGTTTGGAATCACCGCCAGCACAACTTATGAGCAACCGTATTCTCTTGCCAGGCGGTTCTCGACAGTGGATCATCTGAGCAACGGGCGTGTGGCTTGGAACATTGTGACCTCTTACCTCGACAGTGCGGCTCGCAATTTTGGTCTGTCCCAACAGGTCGAACACGATGCGCGGTACGAGATAGCCGATGAGTACATGGAGGTCTTGTACAAGCTGTGGGAGGGCAGCTGGCGTGGGGATGCCGTCGTGGCAGACAAGGAGACTGGAGTCTATGCGCTGGGTGAACGAGTTCGACAAATTAACCACAAGGGCAAGCACTTCAATGTCCCCGGTCCTCACATCTGCGAACCCTCCCCGCAACGCACACCCTTCCTCTTCCAAGCAGGAACTTCGAAGAGTGGGCGAGTATTTGGTGCCAAGCACGCAGAAGTGATATTCGCCGGAGCGCAACTGCCGGAAAAACTCAAGCCCTCGGTCGAAGCGATCCGCCAGCTAGCGCGTGAAGCTGGTCGAGATCCATATCATGTCAAGATCATTGCGAGCATGTGTGTCATCGTCGCTGAGACGGACGAGGCGGCTAAGAAGAAACAGGAGGAATTCCTTTCTTATGGAAACCGAGAGGGAGCCCTCGCACTGTTCGGGGGTTGGACTGGAGTGGATCTTTCCACTTACTCGGATGACGAAGATTTTCGGTTTGTCAAGATGCCTATGATCAACTCTATCGTCAATGGATGGGCAGACACAGTTCCGGGAAGTGAAAACCTGAAGTGGAACAAGTCGCGCATCGCTGACTACTTGTTATTGGGCGGCATGAACGCAAAGATAGTAGGATCACCCTCGACGGTGGCAGATGAGCTTGAACGCTGGGTGGAGGTGGCAGACGTGGATGGGTTCAACTTGTCTCATGTGGTGAACCCTGGCTCTTTCGAGGACATAATCGAGTTTCTGTTGCCCGAACTTCGAGCCAGGGGCCTTTTTCGAGCTGGACCCGAGAAGCAGGGGGCCACCGCCCGAGAGCAGTTTTTCGGAACACCTTGGCTGTTGAGTGACCATCCAGGGAGCAAGTTCAAGTGGGACATACACGATGAGACACCTCGATACTTGCAGGCGCAGTAGGAGGTGTTGTTGCTGTTGTATGCAGGTCCTCCAGTCGGCGCAGCTTCGCACAAAAGGGAACGATTAGCTGAGGGATATGTTCTTTGTACCTTGCCATGTGCAGTTGTGGATACTGGAAGGTTGTCTCTGGTGTACCATGAATTGTCATCGGCGATGCAATGTGAGAAGTTGACAATGACGAGCCTTGTCGTCCAAGGGCCAGTCTTAACTAAACAAGTGCAGTGGGCCAAGCCTGGAGTAGCCACTGACAGCCTAGAAGGACTCGGCTAGGCGACAGGCAACAGGCGTCCCGTGGTACCCGTCCGACGCCGCCGTCGCTTTTTCTGACGTAGTGATTCGGTACGAGTTGCTATTCTAGTGCCCCACTGGACACTCGTAGGTCGGGGAAGCAGGCAGGCACCAATACCAACAGGTAGCTATCTCGCTTCTCACATTGACCACACACCTCACTGCAACCCCTCAAGCATACCGGGTGGAAGCTATTAGAAGAGGAAATGCATGCTGCGTCGAGACAGGGTTGACTCACCGCCTCCACCGCTCGATCAAAGAATCGCAGATATTGGAGAGCGGTGTTCGAGTTGAAATCTGTATGCGGGATGCCATGTCCTTGCTCATTGAATAGCAAATGAGTATCATGGCGGCTTGGCTTGGCACCATCTCATACTAGTATCTGGGTAGTCACTCGAGTTAATTAGTTCACATTCATCACTGAGAAAGAGAGCTTCGGCCTCCCCAATTCCTGACCGAGAATTGTGAGTTGAGACAAAGCTGACCAGTCACAGTAACCTCGACTATTTCTCTGCTCTGCCTCGTCACTCCTTTCAGCAGACAGCCAGACAATTGGCACCTTCGCAAGTCGGCACGTTGGCACGTCCTATATCGACACCGCCTTTTGATCTCCTTTCCCCCACGCCCGACTAGAAACTCGGACTGCCGATGTTGTGGCATACGCTTGAACTTGTCTGTGATAGGTGACCAGTCAAGTCGCACATCCAAGAGAAAAAGAAACCCACACACCAATGGACGCTGGTGGGGGAGTCTATTCCTTTCCCTGGACACATGGATACGAGCCACCCAGGTGAAACAATGCTGGTCTGTTGTGAACAAGGAGCAGTCAGTGAGCATCAAGAATGATAGACGTTTGACGTAAGGAGCTTCCCAGGCATGCGAGCAAGTCAGGCAGTGTGTGGGTGGACCCTGCTTTTGCCATCCTCACACTGACCATGTGCTCGAGGATGGATGCCTTTGGCCCGGTCCCCTGTTGCGCATGTCAAGACCCTGCACAGCGTGGCCAACCGCTCGGTGTATGCCGCAATGTCCACAACCACAAGTCTTCTACCCTGAACCTACCTGCCAGTACGAGTACTCGGTACCGACCTATGATTTTCAGCCAAGCATGTTTGCTCCCTGCAACTGATTCTCAGCTCCTGCTGCCCCAAATGCAAAGTGGCAATCCCTGCCTTTAGTCGTTGGGCGCTTTCCCTGTCTGAATCATCACTCACATACTTCCTCGTCTCTACCATCTCTCTCAGCCACCAAAACTCATTGGAGTTGGAGTTGGAATAAAAGTCTCCTACGAGTACATCTTCTAGATTCAAACATATGTCGTCATCTGCAAGATACCTCTAAAGCCTTGGACAGGATCGCAGACACTTGCTTGGTTCACCAGTACGACTAGTGACCGAACCTAGCTGTCCGCCGTCTCGCCTCCAGCCTCGCACTTCTCGTGGCGACAGCGCGACGATTGGCTCGTCACACCAAGCTAGAACGCCCATCTTCCCACTTGGTCACCTTGCATTTCGCCTCCGTGTTGACGCACAGGTCTTTTCTTCCCTTCCGGATCACTTCCTGCTCGCTCAACTAGGAGCCAACCACTCGCTACCTAGTACCAACTGCTGCAGCCAGTCCTCGTACTACGGTCCACCCCGTAACCTGTATCGTGATCTCATTCGCGACAAAAAAATAGACCTGTCACCTTGGTTTCTGGCGAGCATCGAGAATTGAGAAAGTATTAAGGAGCCACCGTTGCTCCCATGCTCGGTGAAGGAGTCCAGCGTCTTTTAGGGCTGCTCGGTGCACATTGGCCTTTTGCCTTTGTGCTTTACTTCTGACCCTGTCCCCATGGAGACCGTCTTCATTACCATCCACGGTCAGTAAGCCCTGGCGTTCAATGCGTACTTGACTGAGATCCCTCACAGATCTATCCCAGGATGCCCGAATCAGGTACTGTTCCGATTCGGTCGAGGACATACTGGGTTACTTTCCTCATGAGGTGACGGGGAGAGCATGCTGGGACTACTTTCACCCAGACGAGATCCCCTTTGCACGGGCAGTTCATGACCGTGGCATCAGTCTTGACAAGGCGGCTGTTATGAACTATTGCCGCATCAGGCACAAGGATGGTCATTGGGTCGGTTGTGAATGCGTGTTCACCGTGGTTCATGATGTCCTTGTCGCCAGTACTGCGATCTACCGCCGGGGGCCAAAAGCAAGACGTACGAGGACTTTCCACTTTCTTGATCCCAAGCATTATGACTGATTTCTACAGAGAGAGCGCTAGACGGAGCTGGGATCCGACGAATCTTTTCCTCTTCCCCCCGGGATCCCAGGTACCACATGTTGTCGTATCTGTCCAGCAAGTTCTACGATGAACCATCTGCTCATACCCCGGAGCCGAGGGCGGCACTCTTTCTCAACCGCTTCTCACGTACCTCCACCGTCATGTACGCCACAAATGGCGTCGCCGCAATCTTAGGTCTCCAGCCATCAGACTTGACTGGAAGGAGCTTCTACCATTGTATTGAACAAGTGTGTCTTCAAGATGCCGTCAAATGCATTGAAAGCGCCAAAGCTAACGACTCTATTGCCTACCTGAGATTCTGGTACCACAATCCTCTCCAAGAAACTGATAGGCCTGACGGCGAGTCCATTGGTGACGAGAGTGACGAAGACGACGACGGTGGTGTTCCTCTAGGGGCTGACACGCGCTCTGGTTCTGGTTCTAGTGTCTCGATGGGGGATGCTCCCACTCCTCGCCAGACTCAAGCTGCCGCACAGGTCACTGATTCTCAGGCGCAGAGCGCTCCTGGAGAGGCTTCTAATTCTCAAGTCGATGGAGTTGTACAGCCCCCCGGAAATGGGGCGCCTGATGTTCAAGTGAACGGTCACGATGACAGTCATGCATTGGCTTCCGGTGCAGGCACCGATATTGTTGTCAACGAGAATGGGGCAGAGTCCGACCCCGAACCTCATCAGGTTTCAGCTCCACAACAGACCGAGGCAGCAAATGTCAATGGAGAACGACTGGAGCTTGAAGCCGTAGTTTCCTGTACATCAGATGGACTTGTTGTCATTCTTCGCCGTGCGAAACCATTGGTCCCACATACTCTTGGAGCGACCGAGGCGCCATTTTACGCCAACGGACTGTTTGCATCTCCCTGGGCTCCGGAGCCGGTCATGCCTCCCACTATACAGCAAACGACTGTGGCTCCCGCTACTTCTTTCCCAATGACGGACCCGTCCAAGTCTGATTTTATGAATACCATTCGAGAAGTTGCAGTTTTTGCTTGGTCACTTACGGGCATCAACGGTTCTGTCGCGCAGTATGCTCGAGGCACAGCCTCTCCGGAGGCATTGCCTCCAGACGGTCTTCCTATCTGGGACCCTAATGCCCATGTTGACTCAAAAGCGAATGAGTTGTATAACGGCTTCTTGGGCAGTGCACATCGCCCATTTGCCGACTCTGCCGGGTCAAGTGGCATGAAGAAAGACGAGGATCTGGGCAGCAGTGATGATGAAGTGCTCTGGAAGAGAGCACCAACAATGACGCCCTGGAGACGACCCAAGAGAAGAGCTCATCAGGATGCCTTTGGGGGAGAAGGGAATGATGGAGTGGATGGCGGCAATGAGGATGGCAGGAGAAAGAAAACAACAAGGTCGCATTCCAGTTCGGGGCCCAGCACAGGTTCTGGCGGAGCCTCTGCTGCAGGCTCTTCTTCTGGCTCTGCTGGATAGCATGCAATTCGTGATTGCACCAGACTGTGTGGGAAGTGCGCTTGCAATATCTTTCCTTGAAGCAGGCACGCCAGCCGAATATTTGGGTACACGCTCATTGACGAAGACACCATGATACTATGAAATTGACATCTGATGAACCATCATTCAATACCTGTGTAGCGCGTGATATGTCGAACATGACATTATGGTAGGATATACAAAGCACCTTGTACCTTGCACAGACTCGAAATGTCAGGCATCTACATCGGTACGGGGTACCTCGTACATACACGGAGTCCTTCATTGACTAGATATGATCACTATGAGCTCAAAAAAACGTCACACCTTGTAAGTACAGACGTACATTAGAAGCACGTGTTTTCGCGTTTCTAACGCGACAAAGTCCGCAGCCAAATTTGGTGCGTTGCTGAGTACACTTTTAGCCTTGAGCACAAACCCATTTCATCTGTTGAATAGTGGCTTCAACTTTACTCTGAAGTCGACTTCCTGGCAATGCAAGATGCCTCTTGTCAGCGATAAAGTGAATGCTAAGCAATACGTCCAAAATCGTGAATCCGTCACCCATCAGAGCCGCCCAGAACAGCGGTCATTGACGCCGCAGCCAAATTCCGGCCGGGAAAGATCGCAGCAGCGACATGATGAAGCCCGTCGCAAATTGCAGCAAGCCGGCCACAACAAGGAAAATGTGGAGGTCATCAGCCGCCGGGACGCTGCAAAGTTGAAGCTGGACGTGCCCAACACGCTGACAATTTCGAATTCAAAGCTCGCTCAGCTGGCTGGACAGGGTGCTGAAGCACAGGAGCCGGCGGTGGTGCAGCACAGCATATTTTCCCATTCCGTCGAACACCGTCACAATGTCTGTACAGATTGCTACCCCCTTGAGATGGGCTCATCCACTGACCCAACTCTAGGCATTTGACGACACCCAAAGCATCCATTTTGACGACTCGCTGAGCGTAGCCGAAGAAAAGACCGGACGCACGAAGCCTTCCTTCAGCTTCCACCATAATGGGAGCATGCCCCCTATCTGGAACAACGCCGACGCTCCCTTCCACCCTCCCGTGCATAATTTTGACGGTTCAAAATTACTTTTTGGTGAACGTGCAAAGAACTTGGGGCTCCCGGACGATTGGCAAGCCCAGGCGGATGCTGAGAGACTCAGACGAGGCTTTGAACCAGTGCACGGTAAACGGTCCAGTCACACCAGCATTGACCCGGCAAACTATGGGGAAGACGATCATACTCAAGGGTCTGATCCGGATGGCGACATCGAAGGAACATCTATCGTGGAGAACACGCCCTCGCGTACTCGAATGGCGTCTGAAGTCAAGACCACATCAAAGCGTGGCAAGGAGAAAGCGAAAAGGAGCCATAGGCACGAAGATTCAACGAGGCGCTCTTCGCCAAAGCACAGAAAGTCATTCAGCGAAATTGCCCCCCCTGTCGTGGTCGAGCCATCCGGTCGGCAACAGATCAATCGCTTCAATGTCTACAAATCGCTCGAGAAAGAACCTGAGATGGTTCTGCCGGACAATCTTCGTCCAACCATTCAGCTGCCTCAACCACATGCGTCACTTGTGCACCCCCCAGCCTTCTCGTCCAAGATGTCCTCGCTTCATGAGTCGTCATCCGACGAAGAGCAATTTCCAGCAGCAACCAGACCGGACTCTCCACGACTTGCGTCCAAGCGTCACCGCGCAGAGCTGGACCTAGATTTTGACCCGGAAGTCCTCCAAACCAAGTCCATGGCGGACCTGGACGCCATCCCATTCACACAAGACCCACGATGGACGGCGCCGGAACCGGCCCTCGACGCCAACGGCACCCCGCTGACTTTATCCACCAAACTCACGAATCTGACCAAAATGCGTCCTGAGGACCAACGCAACCTGTTCAAATCCCTCACCGACGCCGATCGCGAGCAGACGGCGGAGTGGTTCGTGGAGAAGTTCAAGGCGGATGTGCAGAGGCTGATGACCGTGCGGCTGGAGCGGCGGAAAATCGCCCTCAAGTTCGAGCTCGAGGTCAAGAAGAGGGAGAAGCAGGTCGAGGTGAAGCGCGGGGATGTGGACAAGGAATTGGCCGGCCTCAAGAAAGGCGGCGGAGAATTGATCAGGGGCAAATCGCCCGCAAAGTGATTCAGACCTTCTCTCCCCGGAAATAGAGGGAGTGAGGGAGACCGAAGGAGATGAAAACTGTACAACACAACACAACAAACCAAGCGGGAACATTTGAGCGAGAGCTGGGAGCTGGTCCCCGTTCAAACCAGTCCTTGGACCTCGGAGAAAAGGCATTAATACCACGAAGTTACGACGGAAGGAAAAAAGAAAAGAAAGGAGTTGAAAGGAAAAGGAAACGAGAAGGAAAGAAAAGTAATTTGAGAGGGTTTGCTCTACCTACCTACCTACCTACCTACATACCTTCCAACATACGTACCCCTAACGGCACGACTCGACGACGACTGGAAAAATCAAAATTCACGACTTTACATGGATACATACATAGATCCATAGATCCATAATACCTCATACCTCAACCCAATTAATTATTAACCTAGGTACCTTTGTGGGCTCAGCTATCTCGTATCGTGCCTTTCAACTGTAAATGTCGGTCGTGATACTTTTTATACGTACCCCTATTTGTATAGTACAAGAGGCATACGAAGAGCAACAAAGGTCTATTCTGTACAGTACATGTGGCAGACTGTGGAATCTGACTCTGGTGGGTTGTTTCAGTGTCGTGCTAATTCCACACCGACAGTCTATGTCTATTCAGTCTGTCCGGGTATCAAGGACTCGGTAGCTGGTTGTGACCCTGTCATGGCCACACCGAGCCATTGCCCCGTCTCTCTCCTGCTGATTCAAAGCCTGGTTTCTCCGACCAGCATCGAGGCATACGCAAAGGACCGACTGTCGCTTGGTCTGATTCGACCTGCTCCTGTTGCCATCGAGCCCTCAGAGGCATTGCTGCCTGGGTTCACCCCATCTATCGACCACCTGATGCCGTAAACATGAACGCCCCTCTGTTCGGAACGGGCTGTTTGGTCGTTGAAGCAACCAATTCTCAAATATTGAAGCTCGAGTCTCGTGGTTGACGTATGGGTGTGCAGCTCTCGTGACAAGGCTGGCACCAGGCTCTCAACTTGCCGATATGCGAAGACCGCGAAATGGCTCAATCGAACCATGCCAGTCCGGCAAAGTACTGCACTATCTCGGTGGGAGGATCCAGATATGCATCACCAACAAAGTGACATAGGCGGACTTGTGATACTCCGCAGATCTAGTCACTCCAAAAGGCCCGTATTTGCTGGAAATTTAGCTCACAATGTCCATCGCCCCAGGCGGGCTTCTAGATATTCTTGTGGACAGAGAATATTGCAACCATTATACATACGTCTCAAGTTTTGCTCTTCTCGCTTGCGGTTGACTGCTGCCCAGCCTCAGCAGTGTCACTTGCTTCGCCTGTGTCCGTCTCAGCATCGTCCTGAGCTTTCGTCACCAGCTTTCCCAGCACCTTTGCAAGTCGCTGGTAATCTGCAAGGAGTTCTTGCACCTCACCAAGCCTTAATTCTTTCGCATCCACCACCTTCATGAATCTTGTGATAGGTGGTGCGGCCTTAATGGTCACCAATTCATCGTTGTCTGGCAACCGCAAGGCGGCTTCGCGGATTGGCTTATTTTTCTCCTCTGTCGAGTCTTCCTTGTTCTCCTGTGCCACAACTATCGTCGGCGTAGGAGGAGTCTGTGCGGCAGGTGGAGAAGCCGATGCAGTAGCTGTTCTGCCACCAAATCGTCCAAAAGCGCCTCCAAACGCAGAGCCTATATGGCTCATTGGATTGAGACTGTTGCCGAAATTCTTTACTGTCTCAAGAGGATTGGTGGTCGCTAGTTGTGTTGCTGGTGTTGTGGGCTTTTGGGGAGGACCGCCTGCTATTGTTGTAGCAGGGCCATTAGGGGGCGAGTTCGTGGTTCCTGAAAGAAAGCTCATTCGTTTCCCGGTACCGCTTCCATTGCTCTGAGTGCTATCCACACTTCGCTCCCGTACAGCTGCTTTTCGGCCTCCTAGTAAGCCAAGTAATTTCTCTTCAGTCTTTGTCAGGTTAGAGGGAATGGAGCCAGACTGTCCGTCATGCACGGAGCTTGACTCGCTCAACGCGTGATCGTCTTCATCCGGAGTCAAAGGTCGATTGACGAGTTGTCTCGCTTCGTCCAGCGTCTTGGGAAGGATGACTTCAGTGTTGGGACCTTCACTGCCTCGTTCCTTCAATTTCCCAAGGAGAAATTTGAAGCTGTTATCCAGGCTACTGGAAATATTCTTGAAGCCTTCTTCTGCCGTGGAACGAACGGCTTCATTCGCACTACTTATAGGCTGAAGAAGGTCAGAGAACGTGCGTTGATGTCGTGTAGCAGGAGTGGACGTGGAGTTTTCGGAAAGAGTTTTGACGACCGAGGAAGTTTGACCTGATTTGATTGATGTGCCCGTAGCGTTCGAAGTAGAGGTCGCTGTGGTAGGAGACGCGGAAGCAGGGACCGATTCAGGCAATAAGGGAAATTCTTCAAGCTTATCCAAACTCCCATCTCCTTCTAGTTGGGATGGAATCTTCTTAGGGCCTTCTGGCAATTCGTCTGCCCTCAGGCTCGCCAGGTCGACATCTTCTAGGAAAGTAATCGCGGCCTCCAGATTCGTGAGGCAGTAGGCGGCCTCGCCATCGATTTTTGGTGCTGCTCTGAACCGCTGTATGAAATAAAGGTTGCTAATTATGTTGATACCTTCCACTGGTGATGTGATCAATGTGTAAATCAGGGTTGGCAGGATCTCGTCGGCCGAAGATGAGGAAGGGTGTATTGAGTAAAGAGTATCAACCACAGCTTTATGGGCGGTTGTGAGGTGCTGCAATTTTCCCAGCGGATAGTGCTCTTCGTTCATCTTAGCCAGGCTCTCTCGCGCAGGAGCCAGCGAGGCTTGGACATCTTCGGCCGACTTTTCAGTGTCTTCGTTCCAATCAATACCCAGGTCCTTTAGGCCTATCCCTACCAATGCTAATGCTGCTGTTTTTGATCTTAGCTTCTCGTCTCTGACCTCATCCAGAGTACTTTTGTGTCTCCATATTTTGTCATAAACCTTCTCGCATACTCTTTTCTCCACCGCCTCCTCCAGGACAATCCTTTTGTACTCTAGCAGTTTCCTCTGCTTGCGTCTCTCTGTGACCTCGGAAGCCGTCAACATCTGCTGAGAGCCTCCTCTTTGGTCCACTGGCGCCAGAGAATCACTCGAAGGCTTGTTTTGCAGAGGTTTGGAGCGTGAGGAGGGCTTGGAAGGTGTCGGTGACTGGTCTCGGTGGATGCGGGACTTGAGGGCCGAAATGTGAATGGAGATTGCTCCGGATGCTCGAGCATAGAATTCCTGAAATAGTTCTGACAACTGGTCGATCGTCGGCGGTTCATTGTATATCTTAGCACTGAGGGACTCAATGAATCTGTCGGTCAGGCTTGCCAATTCTATGGGCAACTCGTCGAAGCGATCTGGAAGGCTGTTGGCCCGCCCCAGGTCCGGGGATGGAGGTTCATCTTCTTCATTTATAGGCTTTTCAAATATGTCCTCTGGTGAAGAGTCCTGCTTTTTGGGAGATTTCAGAGATGTGACGGCTTGGATGGTGCTAGCTCTATTTCTACCAGCGGGGGACGAGGGAGCAGGAGGCTCGTAACGAGTGAAGGATTTCGTGGAGATAGCAGAGGGTCTCGACTTGGTTGATCCCGTTGAGAAATTCCTCGACATGATGAAGGATTGAGACGTGATGGTCTCGAGTGCGGAAAGAGTGAACAGACCAGTACTGTATTTGTGTTGTCAGCCTGTCTCAGGCAGCCGGCGCGGGAGATCTTAGAAGAGCATTCTTTTACTCCAAAGAGAAACTATAAACAATCCGGTGCCTAGGAGTCGCAAATGACCCCAGAGCCGGCTCATCCGTAGAGGATTCGTGGTGCGTCGTTTCGTTGTTGACTGCTGAACAAGAGCCAACAACGCATGTGATTGACGGGTTTGGTGGATTCGGTAATGTACCGAATAATAGAAAGTGGTTTAGTTGCCCTCCACAGTCGGGCTCGACGTCAGTGCCTTCCAGACCCATCCTCGCCTCCATCCACCGAGCCACCACTGGCCACGAGACCCCGAGCCACTTCAGTCAACAGTCATTCAAACATCCCATCTTCATCAACTCCGATCTCCCCTGCACCCTGATTCAGTCACGTACCATCAGCACATCAATATGAAGACTCGGAAACAAAGAGATAGGATTTGCACATCAGGCAGCAGAATCACAGCGAGCATGCTGTTGTCCTTCCTCGCCTTGACCCCCTCGATCGTTGTGGCCAAACTCCCCGCCGCCATTGATCCCTGGTATCCAGTGCCAGCACCGAAAGAATCAGACACTCATGACTTTACACTAAGACACATTTTCCATCGAGGCACCTATCGAGATCCCAATCTGCACAAACGCTACGATTTTAGCCCGCAGGCGCCCGTCCTTCTCACCCAAGACGATGACCATGTCCAGACGTCTTTCCTCCAACCGCCGCCACACTTCATCCTGCGTTCTGACTCTGTCGAGATTGAGCGACTAGTTGACAGGCAAGCGCCGAGCATTGAGAGATATCTCCAACATGCTCGATACACAGGCAGTCCGGCTGTGCTTGACGCTTCGCAGTGGACACTGGACGAGGTGGTGGGTCCCAATATCGAGCACAAGCCCACGGTACTCAACCTGGCGATAATGGCAGCCAACGCATATAACCCAGGCCCTGGCGAAGGAGATTGGGAAGATGTCAACCAAGGCTATAACCGATCTACACCATTTGGATGGGAAGGCGACGGGTTGAGGGGACATATATTTGCCAACGAAGGCAACGAAACAGTCATCATTAGTCTCAAGGGGACTTCTCCTGCCGTCTTTGATGGAGATGGGACTACCACCAAGGACAAGCTAAACGACAATCTCTTCTTCTCTTGCTGTTGTGCTCAAGGCGGCTCATACTTCTGGCATCAAGTCTGCGACTGCCAGACCGGCACGTATACTTGCAACCGGACATGTGTAGTCCAAGCCTTGAGACAAGAGAACCGGTATTATCGAGCTGCAATCGACTTGTATACCAACGTTACGGAATTATACCCAGATTCGAACGTCTGGCTTGCAGGTCACTCCCTTGGCGGCGCAGTAACTAGCCTCCTTGGTCTCACATTTGGTCTGCCAACCGTAACATTTGAAGCGCCTGGCGAAGATCTTGCAGCAAAGCGCCTCGGCCTTCCGGCTCCCCCATCATCAAATCCCAACAGACCACGCACAAAATATACCGGGGCTTATCACTTTGGAAACACGGCGGATCCAGTCTTTATGGGAACCTGCAATGGTGCCACAGCAACGTGCACGTTGGGTGGGTACGCCATGGAATCCCAGTGCCATACTGGCAAACAATGTGTTTACGATACTGTGAGTGACTACGGTTGGCGTGTGGGAATAGGAAACCATAAGATTCACAATGTGATCGACAATGTGATCAAAATGTACCAGACGGTCCCCACTTGTGAACCTGACGATGAGTGTGTGGATTGCTTCAATTGGAAGTTCTTTGAGAGCAATGGCTCGGACTCGACGACGACCACCCGGACAACTAGCACAAGCTCAACAACGTACACAAGAACGAGCACATGCAAAACTCCAGGCTGGTGGGGATGTCTAGATGAGACTACAACAGCCGCTACGACGACCACGGTACCGGTGGTTACCACCACCTACACGACCACAAGTTGCGTTACACCAGGCTGGTTTGGGTGCAACGAGAAAGTCAATGTCACGGTAACAACAACCACGCTCGCGCCAACAACAACCTCGTCCACCGCATCTGTCCCTGCTTCTGTCACGCACGACCCATCGTCAACCTGTGAGCACCCAGGTTGGTGGGGATGTCGTGATACCACGTCGACTACACATATGCCATCTCCATCTTCGACATTATCGAATCCAAGTGCCACAAGAACCGCCAATCCACATAAGAAGCACACATGCAAGACACCCGGTTATTTCTGGGGTTGCCATGATTCATCCAAATCCCACCATCACCATGTCACAAGCACTGCCATTGACGCCTCGACAACAACGGAAGGCACCGTCACACGAGCGCCAACATTCACCACGAGCGTTAGTAGTGCTACGGCAACTCAAACCACTACAGCCGACGATGGTTCAAGGAAGGGAAGGAAATGCGGAAGACGGGTATTTTTTGGACTAATCTGTTTGGATGGTTATGAAGAATATGTACCTGATTTATGATCGTCAGGTACAACCCAACACGACTTTCATGATACGTTGATATTTATATTGTGAATATACGGGTTGCATGCACGCGCCTGATTGCGCGCAAACTGGAGTTGGATTTGGGGGATGGTCAAGCAGGTTGGCGCGCTTGCGTGTATTTTTTGAAGTCTTTCAAGACTTGTCATTCGTTGCTTCCTAAGTGAGATATCATGGGAGTTGATAACTATCCAAGTTCTCTAGCATATCCAGTGTCAAATGCGAAAGATTGGATCAAACCCAGGCGACTGGGGTACAAAGCAAATTCTCAGATCATGACTTTTCCCCTTGCAAAAAACCAGAGACTGCGTTTTCCCTAAAACATATCGATTACAAGCCCAGCGGATTGTCTGCCGTTTGTTTCTTGCCTCCAATCGAATCGGTGGTGGATTTGGCCGTGTTGCCCACAGCCTTTGTCGTGTCGCCGAGCTATATATACAGAGCAAGGGCCGGCAGAATGTCAGTCGATGCATGAATATCTCGAGGCCCGTTGTCGAGCTACTTTCGCAGAGGATGTCACGGGAATAGGAAGATCGGGGGGAGGGGGTGAGAGTCGCAGAGGGTGGGAGAGTAGAGGGAGGGAATAAGGGAAGTAGGTACATACGCCTTGACTAGCACCACCCACGGTCTTGCCGACACCCTGTCCAACGCCGGAGACGGTGTTGCCCACTGTATCCTACACGAGCCACGCGAACATTTTCGGCATGTTAGCCCAGGCTGTAGACAATATATAGGGAGGGAATAGTAGAAAGGAGTGAAAAGACGCCGAACGTACCGTGACGCCACCGACAGTGTTGCCGACCGTGTCGGTCAAACCGCCGAGGATGCCTCCTACTTTAGGGCCAAGGGGTGTTAGTCACTCGACCAAGGTCATTTTCCTGTTGTTGAGAACAGAGAGTAGAACAGGATAGGATACGACCAGGAGGGAGCGAGAGATTGGCTGGGCTGAGGGAAACATGAACATACGGCCTTGTTGCTCCTTTTTCTGTTGCTGTTCAGACATGGTGAGGATTGAAAGTTATTTTGTATTGTACGGTGTCAATAGAACAAGAGTCGTCCTTTGCTTTAGAGAAGTGGTTTATGGTTGTTGTTGTGGTGGTAGGAAAGTTGATATATGAGACGATGAAGATAAGTACAAGTCCCCTACATGTATGCTATAATATATGTAGATGACCGTGCCTTGCACGGGACCCCCTCTCTCTCTCCTCCTATTCTCGTCATAACCCACAAGTAACTTTGCCGTGGTCAGGCATTCTGTGCAACAAAGAACCAAGTGCTTGACGTCAGTCTCGATCCCTCTGGCACCATTGGACTCTGGTCTGGCCTGGAATGGGATGGAGATGTGGGGATGGGTTTTTTCTGGGATTGCCATGGGTTCCAGCACTGACGGGTCAAGGCAGGGAGCCACGAGGGATCAGACAGATCCTTGATCATCATGGCGAGGAGTGGGTGAGTGGTCAACAGCTCAGGGTGCTCAGGCAAGACGAATGAAAGGAACGAGGACAAGTGGAGGAGAGGGTGTGATCCTGGTAGATATGACGTCGCGAGTAACTAACTCACTGGTGCCGATACTGGCACCACGGCAACAGGGGTGGCCGAACAGCAAGGTGCAAAATCAGGACTTACATATCGAATCACAAGCACATCACGGGAAATACTAAACGTGCTGAGCAGCCAATCCTGGTGTACTACTAATTATAACATATCCTCCGAGGCTCATACCATCAAGATAATCCCTATCCAAGGCTCATAGCAACATCCTCCTGAACACTGAATGCTCGGTGTCCTGGAGCATCTCGCCACTTATCCAGCATATCATCTTCTGGACCATCGCGACTCCGATCGCTCCGTGTGCTGAGCTGGCCTGTATTCTTCCCACTCGAGCTCTTGCTGTCACTGCGGTCTCTTTTCGAGAACCAGCTCCCCGGTTTCTTCACCACAGATGCTTTGGCAGTGCTGTTGGCGTCGTTGGACTTTTGATCTGGTCCAGATGACTTCTCCGTGGGAGTTCTTGAGTCTGCGGTAACCGTGTCGTCTGATCCGCCCACCCCTTTGGCGAAGTCTTTCGCCTTTCTCACCTTGTCCTCTTCCGTGTCAGACGAGGATTGTGCTGGAGTGCCGCTTGGAGTGTCCTCAATGTTCGGTGTCGCTTCAACAAGTTCCGCATCACGGAACCACTTGCGCCTCCTCGTATATCTACCCCATCCGTCTTCTCTCCTCCCATCTTCCCATCGATTGTCATAATATATCCAGCCTCCGCCGTCGTCGGCGGTCGCCTTACCGGACATACCACCGCCTCCCATTTTGCTGTCGCTTATTGCCCTCTTGTGTGACTTGGCGTCTCCATGCTCTATTCGCCATTCGGGATCGATCCATCTCCACCGGGACATACCACCCTCCACATCTGGGAGTTCGAATTCCTCCTTTGATGGTGCAGGATTTAGGTGTTCATCCGTCCAAGGGGCGCGCTCATATGCAAACAAAGAAGTCGTCCAACCCAGACCCAACCACCGCCGTTGATTCTCATATAATATAAACGTGAAACGAACGCCAGAAGAATCCGGTTTCCCTTTGATCGCAGCTTCTGAGGCGAGGTCGCCTTGAGATTTCGATCTTGTCCCGATTGATGGTCGATTTGATGGCCCAGATTGTGCATTGGGCGAAGTATCAAATTCCAATCCAGTGACAAAGGCGGCAGCTTTGCGCATAAAGACAGAACGCCAGAGAATAACCCGAGACACCCGGGCCGGCTTGGAATGCCAGGTCAATATTATTGTGCCAACAGCGAGAATGACTCTTCGAGGAGTCAGAATATAGAAAGGCGGAAGGGTCAGGGCAACCCAAAAGGGAGTTACTAAAAGAACACGGATGAAGAGGGTCGTCAAAGCTGGCCGGGTCGTAGCGGCGGTTGGTGTAGTTTGGGTAGAAAGAAAATCGGTCAGGTTGAGAAAGGGATCCAATAAGACATTGCACCGAGCAGTCAGTTCCTGCAAGGTCTCGACAATTTCATCGAGGGTCTTATGGTGCGATTGAGATTCTGAAGGTTGCCTTTTGTGGCCCTTTGCTGTGTGTTTCTCTCCGGTTTTGGAGGTGGACGACAGAGGCGAATAGCGTCTGGAGTACATTCCCAGTATGAGACCAACTACTACAATGATCGGGCTGGCAAAGCGAATGATTTCACTTCCATATAGTGTGATTCCCCAAAAGACAGCCACCATCAGATATGATTCCCATGGGTCTCGAGTGCTCCATGACAGAAGACCGGCGAGTTTATTCAACGGCAGCAAGAAGGGATGTGAATGGGCTAGGGCTCGGGTGATCTGAGGTGGTGTCGCTACTAGTAGAGGCGACTTTTTGTGAACTATGATCGTAGACCGCTGCTTCGATGTGGCGGAGTAGCCAGAGGTGGATGTTGGAGAGAAGGCAGCATATGTGGGGGGATTAGGGTCCCAGGCCTGCTGGGAGGAGGAATCTGACGCAGGTGCATATGAGGACGGTCTTGACATCGATGTGATCCAAGGAGTTTCTGAGCAGTCATTAGCATAGCTGAAATAGAAAGTCCGGAAGGGGATCAGGACATACCAAAAGCTGCCATACACCGAGTAATGCCGGGTCATGAGGATGACGCCCAAAGGATACCTAAACAGAATGACGCTACTGGTGCGGAGACGGAAAGACTCAGTCCAGGATCGCCTGATTGCTTTGTAGAGGTCTGTTGTTCAGAAGTATTATAAGAGATGATAGCGACATATTTGATAAAGGAAGATATTTGATGGCTCGGCGGATGTGAGATGTGGTCTTGTGGACAACCTTGACTGCGGCGTAGGCATGTGCACAGCGCAGGCAGAGCCGTGACGATCAATGACTTGTTTGGTGACCGCATCGATGCAGGTGGCAGGACACAAGGGAATCAGTCACGTGACCTAGAAGAGAATTGCGTGGAAATTTAGGCGAAGATTCGCCGGCCGGAGACTGCGACAAGCAAAAAGATTTCCTGCAGCTTCTGTCTTGAAGAACAAATGAACACTCCGCCATCGCCCACATCGCGATCATTAACCCATTTGATCTTGTTACTTTCCGACAAGAATCAATGGTATGTATCCCCTAGTTCTAGATGTCCCCAGTCAGTCGTTCCCTGCAGGACCGGACTGACCATACCAGGCGCATCGAATTATCGCCCAGATCGTCCTAACCGGAGGGCGTGTCTTTGGCAGAGCGTTCGCAGAGGCATACAAACAAGCTCAGGCATCGACACAATATGCAAGGGCTGCTGCGAAAAGCGACCCAGGCGCGGTCAACACCGCCGCCGCTTCTGGGATGACCCTCGACGAAGCCTGCAAGATTCTCAACGTGAAGCCTCCCCAAGGCGGCGCCACCAACATGGACCAGGTCATGGAGAGGTTCAAAAAGCTGTACGATCTCAACGAGCCTAAGAAAGGCGGGGGTGGATCCTTCTACCTCCAAAGCAAGATTCTTCGTGCCAGAGAACGGATAGAGATGGAGGCCCGTGCCGCCGAGCACAAGGCTCGGTTGGAAAAAGAAATCAAAGAAGGTTGGAGACCCAAGATCTATAAAGACTGATCTCCCTTGCGGCTGACCGTCTTCAAAGGACGGTAACGAGACCGGATGGCCAGCTAGGCCTACATGACTTCGCACCTCGTCCCTCGGATCCTCTCTTTCGACGATTGTTTCTCGTGCATAGCGGACGGCGTTGGGCGGAAATTTCTCTGTAAAAACCATTTGTACTATACCATGGGTGAGGGTCTACGCTAGAATTTCTCAGCAAAAGAATGGGATTATCACGTCTTGGATGGATGCTCTTTCTACTTTTGCGGAAAGGAGGATGATGTTCAGGAGGAGACAGCAGACAAGTTGACGCGGTGTCTCTAATGTCAGTGCTGTCGCAATCGCAGCCTTGGAATTGGGCAGGGACGCCGCTCCAACCTGACGAGCGTATCTCCACTCAAGAAGGAAATTGGGGCCAAGTCGAAGCAGCTAATGACCGGGCCTGGTTTGAAGTTGATGCAGACATATAAGAACGACAGAGGACAGGAATTCAGGAGAGAGAGTTGAAGAAACTTGGTGCCCCTTCGGACGCTGGAGCAGGTCCAAAAATGATAGCATTTGTGCACATTCAGTTGGCATTCCGCCCCGGTACTGGCGAGTGGCCGTTACATACTTGTATGGGGCCAACTAAAAGAAGAGACACGGATCAGCCAGGCCGATAAGCGTTGGAGACTTGCAAAGGTAAGAAGGAAGAGAGGGCCACACTAGGATCATCAAGATCACCAGGATAGAAGTGGGTATCGACGGGAGTTGAAGTGCGATAAGGTGTGAGATCTGTACGCAGTCTGTGTAACCTGACAACCTGGCAACCTGCGTGCAGACTGCGCCCAGACCAATATGAGAGCGTCATGGATCTGAATGGCGTCGTCCTCGATTCTCCTTCGCCATGTTCAAGCCATGTTCAAGCCATGCATTATCTTTGTGTTTCGTGTCTAGTATCGAGTCAACGTTGCGTGCTTAGACGAAGATCCTGCTTGTCCACCTCATCACTACCAAATCCCTCGGCTGAATCCGCATCTTTCGCTCCACACATTTACCAAGTCCTCGTATCCTCCCCAACCACCTCCCTCACCAAGTGACAGCCTGCGAATCCGGAGAGAACAATCTAGGCCACCGGCAATCCACCCCCTTCTTGTTCTCTAGCTCGATATCAGCCGCAGGAACCTTTCCCTTGCATGCATTGGACTGCCCCACTGCGTTGTCGCCATCGCTCCCAGAGTTTCCGAATCGAACCAAACACCCAAAAAATAGTCCTTGGTGGCTCCTCTCACCGATTGCGACCGCCGTCACCCAGAAAGGTATTACATTGACATCTTGCTCCTACATACTTCCAATCCGCCTCCATTCAACATCCCCCTTTTTCAACCAGGACCGCATACTCTGTGCTTGGCCCGTGGGACTGACGAAGCCATGCCTAGGTCTCAATCGCCACTGTCCAACTCACTCCCTCCTCTCGTCTTCGGGACCGCCACCTTCAACTATCAGGTAAATAACCACCTTCTTTTGCAACCCGGCATATCTGTTGATATCTGGCTTACAGTACAATGTTGATCCATACGCCCTGGGTCCCACTTCTCTTGTCCAGAAAGCTCTCGCCCAAGGAGTCCATGCTTTTGACACCTCTCCTTACTACGGACCGGCCGAAGAGATCCTCGGGACTGCTCTGGACAGCGACCTAGTCCGACAACACTATCCGCGAGATCAGTATTTTATCCTTACAAAGGTTGGCCGCGTTGCCGCCGATGCTTTCGACTATTCCCCGTCATGGGTCCGACAGAGCGTCCAAAGAAGTTGTAGTCGTCTGAGGACTGACTACCTCGATGTGGTCTATTGCCATGATTGCGAGTTCGTCTCACCAGAGGAAGTCCTCGGCGCCATCAGGGAGCTCCGCCGGATACGGGACGAAGAAGGCACCGTGCATTACGTTGGTATCTCTGGCTATCCTGTGCTGGTTCTTTGCGAGCTGGCTGAAATGATTTTGCGAGAGACTGGAGAACCACTGGATATTGTTCAATCGTACGCAAACTTCACCCTTCAGAATACCCGGCTGCTTTCGGACGGTCTTGAGCGCCTGGTGAACGCTGGTGTGGATGTTGTGACAAATGCCAGCCCTCTAGGAATGGGCCTGTTAAGATCAACAGGTCCTCCTGTGGGCGCTATGGGTAATTGGCATCCTGCTCCGGACGGCCTCCGACAAGCCTGCATCAATGCCGGAAAATGGGCAGAGTCCAGAGGAGAAAAGCTCGAAGTTGTCGCGGTCAGATTCGCTCTCGAGAACTGGCTCCGGGAAGGCGCCAAAGTTGGATCCTTGGGTAACCCACTTGGAAACACAGACACGTCTTATGGCCATGCTTTTAGCCTGCCTCAGGAGAGAGTAGGCGTCAGTGTCATGGGTGTCAGTAGGGTGGAGGAGCTCGACGAGACGATGCGAGTGTGGAGAAGCGTTCTCGATGGACTGGCTGACGACCTCGATGCGGAACCCGGCACCATTACTCCCTGCGACTCGGTCACTGATCACGAATGGTCTCTAGCACGTCGACAAACCATCCGCGAACTTGCCAAGGGAATTCGAGGGGTTATCGGATCCGAATGGGTTGACTATGTCTGGGAGTCCCCTGATCCAGGCTTCATTAATCGACGAGAGAGGAAGGATGATGTCGTGGTGAATGAGGTCGAAGTGCCTGTTGCTGTCGACACAACGATGCTGACACCTCCCTCCGAAGCCGACGATAATGGAGTACCAACGGACGTCCCCCCAATGCCCTGAAACGAGATTTGTTACAAAGATATCTTTCAAATGGTAGGGGCGGATCTATCCCTTTCGAAGCCATCATTTGTGCATGGATTTCGGCGACTACCAACTATTGTCCTTTTCAACCTGAGCTATTTTTGCATCCCGGATGATCACGACGTCGAAGAGAGACCGCAATGCATTTTTTCCACCCCGGAAACCCGGAATGTATTCATTTTGGTCTGGTCGCAAACTAGTCAGGAGTTGGATTTTAGAGCTCTTTGAAAATCTCCTTTGCTCTTTAGATTGCAAATGCTTGACAACGTGCAGCGAAGCGCTTGGAGATGGGAGATCGGGGGACAGGGCTCGCGAACGCGACCCTTGTCGGCACTTGGAACCCTCATTTTCAGGTGTTTTTAGCCTCTTGAGAGTATTGAGAGTATTGAGAGCAGGAACTTGAGGCGATGGCATTAACACATTCTCTGTTCTGCGTGGAGAAGTCACGCTCTTGAGATTCGGACGGAGGTCTATCATGGCATTTCAGTCCCAGACTAGCGGTCCTGACCTGATGCAGGGAACACTTCCACCGCATACCGACAATGGCAGCGTGTGTGCGAAATGCTCTACCCCAAATCAATCAGCTGGTGAAAACGAGATGTGATTTTTCGCCGTTCAACGAGGCTACCTGGCTACGTATGTACTACAACCACCATAGGCGGGACGTAGTGGAATTGAATAAAATGGAAAGGATAGAAAAGAATAAAACGTCTCTCCTCCATGTTTGCACGCCCGCGCGATCTGTCCACATAAAGTACTTGTACCTACATACATACTCATAGTACTATGTAGGTTACCTGGTTACCAGGTTACCTGTGTTAGATACCAGACACCTCGTACGAGTACGTGGACGTGACGTTGGCCCTCTCTCCCGCGCCGTCCCTCTCCATCTGGCCTCTCTCTCTGGGGAAATCAATCACGAATCACTCACTCACAATGACCGAGGCTGAAGACTTCTTATCATGAATTCTCTGGGTATCTAAGACCTAAGACCTAAGACCTAACTAAGACCTAAGGTAGGTAGGTAGGTATGCATGGATGTTAAGGACGAATGTATACCGGGACTTTCCTGTGGTGATGATGTATTTCATTCCACCTCGACAAGGACGGCCCTCTCGACAAGCCAGTCCAACACGCCCTGGACCGTCCATCTCCCCTCCTTGAACCTCTTCCACACGGTATCTTCGCCGGCGACATTGCCCACGGCATCCTCCAGGCCCTTAACCCCGACCATGCCCTCCTTCTCTCGCCAGACGCGCTCGGCCTCCTCGCCGGCCCGCCTGACCATGAGGTCCTCGTCCTCGGCCCGGTACAGGTCGCAGCGGTCGCACTCTTGACATTTTTGGCCGGGGATGGGCCGGAAGTGTTCGCAAAAGTGCCGGTAGCCTTCACCGGTTTCGATGTTGGAGCCAGCCTTGCCGATGTTCTTGCGGCAGAGGTAGCACATGCTATACCCGCACACGCAGGTGAGTTTGTTGCACCCCGAGGTTTTCACAAATGAGGTCCCACACCGTGGACATGTCCTCTTAATGGCAGCAGTGCGTGCTGCCTCAACGGTCGTGCGGAGTGAAAGAATCAAGGGTTCGTGGCAGACGTGCGGATCGTGCCACGCCTTTTGGCATTTGAGGCAGGACTTCCGCATGCAGGAGGGATTCCGACATTGAAAGCGCGTGGTACAAGTCTTAACGGCTAAATGGGCCAACGACGTGTAGAAAAGTGTAATAAAGTAACGGGGGAAAAGAACGAAGAAAGGTAATAGAAAGAGGATGGTGGCCGGGAGGAGTTCGAGCAGGAGGATGCATATAATAGTGTGGATGCCTGTGATGGGTTTGCGAAGTCGCCATGTGATGGCCGATGTGACTGTGTCCGGATCGTAGATCTGTTCGACTTCGGCGTAAGAGCAATACGGGCATCGCACGAGTGGTAGAGCCGAGTGTTGGAGGTTGTGCTCGGCCAGACGGTCCTGAAACTTTTTCCAGGTTTCAGCGCTGGACTTGTTGTCGAAGCGGTCGAGAGCGCGCTTGAGAAGGTCCTGATGGATATGGCCGTCACAATCATCTGCGGCCAGGCACTTCAATGTGCCGCGCTCGACGTCGACAGATTTTGCCCACCCTTGCCCGAAGAGGGCCTCGTGGAGAGTGTGACGGGCGCAGTCTAGGCAAATAGTATGATTCGAGTGTGTGCAGAATGAGGCGTCCTCGAACGTGACATCGTTATAACAGACCTGGCACTCAAACAGGGCACCCGCTTCCTCGGCCTCCTTCAGATTGAGGGCTTGAGCGAGTTCCAGGTCGATCGCTTGTTGGTCTCTCGGTCGTCGAGACGACTGCGCGGACACGGAGAAGAGATTTGACAACTCCTTGTCAAGGTCGCGAGACCCTGTCGAGATCAAGCGTGGCCCTCCAGGATCCGCCTTTGTTCTATCCAAGAGGACCGACGGAGGTTCGGCCTGGGATCGCTTCTTCTTGAGGAGGTTTGCAAAGGTGGCTTTCCACGACCTGCTCGTCAATTCTTGAAGGGTAGGCCGCGCATTCGTATATGAGAAGTTGACTTCCGCGAGGACGGCGTCAATGGCACTCTTGCCCAGTGCACTGAATTCACGTCCCACCGTCCGTCTGACCGCGTCCTTATACTCCTTTGTCCTGAAAAGTTCGTCTGCCGGGATCGGCTCCTCCACGCTCCTCGGCGGGACATTCAATCGGCCCTTGGCCCATTCTGCTTTGTACTTGTGGAGTTGCTCCGTGGCGATCGGGAGTCTACTGTCGCCATCGAAGCGGACAAGGAGTTCCCGGAGGACCTCGACCTTGACGTCCGGGAAGAAGTCGGCGAGCACGAGCAAGTCCTTGTTCAAGGGCACCGAAGGATCTTCATCTTCAGGGTCTCCGGCGGGCAGGGACTCCTTTGAGCCTGTTCTAAAGGGATTCTTTCTCAAAACTTCGGTGAGCGCGGAACTGGGGGACGTCTGTCGGGAGGTGGGAGTCGACGACGAGGAAGAGGAGGAGTGTTGTGAGGGCGCGCGGTGATGGGATGACGAGGATTTGGGGTTAGCGGAGCGTTTGGATGCGCCTGAGTAAAGCCACATCACTCCGACTGCTGCGGGTCGATTTGAACATGGTGCTCAAGTAGACATGAACAGAGGGACGGGCGAGGATAGCGCATTACTCTTTGGGCCTTTTTGAGGAGTTGCGAGGTGTTGCCGTGCGCTGCCTGCGTGCTGCTGCGTAGGCATGAGTAAGTTGGTCACTGAGCAAAATAATTGATAGCCACCAGTGACATGGAGACGGCGTCTCGGAGGCCCCCAAAGCGACCTTATTCCGCTTGTGGGCGACGCCAAAATTATTATTAGTGATGCTTCCACTCAAGCGTATAGCGTATCTTCGTAAATTTCCTGACCTTCATCTATGTACCTGATCTACCTATATACATATGTACATCCCCCTTATATTCGTTATTCGAAAGCAATCCGCCACAGGGAGAATAATCGGTCTACGTTTCGGACACAACTCGAAGCTTCATCAAGTACGAGTTTGTAAAGAAATTGATCTCTTCCAAACCTATACACGAGTTACGGCTGGAGGCTAGTATAGCGTATATCGTATCGAACGCATCCAACCATGCAGGACTTCGCCCGAGGCGATCCCTTTTTCCAACTTTCCCATGGCTCCGCCGGATGTGATAAAACTCGGTACATTGTTGAGACCATTCACCACTGACTTGAGAAAGACACGAGAAATCCGTGATGATAGCATAGACAATGAACAAAAAAAACAATTAATTCCCTCGCTCGTACTCATTCCGACCGACCATTTCCATCCTATCCAAGCCAGTTAAGTATTTTGTTGCTTTTTAATCCAGCACCAAAAAAATCCCGACCCCCTCCTTTGGGAGGAGGAGCAAAAAGGGCTCAATCGGGATTCGAACCCGAGGCCTGTCACATTTCATGGCTTTTACAACCAGAGGCCAATAAAACCCGCCCGAAGCGACAATCATACCACTAGACCATTGAGCCATTATTGATGAGAAGAAAGAATCTGTGTCTGATTTGGAGCACATAAACCAGTAAGTTTTCTGCGTGTATAGTATATGACCTATAGATTTTGTTGGGGCTCTTTCTCGGCTATAAACCCTTCATCCTCGGCCCCTACGTTGACCCAGCGCGGCCCCAGTACTGGACTTTTGGGAATCAACTCACACTTAACCGTCCTCAAGTCATGGATAATGAATTACTATTCTCTATTTTAGAGAGCTTCTAGACTCACGTTGCCAATATTGTTTGATTCTGCTACCGGATTTCCCCCAGGCATGCTTTCACTACATAATCTACAACTTGGGCTTGGGAGATCCCAATAGCTCCGCTCCGGCGCCGGCAATGCATAGCTTGCCAGTTTCCTTGACTCGGGTCTGGAAGATGACCTTGTTACCCTCCTTCCACATCTCAGTCACCAGAGTCTGGCCTGGAATAACGGTACCGGCAAAGCGGACTTTGATGTTCTTGAAGAGGCCGTAGGTCTGGACAATGTGTTTACCGCTGAATCCCATAAAGCAGAGACCGTGCAGGATAGGATCCTTGAAACCACCGACTTTGCTGAATTCAGGATCAATATGCAGGGGGTTCCGATCACCGTTCAGTCTGTAGAGAGCAGCCTGATCTTCCGAGGTCTTCTCCTCGACAACGGCATCTGGGGCGCGCTTGGGCGGTTGGTAGATGGTCGTTGCATTGCCGCGGTTGGCACCCTTCTTGGGTCCTCCAAACCCACCAGATCCACGGACAAAGACGGTGGATTCATTGTAGAAGATATCCTCTCCGGTCTTTGCATCTTTGGTGACGGTGCCAGTCACGACAATCCCGGCGTTGCCCTTATCGACAACCTCCACCAGTCGAGGGTACGAGATCAATTTGGCAGCCGTGGGAATAGGATACTTCCGGATCTCGAGGTACTGTTCGCCATGCAGCAACATCATAGGTGAGAAGTTCGGAAGAACTTCGTCCATCGAGAAGGGAGCAACTGCACTGAAATAGGGGATGACGCCAAATGTTGGCAGGACTTGGAAGTTGTCGTCGTTTTCGTAGACGAGGGGCAGCTGGGTTCTCTTCGCGTTGAGAGACAGGTTGTAAAGGATAACATCCTTGTCATCGTAGACAAATTCAGTCCCACTGGCTTGCGCTTTCTTGGCCTTTTCGATTGCTGCCAAGTAGTCTGTCCCAGACTCGGACTTCTGTGATTTATTGCTCTTGTTCTCCATGTTGGCCATGATAGATTTCAAGCCATCCGTAGGGGTTTCAGGATGATCCGCACGGCCATCATCAAAGTTGATGATCCGCTCCCATTGCGCGACAACGTGCTCGGGCGTCAACTGAACATCGACAGGGAATCCGTGGCCGCCGCTTCTTTGCCATCGTGTTCGTCCTTGCCAGCCACTGCCGACTTCAAAAAGGAGGCCTGTTGGTGGTTCCGGCACCTTGTCTGAGGAGAGTGCAAGCACCAGAGGAGCGACATATTCGGGCTTGAAGAGTTGGATCAACTCCTCGGGCAACACAGTTCGGGTCAATTGCGTCCCTGCATTGGGTGCGATGGTGTTGACAAAGATGTTGTTCTTGCGGCCTTCCAACGCCAGAGCTCGAGAGAATCCCAGTATGCCGAGTTTCTGTTCAGGTCAGTAAAAAGCCCATTCCGCAACTCGAGAAACTTACCGCGGCAGCATAGTTAGCTTGACCAAAGTTACCATAGATACCGCTCGTGCTGCTTGTGTTCACAATTCGCCCATATTTCTGCTTGAGCATATACGGGTATGCTGCCTTTGTTACCTTGTAGGTGCCACGGAGATGGACATTGAGGATGTCGTCCCATTGCTTGTCGTCCATGTTAGCGAAAGCCTTGTCCCTGAGAATGCCGGCGTTGTTGATCAAGATATCTATTCTACCGAATGTGTCGATAGCTGTCTTGACCACGGCATCACCGTCCTCGACCGAAGCCTTGTTGCCAACCGCCTTTCCGCCGAGTTTTTCAATCTCTTGCACAACGGTGTCTGGGTTCACGAGGTCATTGACGACAACAGAGGCGCCGCGTTTTGCAAAAGCGAGACAGTAGGCCCGGCCAAGACTGATCATGTTAGTGTAAGGTCAAGTTATTAAGTATAGCAGGAGAACATACCCAGCACCACCGCCAGTCACCAGGACGACTTTCCCATCGAAGCGGATGTCCTCGCCTTGTTCGTTGGGTGGCAGCTTCATTGACTGTTCCGCTTTGGACACGAAATCGGCGACACCGTTGGGGTATTCCGGCTCAGAGAAATCGTTGACCTTGTCCCATTTTTTCAGGATGGCGCCGGGAGTGTAGGTGTCGTCGGCTCTGAGCAACAGGCCTTTGGCACGTTCCCACCTTAGCTTGGCGATATGACCTCCACCAACTTCGAAGATCGAACCGGAGGTATGCGTGTTGGACGGGTGGACCAAGACAGCTACAAGAGGCACCACCCATTCAGGCTTGAGACTGGCGAGCACCTCTGGAGGCATCACGGTCGCCGTCATTCGACTGGCGGCAATAGGGGCAATGACATTGCAAATAATGTTGTATTTGGCACCCTCTTTGGCCAAGGTCTCGGTAAACCCGACCTGAGCCAGTTTCGCCGCGGAGTAATTGCACTGACCGAAGCTGCCGAACAGACCAGCGGCGGAAGCCGTGTTGATGACACGTCCGTACTTCTGTTTTCTGAAATATGGCCACGCAGCTCTTGCGCACTTGTAAGCACCTTTGATGTGGACGGTATTGATCAAATCCCAGTCAGAATCCTTCATGTTCTTGAAGCTAATATCGCGGAGGATGCCGGCATTGTTAAGGAGGACGTCGACACGGCCATAGTTATCGATGGCGGTCTTGATGATCCTGTCGCCAAACTCGACACTGTCGTAGTTGGCAACTGCATTGCCGCCCGCAGCTTTGATCTCATTGACAACGAGGTCGGCGGCCTGGGAGAAAGCAAGGTTAGAAGATGGGATGGACGAGCATGTGACAATTTCCAGGACTGACCTTTGTGCTGCCACCACCCTCGCCCTTGAAGGAACCGCCCAAGTCGTTGACCACGACATTGGCACCTCTCGAGGCGAAGAAGAGAGCGTATGCTTTCCCAAGACCACCACCAGCACCAGTGACCACCACGGTCTGGTTGTCGAAACGGAGTTCTTGCACCATCGTCACCTGTTCAACTCTGTCTCTGGGTGCGGAATACGGAGGATGAGTTTGCGTTCGACGTCACACAGTAGAGGAAAGAGGGAGCAAAGAGGGAGAATGAGACGTCTTTAGGAGAAGGGAGAAAGCACCGATATAAGACCTTCGGCCGTAGTCAGGGCAATAAAAAGAATATAGCCGAAGATTATGATGATGCCAACAGCACTAGGAATGTGTGTACAAGTATGATCATGTACCGAGTCCTTGTCATGCGCAGTGGCTATTACGAGCGGCCTCGGTGGGTGTCATTCTTCAAAATTACCGAGGCACAAGTCACATGATCAAATCCAACTCCAGCACCTCAGCCCCACACAAGGTCTTACTTCCCTCGTCTTCGCTCCCTCACAGCGAAAAGCCGCCGTCGGTGAGCGAAAACATGCTCCGAAAGTCCCGCCCACTTTCTAGCCTCCACATCTGCTCCTGTCGGCATGTGAAATCAAGGCGTCGCGGATGCTAACCAGCTGCTCCATCAAAATGTGGCTCAGCCCAACAATAGGTCGACAGCTTGCATGAGCCCAAAAAGAATAATTCAACACCACACGTCCCATTGATATTTGATACCAGCTGAAGCATCGCACAGAAAGCGACCTCCCAAGTCAAACACACGGCTTGTTGCCCGTACGGATACTCTCTTTCGATTCTCATTTCACATCGGAGTCGTCTCCGTTGTTGTAGCGGGTAATCTTCTAGCCGCAGCCAACTCCCCAGTACTAGAGAATTGGCGGACAGTTGGCGGACAATTTCAATGAATGAAAGAAGCTGATATTCGCCCTCCTTCATATTGTCCTAGGACTTCCCAAAGTTGACGTGAAAACACCTTCTTTTCTTGAATCATAGGGGAAAACAAGATGCCCGAGATCCGCGATGACAAGGCCCAATATGTGGTACCTTTCATCCTTTCCCTACTTGCCGAGTACCAAGAGGCATATGCGACGTCCCCGAATCCACCACCCTTCTTCATTGGCCTGAACGGTGTTCAAGGGGCAGGAAAGACTGTCTTGGTGGACATCTTAAAGAGCACCTTGTCGTCTCCGCCCCATAATCTTTCCGTGGTGGTCTTCTCCCTCGACGACCTCTATCTGACGCACGCAGACCAAGTGGCGCTGGCACAGTCACACTCAGACAACCCGCTGTTGCAACACAGAGGACAGCCGTCAACGCATGACATTCCCCTGGCGCTCTCAGTGTTTGCGAGTCTGAAGCAAAACAAGCTCACTAAAATCCCGCGATACAACAAGGCTGCGTTTTCGGGCCAGGGAGATCGTGTCCCCGAGAGCGAGTGGGAGGAGGTTAACACCGATCCCTCCAACCCAGTCCGCGTGGTCTTGTTTGAGGGCTGGTGCGTCGGGTTCCGGCCCCTGGCCCAAGAAGCCTTGGAGTCCAAGCACGCGGCGGCCGTGGCGGCTTTGCAGAACTCCACGACCGACAACCCGTACCACGGCCGTCTGGGCCACAACACCCTCAAATCCATCACGACCATCAACGAAGCTCTTCACAAATACGACGAAATAACCACGCAGCTGGACGCCTTCATCCACATCGACGCCCTAGACCCGCAGTATGTGTACAAGTGGCGCTTGGAGCAGGAGGCCGGCCTCCGCGCGACAAGGGGGAGTGGGATGACGGACGAACAGGTCAAGCATTTTGTAGACGGCTACTATCCAGCGTACGAGCTGTACACGGACACGTTGAGGCAGGGGGTGTTTAAGGGCATCAAGGACCACTGGCAGGGCAAGCAGCTGCGGTTGGTGGTCGGGGAGGATCGCAAGGTGAGGGAGGTAGTGAAGATATAAAAATGAAGAAAGAAGCCCCCCTTTTCCCTCAAACCCGCAGTTTGAAGGGAGAGATCTTTGTGCTGCTGCAGAAGACGAAATTCATCCGCAACCTCGTACATGTACCAATTAAAAGATCAGCTTTTCTAGATGCCTAGAGAGGAGAATCGGGGAAACGATACGTCTCAGTCATCAAAACGTTACCTCGCCTCGCCTCGCTTGAAGCACGGTTTCCCCAACAGCGCGGCTTTTGAATGATTGAATAGCCTGCTGTACGAGGTAACGTTGACTGTTCAGAGTTTCCAAGCGGGAAAACGAAATGGGAATTTTCCCAACTGGGAGAGAACGTCATCACCAAGAACAAGTCCCAAGTATTAGGTACTTGTACATGGAGTACTAGTACTCTGGTCGCGCAAATCTTGGACTTGTTTCAGATAGATAGAACTCAAAAAAAATACGAGAGCGAAGACAAGAACAAGAACAAGAACGAAGCGGCAGCGCGGCGCAGCGGAGACGAAAGCGGAAGCGAGGCGATAGGGTGATGGAATGACGGAGTGATAGAAGGAGAGAGAGAAAAAAAAACCGTGGCAGCGCGGGTGGTCTTTCTTAATGCATCACACAATCTTCACAATACTTCACAACAATTCACAACCCGCTTCATATTCTGGTCCTTCATAAGTAGGTATTACTTCCAAGAGTACAAGGACACTTGCAAAAGTCCCTTGGTCGGTGTTTCGCCTGGTGATCTTTTGTTAGCTTTCTTGACACTCTTTGGCCTTCCTTGCTGTTTTCTTGTCTTATCTTTTTCTTTTCTTTCCTTTTCCCAATTTTTTTCTTCTTTGGATTTGGATTGACCACCAAAATTGTTCACTCGCGAGGACGAAGATACCCCGAACAGACCCTTCAAACATAGGATCCGCACAGAGAAATGCTTGCGCAATGTGGAATTTGTTCCGTGGGAAAGGGAACCAGCACAAGACACTAGAGGAAGGCCGTCTGATTCTAAATTCATCAATTGTACTATACAGGAATGGACTTCGGCAAGCGGCAGTCGATGATTGATAAAGAGTGAAACAGTCTGTCGTTCGCTGAGCTAGCGGTAAGAAATCGATACTTGGTAGCAGCCAGGAGAACCAGATCAGAAGGCGGAGATTCCACGTTTGCTTTCTGGTGGTTTCTTCTGCTTGAAGAGCTGGATTTCCTGGCAAGTTGCTTCCAGACTCCAGTGAGAATAGCGCATCAAGGAAGTAAAAGGTGTCGAAATCAAACATCCTGCCTTGAAAGTGACTGTCTAGCAACCATGCTATCTGCTGCCATTCGAGGGAGATTCCATCATTCCCTCTGCCATCCCATGGTTACAACAAATCGATACACTTGGAACATATTGATTGACCAAACGCGATTAATTTGGAAAGCAACCACCCCCCCAAGGATGCCGTAAAGCCCAGAGGATGCGTTCACCTCGACTTTAGAAACTGGACGTCTTGAAAAAAATATGAAACTCATGCCTTCTTGCCATTGATTGCCAGCAGGTGAACATCACTAGGGCACCATGTCAGCAGGCCATAGCACAAAAATCAACCACCGGCTCAATGGACCGGTTCTGCAAACTTGCTACTAAAAACACAGGCAAGCACGGGACTCACAAAATGAGGGTGGCGTTTTTCGGGATGAGACCGGGGAAACCACTACATGTCACACCACCAGTTAGCCGACAGAAAGTGAGGCGACGATAACATTTCGGACGAGTCTGTCGAGCGTGGGAAGTAACGCCCGAGTCATTTGATGAGTGAAGACTGAAGAGTCGTGTTCTTCCACGCTCCAGACATGAGACGATCGCGATCAAGTCGCAGAGTTTTTGCCCAGCCAACGTCTCGATACCACCCAAGGCGGTCCCGCAGTAACAGCAAAGGAGGGGGGTGTTTTTGGTCGGGTGCTTTGTTACTCACCGGTCGCCGTACGCCATATACCTGAATGGAAAACGTCAGCTATTTCAATTCGACTGAAGACTTGGACCATGACACAAGCGTAGTCGCCGAGGCTGTCAACTCCAACGTGGTAGTGATAGAGCTAGCCTTCTCCAAATTCCTCACAGATATCGTGGGGAAATTCCCCCAGCAAAATGGCGGTGAAGTAAAACAAACGACCAAGGTCTTGGGACAGACTTACCCAGGGATTGTCAATCTGCTCTTCTCACCCAGCGACATCTGCACCACGCCGTGATCCCAGCCTGTGGAAACCGGGGTTAGAAAGAGCGGGCTGGAAGTCTAATTGCCTTTGTGTAACCCATACCTTGAATGACTCTGCCAACCCCAATCTGGGTCTGGAAAGCCCCTCGTCCAACTGAGCTGTCGAACCTGATTGAACAATGTCAGTAGCAGTTCTTGGGGGAAGGAAGTCAGGCGGCCATTTGTGGGTGGGGAGGCATTACTCGTTGCCCTTGTACTCTTTCTCGGGTTTCGAAGCATCGTACAGCCAGCCAGTGTATTCGATGATGACCTCATCGCCTTTCTTCGGGAAGTCGGTCTTGTTGCCCTCGGAGAGGAGCTTCTTGTTGAATTCTGACGCCATGACCGTTTGTCGAACTGGGGGAGGGCTGTTCTCTGGAGAGCACCAGTAGTTTGAAGGCGGAATGAGGGACCCTCGAAGGGATTTGCGAGACGAGAGACTGGTGCTCGGAAATTTTTGGGAGAAAGTGAAGGAGAGAGCCAGGCGCTGAATATATCGGGCAGCGGGCAACGGGATAGCGGTTGAATACCTAGGCCAGGTACTTGTCGACAATCAGGAAACTGGTGGGGAAGCAGGGGCAACGGGGGTGGGCCAGTTGCATGTAGTCACTTCGCTGATTGATAGCAGGAATTTGAATTACGAGCCTGATCAGCTCTGAAAGGGCCTTGGCAGGGACGTAGCCAGCGCAGTGGGCAGTGGGAGGCAATAGCTGGAGCGAGTGAGAGGAAGTGGATGGGCTGACTAGTTCGCTAGGAACGAGGGCGGTGGGAGGTGGGAGGGGGAGTTGGTTGACAGGGTGTGTGACGGGATGACGGGGTGCGCAGGGAACTGCGACAGGTTGAGGCTGGTACCAGTTAGAAGTGAAGCGTAACACAAGCGGCAGGATCAAGGGGGGACAAGTGTGTTGAGTGGTTATTGCCCTTTTCCCTTTTGTAAACAGCAAGGGCTACCAACTTATCGGTGAAATTCTGCGCGAATAAAATTGCGGCCGAAGCAGTCCATGATGAAGCCACAGCAAACGACGAGAAAAAACCAGACAGAGGTATCCTTGTATTCTTGGTTGAGTTCGCACGTGTGAGTGGCAGACGCCGGCAAGGAATTGACTTCCCGAATAGACTCAAGCTCAGTCAGATGGACACACACCCGGATTCGAGGGGCGTCAAAGGGGGCTGAGCAGGATGGGACGGAGTGACGGGATAGCATCCACAAGGCGAAGACCACCTCGCACAGAGATCCGAAGTTTGAACAAGTCGTCGGGGGACAAGGGATGGAGGGACGCTAACCAAGCAGGGGTATTTGAACACCTGAAGGTCGGTGCATGCGAGGCGGGATCCGCAGGGCGGGGCAAAGAGGTTAAGGAGGGAGGGGAGAGGGGGGATCTGATGCATTGGAAAAAATTCAAAGGGGGGAAAGGTACAAAAGAAAGTCTTCGGCTGAGATCGGATAAGAAGAACCTGAGTCAGACATGCAGCAACGGAAATGCAGGATGGGTTGGGTGATTTGGAAAAAAAGAAAAAGAGGACAAAGGGAAACGGGAGTGTACAAGATACCGATCTTTGGGAGAAGGGCAAAAAAAAAAAAATTTACAAGGACCTACCTACCAACTACCAGGATCTGTTTAGTTCGTAGTTGTTAGTAGCAAACAGGCGAAAGAGGCGCATCACAAAAAGTCTTTTGGAGGGGCAGGTAAGGGACGAGGGACGGATGAGGTGGGCCCAACAATACCGACTTGGGCGAGAGAAGGGAACCATGGTCATGGGTACCTACATGTATGATGCCAGGTGCCAGTACAGTGGTTTGCGACCGCGGGGCAACCCTTTCAGCTCCTTACCCGGTAGCAAAAAAGAAAAAAACTTTGAGGGAAGTAGTCCGTAGGTCGGTAGGCAGGTAGGTAGGTACTGTTGAACCAACAGTTAACGAGTACGAGGTACTTAGCTAGGTACCGTCTAGGCATCGACTTGTACCTATAGTACAAGATTCTGACCAGGCCCGGAGATACCCAAGGGTACGGGTTGAGTTGCCTAGATTCTCTGAGGAGGGGGAGGGGGGAAGTTCATCTTCCGTCATCACTTCAACCGCTGGGGTCAGTGGCTCACTAGGGCTCGCCGGCTGCTGCCTGTTGGTGCATGACGTGATTACTCGTCGAAGTGTCTACCACTACCTAAGAACCTAGGTAGGTACCTTACCCTAGCACTCGTACGAGTATTCACTCACTGGGTACCATACCATGCATCTTCGCACCCTGTACCTTCTTGTACCAAGTACCTACTTGTCCCACGTACACTCGCTAACTTCGTCGACGCTACTACTGGCGCTACGCAAATCCTCGTCTTTGTACCCTATCCCATCCCTTCTTTACCTCGAGTCATGGACCTTTTCAACCCGCAAGTGTGTTCCCCTAATTCGGAAATTGTAGGGAGTGACCTCTTGTGTAACCTCTCACGGCCATCCCTCAGACATCGGTGCTTTGCCGCGATGCTGATCATGCGGAGACGCCATCGAAGCCGTCTCTCCTTTCTCATTTGCTTCTTGGTGCATCCTGCATGCCTAGCGTGAGATACTGGCCCGCTAACTGCCTGTCTGCAGCATCTGCTGCTTGCTGATCACTCTCTCCGAACTTTCTATCGGCGTGAATGTCCATTTCGAGGACGGCTCGTGCTCTTCCCATTGCTGCTGGAAAAATGCTTCGACTCACCGCTTGATAGGACTCATCCAATCGCAGGTTGCTGCCTGACCAGTGACCATCATCCAAGAAATCCTCCCTGGTTTACGAGTACCGCGTCATCATCCGTCCCGACCAAACGAGTGTTGCCAGTTGGCGATCACTACCTCGTCCATCATCTGTGCATGGGGCTCGGGGTATCAGCCTTACCGAGATCTTGGTCCATTGAGAGCAGGCCATCCAATCTCGACATGACACATATCGATCCTGCTACACTTTCGAGAGATTGACCCAAGTTGTTCTGTTCTCGGAATCGAGCTATCCTCCTTCAATCTCGTATATGTGCACCGGAACATACATCCCCCTGCTATGCGTGGTGGTAAAGTCAAAAAGTACACCAAGACATCATGGTTTAGTGGGGGTCTTTCCAGCTCGTCGGGCTTTCTGCCATTTGTTTCATTCGACCACTTCGGCCCTTGACTGCACCTCCCTTACACATGGTCGCCGTGACCAGTCTTTCCTTGGCAGATGAGTGCCGGCACAGCGATTCACCCGTCTACAATGGCTCGTTGCACATGAACGGGACACCTTGACATGGGGAAGCGGACTCGCACAGTGCAGGTCTCGGGGACCATGGTTCGGTCCACCCCCAAGTCTCCGCTTATCCCCGTGGGCAGCAAGGCGTCAATTTCTTCGCTTGAAATACAAATCACTTTGCAAGCCATTGCCCTTACTGCTTAGGCGCTGCTCCTGAACTTCGGATATCGTCCATCCTCCGGGCTTGTTGGTAGACAGCATGCACACGTCGACGCACACAAGCTTCATGACACCCGATTCTGTATTTTTTCTGGCAATATTTTAGCCTAGGGTTCAAATGCCGGTCTTGGTGCCGTCTCAGATGCCCCATGATCCCACATCCCGAAATATTGTACGCGGGTTTTCTACATCACCAGCATGCGTCCATCCTGGCTCAGCTGGACCGCAGCTTCTTGCTGTCGACAGTTTCCTTTTGGTGGCTGGAAATCTTGCCCTCCTTGTACAGAGTTTATAGACCTCCTGGCCAGACCGGGAACCGCGGAAGGCCACAAGCACTCCAACCTCCGCGCGCCCGACAACTAATGGGAATCGTGTCCGATATTCCAGAACCCGTGTACAGGGGGTCTTGACGACATATTTTGTATCAGATGTTGCCAGGTGGCACAAGCCCGGTCATTTACACTTACGCCCAAAACTTGTGTTCCTTAAGCTCTTTCAGCCCCATCTGCTCAGTATGCAGGGTCTGAAAGCGATCGCCGTCGTGTATCTGGCCTTGTCCCGTACCGAGATCCCGGTGGCTCAGAAACGCTACGGAACTGATGCCGACCTTTTCCAAGAAGGCCAGGACACGTGCATAGCTATGAGCGACCTGGTCTACGCCGTGACTGTCATCGGATAAGCAAAAGCGGATGCCTCTCTCCAGCGCAGCCTGGCAAATCTCGGCCTTGGGGTACGGCTCGTTCAGGCCCTTCCTCAACGCCGACGAGTTTATCTCGAGGATTCCACCGTACCCGGCGATACAGTCCAGGTTCCTTGATATCCGTGTCCATACACCCATCATGTCCTTGAAACTCTGGTTCGGATTATCACTCTTGAGCCGGATGAGATCAAAGTGCCCAACCACAGGAGGTCTGAGGGCGTCCAACATGTCAAATTGGGCGTCAAAGTAATCTTCAAAGAGCCTCTCATCCGTTCCACCGGCCTTTAGTCGGGCGTCGCGATACATGGAGCCGTCGTAGTCGATTGGGATCATATGGACATGGTGGACCGATCCGACGAAGAAGTCATAGGGGTGCTTGTCCAGACTCTTCTTGATCAACTCCTCGGACTCGGGTCGGATCCATTCGCCTTCAAACCCTAAGGGCAGCCCTATCCTATCCTTGTACTTTTGGCGCAACCGGAGAGCCTCTGCGATGTATGCCGCTTCGTTGGCGAAGTGCATCTCCAGGGTGTTTGTCTCTCCCGGGTACCGGTCTTGTTCGTGTCGGGGCATGTGCTCGGTCAGGGCAAAGACGGACATGTTCTTGGATATGGCCGTCTGGATCACCTCTTCGAGGGAGTCTCGTGCGTGATCGGCACAGAACTGGCCAGAGTGGGAATGATGGGAGAACGGCATCTCGCCTGAGATTGTCGTTCTGTTGTTGGCTTGCCTCAGCTCGTCGACGGCCGTGTTTGGGACACCCACCACAACACCCAGGCACGAGTGATTCCGGGACTTTTTGTAGATTGTGCTGATGCAGCAGGTGTTGCTCACGCTGAGAGGAACCCTATGCGCCCGAAATGACCTTGGATTGGCCGCTTGAGCTTGATATGTTTCGACCTGTTGCCTTGGGTCTAGAGGAAGAGATACTCGAAAGGTTAACACGGAGATGTCCAGACGCTGTACCCGAGTAGGGTAGGGCAGTAGGGCTGTCTTTTTGCCGGAACAGAATCCCGAAGTTCATCCAGATACTCTTTCCCCAATATACCTGGCACGTGTCCTGACCCAAGCGAGCCCATCCCTTTTCCCCCTCCCTTCTTGTATCTATGTACCGAGTATGTATCTCGTATGTACTTGTAGCCACTCGTACGAAAAACAAATCCCTCCAACAAGATCCTCTATCCTCAAAGCTCCACGGGCACCAAAAAAACGAGGAACATGGGACTCGAACCCACAACCTTGGCTTTTTTCCCTATTTCATTTTTGATACATGGCCATTGGTGTCTCATCAAATATGCCATGAACGATGGATGAAATGAGTAGGAGAGCCACGCGCTACCATTGCGCCAATCCCCCCTCCTTGTGCGAGGCTCTGGAAAAACGGACTGGAAAATCTGTGTTGAGATTTTGCAAAATTCCAAGTACATTTTGCGGTAATACAATATATGAAGTTATATATTAGTTCACGTGATTTGGGAATTGGGGGTCACCTATCTTGCCATCCGTCTTGCCTATCGCCCTATCTAACCTATCTCGCTGTGCGTGAGAACGCGGGGCGTGAAGTCTGGGCGTGTAACACAGTAGTTGCCTAGTAGTAGCAGCTAGCTACTGTAGGTGCCTAGGCAGGTAGTAACCAAGGGTATGCTAAAAGAAAGAATACGAGCAAAGTATCGGTACTAAAGATAAGTCCGAGTGAGGATGATCTGGTTGACTTTCTCTCTCTACCAACCAACTAACCTCTCTCCCGAGTTCCTAGGCGCATGTGACTTGTGGTACCCGTAGCACCTACTTGTACAAGTATGTACTGTAGGTACCGAGTACCTGGCGACATCGTATGATTCCATGGCGCATATTCGTACCGAGTACTTACTTGGTCTTGGGACTTGTTCTTGTACCGGTAGGTCCTTGCGGGCGGTGGATCTATCAAGGCGCCACGAGTACGAGGCATTTCTAGATAGACGGACCTAGACCACCTTGTCTTCCTTTCCTCCGATCGTTCGAAAGGAAAGGAATTGCGGTGAGGCGGAGGTGAAGGCTCTGTTCTGTTGTGTTCTGTTCTCCTCTCTGTTCAATTACTGGATGACCAGGTGGATCGTCGTATATACATGTACCGAGTACGTTGATCGCCTCATTTCAACCATCGCGCTTTCTTTTAGAGGAGCCTATGTACCTCGTCCGCCAGTCTACCGAGTACGTGTCTGTCTCTGGTCTTGCGCAGGATGCAAACCCAAAAGGCGCACCGCCAGATGAGCATAACAGAATTGTACTATGAAACATCAACACCAACGCCAGTTCAAGCTCGCCTTTTGTTGCCTCGCGAGAGACACTTCCCTCTCATTTCTTTTGTTTATTCCTCGGCTCTTTGATCTGAAATCGACGGCGTCCATCTCGTCAAGGCTCATTGTCTGCCGCAGCTTCTGCGGCCAGATGCTCGCCCTCTACGGGATGTTCAACCCCTGTTGTTACATTCTTTGCATAAATCCCATCAAGCGTGACGTTCATGGCACCCGACTGCACCAGTGCACTTCGTAAATCATCCAATAGATCCTCTCCGTCTTCGATCCCTACGCACAATCGGATCAAATCTTCAGGCACCCCGCGCTCTTTGCGCGTCTTAGCATCGATGCTGGCGTGGCTCATGCGGCACGGCATGCTGATGAGCGAGTTGACGCAGCCAAAACTCACACTGATAGCCCACAGTTTTGCAGACTCGACAATCCGCTCAGACAGCTGGATGTCTCCAGTTTCGAATGACAAGACTGCACCGGGTCCCCGAGCGATAGAGTGGAAGAGATCATACTGAGGATGACTCTTCAGTCCTGGGTAGCGCACTTTGAAACCTGCGGATTCCAGGAACCGGGCGATCATCATGGCATTTGCCTGCTGTGCGTCCATACGGACCTTCAATGTCTTGATGCCACGCATGAGGAGCCAGCAGTCAAACGGAGCGAGGCCGCAACCTGAGGCATTGATGGTGAAGTAAAGCTTCTCCCCCAGCGCTTCATCGTTGACGGCAAGCACACCAGCCATCAAGTCGTGGTGGCCAGACAGATACTTCGTGCCAGATTCGTAGACCACATCTGCCCCGAGTTCCAAGGGATTCTGGAGTAAGGGTGACAACATGGTGTTGTCCACGATGACAAGGCTGGCTGGATTGGCAGCGTGGGCGTAATTGGCGATCGTGGGGATATCAACAATCTTGATCAGAGGGTTGGTAGGTGTCTCAAGCAAGACCATGGCCGTTTTCTCGTTCAGCACCTCCTTCACCTTTTCAGGTGTGGTTGTGTCGACATGGTGGACGATGATTCCGCCGTGCGTGGACAGATACTTGAGCAATCTGTTTGTTCCACCATATAGATCGTCTCCTGTCACAACCTCATCCCCCGGTTTCAACTGGCGAGTAATGACATCAAGTGCACCCATGCCTGAAGAGACAACCAACGCTCTTTTGGCGCGCATGATCTTTGCAAGGTGTTTTTCTAGGTGGGTGCGAGTTGGGTTGCCGCTGCGAGTATAGTCATAGTCGGAGACTCCGCCAGTGGCAGAGGTCTGTTTGAAGGTGGCAGACTGTATGGTTGTTAGCGAGCGTCGCCCTTAAGTTCCTGATCAACACTAACCTGGTATATGGGCACGCTGCTGGCATTGTACTGGTCGTTCCCCTCTGAATAGACGAGCTGTGTCGCAATGGCGTATTGTCGACCACTTCTCGGACTGGATGGGGTAGGTGAAGGCGGTAGATCATGCCCGTCCAGATCTACTTGGGAGAAAGCTTTGCTCATTGCGCTGAGCTTGGGATTCTTCAAGGGCGGTGTAGAAGACGACCCTGACTCAGACATGATGGCGGGGGTCGAAGGGTGGCGGAGGCACAAGCTCGACGACTTGTAGAGTACTGATCAATATATTCAATGACATATGAGAGCGAAACTGGTTGTTTGCTTCTCACAGCTAATGGCGACAGACTCGAGGTGTCACACTGAATAGCTAGAGACAATGGACGAGAAAGGCGCAGAAGAAGTCGTGAGACGTGGTGAGTGGTTTGCATGTACCGAAGGTGGAGCAATTTTCGCTGTTGTCCGGGACAAAAAAGGCGAGGAGAGCAAATGACGTGCTCGGGATAAATCTGGGGGCAGTTTTCCTTCCCACACGACTCACTTCCCCTTCCTTCGGCCACACTCAGGCACCTCAGCTGAGTGCCGACTTCGGCGAAACACATACCAAATCTTTCGTTTGCACAGATGGGCGCAAAAGGACATGTTTCCCAGTCCCGTGATATCAAATCAAACTCGAACATTTGCAATTCGGACCATTTCGCTGTCTACATACTTCCCCGCGAAGACCCTACAACACAATCCTTGGGCTAAATATTTTACCGAGGCAGTCTCGCCACGGCAAACTGTCCACGAAATCTCCCGATGCTACAAGATGAGGGTTGAAAAGGTGTATTTTCAAGAGAATTCATACTACATTCTGGATTGTGGGCGGCTTGACGACTGCTCCGGATGTGCTTAGCAGAGACTATACATAGAAGAAACAGTTCGGATACATCTCAAACTCTACCGAAATCTCTCATGTGGGGGAAGAGACCACGTACAAGCTTGATGAAGAGCCTATCGAGATACGAGTCCTTGTACAATATCTTGTCAGTCATTGATTGATGTCGGAGGTTTGCCATAATAACGGCACTTTATAACCCGATACTCTATCGATATCCAAAGCCAAACACCGAGCACTCGGTACCTAGAGAGTAATCGAAAAACAAGGAGTTGTCGCATTAGAAATCTGCCCGAGGCACCGAGTACTACTTACTGGGAGAGCTATCCCATGCTACCTCACAACCAGCATGATCATTCGATCATCTTCTGTCCTTGTCAACCAGTTCGAATATGTTGATCAACAGACTGCACGCCATGTGGTCCGGGCGACGATCACTAGACCAATGCGATAGAATGTTCCAAGGCGTGAAACGCTGACAGCTAACGGGTTCTGGAGCCCATGGACGAGGGACGGAGCATGAAACTCCAGGGTCATCAGAAGATATGATCAAGGATGAAAGAATGTGCACGCCCCAAACATTGCAGAGATTTCACAAAAGCTTAAGCAGGACTGACAGGGAGCAGGGTGGCTCTTTTGCTGCAGCTTCTTGGTTCAGCCCCCTAGGGTAATGAAACGCAGTCAGCGGGACCAACATGTGTGTGTGTGTGTGTGTGCTCGGTATGTATGTTTTCATGTGGAATGCTGTTGTTGTACCTCGTACGAGGTACATTCCTCGCATGGCACAACGTCTCGTCAATGCATACCGCATATGTTGTGTCCGAACCAGCCGATGACGGTGGTGGTATGTTTCCAAAAGCAAACCCATCCCTTTCTTCTCCTCGACTATGACCAGTAACCACAATTACCAACGGAGCGGCAGATGGAGAAGATGGTGGAGGAGAATTTGAACCAATCCCTCTCACCCTCAAAAGCCCCATTGTTTTCGACCGGCGTCTGGCTGACACGCGATTGGGCTCCAGTCAGCTCCTGGTTCCTGGTGCTAAAATTGCTTGCTTGGGAATAGTGTTACGTGCCTGGTCTTTTACTGGCAGCTCAGCGTCCCAGTCGACAAGGACTCACCTTGAAGCAACTTCAACCCTGCCCTGTGGCTCTCGTCAGAATTTTCGCGCCCCGATGGTCTCAGAGCGGCGAGCATGCCGGCAGCACAGCAGAAGCACAGACTGTTTCGATGCATGTTTCGGCCACAGATAAGGCGGTCAGAATCCCCGACCGTCACGGTCGCTGGACATGCTCTCAATGAGCCACAACACAAGGACGAGTACTCATGCGAAGACTGCAGATCCTCGTTAGTCGCAGAGGATCAGGTAATGAAAAGCCACGCTGCAGCCAAATGCGAGCCACGGCGTGGTAACGAGATTGGGGTGTGAAATTGGGTGCAATAGAAGCGAGGGGATCAGAACCCAGTAACGGTAAAAGGCGAAATCAATGGCCTAACAAGAGGAGGCTGAGCCAGCCCCCAGGCTTTGAAGCGCGGTACAAGTACGAGTCTTGGTAGTATTTGCGCTGCAGGTACGGTCTTAGCGTCTTGATCCTTTAACTAGGTCCTAAGGTACAGGCCCAACAAGGAGCGCCTGTGGGTAGCCCGAGGTCCGCTCTAGTGGGGCCCGTGGCTGTAACGGACAGGTTACTCGTTATACTCGGAAAATAACCACTGGGTGCACTGGGTAGAGTGCCTGAGAGATATCTCCGTCGGGGCCACCTTTGGCTGGGCCGAGTCCACTAACTCCCCAAGATCTCTCCGTTTGAGTTTGCGCCCCAGGAGCCGCTGGCGTGCCCTTGTCTCGACCAACAGCCACCGCTTGGGCTTAGCAACTGCGCTTGTTGGCTTGTTGGCCTTGCCTCTTCACTCCTTTCCCATCACGTACACGGACTCCATTCAGCCTCTCCCTTTCGACACGTCCTTTGACAATGCCTTCCTTCTCACCTGTCCTTTGCACTCTCCATTCACGCCTGCACGCCCTCATCATCGAGCCTCGATGATCCGTCAACGTCGCCGTGGTCGCCGTCTCTCGTTCTGCGACCGATAATCCTCCCTTTCGACCTGCCAACTCCGCCTCGACGGCTGCGGTTCTTCATCCCTTTCGTGTCCAAGCAGTTTTGCCAGCACCGAGTCCGACGTGCTCGCGTTCATTCCTTTAGACCGTCGACGTCCGGCCTATTTTGACACGATCGATCACGCTCTTTAATTCTTTCCACTTGTTGGACGCATTCTACAGCATTGCTGCCAGTCCCTTCCCGAAAGATCACCTTGTCGTGTCTTCAGTCGACAGATCGAGTCTTCAAATCGCCCACAGCAGCTCTTTGGATACCATCTTTGTCTTCGCGAGCAATTGGCTGGCCCAACAATTCGAGGAGGAGTATAGCTTAGATCAGATCCCTTTGTTGGAAAGACACGGGTCATCCGGGGGTCAAAGAAGTCGCCAAAAATATATGGTCTGAGGCCTTTGATCGTTCGACTTTGTCAGTTTGCGGACCTGCCGGACAAAGGAATTCCTACCATCACAAATTTCGACAGCCAGTGAGCCTGCTCTTAGTTTTATAACTCGACCGAATCAGACTGGTTTGAACAAATCCGCGAAGAAGACGGAAGCGCAAGAAATCGTCTGGGACGGTTCTTTCGAGATACAGATCAGGGTCATTTGATCCTAGCCGCTCCTTTAAACAACTCTCACCATATACACTCGTTTCACAAGAAGATCTAAAGTAAGCAAAGGCCAGAACAAAACTGCCAGATGTTTTGCTGACGGACTCTCCAGAAACCTCCCAGACAACGACCTTCAAGATATGAAGATCTCATCACTTACATTGTTCGCTGCAGTGGTGGCAGGATCCTTTGCCGAAGCTGTCCCTGCCCATCGTCGTGGAGCGGATCTCAAGCCCAGGTACTATTTCCCGAGGGTCGTGAAGAGGCAGGTCACGTTTGACAATTCGACCACCTCGACCGACCCCAACAGTTCCAGCTCTACGGACTCGGGAATAGGTAGCTTGATATCGTCGGTATCTGATGCCTTGTCTGGAATCGCATCTCAAATCTCGGGCGATACAACGACATCGACACCAGCCAGCACCGACGCACAGACTACCGACACAGGCACTGACACTGATACGGCAACGGATGTGGACACTGCCACAGTCTCGGCTACAGACACACCCACGATTACAGACTTTTTCAACAGCCCGTCTGCAACTGATGTCCCTACTAGTATCAACAGTGATACAACTTCGACTGGGACGGATACGGCAAGCATTACATCTATCGCTACTTCAGGTCTGAGCACTGACGAGATTGGTATTACTCTGGGGCTTGGATCCATCATTACGACTGATTCATCTACGGACACTGACACTGCCACTGCCACTGCAAGCACTACAGACATCTCTGCTGTCGCCTCGTCTGTTCTCTCATCGGCCAGCGATGCTGCAACTTCAATATTGTCCGTGGCGAGCTCGTTGCAATCAGTTGCGGCCACTGCTTCTGGCACAGACATCGCATCCATTTCCTCGGCTTTGTCCTCAGCTGCTTCAGCTGCGTCCTCAATAGCATCTGATGTGAGCTCAGCAAACTCGGTCATAACTTCTACAGATGGCACTACCACTTCGAGTCCAGCTGATGTGACTTCTGACCTCAACTCCTTCATCTCGGACGTGACAACGACCCCTACAATCTCACCCACTATCACGGATATCAATACTCCCACGGACACTCCCACAGATACTCCCACGGACACGGTAACGGCACCTCCTACTACCACGCCAAATACAACACCTACGGATGTGCCCACAGACGGACCAACTGGGACACCAACAACCACTCCGACTGATACTCCGACAGACCCTCCTCCACCGCCACCAACTACAACACCGACTACTACGCCCAATACCACTCCAACTGACACGCCGACGACCACCCCCACTGGTCCGACGGATATTAACACCACCCCGACTGACACTCCCACAGTTACCGGGGGTAATGGGAACAATACCGCGACCACTACTCCTACTGGCACACCAACTGACACAATCGGCAACACACTGACTACCACACCTACTGAGACCCCCACTGAAACTCCTACAACTATCCCAACAGTGACTCCGACCGTGACGCCGTTTGTTGGAAACTTGACGACACCAATTGCAAGCACCACGACTGATAGGCCCACGACCTCGGAGATCCCTGTCAACACCGTCAAGCCCACTGGGACAGACTCGGCGACAGTGTTTGTTCCAGACCCTAGCATTATCTCTGCTACAACGGCTCCCCCCACTGAGACGTCCAAGTCGGCTTCAACAAGCGCTGCAGTCATTCCAACGACACTCCCTCGCGTCATTCAACCACAAGGTGGTGTACCTGACGCGCCAGAAAACTCGACCTTGATCCAGCTCGGGTTTGATTACGGTCTCAACTATGCTTTCGTGGTGTCCTCCCCTACTGCTGTGTCTCAAATATTCTCTTATCTGCCCGTTGGTCTTTCCCACGGATTAGGTATTGACCTTGATCAAGTGGTGATGCAGTATTTGCAGCCCTACAACACTTTGGATACTTTGAACTACATCACCACTTTGGCTATGGCGTACATTCCCGCAGACAAAGTCGACACGCTCTCCCTGCAGCTCCTGAATCCTAACTCTGATCTCTACAACAACCCCAACCCGTCGGTCGTAACTCTGATGGGAATGATTGATCCTTCGATTCCTGTTCTGCCTGGATCTCAAATCGCGGGAGGAGGGACACCCATTAACTCGGCAAATTCTGCCGCCACGACTTCTGACCAAAGTGGCACGCCTGACGATGGCACACCCGGAGGCTCCGACTCTGGGAGCTCGCCAATCCGGCCGTCTTCAGTTGGTATTGCCGTTGGAGCCGTGGCTGGTGCCGCAGTCTATGGAGCTGCCATGTTCCTTGTTGCGCGAAGGTACAAGAGAAGAAAGGCTGGCCACCAACGGTCAAGCAGCATGCAATCAGGGAATCGTGGACCTCGTGCTGGTGAACAGTCGAACCTGATGGTTGGGGCACGTGGCAGTTATGGTACTCGATTCGGTGGAAGGACCTCTCGGACAAGTGATCGCAGCAATTCTCAGCGAAGCGGACGGACGTATATCAGTCCACCAGTGATGGCTGAGAATAGTTTGGGATGGAACTGATTGGCAAGATCTACCTTGTACAGCTGGAAGATGTGCGACCAATTGATTGGAACTCGATGCCCGCTCACGAAAGAAACACCACACTCTGATTTTTCTTATATAAGTCGTTCCCCTTTTCTTTATTGCCAGTTAGGCCCTTTTGATATCTTGGAAAGAAGCGGAGAGGGGAAAGGTGGATTGGAGAAATGCCATTTTGATTGAAGAAAGTGACCATGATGTACAAGAACATGAAGGCCAGAGGAAGGGGGCGGGGAGCGGGGAGCTAGTGAGAGATTGAAAGGACAGAGAGACAGAGAGAGTATTGTGAATATAGAGCAGCTCATCCATCTATTGTGCTGTCAGATCGTCGATGAGATGGCATGTGTAGGGAGGTATCTGCTGGCCATCTGAGAATCGACCGCCCCAGAAAGATAGTCTATCCTAACCTAACCTAACCGTCGATCGAATCTGGCAATGCAGTGAGGTGGTAGATGAAGTATATACCCAGTTTAGCTAGCAGGGGTGAGTTGAGTTGAGTTAAGTAAGGCACAATGGCAATGGCAGTCAAATGGCAATCTATTTTACTTTATCATCCATCATCTTGTTCCACTAACTGGCTAGGTAGCTACCTACATAGCCACATAGCTACTGAGCTACTGTAGCAAGCTATGTAGATGGCTATTGGTTATTAGTTATCCCGGCTATACCAGTCTATACCAGTTTATACCAGCTTGCTATACCAAGAATAATATACTAGGTAGTTGGCAGGTACATCTCCATAACGAAGACGGGGTGACACGGTGAATGTGACCAATTGGCGAATGATTGATCGATTGATAGTTATTCTAGCCTCCCAAAAGTCCAAGTCCAATCCTGTCCACCTCCATGTCCATGTCCATGTCCAATAAGAGATAGATGGCCTGTGATAGATAGATACCATTCATTCGCAGTATCCAGTATCCAGTACCCGATACCGAGCAACGAGTACAGAAAGACAGACAGACAGACAAGAGTCAATCAGCCCCCTGACCTCTGATGAGGGGCGTATGCGTTCCTCACTCTGCCCCTCATGGGAAATCTCTCGTTCAAGAGCGCTTCTTCGGTAGCAGACCCCGTCGTGCCGGCGGCGGCGGCGGCGGGTGTTGTTGCTATCTCATCCACGCCCACTCCCCTGCCTCCGTCGCTTTCGACCGGCTTTGTTTGAATGTGCCTGTCTTCGTGGAATTCCGAGTTTGTCTCCAGTTCGATCAGGTCGCCCATTCGGTCAACGGCGCCGTTGCGTTCCCTCTTTGCTCCCGCGCCGGCCATCTTCCTCATCCACCCTTCGATCGCGCCGCCAACGTCGCCGGTTAAACCCGCGCCATTCGAGTTAGAGCGTAGGCTTCGTACCGACTCGGAGCTCGCGCGGGGCGTAGATCGGGACGTGGATATTTTCGCACTGAAGCCCGTCCGGGGGATTTCCCCAGGTGGTGGCAGGAAGTCTGGGAAATATTGGTTGAATTTGCGATTCAATGGGTCCTCTGCTGGCCCCGGGCGAGAAGCTTCTGTGCGAAGACCGCGAAGGGTGCCGACCCCTCCGGGCCCGCGGAGGGCCTCAGCAAAGGGGTTGCCTCCAGTGACACTGGAAGAACGTTGACGACCAGACGAGCTGAGCCGGGACGAGGGAAAGTTGGGACGGCGGACAGGAGAGGCATTTAACGAGGCAGAAAGCTGTGCGGCGTGAGTGGGTGGGTGGCGGAGCGTATCGAACGAGGTTTTGGGTGTGGGCGAAGGCGAGGCCGTAAGGGTGGCGTTCGATTTTCGACGGGCACGAGGAAAGTAGCCCAATGCACGACGGGGCACGCGAAGGACCTCAGTGGCTTCTTTGAAGTTGGGTAGCATGACCCAGCAGTCATGTTTGAACTCGACATCTTCGGAGAGAGAGGTGATGAGCGATATCGGTTCCGAGGTCAGAGCAGAGGAAATGGTCGTGTTTGCGCGAGAGGAGCTGTGAACACCATTGGATGCTGGAGAGTCGAGGCGCTTCGGTTTGGCGTCGGGGATATCTTGAGGAGAGAGGTGGTCGGACTCTGGATCAAAGAGATCTTTGGAGAGGTATGGACTCTCGACTCTCCTGCCTTTGATGGTGGAGCCTTCCAGCGGGACCAAAACATGCGTTCGTGTTTGGACGTTGTCGTTGGGCCAGAACCGATTCACCTTTCGGAAGAGGTCAGGCTGGCAGTTGTACTTGATGATGATTCCAGCCAGCGTGTCCCCTTTCTCAACTTTGTGCATGTAAACAAGGGCATCCTCATTCTGGTCCGCGGGAGTCGGTGCGGCAGACTCCGCGTCCGAGTCACGTCTCTTAAATTTGCCCAGACGATCGCGGTTCTCTGATGCACTTGCAAGCAGCAGGGCTTCCCTCTTCTTCGCCTGGACCATTGCCCGCCGCTCCTCGACACTACCCTGGATGAGATTTGTGGTGGACTGAATCGAAGGACCCCATTGTGGCAAGGTCTTTTTCGAGCCATAGTGGTTGTCCTGTTTCATCCATAGAGGCTTCTTGAACGAGCCAGCGACCTTCTCCTTCGAAGGGCCCGCCACTTCACTCCCTAATAACGTGGACGCGAAGCCCTGGAGCGAGGTCCATGGCTCCCACAGCCCCTGACTTCCTCCGGTAGGGGTTGAAGTGCCCGAGGATGACCTCGCATGTGTCTTACTCGATCGACCGTTCCTCGGTCTGTCCGTCGACTTGGACCTCGATACCGCGGCGTCGTTGGGGGAGACGCCTCTGCTGGGGAATAGTGGCGGGGTAGAGGACGTGGAGGTAGATATGGCGGTGGACTGGGTAGGAGTACCCTCATCGTCCAGGTAGGATATAAGACGACCGGTTCGAGGGCGCAGGGTCGAGGTGCTACTATTGGCAGACTGGTAGAGGCCGCTAAGGGAACTGTTGCTCATGGCTGGCCTGGCGACCAACGCGAGACATCGGAGACTGGCGGCGACATGGAGGATCCCGACGGGCCCCAAAGGATATGGATCCCAGGGGGGGTGTTTGACAGGCGGACCTGGCTGGGGTTGTTCCTTTGTACAGAACAGACAAGAGTACGGACAGGCCTGTTGAGGAGGAGTTGTTCTCGTAGAACCAAGTCCCGGGTTGAAGTAAGGAAAAGGTACAGTGCGCAGGGACCGACTGTAGATGCTAGTTTGGCTTTCGGAGTCCTTTCAAGTCCCAAGGAGATGATGCGATATCAATGGGTGAAATGGGGGTTGAATGGGCCATGGCGCGGCCTCAGCCGCCGACGTCGATCCGATTCTGGTCTCAGTCTCAGTCTCAGTCTCACGTGAACAGCCACATAATAACCGCAGGCCTTTGTTGTGAGCCTTGTGCCCTTGGTTTCTTTACAAAATATACCACGTACATGTCTCTTATCACAAGCACAAGAATTTTGTCTCAATAAGTGAAATTCCAGGCTAATGGATATCCATATATGCATGCACCTTGTAGCAATGTATCCAACGTCTTTGACCCGGACGCCTTGCAAGGCCGGATCTTTGGCTCTTGTTGCGCTTTCTATCATGTAGTTGTACCACGCTTGACATCGATCAGAGGCTGTCCTCTCTCCATCTGCTCCGGACCCTTTGCCAGCCCTCCTTCTCCTCCAATCCGCCTCTCTTCTCAAGCCCTAGCCCACGCTCCACCCACTCCTGACTTCCCATTTCGCTCAGACGGCTGAGCGCCCTGGCAAACGCGAACCGCTCTTCATCACCGCTGAAGAGGGAGCTTTGCTTCAACATGCTCATATTCATTCCCAGGTCATCCATGAGGTTGCGCATCACGTCGTCGACATCCGCCCCTTCCTCCTCGCGTGCCCCTCTTCCTTCGGAGGATTTCTTGACCTCTTCGACGACAGCATGCTCTTCTTTGGACGCACCAGATTTGTCATTCTGAACTTTGTGGGTGACTTTATTCAGCGACTCATCTAGCTCACTCTTGGACACAAAAAGCTGAGAGAGAGGCACTGCGGTTGTGAGAACCAGCTTTGCATGCGATTCGTACACGGCATCGATGAAAGTGATGAACCGCCTAGCCCAGTCGCGTTCTCTATGAGTCATGCCGGGCACGTCGGTGACGATGAACGCATCAAAACTGCGCATCATTTCAATGTAGTCCGCGGCACCTGTAGCGCGACCGATCAGGTCGTGGAAAGTAAACATGGCGCAACGGCCTGAGGCGAGCGGGATCTGGACTTCGCGACCCCAAACGGTGATTGTCGTGGGATGAGGCGGATCGTTCTCGGGATCGCCCAGGAAACGGAACCATTTGTTTGCGTGAGAGACGGCCGCTCGATCGAGCGGATGATGGTACACTCCTGAGGGAGGTCTTGGGAGTTTGCGGTAGTCCGTTTGGGAATCGAGATTTATGACCTTGAGTTGTTTCTTCAGGAGGTTAATGCACGGGACAAACGACTGTCGCTGAATCCCATTCTTGTAGAGATCGTCCGGGTGTCGATTCGACGTCGTGACCAATACAACGCCGTGCGACATCAGAGCCTCGATCAATCGACGGAGGATCATGGCGTCCGCGACATCAACAACCTGAAACTCATCGAAGCAGAGGACCTGGGCTGTTTCGGCAATATCCGCCGCGATAAAAGGCACGGCGTCAAAATCGTTGCCATATTGCATGCGGACCTTGTGCAATCGCTTGTGGACGTCTTGCATAAAGTTGTGGAAGTGAATTCGAGTCTTGGAGGTGATGTTGGGAGGTAATGTGTCGAAGAAGAGGTCCATCAGCATGGTCTTGCCAGAACCAACGTCGCCATACATGTACAGTCCCTTGGGCAGGTTCTCTGGTATTTCGCCTATGGCCTTCTTCTTGTTCCCACCCCCGAACAGAGACCCAAACAGAGATTTCTTGGGCGGCTGGAGATCGTTGACGTCCGGGTGGACGATCTTGGGAGGGTTGTATTCTTTTAGAGTCTCGTGCAGGTCTTGGAGGTGTTCAATCAAAGCTGGGGACACGCCAGTCAGTCAGTCTGGAGGTAGCTCAACCCATGAAACAACAAAAGAGCGACATCGTCTACGCACTTCTCTGGTGTTCATCCTCCCGCAGTCGTCTCGTTTGCACTCTCTCGTCATACTCCTCCAAAGGTCCGCGCGTGGAAACATCGGTCACACTGGCAAGCTCTCGTCTCTGCTGCTGGTGCCGCTGGACCGATCTCGGCACTCGGACCGTCTGTCGAAGACTCCTGGAACTTCTTCCATTGCTGGCCACGACATGGATCTGGCGAGACGAACTTCTCAACTCTTTTCTTTGCCGTCGCAGAGTGTCAAGGCAGTTGGTGCATATCGTCCGCCTCAACGGCTGGGCTGCGGTATCGGAGAGCAGAGCTCTTACGTAGGACTGAACGGCGATGCGGAAAGGTTGCACAGGCGCCTTCATCTTGCTCAAACAAGGAATGCCTAACTTCACAGAGCAGACCCGCCCTTGTGCTAACAGACCAGCCGAGTCATGGCGAGGAGGTGTATTTACAATAATCTTGATAAAGAGAATATCCGCCGCAGTGCAGAGACGTCAGAGCGAATTGCTCTTGCGCCTTCGGAATAAACACCGCAGTTTGTGATCTCGGCCACCTCGGACAACCATCGGCGAGAAAACTATTGCCGTCAGTCAAGACACGATGCTCACCAGTGTCAGATCTTTCAGCCGCCGTTTTCCCCTTTTATCTTATTTTTCTCATCTTAGGACCGTGAGAGTGGAGACAAAAGACATGTGGTCTCGCGGTCTTGAACCAGTGATTAGAGATGGTGGCAGAACTTCATTACAAAGAGCAGGTTCTATAGACCTCTGAGGACTATCATATTGACCCAAAATGGCCTGCATACCCGCATGATAGAAGGGACTATAATTTGCGCACAAGGCTTTCCATCATCCATGTCTCATCGCGCCGCCGCCGCGTACCTGTCAAAGATCCGTCCAAAAAAATGACTTCGAGAGATTTCAACTCCACGTAAGCAACTTCATATCCTCTCCCCTCTTTCCAGACAAGGCCGAAAGTCTTGAAACTTTTTGCGAGAAATGGAAAAGTCTTCCTCCAAGATCGACCCGAGGACGCCTCCCAGGAGCGCCAAACATCGTCACATTAATTCTTCGTCTCATCAATTGCTCTGTCGCTCATTCTGTAAGTCGCGCGTAAGAAAAAGGCTTGCGAGTCAATGCAAAACAGCGCTGAGACTCGTGAAGCTGCTCATTGGCAATATTCAGAAGGCATCATCGGAAGAATAACATCGTTCCCTCAAGCGCCCGCAAAATTGACGTAGAGTGTTAGTTTTGGGTTCCGCTGTAGCGCGACGTCGAGGTTGTCATCGTTCTCGAGGTCAATCAGAGTGTTCGTTGGCTCGTCCTTATATTGTATGACAATGTCTTCATTGACCTTTAGACGTTCCATCAGCTTCTCCCGCAGTGCAGCAAATATAATGTCCTGAGGTACTCGCAGGACAATAATGTCATCCTGAAAGAACACCTTGACCTTCATAACAGCGTTGGCGTTGCTAGCCTTCATGCTCGAGGAGGTGGAATTTTGAGTCAAGTTGCTGGCCTGGGAGTGCAGGAAAGGGGGCCCTCCCATAGCCACGCCGGTCCCAGCGGACATGGTTACAGGGCCTCGGTGTTGCTGGGACGCTCGTGCGCTGGGAGGTGGCATACCTCCGTACGCCATACCGGGCGCTTGCTGGTTAGAGGACGTCCGCGAGACTGGTTGCATCGATTGCTGCGATCCCGCGGATAGTCGGTAATCCTCGCCTAGCGCATTGGGGTCTATTTCAAAATCTTGACCCGGTTTGGGCTTGAATAGATTTCTCACAAGCATGCTTTTGGAGATGTGAGGCGGCATTGCCACTATCTTTTTGATATATTCGTCCAAATTCTGGCGTCTACCATTGGAAATTGCGTCCGTGACATGTGCTACCGGCCCAGGCATAAACGGGAGGGTACGAGGCTTGCCCTTATTGCCGGCTTCTTCGGGGAACATCTCCAGTAAAGCAATCTGAAAGTCGTAGAAATCAGCGTAGTATCGTGATAGCTCCCACCATCGACCGTCTTCCATTTGACATTCGATGATATACCAGTACATGTCGTTGTCGAAACAATAACGGGGCACTGAAGCGCTGATCGGTGCAAGAGGGATATTCGACTGCTGCGACATTCTCGCACCGTTCTATTTGATACCGGGTTAACCTCACCTCTTAGATTGCGACAACAAGACCTTCCACTTACATAGTTTGTGTTGGGGAGTGATTGCTGCGAGGAGGTATTTTGAATGCTCATGCGAGCCATCTCGGATGACATTTGAGCCTGGGGATTGTCAAACTTGCCCAGGCTGATACTGCTGTTTTTGTATTCCGCTGCAAACTTTTTCCACTCTTCAACTCGAGGGACGCCTGCTTTCCGGACAGCGTCGAGGGGGTCGGCCACCGATTGCATTGTCGCTGTATCCTTAATATCGACAAACGAAACCGGAATCAATCCTGGCCCTCCTAACCGTCCTATCGGCTTCGCAACGAACCATTCCGGATTGGACTGCGCCACGACAATGATTGCTTCGCCGGCTTTGGCGTCCAGCTCATCTGCCCTTTCAGCATGAAAATCGTATTGCACCACACCATAGACCATGGCGCCCGGGCTTCTTCCGGTCATACTCGGCCCTCGCTGGTGTGCTCCTGGACTCGGTCTTGTAGTGGCTGTTGATTCGGATCTTGTGTGGCCGGAGTTGGTCGAGCCTTTCTCTGAAAATCCCGAGTCGTGACCATCCATCTTCTCCCCCGGGGATGAAAGAGAGTTTTCACTTTGTCGCTGCTTCTTACCGACGACTTCAAAGAAGGCCACCGGCACGAGCCCTCTCGCCGAGGGGATGAGCGGATTGCAGGCCTCGTACCACTCTGTGTCGTCCTCGCGGCTCAGGACGTGAAAGAAGTCGCCCTTGTGGAAGGATAACTCTTGCGCATTGCCATTTTTGGGCTCGTAGTCGTATAAGGCTTTTATCACTTTCTTGGGGGGAAGCGCCTGGATCGTCTTGGGGGTGATGGTGAGACTTGGTGGCTGCCTCGTGTCCTTGTCACTCTTGAGAGATCGGCGGATAGCCTAAAGAGAGAGATACATGAGCGCCTGCGATCTTGCAAGGGCAGCATTGTGAATGATGGGCGGTGACATACCTTCATTGTCGCATTTGACGTGTGCCCCGCAGTCGTCCTTGGCTGGATAGAAATTCCTAGGAGAATGGGGGTTGTTGTTGGTTCTAGATCGACTGCATGTGAAGTGGCAAGGTGGAACGAGGCTTTCAACGGCTCGTACTGGTTTAGGACGGTGTTGAACTGTTCGGAGCAAAGATGAGGCAGAATGTGTTTCAACTTTGGAGGAGTTTTGACAGGCTGGGGAAAGGTCGTTGATTGTTCGGACAGGCGCGGCGGCACACGAGGTTTGGGCAAGGAGAAAAGATCTGGTGCGTTTCCTCTAGCGTGTCTGGCAGGGATTCCTCCTGGTGTTCCGGCTCAAGCCCGCAATGGCCCCCACGGATTCAAGATTGCAAAGGGAGTCAAATTTTGCCCATCAAATGCCAGTCACGGAAGGCCAGAGATTGGGAATGTTGATGATTCACTTTGGGACTTACTCCCACTCCTCTCACTGAGAACCGGTAGGCATGTGATGGTCTGATTTGAAGGACATGCGGACTTCCGGGGTACCTGTACTCGGTAGGCTGGTGCGTCTGGTACGCATGCGAGGTACTCTTGGTATGTATGTAAATGGAAAGAACTTGAGTTCCAAGCGTTAATTAGCTAATTACCCGTACCGTAGTCGACGCAACCCGCAACGTGGGCAAAGGCATGGGTACTCGGTAGGGGTAGGAGCACGGGCACGGGCGCAGGCGCAGGCATGGGGGATGACATGGGCACAAAGGGTCGCAGGCGCATGGCAGCCACTATTCTTCAGTCATTTGGCCCTTAAACCATCAAACCATTCCCAAAGCATCCACAACCCAAAAGATTCGAGAACAAAGAAGCCCCCCCAACCCGCTACCGTTTGACCGGCCGTCCGTCCTCAACAAGGTCAACGACGTCCAGTCATCTCGCGTGATGACCCTTTGTGCTTTGTGCAGCTAGACCTAGCCGCATATTGATGGCAGAGGGGAACCTTCCAACCATTAATCATTGCCCTGCAGGAAAGCCATGTATACTCAAAACCATCAGCCCTTCCACTCCACTACAAGTACTCGTCCTCACAGCTGGGTGGATCAGAGTAATACCTCATCTCTCCTGTACCCTTCTCAGCTCGCTCATCCCGGCCTGCACGTCAAGCCTCCCACCCTCCCCGACGCAGGTCTCAGGTCCTTGAAACGACAGGGTTTAACAAAGACTGCATGACAGATCCTACACCAATTGTCGAACAATCACATCCATTTCCAGCTTTTGTACTACTTCCAGAAATGTAAATCTCAGAGAAGACCCATTGTCCTTGTAAGCCTCTACGGAGGTCTTCTTCATGCGCATCCTTCGAGGAGCCTCGAAGCATCTCCCACGCTGTTCACCGTCGATGACGGCTATGGGAAAAAATAATTGTACCAGTGAACCGGCCCGCAACGTTCGAGTTCCCAATAACTCTGCCTCTGGCCATTTGTTAACCCCAAAAGCACAATGCTAAAGTTGCGGCACAGGTTGACCAAAGAGAAAGAATCGCAACAGCCTCCATGCCTTCAGAGATGACATGCAAGCAGCCCAATGGCAATCGAATTTCAGGTGCTGAGAACACGGTGCATGTCAAGCCGACAGTCGCATCAACGATTGCGGTCAAAGACCAGATATATCAACGTCTCCAGGACCTCGTGGAGACCAACTGAATGGGTATCTCATATTTGACCCTTGATGTCGACCTGGCCAAAAGCTCTAATCTTTGCCATCTGAAAGATATTCCCCGCCTTCGCAGTTAAAAAGCGGACATCACCATCGCGTTCTTCAAGTAGATTCGAGGAATCGTCTGGGACATGGTCGAGGATGAATTGGCAGGCCTCTTCGTCCGACTCAAATCCGAGTTCCTCAGTGACGAAGCGCAATCGCACGTCCGGTTTGTACCTGCAAACAGTTCAGCGACCAAAGTCATGTTGCTAGGGAAATTGGGGGGACTTACGCTTTGCACAAACACGCCAATGCCGCTAGCCTCTCACGTTCTACGAACATATCCATCAAATATGCCCCCATGTCGGGCACGGTGAGATACAATTTGAAAAATTTGTGGTAATTTCCAAGAGCGAGAGCCGAGCGAACCTCCAGCGCATGCTTGATTGCTGGTTCCTTCTTGTCTGCTGGGGTTAGATCAGAGAGCACGTCATTCATGTCAGTTTGGTTGCACGTGTGGATAAAATAGAGGATACGATATGCCTTGAACTCCACAGGGTGACCACCGAGGTTCTGTTTGTACAGCGCTCGTAGCTGTGTTTGGCACTGGTTATACTCACCCAGGTCACCCTTCTCCAAAGCAATGCGAGCATGATACTCATAGACGCTGGTGGTGAACTCGTTTTTGATATGTTGGACGGTCAAGTCTTGCCGCAGCGATTTGAATTGATCACAAATGTAGACATAGTTGCCCTCAGTGCGCCATTTCTTCTTGAGGAGTTCCAAAGTTTTGCGGAGGACTTCCAGAGGTCGGACATCATCAGGATTGGGGGCTGATGTCAGTCTGAAGTAGTTCTTCTCGAGTTTTTGCGACCGGCCGACAATTGGTCCAGTCACCCTCGGCTCCGGTGAAGCAACCCGCGATGACTCTTGTGTACGTGGTGAACCAGATCCCGCGCGTGTCTCCTCGAATCGCCGCCTGCGAGAATCCAGGCTTGCCTGGGTTTTACTTACGGATTTATTCATGTCGAGTTTAGGCCGCTTTTCAGATGGGTTGAAGGAAACACGGTCAGCCAGAGATCCGGGAGTTCGTCCGTTCGTCCTCCAAGGTGGTTGTGATGTAGAAATTTCACCATCCGCTGAGAATTCCGTGGACTTGCGCTTACGTGGAACATCCGGTTGAGGGTGGTAAGGAGTGGTGGAAGCGGTTTGAACAGGTACATGAGGAACATAAGACGGAGGGGATATGGGGGCAAGAAGAGCACGACTGCGTTCATCCCGAATCATTTGTTGCGGTAGTGGCAGCTCTTTCCAGTTGATAGTATCCAACTTGCCACTCTGAGTTGCATCAGTGATGATTTCCTTGAGTTTTGTTTCAATCTGCTCTTTCGAGACATCCCGTATTTCTGCGGCTTTGGCAAAGGAGCGGTTGACATAGTCACGGACATCTGGAGACCAGACTATCTTTTGTCGTGCTGGCTGTTGCGTTTGGGGCGGTGCAGTGTTTGACACGGTGTTTGTTGGAGGTGAGGGCACATATTGTTGAGGTGGCAATGGAGTGGGAGTATAGGTGGGTGGCGGAGGAAGATGCGACTGGGAGCCAAAGGCATTTCGCGCGGGAACTGGTACGTAAGCATGATTCTGGTGGTTCAGCGACGGGTATGAAGTCTGCCACGGAGGGTGGCCAGCAGGAGATGAATACATGGCAGCGAGTCCAGGAGTACAAGGCTATACGAGGCAAGGTTTAGCAGAAAGTGAAGAAATGTATCTCAGAGAGCGAGGCGGTACAAGAGCAGGCAGAGAATCGCTGATGCCGGCGCTTTGGTGAAAGGAACAGGAGACGGTGAGAGGAAAGGGAGGGAAAGCCCTGAAGTTGTCGTTGAACGTGGTGGTCGCAGGAGGACCGTCCCTTGGCACAGGGACTAACTCGATATGGGTTAGCGAAAACTCCCTCTTCAATATCTATCTTCGTCGTGCTTGATGATCTCTTCATTACACAATGGGAAGATGTTGCAGACGCCAGACTTATAGCGACAGACATCTTCAAAGACGTCTTTACTTTCGAAAATGAACTTCAGTTTGCATAGACTGCCGGATGTTCCTCAAAAAGCCAGATCTGACCGCTGGCTCGCGCCCGACCCTGTCCCCAGATGAGGTCCTTCTATTTGTACAGGACGGGGTTGGGCTGTATGAAGGGTGAGACTGGCTCTGGCACTTCCGAAATATTACAATCTCCAGGCTGACCTTAATTAGAAAATACAAGATCAAGTCTTGCCAGAAAGGTCATGCATATCTGACCTCTCACCGCGCTTGTTATGTCGACGATGCAGATCCACGGGCCAATTCATGGGCTGTTGATCTCAAAGATGTAGAGAAACACGAGTTCCAGGTAATAAGACCCGTTATCCCATACGTAAGAAGTGCTAAGGGGTTGTTTCAAACAAGGCTGGATTCCTCAAATCCTCCCCAAAGGTCACATTGTTTCCAAAGCCGCCGAAACGAAGGTTTGGCACCATAGGCAAAGCCGGGTCGTCACAGTCCCCAAGCTTCCAGAGGGTTGCGTCCTCTTCAACTCCATCAACACGCGCTTCCAGTCCATTTCGTCCCTCCGCAATATCTCCTACCCCGACACCACTCGTCATCGGCACCTGGGTATGCCCGATCTGCTCTTTCTCCAACCCCGTGCCGTCTAACTTTGATCCTACAATCGCGACGGAATCGTTTCCACTACCGCCTTGCCTGGCGTGCGGGATCAAGCCGCCCTTTTCTCTTGTACTCAAAGCAGCTGTTTCAGCGAATGCAAAGCGCCTACCGGCACCCAGACCCGAGTCAATCAATCTCACACCTGATTCCCACACCCAGTCCTATGAAGATGGGGCCTCATCAGAGAACATCACTTGTCCCCGGTGTACATTTCACAATCATCCTGGGATGCGCATCTGCGAACTATGCTCTGCACCCCTCCCGGTACCGGACTCCATCCAGAGAAAGGCACTTGAAGATTCGGTGAGTCGGTCTGAATCACCAGGACCTGAAATCTCGGGACTTTCGTTGGAGGAAGAGCATGACACCCCAAGTGTGAAGTTTTCTTTTCGAAATGGAGGTGATCGTGTATTCTATGAGCGACTTAAAAATGCAATGATACAGAGAAAGTGGCTGCTACAAAATGCGCCACCCATTCCACGCCCTGATCTTGACCGTTCCCCAACACCACTTGGAAATCCTGCCCTTGTGCCGTCATCTGAATCACGAGCTGTGGCCGTTGGCATTGCCGGACTTGAGCAGCGCGGACTCCAGACCCGCAAGATCAACGAAGCGGTGCTGGGCAATGCTTTTGAAGATCTGGAGGCTCTGATGGCATCAGCAAAAGATGTGGTTGCGCTGGCAGAGCGGTTTGCTGTTGAGTCAGGGTCACAAACAGGTGTCCCCGGAGTCTCGTCCGACCCTCTCGTCTCCCAGTCAGCGGCGGCACTCGGCATGTTGGCAACAAGGGATATGATCGGGGACAATTCTTCTGCACTCTACATCTCCGAACTGGCAAGAAATTTGGCCGAATATGCTACGGACGATCAACGGGGAATATTGCGACGTCAAGGCGGCACAATGAGTCTGGTTGACTTATGGGCAACGTTCAACAGAAGTCAGAATGGGGTGGAACTGGTCAGCCCCTCTGATTTCCACAAAGCGGCCGAAGCATGGGAAAAGTTGGGCCTGCCTATCAAGCTACGACGCTTCAAGAGTGGACTCTTGGTGGTGCAACAGCGGAATGCAAGTGACGAGAAAACGGTTGGCCAGATCAAAGGGTGGCTCGCGTCACTAAAAATCTCGACGGCTGCTACATCGGAGGCATGGGACAGGCCGGCGTATGGCGTTGGAGTAACAGCACAACAGGCAGCTGTACAGTTTGGCTGGAGCCTGGGTGTTGCAGCCGAAGAACTCGAGATGGCAGAGGAGAGAGGTGCTCTATGTCGGGAAGAAGGTGTAGAGGGCCTGAAGTTCTGGCTCAACTACCTGATTGAAGATGATTAGATAGACTTGTATCAAGAGGCCATCTGGCCCTCCTTGTGTTCTTCGTACCGAGTACTACCAACCATTCGCGGCGCCCACCCACGAGGCTCTGAGGCCCCACGTGTCGTCGTTGTGGCGTTGAGACTCGGCGCACTTGCCTCTTGTGATATGTTGTCCTCATTCTCCCTGAATTGAGGGATTGAGAGATGCGAGGACGTCGACGCGCAAGAATCACGATTGTACTTTATGCTGATTTATGATGGTATCGGTACTGTCTCACCCAAGTCGCTCTTTTCCTTAATTCCACGCCCAACATGGCCAGAATCGGCCGCGGAGGCTTTCTGGCTGTCGCCGTCGTCTTCCATCTGATCTATCTCTACTCCATCTTCGACATTTACTTTGTTAGCCCGATCGTCCATGGCATGAGATCAATTCCTCTGCAGCAAGATCATGCTCCGTCAAGACGGCTCATTTTGTTTGTTGGGGACGGTTTGCGCGCTGACAAGGCCTTTCAATCCTTTCCAGACCCTTCTCCTCCCGATCCAGACAATTTCGACCCTACACCGCGGCCTCTTGCTCCTTTTCTGCGATCTCGAGTGCTTGAGCACGGTACCTTCGGCGTCTCCCATACAAGGGTCCCTACAGAGTCGCGGCCTGGTCACGTCGCACTCATAGCCGGTCTCTACGAAGACGTTTCTGCGGTGACGACTGGGTGGAAGCTGAACCCTGTTGATTTCGACAGCGTTTTCAATCGAAGTCGGCACACATGGAGTTGGGGCAGTCCGGATATTCTTCCGATGTTTAAGGAAGGGGCAGTACCAGGACGGGTTGATGCCGATCACTATGCTGCAGAATTCGAGGACTACTCGCAAGATGCCACATCACTGGATACTTGGGTGTTCGACAAGGTTAAAGATCTTTTCCAATCTGCCAGCACAAATGCCACCCTTGATGCAATGCTTCGAGAGGACAAACTTGTTTTGTTCTTGCATCTGCTTGGCCTGGATACGACCGGCCACTCTTACCGGCCATACTCCAAAGAATACCTTCACAACATTAAGATTGTCGACCAGGGTGTTGAGGCCATTACGAATTTGATCGAGGAATTCTACGCTGATGGGGAAACCTCGTACGTCTTCACGGCGGACCACGGGATGAGCGACTGGGGGAGTCATGGAGACGGCCATCCCGACAATACAAGAACCCCTTTGATCGTATGGGGTGCCGGCGTGGCCCGTCCCCAGCTTTTCCCAGATCAGAACGCTCCCGGCCATGACAGCCTCTCCTCCGACTGGGGTCTTGACCATGTTCAACGCCACGATGTTGACCAAGCCGATGTTGCTGCGCTCATGGCGTACCTGGCGGGACTGGAGTTTCCAGTCAACTCTGTCGGCAAGCTACCGTTGTCGTATCTTGCTGCATCGACGCAGGAGAAAGCTGGTGCGTCGCTTGTGAACACCAAGCAAGTCCTTGAGATGTACAGAGTCAAGGAGGAACAGAAGAAGGCCACCTCACTTAATTTTCAACCGTTCCCCCCTTTTTCGCAAGCTAACGCCTCTGTGGCTGATCGAATTGCCGCCATCGAATCGGCAATCGACAATAACCAGCACGAGGTAGCCATCCAGTTGTCTTCGGAACTGTTCGATCACGCCCTCCAGGGCCTTCGGTACTTGCAAACCTATGACTGGCTTTTTCTTCGAGCACTTATTACCATTGGATATCTCGGCTGGATTACCTATGCAATCACGACCGTCATTGACCTGCATGTCCTCCATGGTGCGGTACAAGATGAGAGGACGGTTGGCACAACCATGATGTTCTCGTCTCTCCTGGTTGTGTTGTATTCGTTCTTTGTCATTGAAAAGTCGCCTGTAACATATTACGCCTATGCCTTCTTCCCAGTCTTCTTCTGGGAGGAAGTGTTTGCCAGGAGAAAGGCTCTCTTTTCCGGGGTCAGTGTCCTTTTCGGCCATGTTCGCAGCTTTTCTCGATCTCTTTCTCTTCTTATCCAGGTGCTGCTGTATTTGTTCGTTATCGAAGCTCTGGTTTGTGACAGGAATCAACTCTATCATGAATCTGATCGCTGACCCTTACAGGTGCAATCATACTTTCATCGCATTATCTTCACCGTGTGTTACCTTGTTGCAGCGGTCTTTCCGGCCGCATATGGTGTGGATTTCATCAAGACAAACAAATTAATTGTGCTGGCATGGGCAGCGGGCTGCCTGATTCTGAGCACCTTTACACTTCTCCCAGTGGTCAAGGTTGAGAGTTCCAACATGATCACTGCAGGAGGCTCACTTATGTTTGGCGCCGGCGTTCTCTATCTTGCTTTTGAGCACGATATCACCAAGCAGTCGAAATCGCGAGTTCAGGAAGCAGAACCCAATTTGCTATCTCGAGTTCTCATGGGTCTTCAGATCGGTATTATTGGGCTGACAATCATCGTCACACGCTCAAGTGTCGCCTCACTTCAGGCAAAGAAAGGGCTGCCTCTTGGAAACCAAGTCATCGGTTGGCTCGTTCTGATTGCCTCTGTTATCCTCCCCTTCGTGCACCGGATAGCACCCAACAAACACTACCTTCATCGTCTCGTCATTATCTTCCTAACATTCGCGCCGTCGTTTGTTCTTCTTACCATATCGTATGAGGGCCTCTTCTACTTTGCCTTCTGCGCCACGCTACTCACGTGGGTACGTCTCGAGCACGCCATCCAGCTCCATGGGCCACCACAACCACGAGACGCTTCCTTGGACTCCATGCCCTCCGCAAACGGCATCACCATAACCTCCAAATCCCAGAAATCCGAGAACCTCCATCCCGATCAGACCTTCCGCACACTTGCACTCACGGACCTCCGTCGTGCCCTTTTCTTCCTCTTCTTTCTCCAATCCGCCTTCTTCTCCACCGGTAACATCGCGTCGGTTTCCAGCTTCAGTCTGGATGCCGTATACCGCCTCATCCCGATCTTTGACCCCTTTTCGCAGGGTGCTCTCCTACTCTTCAAGTTGATGGTCCCCTTTGCCATCATCTCGGCGGCACTGGGAATTCTCAATCGCAGACTCGGGCTACAGAGTTCGGCGCTGTTTATGACGGTGATGAGCATTAGCGATGTCATGACCCTCAACTTTTTCTGGATGGTCAAGGACGAGGGGAGCTGGCTAGACATCGGCACCACGATTAGTCACTTTGTGATTGGCAGCCTGCTTTGTGTGTTTGTGGCGGGCTTGGAGGGAGTGAGCCAAGCCTTGATTCAAGGAGTCGAGGTCGATAGCTACGAGGACAGAACCAAGCAGATGGGCGGAGTCCAGGTGGTGCAAGGGAGCACCGTGGCAAGAGGTGCGAATGGGGATTTGCACGCAAATGGGACGGTGAATGGAGTCGTCAAAGTGACAGAAGGGCGAGAAGGTGTGGACGAGAGGCTGGTGATTGATTAGCCACGGACACAACTGAGGACACAGTTTCATCATTGCGAAGGTCTGGGTGATATCACTCCATATCGAATGTGCGTTGTTCCGTAGATTGGATTGACAATCATGAACCTGTGTGTATAGATATATGATCAATAGGACAAACACGGTGGGTGGTCCTAGGATGTCACATGTTTCTCGAGGGTTTCAGCTTCATCACTCCGTCTGTGCCTAAGGAGTGCTAGACCGTTTCCCGATTTCTTGATTAACTCGTTTTAATTTGTGTTCTGGACTGGTTTTTGTGGGCATATTACGTTCAAGAAGAGACAGACATTTCGAGCGTGGAATCGTCCAATAGATTTTTTAGTTCCAGGTGTGATCTATGGACGGGAATCATCTGATATGTGATATCCGATGCGTTTCTACAGGAGGTTGAGGGACGGGGGACGCCGGTGTCAACGCTGGTCCTCCCCCCTTTTGGGGCTTGCCGTTTTGTCGCCTGATAAGATGGGATGGGATGGGATGAGACTTGATGAGATACACCCACCCTAGTGGTCATCTCTATTCAGAGGGGAGGGTTTGTGGTGTCCCCAACTTCTCCGATGCTATGTGTTCGATATTGGTGGCTGATTCTCTCTTCCAATCAACTCCAAACTGTTTGATGACTCTGCCCCGTGCTGTCCTGTCCTGTCCTGTGTATGGACAGCGACAACAATATTTCATGCGTGACCGAAACCCATCCCATGCTGGTGGAAAGCCCCCCCGCCCCCATTGACAAAAAATCATAGCATGTCTTTGCTTTTCATTTTTACTCGCGAGGATTCCCGGCGCCCCTGTCTGGCACTCCCGTCGTGCCCTTGGCCTTGGAGTATCCCGCGTGTTCTCCGGCCTTGCCACCCTCCGCGGCGACGAACTCTGCGGACACGGGTTCCTTTGCCTCGGCGCCTGTCATACTCACGTTGTGTCCTGATACGGGTCCGCGAGGTTGATCGCCTTCCTGCTGGAGGCGGCGGAACTCGCTGTTCACGTCGCTGGGGTCGCGGAGACCCGAGCCGCCCGTTGCCCCGGCGCCCTCGGGGCCCGAAGTCGCTTTGCTGGCCGTATGGTGTCCTTCGTGCCGCAGCTCCGTCGACGTCTGGCCTTGGCCCGGATGGCCGAGACCTTGGTGCACGTCAGCGGACGTGGCGCCGGGCAAGGTGCTCAGGGGGTCGGTGCGCACGCCTTCCTTGCCGTGGGAGCGGTCGACGTTGTCGTTGAAGGCTTGTCCGGGCACTTCGCCCGTCGGGTTGGGTTGGAATGTTGCGTTTGCGGGAGCCGTGCCTGGTGGTAGGGTTTTGGCTGAGAATTCGGGGGCGTGGTCCGCCGGCGAGACCTTTTGACCTACTTGGTGCTGGAAACCGCGAAAATAACAATGTCAGTGTCTGGAAAGGGTTGTCGTGGAGTGGTTCAGGTCCCAGGTATGTCAAGAGATACCTACACCATGCTTCTCCATGGGTTCATCGCGGGGCTTGTGAGGCATGAATTCGCCCTGGGCGTTGGTCATAGAGTCTGCGTTTCTTGCTGCCATTGTGTGTGGTTCTTCAACAAAAAGAGAGACTTCTTCAAATTCGAGGGTGTCAATTGGTTTTGTTCGAGAGTGATAAGAACAATCAAGGTCACAGAGAGGAATCGAGGCGGATTGAAAAAGGTCGTGTGTCTTCTCATGTGCCTGAATCTTTGACGTCATGCTGCGACATTGTGATCTCATACTTTTTCCCTCTTGGTGTTTTCATGTGGCAATTGCCAAAGGGGCCTGGGAGGGGCATGGAAAGTGCTCGGAGGTTCCTGGAGGTTCAGTGGGAGCATGGTCGTGGTGTGGTGGAATGATCATCTTGACTCGGTGTCCATTCTTAGAAAAGTGTAGATGCCGTAGATCTCCCCCAAAACACATGCCTACCTTGATGAATACAGTCATTGAGCCACCCTTTGTTAACCAGGGCTTCTTCCTTACTTCGCATAAGTCCCCGAGAATTCAGGTGCCGAAGCGCAGCACCATACGCGGTCGTCGTTGTTGGAGACATGAGTGACATCTCATGATGGACGATTGTTCCGCTCGTCTCTGTGGTCACCACCAAGCCTTGGCCAAGCCTTTCAAATGACACGTCACACAGCCGAAGTCACCAGCCACGCACTCGTATACACGAGTCTCATGTTCTGATATAGCGATATACAGGGGCCTCAGAGCCTCGTGACACTTGACTCTTGACTTCTTTTTAACGAAGGAGCGCACAGGACCACCATTCACCACCCGCTATCCTTCCAGAAGCCGTGCCAAGCATCTTCGCTTAGACGAGGCCATCAAGCCAGGATAATGGAGCGGCCGCATTCATCGTGCCCGATATCGACTCGTTCGAAAGAGATCGGCAGGATGCGTGCTATCAGGCGCGCATCGGTGCTGACGCTCAAGTTCTGTTAGATTGGGACAGCGCCCCGTGGAGTATGGAATGGGAAGAAATTGACGTGAAGGATGCGGAGTTGTTGGACGTGGAGGGGTAATTTGGTCACAGTCCAGCTGAAATGAAACAGTTGGACAATGATGCCACCAAACTTTACACTGGAACCGTTGTCCTGGAGAGCGCCATATGGAAACTGTGCCTTATACCAGCCAAAAAAATGCATTCTTTTGGCAATCAGATGCCTCCACAAATCCACCTCTCCATCATCAAACTTCCTAATCAGGTGCGTGATCCGTGTCTTCACCGGATTGGGACAAGATGCTCCACAGGAGCAGGTGTGATTGGCTCCAGGTGAACGAGGCTTTGCGGTACTCCGTACTCGAACCCCTAATTTAGGGACAGCTCACGATGGCTCCTTCGTCGGATCGGTCGTATCAGAGAAGCCATGGGACCTCCCTACGAGAATAAGAGGGTAGGAGTGGGACAACGCCATCGTACGCTTTTATAGAGCTGTGATGAACGTCCTACTTGAGAAGCTGGCACGGAAGAGTGCTTCTGTACCAAAACGAGGGGTCTTCGGAGGAAGATGCGCCATGGAAGGCTTGTTTATTGCGCACGCACCGACTTGCGCCAATTACCCACTTTTGTCGTCCTTGGCCGTTGAAATGCGAAGATCTGTGGTAAGTCATCCGCAGCCTGGTTACCCGATTAGGCGTATAGGCGTCGATCCAGATCCACCCGTTAAGCTCAACCACCAGAGGCACAGAAATGCAATTTCGGTTCATCGGGAATTGTGTCACCTCTCCCCCTTGCGAATGCTAGTCAATGTCAGCGCCGTTACAGCGCTTGTGGATTGTCCGGAAGCAAAGTTGTAGATGTCTGTCTACTGTATAAGACTCTGTACGGCTGCACAGAAATGGGATTCTTGAGAGTTTGTGGTAGCGCCTATTTATCACTTCGCCAGGGACTATTGCCCGCGAGCTGAGAGACTTGGTGTCTCGCCATGAATCCCCAGTCACTCGTTTCACTCCTGCTCGCGCTGGCCGCGCTGCAACCATGCGAAGTTGCTTCTCTTGCGGTGCCCCGGCCACCAACCTTGAAGAGCCGTTCACTCCTTCCTCCTTTCTCGTTGCCGCAAGATGACCTGCTCGACCTGACGAGGGCAGTAGATATCACGGCAAAGCAGCTTGGCTACTTGTATGGCCCTCCGGTCGCAGGAGGGCCTTTCTTTCCCAGCGGCGCTTTGGGTCTGGCAAAGGTCGCCGCCGACCAAGTCGAGATCCAGCTCGATGAGGCACCGATCCTCGCGGCGGTTGCTGTCGATACCACCGACAGTACGGTGTCAGCCCCTCAGTACAACGGCCTGCAGACCTTGGACGATTACACCCTGTTATATGACGGCCACTGGAAGGCAACTCTTCCATCTGGTCCAGTGCCAGGAATGTTGACCAACTACACCCAAGACCTTTTGTTTTCAATGGAACGTCTCTCACTGAGCCCCTATCAGGTAAAAAGGCTCAATCCCTCCTCAGACACGTTGCAGTTCAGTGTCGACGATGACGTTGCGACGGACCTTACAGGCATGACACTGCAACAACTGTTCCAAGCTGGACGGCTCTTCTATGCCGACTATCGAGACCAGAAAGATCTCACTCCGACCGATCGCTTTGCCGCCGCATGCGATGCTTTCTTCTACATTGACCAGACCTCTGGGGATTTCTTACCGCTCGCTATTCGTACCAACGTGGGATCGAATTTAATCTACACTCCCAAAGACGACCCAGCCGACTGGCTACTAGCAAAGATTATGTATAATGTCAATGACTTTTGGTTTGCGCAGTGGAACCATCTGGCGAGCACCCACGAGGTTGTCCAGATCACATATCTGGCTGCCATCCGAACGCTGAGCGACAACCATCCAGTTCTTGCTCTGCTAAACCGAATCATGTACGAGGTGTACGCGATCCAACCACTGGCCGAGACTCTTCTGTTTCTTCCTGGTGCAGCTGTCGACCAGGTCTTCGCCTATACGGGTTCCTCGGCCCAAGACTACACCACCAACTTATACAAGAACGGCGGCAGTGGTCGCTTTCAAGCCAACTATTTCAAGACCGACCTCGAGACCCGCGGACTGATCAATTCCAACTTTGGTCCCGCGTTGAAAAACTTCCCTTTCTACGAAGATGCTTCGACTATATATAATGCGATCCACGCCTTCATGACATCCTTTGTGAACTCGTACTACGCCAAAGACTCAGATATCACGGCCGACAATGAACTTCAGGCGTGGGTGAAAGAGTCCCAAGGCCCTGCGGAGGCGATTGACTTTCCCTCAATTACGACCCGAAGCGCCCTGATTGACGCTTTGACACACATGGTGAGCACAGGACACCCAGCGCACTTACAGTAGATCTGCAAGTGTATGCTAACTAAATATTCTTCTCAGGCTCATCTTGTTTCTACCTCCCACCACACGATCAACACCAACGAGTTGCTCTCGGCCAGTTCTACGCTGCCCTTCCACCCTCCTTCTCTCTACCAGCCACCCCCCTCTGCCAAAGGGTTTACAAATGTGGTGGATTTCCTCCCGCCTCTTGACAAGGTTGAAGCGCAGTTCAGTGTGGCAGCCATCTTTGTACGCCCCTTTTTCGTGGGCACGAACCGCACCCTGATGCACATGTTTGAAGATCCGGTTATGCTCAGCCGCATGAATAGCGCTACCCAAGCGGCGGCAACAACCTTCTTCAACAGCATGCAGTCATTCAGTGGACAGGTTTCTGCACGTACATTTGACGGCAATGGCTTGTCCCAAGGGATGCCGTTTGTGTGGCAGGCTTTGGATCCGAATGTGGCGCCATTTTCTATCACTTCTTAGGATGGTTCATTTGAGCGTTCCTCTGCTTTTTGTATACCATTCATGTATGTACTTTCGACACTGATGTGATAGGGGCACCTTTTCTCTCTTCTATCTCCCCTACAGCAGATAATTATCATTGGATGCCAAAGTGCTCAAATTCCTTCCTATTCCTGGAGCGACGATGGGAAACCCCCTTGTCAGCTTTCCGGAACCCGGGTGTGTCACAGAAATGCACCCTTTCAGCTGCGAAGGAAGAAGTCCCGAAACTTTGTCGCCATTTCTTCGGATGGAGCAACAAAAAAGGAGATCTACGGAACCAACCTCTGCTCAAACTCACCGGCGCAGAAACTTCCTTCACCAACTTCTTTTTAAGGCCCAGCCATCAAGCACTGCAGCTCAAACACACGTAAGCTTCGTCCTTTGCCAGACTCGGTGAAAGGCTCGAAGTGTCGTGATGAACTAGCCCTCTCTTCACCATCTGTTCGTGCCTCGTAGGTCTACCGAGTACTGGGGCTCGAGTCAGGAAACCCAAGGGCCCCAGTTGAGTCGACAACTCCTGATATTGGGGGCCGTTGGGTGGGTTTATTGGAATAATGACATTGCTTTCCCAACTCGGTGGTCAGCCTGAACAAATCCCGCCGGATTCTACCCATATCCAGGTTGCCAGGTGCCCCAAAAACGTTTTCTGGTGTGGATTTGCCAAAGGTCGAGTTCGAGAAAAAGCCCGTTGGTTTCAGAATTGGATCCTAGAGGAACAAGACTCTGTCAGACGGGGTTCTCTTTGGTCCCTCTGGTCCCTCTGGTCCCTCTGGACTCCATATCGCATGCCAACTTCTGGGTTCAGTTAGGCACGGCAACTAGTCGGTGGTGACCTTTTCCTCCCCCGCACCAGCATATCCCTGCTTGGGCCCTGCTGGGCCCTGGGCTGGATGATGCAGATCAACAATCATGCAGGTCCAGGGATGCGGGAACCACTTTGGGGGAAGTGTTTCTATTCGCTGCTCCTCGCTAGCTTCAGGCCAGCAGGCCCTTTAATCCAGCCCTTTGGCAATTGAGGATGCCCGACCGCGTCTGATCTCCCGGACGCCACCCTGGAAAAGCCACCCACCCAGCGTCTGGTCCAAAACTGCCTGCGTGCGAACTAAACGGCGACCGAGTGTTCGGTACCTGGCGGTACCTGGACGTCCGTGGGGCAAGCCTTGTTGTTCGCAAAAGAGCGCCGTTCTGCGAAATAAGGATCTGCCCTTTTTTGCGCACAAGGACGACAACCTACCGAGTAGTACAGCCCGGCAGACAAGGCCAGCAGGAGACGTTCCTCCTCCCACCATTTGGTGGAGTCATGCGCAAGCCTCCCTCCCTCTCTCTTCCTAGACTCTGCGCAAGAAATCCTCCTGCAAGCTCTACCTACTCTCTTCCTCCCACCGTCCCAGCCCGGAAAGCATTTCTTTCATATGTCGTGTCCTTTTTCTCTCCTTTGCCCCCCTTGTTCTGTAAAATAATCCCTTGATAACGCTGCTGCTTTCCTGGTGAACCCAGCTTTTTGAAAACGTGGTCCCCCCCCCTCCTCAAGCAAGCGTCGAGTGTGTACAGATACATCTCTTCCAACGAGACGAGAGCTATGATGAACCCATGACACTGCATTACACACTCTGCGACGACTCTATCTTGAATGACCCTCCCCCGTCGCAGTAACCACACACAGTGACATGCCATCTCGTTTACGTCCGGCTACGAAGACTCTTGGTTGGCCCAAGGAAATATAGTCCAGACCTGTCGCAATCCGGGTCAAGATGGTTGACACATTACACCGTAAGTATTCAAGCCGCTACCACTCGATACGGACATACGGGTACTGAATATCAACAGCATCTCCTGAGGTGATTGCTACTTGGCCTAAACCGAACTATGTCAATCCTGACACAAGAGGCCCGGGCCTGGTGTACATGTGTATCGTATTCGCCGCCATTGGCATCATTACATGTACAGCCCGAGTATACTCACGACTGTTTATAACCAAGGCACCTGGTCTGGATGATCTCCTGGTGGTTATCGCCCTGGGGTTCCTGACCGCCTTGACCGTCCTGGTCATCATCGGCAATAAAAAATACTATAGCGGCCGACACATCTGGGACATACCACCCGACAGCTTTGTTGGTGGACGTGCCAACATCTGGGCCAGCCTGTGGTGCTATGTTATCGGCATCACCTTGATCAAAATTTCTGTCCTGTTGTTCTATCGCCGTCTCAGCGTCAAATTTAGCAGGGCCTTCCTGATCGCAACGTGGATTGGCATCATTTACAACGTCCTGTATTTCCTCTCCTTTGGCCTGACGCTCTTGCTGCTCTGCAGTCCCCTGCACTCGTACTGGGACAGCTTCAACCCCGTCTGGGCCGCGACGCACCACTTCCACTGCGGTTCCGAGGGTGCAGCGCTCCCTGCGTCGTCTGCGTTCAGCGTGGCGGGTGACTTTTACAGTACCCTGCTCCCGCTCATCCTGGTCTACTACCTGGAACTCCCGCGGCGGCAGAAGATCGCCCTGTACGCGCTGTTCGCGCTCGGCTTCATGGCCGTCGCTGCCGGGCTGGTCCGGACGGTGCTGATGTACAACTTGCTGAACGTCGACTACGACTTCACCTGGGAGCTGTGGCTGACCTGGATCTGGGCGATTTTGGAGCTGTACCTGGCCCTGTTCGCCGCCAGCGCTCCGAGCCTGAAGCCGTTCTTTCGACATTTCTTTGTCGAGTCGCTCACCAGCCTTGCGAGGGGCTCGAGAAGACGCGGCGAATATGGCCATGACAACAGCCAAGGCACTGGGGTGGACCCCATGTCAGGGAAAGACTTGGGAGGAGTTGGAGGGAAAGGGTTGGGGACATTCACGTCCGAGACGACCAAAGGTGACGCCAGCGTGACCTTTACGACCGACCTCGAAGGAGGCAGAGGCCCTTGGGAAGGTGAACGGAACGAAAGGGCGGGATCTCGCCAGAGTTGGTTCCTGGCCGATGGTGAGAGCGACGACAACGGGACGAAGCATTTCGAACTCCGGGCCAGCCAGGACGGGAAGAAGATGATTCCCATGCGCGTGTACAAGCGCAGTGACTACCCTACCTACGACATCCCCGAGAGATCTTCCGAAGACCCCTTTGCCGACGCTGGCGAACGTACCCAGCCCTTCCACCAGCAGTACCAGTCACACCCCGCGTCTGCGGAAGAAGCCACGACGGCATTACCCCAGCGGCCAGACTGGCCTCTACCCATTATGATGCCGCCGGCGCCGTCGACGCCGCCGCAGACGACGCCAACAATGATGATGATGGGGACGGAACAGCAACACGAGCCGCGCGAGTTCCTGGCCAACCCGCGGCTTTCTTCGCCGCCCTACTTGGAGAAATAGATGTGTGTGATCGGTACCAAAAGGAACGATAAAGTCCAGTCCAGTCCGGTCCAGTCTAGTCTAGTCTAGTCTAGTACCCATAAAAATAAATGTAAATGGTAAACAAGTAACAATGACATGAGAGGACATGAGAGGAGAGTGAGAATGACGAGAGAGAGAGATAACAAGCAATCACCCACATTATACATATTGAGTAATTCACATGGTCTGCTGCAGTTGGCTGGCTGGCTAGCTAGCTGGCTGGCTTGGCTGACCTGACCTGACCTGACCTGACCTGACCTGACCTGACCTGACCTGACCTGACCTTTTCCAATAAATGTTCATGTCTGATGGGGAATTGAGCGCAGTTGCCAAATTAGGCCAAGGTTTGACAAAATGCTAAGCACCCAGCACCCAGCACCCACGGCAATCCACGCACCATAGGCACGCACCGCAGGCACGCAACGCAGCCAACGCAGGCAGCCGCCCCGCGCAGCCTCCCGCCCGTCGCCGAAAAGCTTTATTTTCTACCGAGTACCTCACCTACTACATCACCCAGTCTGACACTCTCATTAGACCGAGCCAGACGCCTCTTACCACCAGTGTCGACCCAGACATACCTGACCTATCAGCCTCACAGAGTGCGGTCTCGCCTCTCTTCAGTCCAGAGCAATCAATGCGCAGGCCAAGTCTGCAAGACGAGGGTGTCGATCACCAGCATCTGGTACTCGCCCTAGCCGTGCACCACCAGGGCCCTTCCTCTCAAGTTGACCGTCCGAATTCGAGGCACACGCCATCACCGGGAATTTCTCCTTGGTGTGCTTGATGCACCCCGTCCAGCGCCTGCTCAGCCGCAGTTGCTGTACGCCTTGCCACGATTCAGATGTTGGCGAGCTTGGGATTGGTCACCTCAGGCATATGCTCTCGCCGAATCTGCCTGCTGGTGTAGGCATGCCCAGGGCAGAAATAGCACTTGTGGTGCCACGTTCCAAGTGGTGCTTTTCCTGCTACACAGATGCCTCGTCTGAGCATTCTCGCATGTACAGAGGGCCGCGTGCTAGGCTGTGCAGTCTGCGCCTGCAAATGGTCAGGCTCATGCAGCTAGTGGTTTACGATGATTGAGCTCAGCGGCACCCTTGTCGGTCGAACTTCACAGCACATTTCACTTGACTTCGATTTCTCCAACTTCTTGCGGCAGCCATCTGCCCATTTCTGTTTCATCATGCTTTGCTTCATCACCACCCTGCCCTGTCAGAAACAATGCTAGACCCGGTCTCAGCGATCAGTTTGGCCGCGGCAATAGTGCAGTTTGTCGATTTCAGCGCCGAAGTCATTCAAGGTGTACGAGAAGTCAATGGCTCAATCTCTGGCGCCACCGAGCGCAATCGGAGCCTCGAAGTTGTGGTGAGCGAAATGAGAAATCTAGTCCTGAAGTTCAGCAAACCGCACCACTCGCAGCAAAGTGAGGATGAGAAGGCCCTAAATCGCGTTGCCGATGAGTGCAGGATTCTGGCAGAGCAAATTATCGGTCTTCTCCAGAAGATCAAGGCAGGGGATTCGGACTCAACCCTCCAAGTCGTCTGGGCAGTACTGAAGGATCGAAAATATCAGAGACAAAAGCTGGAACTAGAAGAGAGATTGGAACGTTGTCGGAACCACCTAGAATTCCAATTGAACTATTTGACCAGGTTAAACCCTTTCTACCTTGATTTGGGCAGAAAGAATAACGATCTTACAGTGCTGAGGTGAAGACCAGACTGGATACACTGGTCAACTCTGCTGAAGGTCTGGCTGAAAAATTCGAATTCCTTCGAAAGCATGTTGAGCAAGTTCGCTGCGGAACCAGTGTTGCGTCCTTCAGCCCCGAGGCTCAAGAACAAATCCGAAAGCTCGTGCATCTTCCAGACGACGTACTCCTGGAAATCAAACAGCAACGCGTTCTAAAAAGCCTCGCCTACAGTGACATGCAAACAAGATTTGAAGAAGTCCCCCAAGAACACAGCAAAACCTTCGAATGGATCTTTGAGGACACCACCCAAGGAAGCAGCCTAGACAACGACGACTCCAGCCGAGAGTCGTTTGTAGATTGGTTGTCATCCGGACGAGGGGTCTTTCACATATGCGGAAAACTGGGGTCTGGAAAAAGCACATTGATGAAGTTTTTGTGTAATCACCCTCACACTGAAAGGGAATTGCAACACTGGGCAGGTAAGCTGCAAGCCCCAAGGGCAATGCACAGTCACATCGGCCCTTGAGAAGCACAGACTAACATGTTCTTGAAAGGCGGCCGAAAGCTAATATTTGCCAAATTCTTCTTCTGGAGGGGAGCCAAATCCGTGGAACAGAAGTCTGTCTCCGGCCTCATTCGGTCGCTGCTCTACGAGACGCTACGTGCCTGCCCCGAACTCATCCCCCACGTGTTACCAGGCCTCTGGGCTCAGGCCGAGTCCTCGTCCTGGCAGGCGGACATGAAGCTCGATCTCGGAAAATTGGAGCGCCGAGCAGCAGTCTCCAGCCTCATCACGCTTCGGAACTTGTACAAGGAGCACTGTTTCTGCTTCTTCATCGATGGTCTGGATGAATTCGAGAAGACTCCTCAGGACGGCTATGGAGATCTGATCAGGCTGCTTGGCAGCTGGTCCGAGGCTGCACCGGAAGCCGTCAAGATCTGCGTCTCAAGCAGAGAGGATCTGGTTTTCATGGACGCGTTCTCTAGCGAAAGGAGATTTCGCCTTCAAGATCTAACAAAGGAGGATATTCAACGTTACGTTCGGGAGACTTTACCGATAGCAGCTCACGAACAAACCGAAGGATTGATCGACAAAATAACTAAAAGGGCTGATGGGATCTTTCTTTGGGTGGCTTTGGTGACAAAGTCAATTCGAGATCAGTTGGAGGAGGGGTACGAGCTCTCTGTTGTCGAAGAAGAGCTTGACCGGCTTCCGAGCGAGCTGCAAAAGCTCTTTGAGCATCTCCTCGAGACTATCAGCCAATCTCCCGGTTACAAGACAGCTCACCATACCTTTGCGATGGTTCTGAAGCTTAGATATTACAAGCTCGACCTGATGTTGCTGGCATATTCTTTTCTGGAACATTACGAAAAGGACCCGAGCTTTGCTATGGATGGATCATTCCCGTTTTTGAACACAGACGACGTTGGCGGAAGAAGACGAGAAGATCATGCACGCAGAAGACTGTACCGAGACTGCAGACACCTTCTGGAAGTGAAGGAAGACGGGGGAACTATCACCGTCACCCACCGCTCCATCCTCGAATTCCTCGAAAGTCAGGCTGTCAAGGACACGATGAAGTGTGATCTTGATGGCTTCAGCACGGAAGAGGCAATTTCTCAACTCTTCCTTGCGGCGTTGCGGTACAAAAGGGAAAGATTTCCCGATAGATTTTTGAGTCGTGTCGTTTATAACATCATCCTTATGCGAGACGAAAGTGGCATCAATCAAGAACCATATCATTTTCTGGAAGCTCTGAGTGCCGCGGCGTGTCCTGTCGCGATTCATGACCCTGGGACCTGTATGCAGCCACAAGAGCATAGATTGAAGATGATTTGTTATGCGCAGGGAGAGTTTTTCGTTATAACGGCTGGGCCTACGACATTGGAGCCTTCAACAGGGGAAGACCTCCTCACATCTCCTGTCTATGTTTCGGCATTTGTGGGAGCTTGCCAATACGTCGCCTGGAAGATACAACGCGATCAAACCATTATCCAAAATAGGTCCGAAATTGCTCTTATTTTATGCTGCATTGAATCCGGGGGCGTAGCGCCTGAAGCCTTTCGCAGAAGGATGAGTATTCTCGAACACCTTCTCACCCGAGGGCTCTCTCCTAACGCCATCATACACAATAGCATTACGGCGACTTGCTACTACCCTGAAGATCTGAGTTTCTGGCAGCATTTCGTCCTGCGGATTGGACTGTGGATGGGTTGGTCGGATGAGACTAAGAATGTGTTCGGCGAAGTAGTGGAGAGCTTTCTTGCCCATGATGCAGACCCTTACGTGTGGATTTCGAAGGCTTTTCGAAGTCGGGGCCGGAGGAGGAACGAAGGTCTGGAAGTGACTTTCGGAAGAGAGCGATCTAAGACTATATCACTGGAGGACTTCGACCATTCCGAAGAATGGTTCCCTCTTTTGGTTGAAACAGGCAAAACGGCTTCGCTCCGAGACATGGTAGAGTTCTGGAACTTTGATAACCAGGAGGCGATCTTGCAGTTACTGGATGCGAATGTGCGGCGACGAGAACTGATGGCGAACGTGGACGACGTGTCAAACGATCAGCTACCCAAAGACCAGGAGGAATGTGTGATAGAAGCTCTGGACACGCCTGGACCTCAGGAGGAAGCGCCAACCACATCAGCATCAACCTTGAGAGATGCGGTCGCGGAGAACCCGACGATGCAGCCTTCGACCACGAGAGACCTCTGGTGGTTGCTCCAATGGTCGGTGCGGAGTCATGTTCTTCCATTCCTGCTAGGTGAGTAGTCTACTGCGGTGAACAGATATCCTCACTATCAACTTCTGACGACGATTCCAGGCATCCTTGTGGCCTGTGCTTTGCCTCGACTGTGGACTCTGCTGACAACACAGTCGAGTATGAGAGAAGAGGGAAGAGGCGGGGGGATTTCAGAGCTGTAAGCAGTGTGCTTCGGTCTTGGTCGAGACAGGTAGCAAAGAAGCCATTTACAAGCCATGAGTTCTGGGCCTGTGCTGATGGTCATCTGCCCTCCGTAAGTGTCTTTGGCATTGGATGTATATTTTATAGGTATGAGCAGTAGGATCGCCAGCGACTTCCATATGCGGTGTTAAGGAGATAATTAATCCACTGACTGAGTGCGCTTAGGGAAACCCAGTTCCATCCAATCAAAGGGGCGATGATCTTTTTACTCATTACCAAAGGGTGACGACAACCTCTCTCTCTCTCTCTCTCTGTGTGTGTGTGTGTGTGTGTGTTTCTATAGTCCCCTTCTCCTCCTTGTTACCTTGAAATATCCAACCTTCTCATAGCCTCGCCGAGTCCATATAATTCTACACCACAGAACGCCTGTATCCAATCGAGGCGATATCACACAAAACATAACCCAAAAACAAACGATCTCCCCTTTCACACTTCACACGTGCGTAAGAGTGTGTGAGAGAGAACACACCTTGTCGCCATGTCCGAGGTCAAGTCCAAGGGCGGAGTGCAAATCGCGAAAGGAGACACGGTCACCACGCCTGTACGTACCGGCATTTCCCACTCGTAGAATGGAGAGAACAGGAGTCGAGGCATGACGAGAAACGGGTTATAGAGTCAGATGCTAATTAGGGGTTGGAGGATAATAGTATCGAGGCGGGAAACATGAGGGACAGGTTCGTCTGTCCGCGGGGGCTAGATTCGCCCTTTTTCCTTTTCTTTTCCGTTGTCACGTCGTTAAGTCGTTCCCCCTGGGGTGTGGTGTTGACGGTGTTGACGGCGTGGACGGTATGTCTAGGTCGAACAAATTCTCCCTGGTGACGACGACTCGCAACGGGCAGAGGAATTGCTGAGAGACGTCAAAGGCGCGACACACCCGCCCGCAGTGGTCTTTACGGACCAGAATGGGAAAAGGGTCGCGCATCGGCCGGGGACGTTGAGAGATTTAAGTAAGGATGAAGATAAAGATCATTGAGAAGGCCAAAGGAAAAGAGAAGAAGGATGGGGGAGAGGGAGAAGGAGGTAAGAGATGGAGGGAGAATCCGATACTATTTAGTCAGACTAACCGGGAAGATTGCTACCAAACTCAAAGTATGATCTATATAAGGCTATATGAGTACGTAGGTACTATGTATGTAGAGGCAGAAGAAGAGGGTAGAGATGGAATACTTGACCTCCTTTAACCAATTAACCAAGTATCTACCTAACTAGTCACCGGGGAGCGTGACCCCTGTCAAAGGCAAATAATACTTCAGAATTCGCATTCACATCACAGTCGTTGGTAGCGAGAGTCAGAACGGCCATGACTTTGATAAAAGCGGTCGAGACTGACTGGTCAATCACCTCCTAAATTATATTAACCCCCCCTGAAATATGAATCTACTTGACCAAGGCCATCAGGAAGCCGTCATAGTTCTTCTCCGCCACCGTCTGGATGACGACCGCGTCGACCCGGTCATCTTTGCCCACGGCCTCAATCAGCCTCCTCGCCCCGGCGACACGAGGATCGTCCTTGGCGGCCTCGTCGGCCAACAGACCCCGCCGGACGACGTTGTCGACGTAGATGCTCGTCCGGGGCTTGGTCATCTGCAGCGCGTACTCAAAGTAGGCCAGGTTGTTCTCCTTGTCGGCGTCGATGAAGACAAAGTCAAATGGCGGGCGCTTGCCGGCTTGGACTTCGGCGAGCAGCGCCGGTAGGACTTCGATGCCCGGCCCCAGGTGCACCGTTACTCGATCGCTCAGGCCCGCGTGCGCAATGTTCTCTTCGGCCACTTTTTTGTTCTCCGGGTTGACTTCGACCGTCGTCACTTTGCCGTCCTCCCCCGCCCCTGCGGCCAGCCAGATGGCAGAGTATCCCCCCAAGGTGCCGACCTCCAGAATGTTCTTCGCGCCGGTCACCTGGATTTGCAGCGATAGGAACTTTCCCTGTCCAGCGAAGACGGCAATGTCTGGCAGACCCTTGGCGAGAGAATTGGACCGCGCGAATTCCAACGCCTCGTGGTATTTGTTCCGTCCAGGGGCGAGCAGATGGGCGTTTGTATACTGGTCCACGGCCGTCCAGCGGGGATCGTGCTCATGGACAAACGAGTATCCACCTTGTGCCGTCGCCATTGTCAATGCAGTGCTCACAAATTTGTCCACCTCGACTCAGAAGGATGTTGGGAAAGGTCAGTCTGGCGTCGCTGATCGTGGTGACTCAGTCTCTCCAAGAGGACTACGAACCCTTTTAATCTTTGCTTCGGCCTCGGCCTTCCTCCTTCCGAGTTCGGCCGATATGTCTGGGTGTAAGGGTGTCGCAAGAACTGTCGCGATGGCGTATTCTCCGTCGTGGCTGATGCTGAGCTGGGCCACCTGCTCGGTCACCTTGATAGTGGAATCATCTGAAGTGGCCGTGATCTCTGGATGCGTATCACAGACGACATGGACGGCGCCGTCGGATTCAATTCCGACCCTCAGATCTCGAAAGCTGAGTAATGAAGCGTCCCAAGCCTTTTTGGCTGCCTCCTTGGACGCCCAACGGCCGGCAATCCAGGCCACCACCTGTTTTCTAGCGAGCTGGTCCTGACGACCTGCGTCATCTTGCCAGTGCGGGAAGCGGCGTCTCAAATCCTCGAGCTCGGCGGGGACAAGGAAACGATTGGCCAGCCTGACCAGGCGTCTGACATCTGGTTGGAGCAATGCCGAGATGCGGTTCGTGGCAACGATGTCGGTGCCAATTCGCAGCGCTAGAGGGAACGGAGCCCGCATTCATTCGGCTTGTCGCGCGTACCGGAGGAAGAACTCTGTGGGGGTTGAAAGGGATCTTTCCAGGGCTTTTAAGAGAGGAGCTCTGTGTAGCGCGTGCTTGTTGACTTTCTGGGAGGATTTGGAGAAATGGTCAGTGGATGGAGGGAGGACGAATGAAGTCAAAAGGTGGCCGGCAACATTGGCGAGATTGATTATTCGGTGACTGCGACTTCAGCCACGCATCAAACTCTCCTTCCCTATTAGGCTTGTCCATGGAATGGCACCGAATCAAAGATTCAGAGAAAGGGAAATGCTCGAATCATCATGGACCTCTACCACCCATTCTGCTATCTACGGGCTATTCAGACTGCTATCACTGCCTCATCCAAGTATTCCTGTACAACAGATATCGCCCGCCTCCGCGCAACTCCGCACCTTGCGGGGCCCGAGGCCAAAGACAATGAATAATATGGCATTGATCTCCTGCTTCTCTCTTGTTTGTGTAGCAGTCCCCATCTCTCTTTCCCCGCCGCAAGACCAAGACACAGACCAAATAGCCTTAAAATGAAGCATATCAAGTGTTCAGGGACGCCATACGAGGTGAGATTACGCTGTCAAGACTCGTGGGTATACAATTGTTGACATCCTCAGATTGGTCGTCAGCATGGCGAGGCAGCCAAAACCGAGGTTCACGGAAGCATGGCCTTCTATGGCGCTTACTTCAAGGAGAGGGCGAAGCTTTCGTGGCCACAGGTGCAGGATGTAGCGCGAAAGTCCCTGCCCTGGTTGCAAAATTCGTATCCAGAATATGTCGAGGAGATGCAAGGCGTTGCCGACGGCGCGGGCCTCGATCTCGAATCAATCGTCGCACTGAATGTCCGCACCGAGATTGCCTTTGGCATGGTGAGTGACGGCTGCACCGCGCTGGCCTGGAAGACGTCAGATGCGAGTTTCCTGGCGCAGAACTGGGACTGGAACTTTGACCAAACACCCAACATCATCTGTCTCTCGATCGAACAACCCGGAAAACCCCGAATCCATATGATGAGCGAAGGTGGAATCATTGGCAAGATTGGAATGAACTCGGCAGGTGTCGGCGTCACGCTGAATGCCATCCAAGCGCCTGGCGTCTCTTTCGACAAGCTTCCTTGCCATCTTGCGCTGAGGACGGCACTCAATAGCACCTCTAAAGACGCAGCAGCAGCCGCACTTCGTAAAGCCGGAGTGGCTTCGGCTTGTCACATCACCATCGCTGACGCTGCAACTGGGGGCGTTGGGTTTGAATGTACAGCACTTGACATTGTGGAAATGCCCATGGACACGGACGGCGCATTGCGTGGGTCGTGTACTCACTCCAATCACTTGGTCAAGCAGCACAAGGTCGCAGGGAACGTACTTGTCGCCGACTCCCCCTTTAGGCTCGACAGGATCCAAGAGCTAATGAAGGACATTGGCAAACCGACCATGGAAAACTTGAAGGAGATTCTCAAGGACGAGAAAAACTATCCCGTCGCTATCAACCGAGCCGTAGGTGAGAAGAATACCAGCCAAACCTTGTTTTCCATCGTCATGGACTTGAAGCAAGGCTTTGCCGATGTCAAGATGGGACGACCAACAGAGGATGGGGAATCGTTCCAGCTGAGACCATAGTGGATATTGCGACACAAGGACTGAGGCGATCTCCTCCATCCAAAGAACTTCAAGTCTGGTGTGGTGGTTTTCGATCCGTCTAGCTTATGTACAATGCGTAGGTTCGACTGAACCAATATTTTCTCATGCTGCTGTTCTCCTCTCTAATGCGCCTCCTTCCCCGAGATCTTGTTGCCTTTGTCCTCTTGCTCCACCTGTTGTAGAAATTCCCTGCCAAGGTGTTAGGGAGAGCTTCGGTAGCGAACAATGCACGTAAAACTTCTTACTGAATGAACTTCTCCTCGTCCTTGCTTGAGGCGTTGATCGGAGGTGTAGTCGATTTCTTGGCTCCACCGCCTCTCGTCAGCAGGTAGGGTAGACCAAATGCGGTGCTGAGCGTAGCGATAGCCAGCTACAAATCAATGGTCAGTCGATGCGGTCCAAGGAAGGAGGATATTTCCTCAACGCGGATTGAATTGTGACAGAGCGGGATCGATCACGGTCACGTACCCAGTGGGATCCGACCTGGCGGCCTGCGACATTGTACATAGCAACCATCTTGACGGGTTAACGGGCTTTGCGAAGGGGGATCTGTTCGAGATGGTGTGGGAGTTGTGCGGGATTGTAAAAGGATGAAGCAGTCGAACTGCGGCCCCGAGATTTTGCGTCTGAGCTGCTGGAGCTTCGTTCAATGACCCGCCGGATGCACCACGTGCTACGGTGGGCCACAACAGAGACTTGTGCGGTTGCCGCCTAAACCACCTGCGCCTCATCTCGGCGGGGAGCTGGGAGGCTCCGGAAGCTGCTGGGACGGGTCATTGCACCCAGTCAGTAACTACTACGACGCGGTCCTGAGGCCTTTATTTGCCCCCATACCATATGAGCCGGCTATATTGGGCGATAGGCAACGGCAAACGCGCCTGTTGAAGTTTTCCATTTCCGTTCGCACTCCCAAAAAATGGCCGGCAGTGAAGGAGACCGCCCAAACTCTGCCTTCCCACGCGAGCAGTTGAACAAGGACCTCCAGAAGCTGGTCGACAAGCAAGATGACTGGATGGACAACTTTTACGAAGGGGCTGGGCCCGACACCACCGACACGAGCATGCGGTATGCCGCGTATGCGAACCGCCTGCGCACCATCATGTTGAGCGCCCATCGATATGTTGCGTACACCTCGGACATTGGCGAGTCCTTTCGCCCGGTCGCACACCCTATACTCGTTAGAAGCGCATACGCGGTGTCATGGGCATACGTGCTCGGTGATGTTGGGCACGAGGGATACAAGGCATACAAAAGGAATCAGAGGCTGCTAAATCCCCAAGCTGACGGGGGCTCCGATGGTACATCGAAAGAACCTCTGGGCAAGGCCGATGCTGGGGCACCACCACAACAACCCATTCATATCCCTGCGATCGAAGACTATCGGGCTGTGATGGCTCAGCGAGCTATTTTCCAAAGTCTCGCATCGATGGGCTTGCCCGCGTTTACGATCCACTCGATCGTGAAGTATTCCGGGAAGGCGCTCAAGAGTGCGGCAAATCCAGCTATTAGAACTTGGGCCCCGATTGGAGTGAGTGAAGCGTCCCGAGACTTTTTTGTTCGAAACTGACAAAATCATAGCTTGGTCTCTCGGTGGTCCCGGCACTGCCATATCTGTTTGACAAACCCGTGGAGGAGGCTGTAGAATGGACATTCTACCAAGCATTCAAGGCCATCGGCGGAGAAAACGCAGTCGGCAACAGACACAGTACAGGCAGAAAGGAGGCCTTGCAAGTTGAAGCAAAGATTCTCAAGGAAAAGAAGGACTTATAATGGCGCACCCAGGCTCAACGGGGAAAAGGGGCTGTTTGACCTCTAAAACATTGTTGTACACATTCGACTGTGTCTCGCATATAAAGCATTTCTACTCGATTTGTCTACCCTCCCATGACAGGTAGCCGTTGGCGGTCGTTACATGAGCGGTTAACCACCTACGAGCTGGTGAACAGCAGGTCGAGCAGATATAGAGTCTGTCCATGTAACCAGAGGGAAATATACATCTACTCAACCTGACAGTGTCGTCTCATTCCTCCGTCGCTCTACTCTCTAGATTTGCAATAGCATCCAAATATATGGTCAGGCTCATGTTTGGAGAACCGGGCCGATATCGCATCGGTGGACAATGACCCGAAGGCGCGCAGGGACTCGATTGAAATTCCATTGTTGCGGCGTAAAATTAAATCTAATAATTTCTCAAGTTGACAATGATCTTGCTCAGCAACACAGTCAGCCAGACGACGACGATCTCGAAACGATCGGGTACCTCTGCGCGGTCTATCTGATTCCCCACACGAGCTTTAACGCCCTCAAATTCAAGGTGACACGGCTTCAATGCACGACGCGCAGGAGCCCCCGCCATCACCATGCCTCAGCCACAGCAGCAGCAGCAGCAGCAGCAGCAGCAGCAGCAGCAACCTCTGCTCGAGAACAAAGACAACGACAGACTCTCGGAGGAGCTGCCGGTTTGCTCGAAGGCGGTCTCTATCCCCAAACCCCACGTGCACCTCCCGTCGGTGGGAAAGGTGTCGGTTGAGCAGAAGAAACCTGTGCAGTGGAACACAACGAATCTGGGGTTGCGACTGGGCGCAGATGTCACCTCTGCTGCGAGCGCCTCGGTCTTGATTGCTCCTATCATAACTGTTATTGACCGGTACGTGGATTCGGAGAGTTATGATATCTTTGGATTGCATGGGAGAGCGGACCAAGCGGGCACCCTTCTACGTGACTCAAAACTTGGTCCTAGGGTCTGCTTGTTCAATGTCCTGCTGGGGCTCTGTCCGGACCGGACGCTGGAAGTAGGTGCCACTAACAGCAAGGACCAGATCCATAGTTGAGAAAGCTGCGAATGGCGCATCCTTCTCGTCCTGCCTCTGGCGATCCTTGCATCCAGCGGTCACCCGTCCACATACATTCATCTTCTCCAGGCCATTCCTGCTTATCTTCGCCTTGTACTTGTCAACCTACACGACAGCCAACGCTGTCGATACGCTCTACTCGACAGTTGCGTCCAAGCCAGCCTCTACAGTCTCTTCTGGCGCGACCAAGTTCATTGCGACCTCGTCGGTGAATATGAGCGCGTGTGTATATAAAGACTCCTGCTTTGCGCGGATGTTTGGGGCCGCGTCCTCTTCCCCAGGGGCGACCGTCCCCAGACTCTCTTACGCCCTCTTTGCCGTGCGAGATAGTCTGACGATCTTTGCGTCTTTCAATCTGCCGTCCATCATCGCGCCACAACTCGCGAACCTGCCTTTGGAGCTGAGGTCGCGGTTTTCTCGCATTCTCTCCACGGAGTCGGGCAGGATGAACACGGCCCAGTTTATGGCGCCGGCTGCCATCCAATTGATATCGACTCCGATCCACCTGCTGGGATTGGATCTGTACAATAGACAGGGTCGGTTGGGTTTGAGAACACGATATTCTCGGGTCGTGCGGGATTGGGGCGTCAGTGCTTTTGCTCGGATGGGAAGGATCATTGTGAGTCCATGGCTATTCTTCATGCGCTCTATCAGATTTCTACGTTGTGGAAAGGGGATGCGGAGATCGGGAGCTAACCTGTTATCAAACCTACAGCCCGCATTTGGCGTTGGTGGTGTCGTCAACGCGAACATGAGGAGGAATTTCATGACGAAAATCGAAGAGTCATGAGACCTATTTGACACCTCCAATGACTCTTACGGCGTTAAGGTTGTTTCTGGGCGGGCTATCTGCTACTATCCTCTGTGTTTTGGAGGACAACATGCACGAGATAGCCAAAAGTTTGGGATAATGGGTTTATTTTCTCCTCGGACTCGGTATCTGCGGCCGATGGTGTCCAGGATCGTTCCAATGTACGATAATGCTGTCAGTCATACATACGTGGGCGTATGTCCTCTCGTGCTGTCGAAATGTCTCGACTCGGGCCAAGCCAAGGCTGAACGTGGCAGGGAGTTGAGTTGGGTGTGATGTGATGACCTTGTGGATCTCGAGGATATGAAGGCGACTCTGCAGCAAGGCCAGCGAGGGCGTGCGTGAGACCTGCTTCTGGAATCTTGGGAGGTGTTCCTCTTTCCCTCCCGTAGATACTCGACTCGCCAGCTGAGGGCGTGGCGTGCGTGCGCAGTAACACAATACAGTTTGTGTGCCCAATTCACTCGCACAACCTTCTTTGGTACCTGCGGTACTACGCACCATAGCTCTTCCTCACCTTCTCCCTCAACAGATCCAACCCGACAGCCCTCCTCCACCACTCGTCCCACCACCCGACGGGCCAGAAGGTGCAATTGTAGAACCAGGTGCGCCAGGCGCCCGTGCCGCGCCAGATCTCCACGGGCAAGCCACGGGCGCTCCTCTCAGAAGAGGCTCTATTCCACGGCGTGAGCACGTCTCTCACCACATCGGCGGCCCATTTCTCCGGGTCCTCGCGGATGGGGAACGCGTTGCGCATCGCGCTCTCGGTCTGCTCGCGCACGGGCGCGTAGATGCTCCCGCGGGGCAGACTGGCGCGTCCGTCCTGGTGGTTCGCGTGGAAGTGCGAGTGCACGCACCCGGTCTTGAGGTCGACGACGTGCACGCCGAACGGCTGCAGCTCGATGCGCATGTGCGTCGAGAACATGGCCGCGGCGGCCTTGCTGGCGTGGTAGGCGCTGTTGTGGGGCGTGGGCTCGACGGACGACACGGACGTGTTGTTCAGGATCAGGCTGGGAGGGGTCCATGTAGAAGAAGAATGGGCAGAAGGTCGGGCGGCGTTGATGAGCAGTGGTAGGAATGCCTGTGTCACAGAGATGCAGGACCATACGTTCAGGTCGAAGAGGGCTTTGGCGTCCGGGATGGAAAGGTCCGCGACGGGCATGTTGTAGCCTGGTCGTGGATAGAGTTAGTTCTTCCGCCACAGGTTGTCAAGGACTCAGGTTGAGGTGTATGGGGAGGATGCTTCCTGAGGAGGAGACAATGCGACATGGTGCTGGGCATGCCAGAATCCCATCCCTGTATACTGGAGTCCAGCCTTTCAAGACCTCGGAGCCTCCCAGAAAGAGCACGGCCCCCAAAATCAACAGAAAAAGACAACCTCAACCAACAGAAGAACCAAAATCCCCCTTGGAAAAGGCCAAGAGAAAAGACAGAAACGTACCTCCACCGGCATTATTCACCAGACAATCGAGTCTCCCCTCGTCCTCGCCCTCCCGCCGCGTCAACCGCCTAACGACCTCGACGCAGCCCTTGATGCTCTCCTCATCCAGCACGTCCAGCGTCAAGCACTCGATCCCCAATTCCTCCAGCCGGGCCATCTTGTCCGGGTTGCGCGCCGTGGCGAAGACGCGCAGCCCGGCCTTGTGGAAGGCGATGGCCAGTGCGTGGCCCAGACCGTGCGCCGAGCAGCCCGTGATCAGCACCGTTTTGCGCGTGTCATTTTGTACGGGGGCGGTTGTCATGTTTTTGGGTGCAGTGGTCGGAAGAGCTCTGCGTGGGCGTGACGTGACGTGAGGTGTGATTTGCTATGCTATGGATACGCAATTCTCTTCTCTTGTGCTTTTGCGGTGGCCTCAACCCTCCTCTCGAGTCACTCCCAAAGGGTCTTGTTCCTTCTGTGGACCAGGGGTTTGGTTGTCTCTTTGACAATCTGTGTTTGTCTGTCGAGTATACCCAGTATGTATGTAGTAATTGAGGGCGGAGCTTCGACAGAAGGACGGCAGAAGAAGACGTCAAGTAACCCGACTGATTCGGGCTAAACCGTGTAGCCAAAAGAGGAAGGTGGATGACTATTTTCCTCTGCCATGTCAACTCCCCTTTCTCCAGCCTTGTGACCATCATCTATATATGAACCTGTTGATGCTGCCACGGACAATCAAAAACAGGACCCTCAAGAACAATATAAGTGCTACGCCTGATACGATAACAAGAGCGGCAGTCGAAGTGTCCGAGGCTAGATAATACCGAGTACACGTCTACACGCATTTGGGGAGGAACCACTGAGAAAACTGAGGTATCAGGAGCAGAGACGCTATAAAAACAAGACAAACTAAAACCAAGAGCGGACCTGGTATATACATTATGATGATAATCTTCCTCCAGTGCCGCCTACACGTCGCCCCGCAAGAGACCCAAATCGGACACCAGTGCTTCCATCGTCGCATCATTCTTCGTATCGGTAAACATTTCCAATCTGGACAAACCCAACGACCACGACTTCCTGCAGGCCTTACCGGGAACTCTCTGTGCTAAAGATTCCCGGTCTTTGACCTGTTAGGACAATCCGTTTTCTCGGTCCCTGGACATCTCCATTATCAATCCCTCTTTGTTGTTGGTTATGAGCACTAAGCCCTTCTGCAACAAAACCAATCGAGTAGGCACCAAAACCGAGCGCCGCCAGAGTCAACACTGTGTACTTAACTCTGCGCATGAACCGTTTCAAGAGACCCTCGTCTTGTGTATCATGACGGCCCCTGGCTAAGTCTGATGCTGCCAATTTTTCGTCTGGCGCCGGAGGAGGCGACGAGGATGACAACGCATTCGGACGGATGGTTCCAGAGAACACATTCTCCTGCCTTCGCACTCTTGGTTGATTGCCAACACGACAGGGTACAGGCGCTGTGGGAGCTGCTGGGCCAGGGACCGGATCCAACTCGGTTGGCAGCTCCTCCAACACCGTAGCAGTTTCTTGATCTGGTAGCCGAGAAGAAATATCAACCCCGGATGTTTTCTCCTTTGCAGCCTGTGTCATACTTGAAGTTGTGACGGGTTCTGCTTGCTTCTTTTGAAAAATCAACATATTCTCGGTCCCATTGTACAACGAATATCCTGCTCTCTGCATGGTTTGGAAATGCTTAAGGAATTCCGGCGCTTGTTTAAGGCGGCCCAAAATCCCGATGACATTGTTGGATTTGGGCATTTCAGTGGTCGGTTGATTCATGGGAGAGAAGTTGATCTTCTCGGCCGCGGTGTCGTACGTAAGAATGAGATAGGGAGAATCGAACTTTCTAATTTTCATGCTTTCGATCGGCGGGGGTTGCTCATCATTCCACACTGGTGATCCTGAAGGGGTGTGGACCGGTTCGGGAACCATTTTTGGTTCCTCCTTGTGAGGCTGCACAATCGTTTGCGTGCTAGATTCGATCTCTGTGTTTTGCTGATTCTCGCTCTCACTCGGGCCCTCGACCGCATCGACACCTTTCTGCACTTTAAGGTCAATCCTCTTCTTACCAAAGTCGGAGCCTGACAACTGAGGAGCATTCCAAGCAGTAGCAGGTCTCCGGCTTCCAATCCGTCTTATCGTATTCTGAGCTTCGTGTAGTTCCCTTCTCACTTCTTTTGCCCCTTGCATGACGTCGCTCAGCTTGTGAAGAGGCGGCTTCACTTCCTCTACTTGTTCTTGCACTTCTGCTTGACTTGAAGCTTGTCGGAAACCCTCAACCTCTCGAGCCTTGACCTCGACATCACGAAGCTCGGCACGGATCTGCTTCGCCTCATCCACCAGGCTCGCAAACTTAGGCTCGAATCTGCCAATGTGATTATCAATCACTGGGTTTGTGGTGATCCCTGGTCGGACACTTGCGGTAGAAAGTGGGTGAGGTTGAGCTAGGTCGCGCTCAGACGTGCTGGAGGCAGAAGCCACAGTTTCGGCCTCTGGAGAAGCTTGTGCTGGCTGCCTGTGTGCAGCGTTGATGTTTCCATATTCGCTTTCGTAGACAGCCTGTATATCTGCAGCCAGCTGCGACATTTGGGCCTTTTTCAGTTCCTCCTCCTTCTTCGCGTTCTCTGTCGCCTCACGCAAGTCAGCTGTGCGCTGCATGGCTTTGCTTTCATCAGCGAGGACTGTGTGTGAGGGCGTGAAAGTCGCCAAACCTTGGGGCTTGATGTTGGACTTGTAAATGGACGGAGTTTTGGGTAGCGATTCGTCTTTAAAGACGAGCTTGTCGGTCAATCCCTTTACGGCATCGTGCCGAATATACTTCTTGTAATTCTCGTTCAAGTTCGTCATGGAGTTCATCGTTTTGGCTACGATTCCATTGGGATACTCCCGAATGTGCTCCCAGACATTATTGAGGGTTTTGGTCAATCTTTTAGTCGGAATTTCGAGCTTTGGAGTCTTGGGCGAGACGATACTTTCGTCCGCGGCATCTTGCTGTCGAGCCTCAAAATCCGTTTCGAGTCTTTTTCTGGCTGTCCTCTTGGAGTCTCCAGTCTCTGGTTTCTCACTTGTTAAGGCCGCCGGTAGGTCGTTTGTTCCGACTTGTTTCTCTGTCAAAGAAGTGGACTGCGAGGATGCAGATATTTGCCGGTCAAGAGCAGTCTGCAGCCGTGGCGACTTGCCAGTTTTATCGAGAGCTGTCTTTCTGTTCACTCTTTCGAGGGTCGGCTCAAGCTTGTTCTTGGTTTCGCTGATTGTTTCATTGAGAGAAGAGCTATGTGAATTTGTTGCAATTGCTGAGTCCTCATTTCTCTCACGGAAACCTTCTCTAAACAGCCAATCCGAAGCATTGGTCTCGGCTTCTTTGTGAGCTCTTGCTTCGTATGTAGTTCCTGAGAACAGCGGGAGAGTGTCGTCGGGCTCAGGCGATTCTCGGGGTATCTTAGGAGCAGTAATATCGCTCGTGACGGTCTCTGACTGTGGGTGTTCGCTAAACTCTGTGAAGAGAGCAGTTGTGTCAATGTTGTTACCCTTGGCCCGGGACATCAAGTCCCGTAGTTCTTCTTTCCTCGAGCTGTGGAGGCCTTCAGTTTTTGTACTTGGAGCTGGATATTCGTCGGTCGGGTTCTTTTCCGAAGCACCATAGTCGTAGACCTTGTAGGGTTTATACGTCTTGACTGGTATATCAACTCCATGTTCCTGGAAGAACAGGCTTTTCAAGAATGGCTGCTTCGAGTACTCGTCAGACGACGCTTTATCTTCTTTGCGGCGCTGGGGTTGCCTTTCAGGCTCTGGCACTGCCGAGGACTGCACTGGTCCAGGCTCTTCCTTCCGTTCAGGTTCTGCGGTACGCTTCTTTATGGGAACCTTTCTCATGGAGATTGGGTCGTATTCATATTCTTCCTCACCAACGTCAATAGTCGACTTCCTTACCTCTTGCTTGTCTGGCTCTGTTTCGGAAGAAGACGTTCTCGTTTCTGCTGCCGCTTTGGTAGCCACACTTGGAGCAGGGCTTGGCTCTTCAATATTGTGCTCCTTTTTGATCTCCTTGGGGTCTGAAAACCAAGAGAAAGACGTCCACGATGAGTTGTTGGCTGACGGTGGACTCTGGAGCCGTCTCCCGAACAGAGTTCCGTATGGATCTCGCGCTATAGCACGGTCAACAGCCTCTCGGAAAGCATCAAAGTCTTTGTATATGGTCTGAGCATGATTGTCTTGTTTATTATCAGGCTCTTTTGGTCCTTGGCTAGATGCCCCCGTAGAAGATAATGGCTTATAGTCGCAATAGCGGTGGGCCCAAAGGCGATGGTGACGCAAAGGTCGAACATATGCATCTTCTGACTCCCATAACGCTCTCCTCCGAAGTACTTTGTAGTATCTTGATTTCATAATTTTGTGATGTCTTCTGGCACGCTCTTCAAAATCCTCTGCGGGGGACCAGGGGCTCCCTGTCTGCCGTCCCCACCACCAGAGTGTTCGGACTTGGACTGCACTGACTCGAGGGGTGCGAGAGGCCACGGCTCTTAGACATAGGACCCTCATGTTGGCAGAAAGGGTGTCTGTTCGAAAAGAGGCCATTGAGACTCGGGTTGACTCGCCTCGAAGCTGACGGTGTTGCCTGCGTTGAGTGAATAGTGGTTCTGACTGGAGGGTTGAGATAGAGAGGGTCTAGGGCGAAATCCGGAGAGTGTTGAGGATGAAGGGGGACTCGATGAGGTGGCGGTGTCGCCAGAAAGCAGCTCGGTATCGTTCGTGGCCAGAGGACCAGCAATGGCGGGCCCGAATCCGACCGTATCAGGTAGACATGAGGACGCACTTGACGATAGAGGGCTCTCGCCCTAAGACAAGTGATGGTCTCAACGCCTTTCGTGGTCAAGAAAGTGATGGCTGACAATCATAGCAGCGCATTGAAGGATGACCAATTGGCTAGGCAGATCTAGCTTGGGTGCGTTGGTGCGTAGAGTGAGCATGGGTGACAGAGGAGCACATGGAGGGGTAGTGGACGAGTTAGCGCAGCCATCCAATAGCGACACGTACAATGCGGGATGCGGAGAAACCGCGTTCCGCCGAGCCACCAGCGCCGCTGTGGAGCGAACTGGACTTGGTAGATTAACTCTCCCTCTCGCGTCATGACTGTGGCAGATATAGCATATGGCTTGGGATAATGTGCTGAACAATGGCGTATATCCTATCAATTTCGGGATACACATGGAACGCGGCCCTCTCATCATCCCAGACAATCGCCCTATCCAAATTGACCTAACATTATCTTCAGCCCGCAGAACAACCGAATCGCTTCCAAGGTGGAATGAGATCCAATACAACTGTAGCTCAAGAGGGGGACATAAAATCATATCGTACAACTCGTTCACTCGTCGCCCCTTTTCTTGGTGATGGTGTCCACGACCCTGCCGTAAAATTTGGCTGCGTTGTGTCTTGCAAAAGTGATGTCCTCCGTCAGATAGCTAGGCATTATCTTCATCATCTCTTGATCCCGGTCGCGGTCCAGCAATGGTGTGTACAGGTACTCCGTTTCCTCGAAACTCATACCCTTTGCAATTTCCTGGTCAATAAACAGTCTGAAATGCAACGCTGTTTGATTGTTAGCTTGTGAACATATGAACCATAGGTCAGACTCACTCCCGTTACGACCAGTCTGGATGCATTCGTATGTGTCACCGTCTTCTGTCTTTTTCACGTTGAGGATAACAAGTCCTGTAAGGTCGCTGTACAGGTCCTCCTTCATTTGTGCTATCTGCACAGCCTGAGCAGCTTCTCCCGGGAGGTGACGTTGTGCAGAACTTTTCATCGCGCTGCTAGGAGGTTTCGGGTTATCAACCGACGATGCTCGTGCTGCTACCAGCTTGGCTTGTAGTCCTTTGATCTCGTTTTGGGCATCGGCCAGAGAGGTTGAAAGCTGCAAGGATGTGTCGCGCATTTGTTCCATCTCTGCTTCCTGGTTCTGTACCTGTTTGTGGAGCATGCGTGCCTCGTGCGCTAGAGGGGCTTGTGTAGCCAACTCCTTCCGGAGTGATGCTATTAGGTTGTTCGATGCCTGTATAGTCGCCTCACACTGCTTGCGGAGCTTCTCCATATTCGCGTTTGCCTCGTGTATGCCCACTTCTTTGAGATTACGGTACTTCAAATCCACGTTCTCGAACTTGCGGGTGATATCTCCTAGCTTGCGCCGGAGGTTGGGATCACCTCGTTCGGTGTCCGACGCACTTCCTGCCCGCCGTCGATAAGGCGGATCTTGCCTCGTTCTCGATGTATCTCTCACAGTCGCCCTGCCTTTTGGTGCCATAGCAACTTCCGATTCTTCCCCAATCTCTTCACTCTCCTCGTGAGGTGTTACTACTGCAGAAGATTGAGGTTGAAGAGCTATTTTCGGTTTTGTAGAAGTGCTTATTTTGGCGGAGATCTTTGGAGCTTCCCTCTTCGTACGAGATGCGGCGTGTTTCGAGCGCACTGCCACGGGTGATACATCTCCATTCTCTCTTTCCACATGTTCATTCTCGGCCGTCTCTGCAGCATCATGCGCTGTTTTCGCCTTGGTTTTGGCGCGCCTCCCCCTTTTAGCTTTCGGCGCGGTTGATGATATCTGCGCCTCGGAGTCTCTCAGCGTCTCATCGAGGTTACCATTGGAATCTTGGTCGGCCGTGTGATCTTCGACCGCCTTGCGCTTCACGCCAGCAGTTCGTCTCGAAGAGGGGATTTTCGCGTCTGATGCAGCACTCTTTTCTGATTTCGACTTTGCTTTTGAGGGCATTGTGACGCGCTGTCTTTTTTTGCCGCGTTTTGTCTGCGTCGCTGTCGCGGTGGTGGCATTGGTCGCGTCGGAGGCAGAAGACAGAATCGAATTTTCGTCGATAAAAGGTACCGCTTCCTCCATGTCGGAGTCGATCAGGTCTGCAATGCCCTTCATATCAATGTGCGATCAGTAAATGTCAGCCGCGACGGAAGTGCAACAGGGCCGTTTGAGAGGCTGAATAGAATCCGAACAGGAAAGTGAAGTAAACAAAGCGGTCCTGGCCACCAGCCACCAGTGGAGTTGGGTTTTAGGTTAGCCTCGGAAATCCCACTAGCCACAGTTGAAGTGGCAACTCAACAGGATAGCCTCATCACAAGACGAGTCGTCTGGTGTCGTCGCTTTTTCATATTATCAACCTCGAGCATTTAATGTATCTTCCAACTGTATCTTCCGTCGTCCAGAAACCCTTCCGATGATGTCTCCCGATAGAGGTGATGTCTGGTGGCATCGAGTGCTGCAAGAGCTGGCCATAACAGTCCCGTTGGTATGTCTGCATGTTGGCTCATCCATGGTCCTTTCTAACACACACCAGATGTTTGGGGGCTACTATATCATCAAGTATGCCCTCGCACAGATAAATCTCGACCCAGAGGCGGAACAGAAAGAGCAAACTCGCTTGCAATCCGCCGCAATATTACGACGACTCGATAATCCGCAACAGAACCAGCTTGCCAAACGATCCCCTGCGGAACGACAACCAAAGGAAAATCTACGTCTGTCTCAATATGAAGAAGTTATCCTACAAGAGCTAGTGTTTCCAGAGGATATACCTGTGTCATTTGACGATATTGGCGGCCTGTCAGATATAATAGAGGATCTCAGGGAGTCAGTGATATACCCTTTGATCTTACCCGAACTCTACTCAACGACTTCCTCCCTACTGGCGGCGCCTTCCGGTGTCCTTTTATATGGCCCTCCTGGTTGCGGGAAGACCATGCTGGCGAAGGCTCTTGCCCACGAGAGCGGTGCATGTTTCATCAACCTACACATATCCACCGTTACCAACAAATGGTTCGGCGATTCCAACAAACTGGTCAACGCCGTCTTCTCTCTGGCTCGCAAGCTGCAACCGGTGATTGTCTTCATCGACGAAATTGACGCAGTTCTGGGCACGCGACACAGTGGCGAGCATGAAGCAAGCGGCATGGTCAAGGCCGAGTTTATGACGCTGTGGGATGGGTTAGCTTCGGCCAACACTTCTGGTCAGCCACAACGAATTTTGATTCTTGGAGCCACCAATCGCCTCCACGATATCGACGACGCTATCTTGCGACGCATGCCCAAAAGGTTCCCCATCTCGCTGCCCAATGCCTCTCAGCGCCTCAAGATCTTGAAGATCATCCTTCGAGATACCAAATTTGACAAGGAAAATCTCGACCTGGAGTATTTGTCAAGAGTGATGGCAGGGATGTCAGGAAGCGAGATCAAAGAGGCTTGCCGGGAAGCAGCAATGGTGCCTGTCCGTGAGATGATCCAGCGGCAGAGGGAAAGTGGGCAGCGTATGGAGACTATGAAGGCAGGAGATGTCCGAGGTCTTTGTACTGCCGACTTCTTCCTGAAAGCGCGTGCGACCAAGGAGGCTGCTCAGGGCTCAAAGGGAGACAAAGACGATAGGGCATGGAGCACTGAGTCATCATCCCCAATCGCCGACGATGTGGAAGACGCCGCGGAAGACTTGCATCAACCGGATTAACAGTCGTCGGTCTCGGTATTTTCTCGGACGTAACAAACTGCGATGTTGCGCTCCTGGTGACTGGGCGCAGCGCCATAGCATGTGGGACGAAGGTAGATGCGGGTTGAATGGACAGTTTAGGGCTGGGCCAAAGTGTTATTATACCTAGAAGAAATACATGAATGGACTAGCTCTAGCAGCCAGCCATTGGATTGCACCCAGACACAACAGGAGAACACAACGCGATGGGAGGGCAGATCGAAAATCAACCGGAATGCTCTTCTCATTTTGACTGGTGCATGAAATCAAATCGGCCGAGTTATTACGAGTAAGTGCTTGTAGGAGTCGGTAGCATGATATCGTAGCGCAGCCCCGGAACCCCGCAAAGATCAAGGGACTGGTGGGTTCGGAGTGCGTCTAAAGCGCAACAGGGGGATATGGGGAGGGGGAATGAAGGTGGGTAGGTATACGTCGGCAGCCGTGGCAGCCCTCTTGCAGGGCTTGTAGGCGGGTTGGCTGGACAAATTACGGAGGATCCGGTACGGAGTTACACAGTGTTGGGTTGGCCATGGGGGGTAGGCGATGCTGCATGGGCACACTAAAAATTTCCCTTGGGCTGACCACTGACCAGCCCTGGCACCCACCACCAGGCGAGTAGTGCGGAAGACGGGCGAGACAACAGGCCCTGGCACTCATGTGCTCTCAGTATCCCAAGAACCACGAGATCGTCTTCTGCAGGAACCCTGTCTCTTCGAGTCCAATTTTTGAAGCCGACCTTGTCACCGCCTTGTCCATTTTTCCTTGCGACCGTCGCCTGTCGTCTGTAATGCACCTCTGCTTTCTAAACAAGCGTAAATTCCTTACTCGCCGTGTTGTGGTCTGAGCCAGCCTGCAGTCATGAGTGATTTGAGCCCGCAGTCCGAATCGCAGGCACCTGCTGCATCAGCTCCGTCGCAGGCATCTAGCGACCAGCCCGCCACGAACAGCGCGCCTGCGAGTCAAACACCAGGCCATCCAAGCTTCAGAAGGTATACGGTTGTCGCGAGCATTCTGTTTCCATTGACGCATACGCTAACACGCCTCGCAGACAGCGCGCATCTCGAGCATGTGGTAAGCTCACCTCCTCTTCCTGAAAGTCCTTTTCACCTTGCGACGAGACGCGGATTGCGGTCAGGATGGATCTGGTGGCTCGCGTAATGGATGGTCTTTGCCTCTCTCGCGAGTTGAAAGAATGCCACAAACGATCCTGCGGACATGGTCAGCTTAATACTTTGGTCCCTCTGGAGATCGCGATAAACCGAGAACCTCGGTCCAAATGTGGTACTTTGTGATCGATCTGGTCGCTGGCAGTTGGAGACTTCCTGAGACACCATCGTGATCCAATGAGCATGGGCATACACGTCGAGGAAAGAGGTTCTCACTATTTGTTGAAGACATCGCTGACGCATTTGTTGTGTAGAAACATGTCATGCCCGCAAAGTACGTTTGCCATGCCATCACCGTACCCAAAGAAGACTGCGAAACTGGATCGAGTTCTAACATTCCCTCTGGATTAGGTACGATGCGACGCAGCGTCTCTCGGGTGAGAACTATCTATCTGCCATCGTCACCGCTGATCGTTGGTCATTGACTGTCTCAGGGTTCCATGTACAAATTGTGTTGCCTTTTCTATTGAATGCCGGATTCCCGTGCCCAAGCGGAAAAGGGCCAACGCCGCCCGTGCCAAAGATGAGGAGAGGTAAGGTCATTGTCATCACTTGAACCTCCCACGAACCTCGTTTCCCAGTAGCTAGCTACAATACCCAGCAATACTGACGAGCACTGCAGTGAGGCCGGCGACTCGCAACAGGCGGCGACACCTTCCGAGCCTCGCCCCGCGCGGCCAGCACAACCAAAGCCGACTGTTGGATTCAATTCACCCGATGGCATTCCCTCGACACAGATGTCAGAGGCGCAGGCCGCCCAACAAGCTGCCAACAACAGCACCATGGCACAGTTCATGAAGCCCAAATTCGCTCGAGCCCCGATTAAAGAAGCTGGGCGAGTAGCATATCTTGGAGAGTCATCAAACCTGTCACTCCTTGTCCATGACCGCCATGGCACCACAGATGTTGTTCACTATCCCTTACCGGAGAACATTAGAGGCGCCCGCGCTCGCCTAACAGAGCCTGACCAGATGGAAATAGAGATCCTTCAGCAGAGGGGTGCATTCCTTCTCCCACCCCGTGCACTGTGTGACGAGCTGGTGGATGCTTACTTTCGATGGGTTGCTCCTATCGTGCCAGTCATCAATCGAAGCCGCTTCATGAAGAGATATAAGGATACCAAGAACCCGCCATCGTTGTTGCTGCTGCAGGCTATCTTGCTGGCTGGTTCCAGAGTCTGCACCAACCCGCAACTGATGGACGCAACCGGCTCGACCACGCCGGCTGCAATGACTTTCTACAAACGGGCAAAAGCTCTATACGATGCGAATTATGAGGATGATCGCATTACCATTGTCCAGGCTTTGATTCTGATGGGCTGGTACTGGGAGGGCCCCGAAGGTAAGGCATCAGCGGCCACCGAATTTACCGACAACCCTCGATCTAACATTGCGGCAGATGTGACAAAGAATGTCTTTTACTGGACTAGGGTCGCCATTGTGGTTGCTCAGGGAGCGGGAATGCATCGAAGGTACTTTGGACCTGTAACCCCATTGCCGAAGCTAGCTAATTGTCTTCATTAGTGTGGAAAGTTCTCAACTGAGCAGACAAGATAAGCGTTTGTGGAAGAGAGTATGGTGGTCGCTCTTTACTAGAGATCGATCAGTAGCCGTGGCTTTAGGCCGACCTGTTTCGATCAACACGGACGATTCCGACGTGGAGATGATCACCGAGGAGGATTTTATCGAAGATGAGGGCGATCCGAACAATGACTATCAGGCCGACCCGGTGCACATTCAGTTCTTCTTGCAATATGTCAAGCTCTGCGAGATCATGGGACTCGTGTTGTCTCAGCAATATTCGGTCGCCTCAAAAGCTCGGCGGACTAATGCGATCGACCTGACTCACAGCGATATGGCTCTTGCAGACTGGCTACAAAACTGCCCTCGTGAAGTATATTGGGAACGCTCACGCCATCATTTCTGGTCTGCGCTTCTGCACTCCAACTACTAGTAGGTGTGTCGCATTCGCAACGTGGATCATATGCTGATGATTTCCCAGTACCACTCTGTGCTTGCTGCACCGAGCCCATATGCCGCCAGCCACTGCAAAACCCCATGACTATGAAAATGTCGACATGGCTTATCCTTCGAGGACAATTGCTTTCCAGGCTGCTGGAATGATCACTTCAATCATGGAAAACCTTCTTGCTCACGACCAAGTCAAATACACGCCTGCTTTCATGTAAGTTGGTGATCTTAGACATTGGTACGTTCGCTAAAGCTTGTTGCAGTGTGTACAGTCTGTTCTCTGCGCTCATTATGCACGTCTACCAAATGCGATCTTCAGTGCCGTCAGTGGTCGCTGCAAGTCAGGAGCGCATCAATGTGTGCATGAACGCCTTAAAAGAGGTGTCGAAGGTCTGGCTAGTTGCCAAAATGGTTCACACCTTGTTTGAGTCCATTCTCGGTAACAAAGTGCTGGAGGAGAGGCTCCAAAAGGCCACCGGGAAGAAGGCTCAAAGAGCCAAAGTCAACCAACGGGATCAAGGTCAAAACCACGCCAACGGCAATTCGAATGGCATCGGAAGTGCCACCCCTGCACCCGCACCGCCGCCGGCGCCGCCGGCAAATCCAGCCAAACGCAAGTTCGACGATATCGACCTCGCCTTCAACGTTGGACCGCCTGCCCCTCAAATGTCCTACGAGCGTTCGCGGCCTCAAACCCCTGCCGTCACGCCTTCTCGCGACATACCACAACAACCGCAGCACAACTTCTTGGCCTCGCCGCCGCTGCAAAATGAACAGTACTTACCTCCATCCAGGTCTCGAGGGGCGTCACGCTTGCCGTCAAGAGGCCCTACGCGGGCCAACTCTCCGTTCAACGGGTATTCGATCCCTGCCACACCGCCGGATCTGTTCCTAGTCACCAGAGACTCTCCAAACATCTCGCAACAGCTGTGGGAGAATTTCCAGCCAGATCAGCTATTTCCTGACGGCACAATCGGGGATGTGATTGGTCTGAGCACAAGCCCCATTCTCAACCATGCGGTGGATCCTCAACTACAGCAACTACAGGGACAACAGACCGGGATGAGCACAGGCGGACAGTCTATGCCTCCTATAGATATATCAGGGCAGGGACAGCAGCAGACTCAAGTATGGCCTCCGGGCATGCAAGGAATGATGGGTGCAGGTATGGAGTTGCATGACAGTGACGGGTGGTCGACTAGTTCACTCGGAAATGCGCCGGTCGCCCCTACAACGCTCAACGTTGAAGACTGGTTCCAGTTTTTTGGGATCAATGGTGAAGTGGCAGGCATGAACATGGACGGAACCTAGGGTGTCAGCTTAGAGTCGGTACAGTGCAAGACATAATGCACGCTACGCCGTTTCGGACACGTACTGCCAGGACATCTCTGCCTGGAAAAAGCCGGAGTTCAGGACATATTTCAGCCTCGAATATTGAGGGGCTTGATGAATGGAAGGGTGGACATTGAGCGATGCTATAACCATGTACAGCCATGTACATTCAAGACGAAATGACGGGTCTGTGCGAATGTGATGATACAAAGTCTTGCGCACCTTATGGGAGCATGCTTAGTTGGCAAAAATGGAGTCTGGAGTTGTCAAGAATCGAAGGTCTAGAACCGGGAAGATTTGGAGACTTCAGGCTGGTGAGGCTTCTGATCTTCCCGGGAACCTTCGACACAGACCACTCAGCCATGCGTTGGTTGAAAACAGAGAGACTTTCCTTTTCATCTGAGCCCCATTCAGCTCGCATGCTAGAGTCCATGCTATTCGCTCGCTTCGAACTTCTCGCAAGAGGCTTAGTTTGCCCAGTTGCGCGGATTCAGATGATTGGCGCAGTCTGACTGGTTCTGTAGTTTTTGACCTGAGTTCGAATGGGAAGTTACTGGACGTGTGAGTGCTTGGCCCTCTGGCTGATTGGGTTCAACTCACCTATATTGAGAGTGAGTTGAGCGTTTTATTGGCAGCCTTGATACCTTGGCTGACATTTTACAGGTATCTTGTACTTGTTAGGTTTTCTGTGCGTTACATCCACCCGAAGAAGCCAAAAACACAGCCCACTTGTGTTGTCAGACAGCCTCCTACGCAATATCCCGACGAGCAGGTGCTGTACCTACACGCCTACGGTAGCATGAACCTCCCCGCGGAATTCTAATCGAGTACCCCCCTTCGCATCTTTTCTTTTCCACCCACCTGACAAGGAATGACGAACGCGTACCTTTCCAAAGAAACAGCCGCGACGGTATGGCGCAGTCTGCGCGGTATTAGCCTGAATAATAGCGTAATGTGACTGGATCAGGCAACTCTACGAACGAGGTGGAGAACAAGAACACAGTGTAGTGACAAGTTCTGGGTCTCGGGTCTAGGCCTTGAGGCCGTTTTCATCATCACCGTCATGGGTGATTTTGAATTTCTGACGCTACATCTCTCATTCATACAATACTACTACAACACCAAAACAACGGTGCGGAGGGGTGGATGTTTCTATAGAAAGAAACATGGGGTGGAAAGTCACTCGTTGTGAGGGGGAGAGTGTGTGGATGCTGAGCATATTCGTGTTGGTGAAGTGAGTTGGTATAAAGAAGCCCTCTTGTCTATATAGACCTGTTGGTGTGTCGAGTCATTCAGCAACACAAGTCATCCAGCTTTATCAATCAAGAGACATACAAGAACAGCAACTTGGACCAAGACACATACTTGGGAAGCGCTAGCACACAAACACGCACATCATACATTTCAACTTCTTAATCGCGCTTTCTCGACTTGACAAAATCCAGCACAATGTCAGCAGCGGTCCTCTCAATGTCCATTGCACCTGTCATCGTCTCAAGCACGACGGGAACCACGATGCAGGCCCTCGATAATCTGGCGGGTCAATCCTCCGGCATGGCCGCCATGATGGCAGCGCACTCCGACCAGAAGACCGCAAGCAAGAAGAGGCATTGGTGGTCGCGATTCCGACGGGGCAGACCGTGCCGCGAGATGAAGACGCTGGACACGGCGCACCCGAGCCGCAGCTCAAGCTGTGATCCGAAACCACTCGACGACGACATGTTCCCCAGGAGGATTCACACCAACACTTCTTCTCAATCCGCGCCTTCGCTGCGCATGCACCGGACCCGGGACAGCTTCGGCGACGAGGATGATACCATGACGAAGCCGCCCGTCGAGATCACCATCACCGGTCCGGACTCGACTCTGGCTTCGAGAATCGAGTCTTCCTCGCGAGACAGCTGCAGCAGCGTCACCTCGGACATCTCGCGCAGCAGCACAACCGACAGTGTCTGCTCGAGCATGTCGTCGATATTCGAGAGCAGAGTCCGCACCTCTTCTGGGCGAGGGAAACGGCAAGAAGCTCTGGGCACCAAGGCCATGACGAAGGAACAGAGCAGGTTGGCAAAGTATCGCGCACGACAGGATCTCTATCAAGATCGCTCGCTCGATACCCTGCTGTTGGCCAACGCTTTCATCGTCATGTAAATATTGGATACAAGGTCGCGTTACCTGTTCTTTGTTGATCACCTATCTATTGTTAGTCGGGAGTTTGGAAATAGCAAAGCATGGACGAGGCGTTTGGGTGCCTGGTCTCTCCACGCATACAGGTATAGGCTTATAGGACGATGAATTCATCCCAGCGAGGGATTTTATGACTTACCGGGACCGTTTTCCTCCAAATATTCCTTATCGTTGCTGGCCTTGCCGTGATCTGTGCTATCTCTTTCCTTTGAGGAAATGTGCAATGGATCTCATCATTTTCATGTTTCATGTCCTCAGCACCTTCGGTATTGTCGCTGCACTGCATCTAGCAAAGGCGTCCACCATGCCCTCCATACCGGGCCATTGCTCTTTGCACCAGGAAAGGAGTACCAGGCAGTCGTTGGACAGACCAAGCAGGTCAGAGAAGTCGAGCTTCGGCTCTCCATTGCTCCCCATCTCCACGTCCCGGTGTGCTTCGGGAGTGAGAGGGGAGGGCGTTCGGATCTCGACAACCGCAGCAGCGGGCTCGAGAGAGAGAAGAGCGTAGGATATGAGTGTCATACCTGCTTGGAAGATCGAGTACGCGACGAGGAACGTGATGGGGAAGATGGAAACCGGGGACTTGGATGTCGTCGTCGAGCGGATAATGAGGGTGTACAGCCTCAGCAGAATCTTCGAGGAGTGGTAGGGTTCCGAACTGATGGTCATAGGGGGGTTCGACCGGGTCAAGCTCTGTTGTGATGGATCGTTGTTCCACCGAACGGCGCCAAGCGCCTCGAGAAGATGGCGCTGGAAGAGGAAGAGAACCGACGAGTGGTACATGATGTCGCGTGTGACCTCGCTCACCCCTGCGACATTCTGACTGTCGTTGATGTAGGGTCTTTGGCTGTGATTCTGGTACCATTGTCGCAACGCGGCCTGTTGCTCGAGGAACCAGCTCGGCTGTGGAAGCGGGCTGCTGGCCGAAAGGTATATCTCCGTGTATATCTCTGATCGAAGGAACATGAGATGAAATCCCTGAGCAGCCGAGGCCTTTTGTCTCGATTCCTCGTCCAAGAGCGTCGGGTCTGTGAGTACGGTCGGATACTCTGTGGTGATGATAGAAGTGGGCAGATCTGACGGTCGACCGAAACATTGCCCTACCAACCGTTCGATGGAGTAGAGGCTCCAGAACGCTGTTCGCCTCCAGGTCTTTTCATCTTCGCTCTCCAATGCCGAGTGACCCTGCTCAGTGTGGTAGCCCAGCTGTATGCTCAAGCGGCAGGCAAAGTCGAGAATCTTCCAGATATTGCCTTTGCGGGGGTTAAAGAGACAGTAAATCACGAGGAGGAGGAGCGCTTCGAGGGACTGCAGTGACACCTCGGCCGTGACTTCTTCAACATACCTCACTGCCTGCGCATAGAACTGATTACCGTACGCTACGAGGCTGGGACTGTGCCGTGCCTTGGCGGCGCAGGAGATGGAGCACATCATGGCGATACGGAAGCATTGGTATTTTTCGGTCCGCTGCAGTTTCTCTGCGTCGAACTCCAGGGCTCCGCTCGTGGCCAGGAATCGATCAATGTCCTTTTCGAGGTGAGTCCCGACGATGCACGGATGGATCACGTTGATGGACGCCATGTAGTCCGTGATAAGGGACTGGACAAAGTCCCTTCCCGTATCAAAGACCGCTGTGGGGGCCACGGCATCCAAGTCTCGGTCATGGCCGTCTTGTGGCGAAAGCAGAGGCTCCAACGGGTCCGAAGGCGTGAAGAGCTTCTTGTCGGAGGCCAGCGCGAGAACCTCAACTGCAAGCGCAAATACTGAACTTGAACCGTAGAATCGGGACGTCAAGCCATTGACGCTGGGGACGGGAAAATGGTTGTTGAAGTCTCCCCCGAGGTCAGTATCGGCTATTGATTCTGCGAGAGACGGAGAGGCTCTTGGCACTGGATGCGCCTCCAAGCCACCTGGAACGTTCTCGGAAAGGTCTTGTCGGCCTGCATCTGCCCCTTGTGTGACGGTGGCGTACTTTGCCTTGAGGCTGTCCAGGCGTGTGACGAGAGACTGGATATACCTAACTCAAGTCAGAGACAGGGCCAATCATTCACTGTGCCAGAGTCAGAGCCACGTACTTCCGTGACAACGTCTGCTGTAGTGCGTGATCGAAAATGGTACAGTCGACCTTTGCACTCTGGCAAAGACGACAGGCCGGCATTTGGGGATCACATCTCTTCCTCAGCCGCCGACACCGTTGACAAGACGGCAGCGACTGCAGCGCGTAGTCTAGTTCCTCCATGAGTCTGTAGCGGTTCTCGCCCGGACAAAAGTCTGTTCATCTCCGTGATAGAAGTTGTCCGTGTATTTGCATGAGTAATGAACAAAGATACTCTCATCGGTACTCATACCAGAGTGTCTTGGTTATCAAGTTATCAAGATATCAGACTGATTGGGACTAGCCAACCCCACCAGGCTCTCCGGGCCGGCAGTCACGTGAAGACACTAACACGGATTAAGAAACGTTGCCGACTACAGGTTTCTTGGCTCTTTTGTCCCCCTTGAATCTCTCGCTGCGTTTTTCCTCCGCTCTCCATGCCGTTCGCAATTCTTGCCCGTCGACAACAGCAATATACTTTGCTTCTACCAACTCTATCCTGTCGAAGCTCAGCGCCAGTGCCGCTCTTGTCTTATAAAGACATGTAGGAGAACCGCGCCAGGACCATGGGAGAACAAGCACTCCTCGACCTGCCAAGCTTTCGCGAATGTCCTAGATCGGTGCTTATCACCAATGCTCCTTTATCTACCCTATCTCGGTTGGCAGCCGAGCTAAAAGATAAGTCCATGGGAGCCCTTCGATGTTTCATTGGTGCAAGGGATGGTGAGCGCGTCTAGGGGAAACCCAGTCGCCCGTCCCTTTTTGACTGAATGCATAACCATGACTACTGTCTAACAACCTGCAAGGTAGGCCCATGGTGCCAAATCTGTCGACTGACATTGAAGGAGTCGCGCTTCAAGCACAAACGGTCTGGGCGGTCAGGAGTTGCTCAGTAGTGCAGAAGAATCCTAGAACAAGACTTCCTCCAGCCTCCGCACCGTGGTTGCTTCGGACATTCACGACCTATCCCCAGATAAGCTACTAAACAACACTCTCAGTCATTTTCTTTGCAGAGTTACCACTTCTATATTACAAGTCCAGGGCATGGCCATTCTACAGGTCTCCTTCTCGGAAGAGGCTCTTGCTGTTTGCGATTCCTGCTCAGTTTTCATCTCGCGATAACTTGGTGACAGCTATGTCCTCCGTGAAGATGGATGCCACGGGGTCCTCGACGCCGATCGCGGACGAAGAGAAATTGTCCATGCAGGCGGACCAACACCCTGCCGAGTCATCATTTGCAGAGCTGGGGACGGTGGACGCCGTTGGAAATGACGGCCCGAAAACCTCGTGGCAGAAGTTCGCGAACTGGATGGAAACTCGCGCCCGCGTGGAAGCTCGCGGCATCGAACGCGTGCCGGAGTCCGGTCGTCAACGCAAGGCTACGATGAGGGACTTCTTCCAAATCGGCATCGTCTGGTTCTCGGCCAACTGTACTGCCAACAATATGACAGTTGGGGTTCTTGGGCCGATCGAGTTCGACCTGGGCTTGAAGGACGCGATGCTGTAAGAGTTGGCACTTGGGAATTCAAGACACGTGCACGCGCTAACTGTGAAACCAGTATCTGCGCCTTTGGAAACATCTTTGGTGCCATGTGCACCGCATATATTGGTACATTCGGACCAATGTCTGGTAACCGAACTTTAGTATGCCTCCTTCCTTCAACTTCCTCCAAATTTGATTTTATATAACGTTGGAACTAACATGGACACCAGGTCAACGCACGCTACACAATGGGATGGTACCCATCTCGACTTGCCGCTCTCTTCAATGTTGTCGTCCAGATCGGGTGGGGTCTGGTTGACTGTCTGGTCGCTGGCTTAATTCTGTCCGCTGTTAATGGCGGAGGCATGACTGTCATTGTCGGCGTTATCGTTGCAGCACTGGGAACCTGGCTCATCATCACATTCGGAATTCAGTGGTTCCATATCTATGAGAGGTTTGTGGTGGTCCAATCTCAACACATCCCGGACGTGTATACTGACGGTGTCTCAGATATGCCTGGCTTCCACAAGTCTGTATCCTATTCATCATGGTTGGAACGGCTGGCCCGCTGTTCGACACCAGCTCGGCTAGTGCAGGCGAAGGCTCTGTCCTTTCCGGCCACCAGTTAACTTATTTCTTCCTCAGCGCCTCCGGTGCCCTAGGCTGGTCTGCGTGTGCGTGTGATTTCTTCGTCTACTTTCCCCCGAAGACTTCACGCTGGCAAATTTTCCTGTGGACGACCGTGGGTCTCGCTTTGGGCAAGATGTTCCCCGAGTTGATCGGTATCGGCCTTGGAAGTGGCCTAACCAAGAACCCAGCATGGAAAGCTGCCTTTGCAAAGTCCGCCGGGGCGTTGTACGTCGAAGGCCTCGCGCCGTTGAACCAGTTCGGCAAATTCTGCGCAGTCCTTCTGGCTTTGGGAATCGTCGCCAACAACGTCGCAGGAATTTACGCCGGTGCCTTGTCATTCCAGCTGCTTGACCCGCGATTTGCTCGCTTACCCCGTGTTTTCTGGTGTACAGTCTCCACCATCATCTTCACTGTGACGGCCATCGCGGGTCGCGCCCACTTGCTTCAGATCTTCATCAACTTCCTGTCCCTGATCGGGTACTGGACCATCATCTGGATCACCATGACACTGGAAGAGGAACTGCTTTTCCGCAGGAAACGCGGCTGGTACGACTGGAGCGCCTGGAATACTCGCGAGCTTCTCCCAATTGGGCTTGCCGCCTTTACAACTTTCGTGATCGGATGGGTTGGGGCTGTCCTGTGCATGGATCAAGACTACTACACGGGTCCGATCGCTTCCTTGATCGGAGATGGTGCCGATGTAAGTCTCCTGTCCACACCTTTCTGCGAGTGTTGATTTTCCTGTCTGATTTCAGCATCGTGACTAACTCTGATTCTCTAGATCGGCCTTCCCGTAGCTGCATCATGGACAGCTGTCATTTACCCCGGTTTGAGATACCTGGAACTGAAGTACATCGGGCGATAAGTCTTTGAACATGGGTCGTGAGGGATTTTCTGAGGGAAACGTTGCAGGGGTTCTTGGACAGTAAGAAGAGATCGAGAGTATGTTTGATATCTTTTCAGTACCATGTTATACTAAAATATACATATTCTGTACATGGATGTATGAGATGTCTCCGCAGCAGAGGAAGTAATAGACCACAGTCGTCTGCACAGGACTCAAAATTCAAACCATAGTATCACATTTTCTTTGGTTTCCTTCTTGTTCTTGTGCTTTGCTTTTCACGAGCATCCATTGAATACTACGTTGAGAAAATATTGGTGTGTCTCTAAATGACTCCTGTGGTGTAAATTATGTATACGAAGCACCAAATAATTCGACCACGGCCAGATGTATGTCTGTTGTCCACTACAGTCGTGCACTGGTCACTAGGCCCGAGCGGAGTTTCTGCGAGTCTGAGCAAGTAGCAAGCCTTGTATCAGCATCTGCTTCTACCTGAAGCAAAGCCCAACATCTCTCTACATCCAGCTCGCAGTCATACTCGAATAACCACTTTCCAACCCCACCACTTCTCCAAGCGAACGGATCATCCCCTTGCCTCAGTCCCTGGGGCACTGCTCCATGGCCTTGAGTATGATATGCGTCCTCAAATGCCCTCATCTTTTGGTCCCGCTCTCTCTGCTCCGGGCCGTCTGGCAGGTGATACAGATACTGGCTCTCGTATGCCTTCTCGACGACACGCTGGGTGCGTGGTTTCCGACACATCTCGTACACTCTCAGGGCGTGTAGCTTCTCTTGGGGTGTGGCGGCAGAGGTTATCCGTGAAAGGCAGAGGCCTAGTACCGCAGCGTCTTCGATGGCCATGCCGGCACCGCTGGCGAGGTAAGGGAGAGTGGCATGGACGGAATCGCCGAGCAGGACAAACGCTCCGCTGGGGTGGTACCAGCATGGGGAACTCGGGGTGGGTGTTCGGGTACAGAGGCGCCACTTCTTAACTTGCGAACAAGTGGACAGGATTTTGCGGACTCTAATGTTGAGTGTGAGTGGTTGCTCCAACGTGCATATGTACTGCTGGCCGGGTGGAGCCTGCTGCAGCTACAGGGCTTGCCTTACCTGGGATCCCAATCCTTGAACAAAGCTTGCATGACCTCGACGTTCCCTTCCTGCGTGACAACATCGTCCGGTATATCATCGGGGACCAGGAGTACCATATTGAACTGTTTACCTCCTCTTAGGACATACGACACGACGTGGCATTCGGGTCCGATCCAGTAGTTGACCTGCGGATCCAGCACGAAATCTCTCAGTTCTGGATCCTTCAGCATATCGTCGGTGTTGAGGAGCACTCTGTACGCCATATCGCCCGATTTAGCAGGAGGGTCGTTTCTGCCAACCAGAAGATCCCGACAGTGGCTTCTGACGCCGTCCGCGCCGACGACGAGATCGGCGTCCACGCAAGTGTGGACCTCTTGTTCGCCGGTTTGGACAACCACCGTCGCATGACTTCCGTCCGATGCGATCCTGACATCGGTGACTCGTGAATTGGCCCGCACCTCGGCACCGAGTTCCACCGCTCTGTCCCAGAGACATTGATGCAGGCTGACGCGATGCAGGTCCCAATACGGACTTCCCCATTCCTCGCGCGTAGACTTGTGGATATCCCATGTTGAGATCGTCTCGCCTCGCCATCCGATCATGTTGCACAGTCGCGGCGTCGTGGCACATTGGCTGAGCTGTTCCCCCATACCCCATGAGATGAGGACTCGGGATGAGTTCGCCAACGTCTGGAGACCTGCGCCGATCTCGCCCATTGCGGTTGCGGATTCGAGCACGGTGACTTCATGGCCAGCAAGCCTGCATGATATAGCCGTCGCCAGCCCGCCAAGCCCAGCGCCAACCACGATGATCTGGATGCATGTTAGGTGGTGTACGGTGGCCAGGGAGAAGTGCCTTACCTTCAGCCTGTCATCTGCATTCCGCTCGATCTGCTTTCGCAGGGGTACGGATGAGAAGTCCATCTCCAGCAGTTGATGCAGCGGTCAAAGACACATGGGAAACAAACGAGAGGGTCCACCCTATGTACGGCGACGCGAATGGCTAAGAAACGAGTGTCCCAAGATTCTAATCCTAGCCTGGAGCCATACATGCCAATAATATATGAAATTGGGGATGTACGAAATGAAACACGGGACAAATACAATGCCCACTCGACGACGTTCCAGTGGTGCGATCTAACCCACCCAACGTCGCGTCGAACGATGATCGGGCGAACATTGACAGGGAAGAGGTGATGGAACCACCTTGGAATGGGGAACCGTGCCAATTGCCGAAAAAGTCGATATTGTCGTACAGGTGCGCCCACACCGTCTGGAGTATGGGTTCAGGAGAAACGCGATCGTGTTGGCCCCTCGGCCCTTCCCAGCGAAATATAAGCGTCGGACATTCTCGACAGACGCGTATCGTGGCTGATAACGGTGACAAGGACTGACCAATCACCTGTAAGATATCTACACTAGTCGCTTATATTTCCGGATTGGGATAAAGTGGATGCAGAGTGGGCAACCTTAATTCGTCCTCGATCTTGCCGTTTTGCCGTCAACCTGAAACCCAAGCCACGTCCACATCGTGAATCTCCGATGTGCTCGTACCAGAGTTAACTCGGAAGCGCCATTCCCATATGACCCCCTGAGAAACAATTATCATGCTACAAAGTCAATATACCACCTCAAGCTGCCTAATCGGCGACCATTATCAGTTCGGGCGGGCCTCGAAAAGAGTCCAGTGAGCCGAAAAATCCGAAAGCTGTGGACCTTGGACCAGGACGTCGCGTGAAGAAGTTCTGTCTACAGAGAGGGAGGACGCGGAGCTGCTCAAGGGGTAGGTTCCTTGCAACTGTGGAAATGTGGACCGAGTATGTAATAGATGCCAGGCACTTGTACGCTTACCGCACCCATGGGTCGGAGAACCTCGACCACCATGTCAACGTCACCGAAAACTGCCGCCTGTAGGCGCACCGTACTGTCGTGCGTCAGGTGTCGGAAGAGGAAATCCAAGGTACGCCACACAAGTTGCTTATTGTATGGTTGATGGAGCTAGTGATCGTTGGAATCTATACGTCTGGACTGACATGAATTATGTGCAAAGTGCGACAGACAGCTACCGTCATGCTCCCAGTGCCTCGCCGTGGGCGCGGAATGCAGGGGATTCAACTCAGCGCGGGACGCTGCCATTCCCCGAAGCATTGTACAGCACCTTGAGAATGAGATTGCCAGCTATGAGTTGAAATTGGCGGAACTAGGTTGCGTTGACGCCGACAACCAAGAAGAGATTGGTGGCACTGAACCTTCAGTCACAAATCTTTCTTTCCTTGCCACGGATGCTATGATCGATGAGCCATCGCATGCCTCTCCTTTAGAGATGGTGATCTCTGATCACCCTGTAGTCGTCGAACATGCGACAAATAGTCCCCCTACGGATCCATCCTGTCACCAGCGGAGGGGATCGGTTGCCCGAGACGCGACAAAGGAGCGAGTCATTGCCTGCGCTGAAATCCAGTCGATGATCAACGCGACGTTACCAGTTGGTCCGTCGCTGACAGACGTTGTACGGCGCGTCCGCATGGGTCTCACGCCGTCGCTGGTTATCTCGCCCGAGGCGAAGGAGCAGGCCCAAAGCAAGACGCCAGCCCAGAATCGCGACAGCCAGCCGGAGACTGACGTGTCAGTATTAATGAGCCTCCCGCCTCACGTCGTCCACACGTTGGTCAAAAAATACGTGCAACGCATGCTCCCCGTTCACCCGTTCCTCTACGAGCCGACAATATGGGAACAGCTCGACCGCGTACTTGCGAAGATCCCGCGGGCTGAAGGTGGTGCGTCTTGCTCACGGACAGTAAAGCTCGACTACGACTTCCTCGTCATTTACTTGATTCTCTCCGTGTCAACAACCTTGGGCAGTGCAAAGGTAGGGCAAGGCGCACGATGCATGGCGTTCTCTGAAGCACTATTCAAAGAAGGCATTCGGCACCTCTCCCAGAATGCGGCGTATCCCTCCGACATGGCTTGGATTCAAGTCACCTTGCTCATTCTGCAGTACGCATCCATCAATCCAAAGTTGGGAAATGTGTGGATTCTCAGCGGTTTCGCCATGCGCAATTGTCTCGAGCTGGGCCTACACCGCGAAGTGTCAAAAAGTATAGGTCTGGACCCCTTGACTATCGATCTCCGCCGGCGCATATTTTGGGCCGCATACTGTATGGATCGGTCCATTTGTGCGGCGCTCCAGAGACCCCTATCGATTCCGGACCCGGCGATCGACACGAGCGTCATGTCGATGCTTGAAGACCGCTGTATCACTTCACATGGCCTCGATCACCAGGGTCAGGAAACCAAGAAATTGGCCCTTCGCTGGATCGAGTACAGACGAGTGCAATCCACCATCATTGAAGTCCACTTTCAAAGCAGGCTGCTGGATCCCCAACAGACATGGCAAGAATGGCTGGCAGTGATTGAGCGACGACTATGGGAATGGTATCAGTCCGATCTTCCTCACGACGGATGGACCGAATTTGCGTTGATGCACGGCCTCGTAATGCTGCACCGACCTTCTTCTCGCGTGCCTTTACCGTCTTCCACGAGCATGTCCACCGCTTTCGAGGCTGCCTGCTCCGCAGCCAAGAGCTGCCGGGGACAGATAACATCAGGATACTTCCCACGCCCATGGCTTGCGGCTCACCACACCTTTGAAATGGCCCTGGTGGTGCTTTTCTGCTTGCGACACAACTTCGAGGCGATTGCCCTGCAGTTTACCCCCAACGAGATCTTTGAGATGACAAAGCTCTTCACTTCGAACTTGCTCACTATCTCAAGCCAGGGTTGGACCGAAGTCTCAGCGTATGCGGCCATCTACGAAAGACTACTGAGCCCACTTTTAGACGCCATCTTCACGCGGTCTAGACCCGTCGCAACGGCACACACCCCTGAGCAGGAGGCGGAATTGGCGAGGCTGCTGTACCCCAGTCCCGCACATCCGCAGGAGTTCCGGTTCGTGGAGATAGGAGGTACCGGTGTCTCGGAGGATCTGTTCTCGTTCGATGCTGGTATCTTCGACTGGGATGACGATCAGCTTGCGAACGACACGACTTCATTCCCATCCTTTGTGTTTTAAAATGCTCCCAATACCTCGGATAGAGCGAATAGTACTCCATATCCGGGCCCAAATTGCCGACATACAAGTGGGACATGTACGAGAGCGTACAGGACCTCTCGCACAAGCCGTGTTCGATCTACGAGTTCGGCCTTCATTATACGATCCACGGGTGGAGTGGATCCAGGCAAGTCCCACGTGTCGGAGATTGGCGCTCAGCAATCGCATCTTTATACTCGGTACACCAGAAGAGTGTAAGCTGGATGGACTTTCCCAAGCAATAACCCACTATTGCTGAGGTATGTATATCGGGGTCAACCGCCATGGTCTGGCTTTTAATCTGTTGGGTCTGGATACCGCTTACTTTTCTTGGTTCCAAGAGGGAGATACTTCAAAGACTAGCCAAAAAAGACCAGTTCGTTGTACCAGTATCGTCGAATAGGCTTGAGGGCACCTGATCTGGCTGATACGGCTAAAAATGGAACGCATCGACACCCATAGTCATGCCATTCCAGCTCGGTGGCGGCAGCATTGTGTGGACTTGGGCTATGGCGACACTGATGGTATTTCGATGGTACAGGTAAGCAAACAGGCCGTTGAAGCAGAACCCATGCATCACCGACCGCCCATTGAGGAGACCCAATGCTGCTCCAAGAAGGACCAGTGGGTGGACTGACAATGGATCAAATTCCAGGACTGGACTGTCGAGGCACACTTGGCGACTATGGACAAAGCCAAGATCTCGAAAAGCATATTGAGCATCACCTCGCCTGGCACGCACTTGAAGCCTGGGGACAATGCCTTTGCTCGCAAGCTGACTCGCGAGACCAACGAGGACCTTGCCGAGATCTGTGCGGCGCACCCAGACCGATTTGCATTCTTTGCAAGCCTGCCTCTCCCTGATATCGAGGGCTCCCTGGCTGAGATCGACTATGCCTTGGACCACCTCGGGGCGGTGGGCTTTGCGGTCATGACGAATGCACACGCCGTTTACCTAGGCGACCCGGCTCTGGACAGGGTCTTTGAGAGGCTGAACTCGCGGCGTGCTGTGGTTTTTATGCATCCGACCTGCTGTCGAGTGAATCTTCCCGTTGCCGACGGCTTGGCCCCTCAAGCGGTGGCACCCCTGACCCAGTATCCGCGGCCGATGCTCGAATTCCTCTTCGACACCACCCGGGCAGTCAGCAACCTAATCCTCTCCGGCACTGTGGCGCGATACCAATCCATCACATTCGTCGTTCCTCATTGTGGCGCGGCGTTACCACCTGTGATCGAGCGGTGTGTTGGATACACGCCGCGCACGGTCAGCCCCAGCATGCCCATCACTAGCGACGACGTCAAGCACCTGTTCAAGACGCGCTTCTTCTTCGACCTCGCAGGTTACCCATTCCCGGACCAGATACACGGCTTGCTGCGTTTCACGGAGCCCTCACGACTTCTGTACGGGACAGACTATCCCTTTTACAAGGCCGAGGCTGTGTATCGACTGGGCGGCATCTTGGATCAACGGGCACCGGAGATATTTGACGAGGAGACGAGGAAAGGGATCTTTGGCGCTAATGCGAGAGGGCTGTTGTGGCCCAAGTTAAAAAGCCATGCTTAGGGTGAAATAGAAATGTGTTGACCCTCCACCCCAGCCGGTGTTGTGACCTTGACCTGCCACAACTTGGCAGCTTAACCTGCGACTTTGAATGGTCATGGGCGACCAATTCTTGCCTCATACAGCGTTGCGTCTGAGGCACCAAATGCTGCAAGCCAGTACTTACCTGGTGCTGTACCCGGAACCCAATCTGCCATATACATCGAGTTCATATTCGACAAGTTTCTTCCTTCCCTGACCACTCTTCCTCTCCTCATGTTTTAGTCTCTCTATTCTGTCCACAATCACGACACCCAGTTACTATGCCACAAATTATACCTCGATCCACGGAGTCCTACTCGTATGATTGTGCAGGCTAGGCCCGGGTGCATATCCAATACATTAAAATCCTCGCACATGGAGACTATCATTGTATGAGCACCACCATGATATCCTCTATCTGGAGGCATACGCTGCTGAGAGAGGATTGGCCAGAATACTCGGCTCGGCTATCTCAATCTCGAGGAATTTTCGTCTCATTCGCCACCTTCTTCGCTCCGTTCCCCATTTCGAGTCAGAAAGCTGCGATTGGCTGAGTAGGTCAACGACCCGGTAGTCGCTTTTCCGAGAAGTTGCGTTGTAAAGAGACGAGATACGGTGGCGCAACACAGATATTCTGTCAGCCCACGCAACTCCGTGAATCTGTCTTGTAGGTTCTGACCAGGACAAGGTAGGACGGGGCCCCAAATGCGCGGAGCGGACGCCCTTGTGGCTTGCCGCTTCCGGGAGGGTTTGTCCAGACAAATTGACTTAAACAGTGGGTTAAACTTGAAGACATATTCGTGGTGAGGGCCTCTCTCAATGCTTCACTTTGTCCCCCATCAAGACTTTCTGAACACGTGTCGGCCTTCCTAGTATTCTAAAGGTAACTCTTCCCCAATCCTCAAGATGGGCTCAATTGCGGCGCCAAGTGACTGGCGGGCCTCGGACAATCTTGAGCTTGAAGCATTGGTCGTCGGAGGAGGTTTCAGCGGTCTGTATACCTTGTACAAACTCCTCGACGCCGGGATCGACGCGAAGCTCCTCGAGGCAAGCGATCAGTTGGGTGGTGTCTGGAACTACAACCGATACCCCGGCGCGAGAGTCGACTCGGAAACCCCTTACTACCAGTACAGCATCCGCGAGGTGTGGAAGACGTGGAACTGGAGCGAGCGGTTCCCCGGACACGAGGAGCTGCGGAGGTACTTTGACCACGTGGCGACCGTGCTTGGACTGTACGACCACATTGCGTTTGGGCAGAATGTTGTTGGGTGCGATTTCGACAGCGATGCCAAACAGTGGGTGGTCAAGACGGAGCAGGGAAAGACCGTCAGGTGCCGATACTTGATCGCGGCCGTCGGGTCGTCGTATAAGAAGCATTTTCCGGATTTCCCGGGTCTCAAGGACTACAAGGGCGTCCTGTTGCATGCGGCGGCGTTTCCTGAAGGGGAGTTTGACTTCTCTGGGAAGGACGTCGCAATTGTCGGACAAGGTTGGTTGTACTCGTCAGCGCTTGGTGTAAGGGAAAGATGATGAATGCTAATGGGAATATCCCCCCAGGTGCTACGGGGCTGCAGATCACACAAGAAGTCTCCAAGAAAGCGGCTAACCTGACCGTGTTCATTCGGACGCCAAACACGGCGTTTCCGATGTATCAGCGCAAGATGTCGGCCGAAGAACAGAACCAATATAAATCCATCTACGACCATCTGTTCAAGGTGTGCCGCGAGTCCCGTTCCGGCCTCCCTTACTGGTCGGACGGAAAGGGCACGAAAGACCTCTCCGCGGAGGAACGCGAGAAACGTTGGGAAGAGCTGTGGGCTCGGGGTGGGTTCAACTTCTCGATCGGCGGGTTCCGTGACGTCCTGTTCGACCAGGAGGCGAACGACTTGATGTATGACTTTTGGAAGAAAAAGGTACGGGCGAGGATCAGCGACCCCCGGAAACGAGAGATCATGGCGCCGGAAATCCCGCACCACCCGATAGCGACGAAGCGGCCCAGTTTGGAACAGGACTACTACGAGTGTATCGACAGGCCGAATGTCGACCTTGTCAGCCTCAAGGAGACGCCGATCCAGAAGTTTGACAGCGACGGGATCGTGACGACGGACGGCAAGCATCGTAAGCTGGACGTCGTGATACTGGCGACGGGCTACGATGCCATTACCGGCAGCTTCACGGATATGGGCTTGAGAGACGTGAATGGCCTCGACATGAAGGAGAGGTGGAAGGATGGGGTGCGTACGCACTTGGGCATGACGTGTCCGGGCTTCCCGAACATGTTTATGGTCTATAGCCCTCAAGGTATGTCTGCCACCTACTCACCTGCCCTGTGTTCTTCGACTGGGTGAGTACTGACTTCTCGATAGCGCCAACGGCTCTGGCAAACGGCACAACGATCGTCGAGGTCCAGGGCGACTGGGTGGTCTCGACAATCCTGAAGATGAAGAAGGAGGGCATTCTGACCATCGAGGCCAAGCCAGACGCGGCAGAGAAGTGGGCAGCCGACATCCAGGAGATGAACGAGAAGACACTCTTCCCACTGACGAACTCGTGGTACATGGGGGCGAATATCCCAGGCAAGAAACGGGAGCAGCTGAATTATCTTGCGGGTTTGAATGTTTACGAGCAGGCGTGTAAGGAGGCCCAGAAGCAGTGGACTGGGTTCGAGACCGTTCTTGCCATATAGCTGCGGCGAGGGACAGATCAGTCCGCCCCTTTTTTAAACTTCAATACAGCCGTGAGGAGTATGGTATAGTATATATGACTACAAAATATGTAACTGGGCCGTTCATCTACTGAGTTGAGAGTGTTGATATCGAACCACCCACGTACGGAGAAGTAAATGTACCTACGGCTAACAAGAGAGAGAGAGAGACCCGGTACTGTTGAACATCCATCAGTCCCGGTAGTAAACTGCCTTAGCTCTTCGTAGTCAGACACATTAACGATTGGCGACCCGAGCGCCCGTGGCTGACCTATTCGATCCCGCTGTCTAATAAGTGTACATCAGTATAGACATGATTGTGTCTTGAACTTGACTCGGACAAGACTCCTTTCAAACTACCACCCCAGTCACCCCCTGTCTGAAACATTTGTCTGTTGTATCGATCGGTCACCAACTCCATTCTCCCAATATGTCAGGGCTTCTCCGAGGAACTGCCTTTGTCACCGGTGCCGGCTCTGGTATGTAGTCTGTCTTGATGGTCTGGCTTTGGCACTCCCAGTACTAAAAAAACGACTCACAAAGGCATCGGACGCGCCACGGCCGTCTGCCTGGCTCAGCACGGCGTGTCGAATCTCGCCCTGGGGGACGTGGACACGAAGAGGTTGGAGGAGACAAAGGCGGACCTTGTCGCCCAAGGGTTGGCCGTGCAGGTCATATTGATCGAGCTTGATGTGAGCAACGAGGATGCAGTGAGAGAGGCCATCGAGAAGACCGTGGCAGCGTTTGGACGCATCGACTATGCCGTCAACAACGCCGGCGTGGCTGGCCCGATGGGCAGGGCCGAAAACGTCGCGTTTGCAGAGTGGCGGCGTCTTCTCGACGTCAATCTGAACGGTGTCTGGCTCTGCCAGCGGGCGGAGATTCAGGCGATGCTGAAGCAGGATCTTCGCGCAATTGGGTATGTCCAGACATGTCGCTCTATCTGGCAAAGGGCACATGTATTAATGCAGTTCACGAAGACCATACTCCCCTGGGGCAAGAGGGGTCATTGTCAACGTCGCTTCGATACTGGGCTTGATGGGCGCGTCTGGCACAAGCCCCGTCACGGTGTACAGTGCGGCAAAGCACGCTGTCATGGGTCTCACGAAGACGGTTGGTCTCGATCATGATTCTATATCATTTCTCCTAGTCCCCTTCCCAGAAGCAGTATCATCGCGGTTGGTTATGCGTTTACCATGTACTTATGACCCGTCCGTGCTTCTAGGACGCACGCGTCTACGCGAGAGAAGGGATCCGAATCAACGCAATCTGCCCAGGGTAATTCAAACCAAGACTACCCTCACCCCGCCCTTTGCTATTTCGTATGAGAAGCGTGTGCGCTGACCCAGGTCATCCGTCTTGCTTGCAGATTCATCGAAACCCCTCTACTCACCCCGACCCTGAACGACGCCGCTCGCAGGGAGCTCCTCAGGAGAATCCCCGCCGACCGGCTGGGCGCGCCCGAGGAGATTGGCAACTCGATCGTCTACCTGATGTCGTACTTGAGCAGTTTCATGTACGGTCACGGCCTTGTCGTTGATGGGTGAGTTGTGGCGTTTTTTTCACCCTGACTCGATTTCTGAGACGCTTTTATCTAATTTGCGCTGTTGCTGTTTAGTGGGCAGATATGTGGCTGAGCGATCGGGCTTTTGAGGCTGGTTGGAAAAGGACATTTATCTGCGTGGGCATAAATCCCGGGGGATATCAAGGGCGACTCTTGTCCCATGGCATCCACGAAACCACTGGTTACAACGACATCGATAGATAGATATTCAGCCTTGCACGGCCTCGGGGAACTTCCAAGCCTCTCTCACAAGTCGTGTCTAGAGTCCTTATTGATGGCAGAGTTCGACCTTGAATCCCAAAAGTGTCAAGGACTATGTTTTCTATTGAGCACCTCCGAGAAGCCACTTGATCCCAGCTATCAGGTCTTCGGCGTTCTTCCTCGCTGCCGTGAGCTTGGGGAAATACCCAAAAGCATGTGGAAGACCCGGATACACATCGAGCTTGACCGGGACGCTTGATATCAGTTAGAAAACGACACCGGGCGAACGAATTCAGCAGAGGAATGATCTTACCCAGCTGCCCGGAGCTTGTCTGCATACGCCAGACCCTCGTCACGTAATGGGTCCATCCCTGCTACCTGCATGTAGGTAGGGGGATGGCCCTTGAACGTCGGATTGAGGAGAGGAGAGGCCTCTGGGTGGGACGGGTCCGGTGGGTTCAGGTAGCCGTAGAACAGTTCCATCGAGCGTTTGGAGAGGAGCGGCGCATCTTTGAGCTCTTCGAGGCTGTGAAGGCCCAGTTCCGGCGGGTAGCAATCGATATGGCAGACGGACGGGATGCGCATGATCGAGCCTTTGATAGGGAGCTGCCCATCCTTGACGCGGTGGGAAAGGACAGCAGTCTGAGAGTAAACTCTCATTAGCAACCGCATAGATGTATTAGAGGGGGAAGCTGAGTAGTGAGCACGTACTGTGTGGGCCCCTGAACTGCTTCCTCCGATGACGATATTGTTCACGTCGATTCCCAGATTGCCGTGATTGTCTATCGTCTGCCTTTGTCAGTTCATTGGCATGGTCACATCGTCGACACTTGTCATACCCATTTCAATGCCTCCCAAGAATCCTCGGTGCCTCGTGGGAACGGGTATTCTGGAGCACTATATTGGGTCAGAGACTAGCAGGAATCTGGTGAGTGTATACGCACAGCCTGTAGTCGACGCTGACAACCACTACTCCTGCCCTCACACACATGGCCCGACAGGTCAAATCCTCGCCCTCGAGATCACCAAGGGTCCAGCCACCTCCGTGGACGCTTACTTGTCAGCCTCGTTGCCCACCACCAGACCATTTCTGGCGCGATGGGACACCTACTAGAAGACAGCCGGCTTTGGATTTTCCCCCGATGTTGGCTGATAAATCCTCAGGGCTATAGAGGCACCGTCAGATGTCGGTATCTGCTCATCTCTGACCTTCAGCCCTTCTATGATGGGTGGGACCTGGGCTTGGGCTCGCTTCTTCAGCTCCACCATAATCTTTCGCATGTGCTCGGGCGTGCCAACGAGGACCGGGACATCGTCGAAGTGGTTCGCGTAAAACTAGAGATTTTCAGTGTCTCGATACGTTTGTTACATGTTGCAGGTTGGTTTGGAGTACTTCTTCCCATTCTTTCGTCGGCTTACCGAGTTCGGAGTATTTGGACGGCATTTGTACCAAGTCGTCGTCGTCGTCGTCGTCGCTGTTAGCGAATCCCTGGATATCTATTCAAGCTCTCTGTTGGCTCGCAGTACACCACATATGTTGACAAGTTAATACTCGGTACAATCTGGCGAGACCCCAACACAGCAACCGGTTGGAGAAACATGGACCCCCTTCTCCCCCGCCTTTTCGTCCGAGATCATGGATCCATGCCCGTTCCGGAGTGGGTGGGCAGCTCCTTCACGACGCCAACGGACTCGGCAGAAGGTTGCCGAGCCCACAGCATCTACGGCGTGAACCACGCACGGTACATCCATGGCGACACCGAGTTCACGGAAACGGACCGCCTCCCAAATACTTCCTCTCAAACGGGGAACAAGCTCCCCTAGCGAGAAACAAGAATATCGGACCTGGACGAGTCTGCTATGGTGTATGTGGCGTGACCATGTCGTTCGCGGCAAAGTTCCGATCGCGAATACTTCGATTCTCGTCGTGGGACGGATAGTATACGATATAGTGTGCATTTGCCCAGAACCACATCTTTGCCCTATCAAACGGACATAATACTCCTGGTTTGAACATTGTTCGGCGACAACAGAGTAGGCCTCCAGCATCGCAAAAATGGGCTCAATAGATACAAATGACCACCGACACCTCTCCGGATTCTATGAAGAGACCGACACGGGCTACCGAGTCTCAGAGGAACGTCTGGGCCAGCCTCGACACCTCCGAGTCGTCATGGTCGGGGCTGGCGCCAGCGGGCTCAACATGGCGCGCCACATGGAGTTGCACATGCAGAATTACGAGCTCATGATCTACGAGAAGAACGCCGACGTGGGCGGGACATGGTTTGAAAACAGGCAAGCCATGCAAGCCGCTACCCTTTCCTGGATAGTTGCTGATCTGTCTTCGCAGATATCCCGGGTGTGCTTGTGATATCCCCTCGCACAACTACCAGTTCACATGGGAACCAAACCCGAACTGGTCGCATTTGTAAGGGGCAGCAACATACTGGTTGCGAAGTGTTTGCGGAAGTGCTGATACTGGCTGCTCCAGCTATTCCACCTCGCAGGAAATCCTTGAGTACTTTAAGGGCATTGCCGAAAAGTACGAACTGTACAAGTTCATCAAGCTTAATCACTATGTCCAGTCGGCTCAGTGGGACGAAGAAGCCGGGATTTGGCACATCAAGATCAAGGACACATCTACTGGGGAGACAGTAGAAGATTGGGGTCACATCTTTATCAATGGTTGTGGAATCTTGAAGTGAGTTACTCCCGTACTCCGTTTGATAGAATACCTTGCTAAAACAGCCAACTTCCAGCAATTGGAAGTGGCCTGATATACCCGGACTGCATTCTTTCAAGGGCGCCCTTATACACAGTGCGGCCTGGGACGATAGCCATGTTCTCGAGGGCAAACAAGTGGCTGTGCTTGGATGTGGTTCGTCAGGGGTGCAGATTATCCCTACTATTCAACCGAGTGAGTGGCTCTGTCCTTATCCTGGAGATGCTATATATGTGTCTAGCTAATATCGGGAACTGTAGAGGTCAAGTCTCTGACCACGTTTATTCGCACCCCTACATGGATTACCGCTGGGTTTGCACAAAACCATGCTGGCCCAGGCGGGTCCAATTTTGCGTGTCAGTGATCCCATCCATGATATTCGCTGCTTCGAGCATTGTGCTGACCTCGTCTGTACGAACACTTGACAGTTAGCGAGAAGCAAAAGCAGGAGTTCCGAGAGAATCCTGAGAAGTACATGGAGTACCGGAAATCGATAGAGAGCGAACTGAACCACCGATTCAAGCTCGTAAGCGAAATTTCACTCCGATATGGGGCAGAGGAGTCCAGCAGTTTTTACTGATATCTTGTACATTGACAGGTCATTATGGGAAGTCAAGAACAAGAGGAAGCCCGACTCTTCTCCGTCAACGAGATGAAGACCAAGCTTGCGGGCGACGAGCGCCTGATGAAGGCCATGATTCCCGATTTCGGCGTCGCCTGTCGTCGTCCCACCCCGGGCAACGGATACTTGGAGGCGTTGACTGCCGACAACGTCCGCGTCGTCACGGACCATATCGAGTCGATCATACCTGAAGGGATCAAGTTGACGACGGGCGAAGTCATCAAGGTCGACGTCTTCATCTGCGCCACCGGGTTCGACATTTCGTTCTTCCCACGCTTCAAAGTCACTGGCAGGGGAGGCAAGGTTCTCTCCGAGCAATGGGCGCGCAAACCAGAGGCATACTTTTCTGTCGCTACGGAAAACTTCCCCAACTATTTCAGTACGTCCCCAATTCCTTTTCCCCTTCCGTGAAGGTATACCATCGATGAGGATATGATCTACTGACACGGAAACCTAGTGTTTCTCGGCCCCAACTCGCCCGTCGGCCACGGCTCCGTCCTCCCCATCATCGAGCACAACACCAAATACTTCATCAACTTCATGAAGAAGATCCAGACGCAGAACATCAAGTCCGTCAGCCCCAAGCCCGACGCCATCCGCGACTTTAATGAGCACATCACCGAGTTCATGAAGCGCACCGCCTGGGCGACCCCCTGCCGCAGCTGGTTCAAGAACGGCACCGTCGACGGGCCCATCGTCGCGCTGCACCCCGGCGGCCGCATCCACTGGTTCCACATGCTCGAGGACATCCGGTACGAGGACTGGGATTACACGTATCTGACCAAGAATAGGTACCAGTACCTGGGCAATGGGTTCTCGACCAAGGAGCTGCCCGGGAAGGACAATGCGTGGTATTTCGACGACCCGGAACAGGGGTATAGAGAGTATTAGATGGGTTGATAGAAGGGGGACTGTCGACGCATTAGATTTTGTAGTGTCATGACGGTGATTCTACGATGACTTTGGAAGAGTGAGATTATCTGTACTGGATGATTCTCGTTTTCATTCTCTCTCCCTCTTTGGAATAGTAATATCGCTCTCCACGTTCGTATCGGTGGAATTTTTTCAGGTTGGGCCACAGTGCTTTGCGGTCTCGAGTATGTACAGCAACATCCCTTCCTTTTGCTTGGAGACTTGAGAGGGTCGTGGATATTCCAGCTAATCTCAATCCCCGGTTCGACATGCACCTCTGCTTAGAGCACACTTTTTCTCCATCTCTCTCTTAGGCTCCAACCATACCTACCGCGTGTAGAACGGCTATGTCAGCGTTGTCCGTGTCGAAAGCATCAAATGCTCCTGTTCGGGCGGGAAAGTGCTTGCTCACCTCCATTCGGTGCCAGGGTCGTCGCCGTGACGAAGCTGGCTCGCCCGCTCGTGATCCAGACCAGAGCTTCGGCGATTTCCTCGGGCAACCCTTGCCTCTTCATGGCCATCTCGCGCACCATCTCTTCGAGGTTCGTGTCGTCCTCCTCGGGCACCTCGCCGAGCATGGGCGTCTTGATCACGCCGGGACAGATCGCGTTGACCCGGATGCCGTCCCGGGCGAAATGCAGGCCGTCGGCCTTTGTGAAGCCGACCACGGCGTGCTTGCTAGCGCAGTAGGCCGGGAGGTTGTCGTAGACGCGCAGCCCGGCCATGGACGCCACGTTGGCGATGGAGCCACGGGCGGGGAACGTCGTGTCGGACGCGCGCAGCGGCTCCTGCTTCAGCATCTGCGTGATCTCGGCCCGCTGGCACAGCCACATCCCCCGCGTGTTGACCGAGAACTGCTTGTCCCACTGGCTGACCGAGTACTCGGTCGTGACGCCGGGGAGCAGGATCCCCGCCACGTTGCACGCGTAGTCGACCCGGCCGAAGCGGTCGACCGTTGATTTGATCAAGGATGTCACCGACGACTCGGACGTGACGTCTGCCCGGACGGCGTTAGCATTCACGAGCTGGACTCATAGTGGTGGTTGGTTGTTGTGTTCGAACTAGTTGCTGAAGGGGATTCAAAGAATGGAGGGAACAGAGGGTATACTGACCGGTCGGTATATCAATGACCTCGACGCCTTTATGTTCGGCCTCGAGCTCCTCCCGAGTCTTCTTCAGCGCGGCCGCCTGGACATCCGCAATGGCTATCCTGCGACATCCTTCCTTTGCAAAGAGCCTGGCCGTGGCACGACCGATTCCTTAGATTCCCCCAAAGATTAGTTCAGCCAACCAACCAACCAACCATAACCCGCTGTCGCGGGGGAATGAGACCGAGTGATTGCTCGTACCTGAAGCTGCTCCTGTAACGAGTGCCACGCCGGGGAAATGCATTTCGTAATTGAGTGGGTAGCAGAAAATGTTGGCGTATATGTTGTGGTTGGAGATACAAAGACTGTCTATATGACGCGGGGGGTTTGATTCAATAGAAGAGAGCGAAGAAGACGTTGAGTATGCACTAACATCTAGTCAACAAAAAGACTCGTGAGTTGCCGACCTGAATAACTATCTACTACCCCTCTCACACAACGCAATGTACTCGGTACACGCTGTCTGTTTGTTGTATCCACCAAGCGTCTGTCGGTGCTGAGTCGACTATAGACCAAAGTTTTGAGACAACGCGGGGACCCCGGTGCGTTTGTTCCACAACTTGTTCATAACCGGGCGGCAAGGCGGGTTTGTTGCCGCTCCGGTTTGTCGCTGATACTGTTGGCTGGGGTTCGGAGGTACGAGAACTCAAGGACCAAGGGCCAAGGGGTGGTGGGGGGAGTACAAGGTACCGAGTTATCTCTTCGAGAACCGGCAGAGTTTTCCGTCTTGTACATAGCAAGGAATCCAATCACTAACCAACCAACCAACCGTACACGCGATCCTGGTTGATCGAGCTGCCTACTCGTATGTACAAGATTTATTGGTTACCCAGAGAGCAACTCTAGAATATCACCATGAAGCCTTCACCTGGCCGACGGACGGACGCTCTGTGAGTGACAAGGTGATCACTTGATAATCACCAACATACTCAGCTCCGGAAACGACTCGGCAAACGCGGGCTTCAGAGACCAATTCTCCAGCTTGTGCAGGTGCATCTTGAACGCGGGGCTCAGGTGCACGGCTCCCGTCGCGTCGTCGTCCTGCCGTACGTACGTCGCGGCCGGGTCGTACGGCCAGTTGACGTTGAGACAGCTGCAGAAGGACGGGGTGAAGACGTTGAACGGGTACGCGTGGTGCTCGAGCGTGAGCTTCTCGCGCAGTTGCGGCCAGGGGAGCGTGTCGATGAAGATCGGGTGCGTGACTCGACATTGCGACGGGCGGGGGTGGAACCAGGGAGGGAGGGCCTTGAAATTCTCTTCGCTGGGGGAGATGCGGTACTATTCAGACATCAGTGTCATCAAATGGACTTGAAGGGGCTCGACACGGCGTAGATCTGTATAGAGGCATATAGTGTTGGGTCATCCAGAGGTAAGGGATGGAAGCGTGACTTTCGAGCAGATCTGAATACATAGCTCGATATAAGGAAACCAAGCTCACCTTCAAATGGATATAATTCAGCCAGAATATCGCCAGCTTCTCGGGCAACTTGAAGTTCCACTGGCTGATGGGCGGTGTTAGAAACAAAGTCAGCGAGTCCGCCGTGGCTAGACGGCTGCTGTAGTGACCTCCCAGCAGAATCTGCACGTCCGGGTCATGGCCCGCGTGCAGCGCAGGGTCGTCGTCGAGCCGGGCCTGGTGCTCACTGATACACCTGAACAGTTTGCCATCCCAGATATTGCTGGGCGGGCAGTTCTGCGGTATTGGGACCAGTCTCTCTGCCGTCAACTCGGGGGCGATGTTGTTGGCCAACCATAACGGCGGGTCCGGGGAGAGATAGAAGTTGTTGTTGTTGAGTGCAGGGAGTTCGTCTGTGCCTATTCTCTATCAGTTCTAGGCAGCAATAGAGGAGACAAGATCTCTCTGGGAAGGACACTCACCCAGACCTAGCTGGCCTGCATAGGTCTGTCCCTGGTGCAGCAGCACAAGTTGGTTTCCGAAGAAAGGAAGCCCTCTGGGATGGTCGGTGTCGTTGGCTGTCATGCCGTGTATGCTCATCTGGAAAGCAGTCAGATGAATACCTCTCGTCATATGGCTGGGACAAAGTCCCGACTTGCCTCGAAATCCCCGGTAGACGTGTCGAGAAAACAATTGCCAAAGTCATTGTTGGCGTCGACCATGATCTCTATCGTGTCTCCGCTGTTCACGCTGGGCGGGTCTATGAGGACTTCACAGCCTTGACTAGATTGATTGAGGTGATGAAGCTCGTCGTTGGCAAGGTCGTGGGCACTATCTGTACGGTGGCTTTCTTGGGTAATATCTTTCTCGTGACTGGGGAGACCATGATTTGGATTCGGTCGTGATGTTGTGCAGTATTCCGGGGGTGGATCGTCGTCCGTCTGCTCCTTTTCCGACTGTATCTCGCGAGGCTGCTTGTTGGAAGGCAGCCGCCGTTTCTTCCTCGCTGGGCCATCTATGGCGTCATTGTTGTTTTTATTGCTGCTGTTGTTGTCCTGACTGGTCGCGACGTCTATGATACTCTGTACTTTCGCCTCGAGCATCCGAACCCGCTGTTGCAGTTCCTCGTTTTCCCTCACGAGGTCTGCCACGCACGTGTCGGACTCTAACCGGGCGAGCTTCTCCTCCAAGCTGGCAATATACTTCTTGGTGCGTTCACGCACATTGCGCTGTGACTCGCGGTCCTGGATCCGTTTCCGCTCAAGCTGTGCCCTGGTGCGTCGGGGAGGTCCTTTGCGCCTCGTATCGTTGTTTGCTGCGAGAGTGTTGGTAGGTTGGTGGGGAGACGAAGCCTGTCCGTCTGCTGACAATTGATCTAATGCTGGAGACATGATTCTGACTCGGACTCATCCATAAAGCTGCTAAACTGACTGGACCGAGTTGTGACGAACTGAACTGTTGATTCCAGAGAGACAGACCATACAAGAAAATACGGGACGGGAACATGGGCCGAGAAGGTCTAGTCGTCACCAACAAGGGTGAACTGGAAACCCCCCTTCTGGCTTATCAGATCCCGCGAAACTCGTAAGGGTCATGCCGGGGTGACGGAAAAGCCAACCGTCTATCTAACCATGCATGGTCAAGGGCCTCCGGGGCCCCGCGTTGTCCAGGACCGTGGAACAAGGAGGATAATTGGGCCCTAATGCATAAAATTCTCAAGACGGTTCCAGGCAGCTACTTAGTTGTCTTCGAGTTCTTACAGTATCAGCATCGGGTTGTGCAAAGTATCTCGGCACACAGAAGCTGGATTCCTGTCCACACCATCCCTCACCCGTGTCCTAGAGCCTTAATTTTTACCCTCTAGTATACGTAGCTGAACAGAGCTAGCAAAAGCCTCCTTGTCCGCATTGAGTACCACACTATGACTTACTTCAGTAACCTTTTCTTCACGTTCAGTGTGCGAACAAAGAGGCATCCCATAAGTTGTTTTTGGGAAATGCATGCCGTTACGAAGCCTCTTTACCCCCTTTTGTTACCGACAACACTAGGCATGTTTGGGTGCTTCGATCTGAGCAATATCGACCTCCATCTCGGCCTTTTCGTCCTCGGCCTGGTTTGTGAGGTGGATCGCCACATCGTCGCCAAAGATCTCGCCGACCTCTTCGAGGGACAGGCCTTTTGTCTACAACAACAAAAAGTTAGCACTTGGGGATAAGCAGCTGACAGGAGAGTAGCGTTACCTCAGGGAAGAAAAAGTAAATGATGGGGATGTTGATGGTCGTCAGGACGATAAAGACAATATAGTATTTCCAACCGATTTCGGCAAAGGCCGTAGGCGCGGCTTCGAGGTAGGGGATGGTGGTCAGGAACAAAGTCCCCACAGACCACGCCATGCCTCGCGGTCGAATATGTGTCGGGAAGATCTCGGAGCAGTAGATGAAGCTGTTGGCATCAATGCAGCATCCGTAGCTGTGGTGGTCGTGTTAGCTCATGGACAAGTCACTGTGTGATTCGCAATCCACGATGATCAACTTACAAGGTCAGATGCAAAAATATAAAGAAGAGCGCCGCACTCAGTCCTGCATGGCTATCGGTACCCGAATAGTAGCGCAACAAGATCGATTCGGCGATCAGCGAAACCAGCATCCCACTCAGGCCGGTGAGGAAGAGGAACCTTCGGCCGGTTCGGTCGACCAAGATCGAGTTGACGTAGTTTCCGAGGGCCCCGATCGTGACATAGATGCCAGACAGAAGAAGAGGCATATGTCCCGTCTGTCCAAGGCCCTGGTAGATCATGACACTGTAGTCTGTCGACTTGGTTAATGATATGTTTTGCCTGTGAGGGCAGCCAAAAGGCGAAACTCACTGTAGATGACGAGGATGCCCGAAGATTCGTTGCTGAAGAAGGTGAAGAAGCCGCAGAGCATCCTCTTGCGGTAACTGGGTTTGCGCCACAGATCCCAGATGGTCTCATGGCTGAAGAACTCCCTGTCGTGGTCGACCTGCCGGCACATTTGGTAGAATTCCTTGCGGGCGTAGACCTCTTCCGGATCCGATGGATTGTAATGAAGCTTCGCAACGATTTTCCAGGCCTCGTCCCGGCGGTCTTTAAGAAGCACTGCATAGCCTGAGTTAGAGATCCTTCTCACGAGTGAAGAAAGAGAGCGAACGTACGCCATCGAGGAGACTCCGGAATCCAAGGCGCAACGGCAAGAGTCAGCAAGGGCCAGAGGCAAGCCACCGCCAGAGGGAACCGCCATTGGAAATTTTCGTTCCGAGAGAAGTAACAGCCATAGCCGACCCAACCGGCAATCATATAGCCCCCCACGAGAACGACACCTGGGATTTGTCTAAGTACCTGAGAGCTCTAGAATATCTTGCGACTTACCATGCTGCCCGACCAAGAACCCCCGACTGGCCGGAGGAGATATCTCTGCCTGCATGATTGGGATCAAGGTGACCAAGTTTCCTGAGACAGAGACAAGTCGGTCAGATGTCTCAATTCTCATCTCTCATCAAGTGATGGAGCACCACTCACCGACTCCGTAGCCAGTCAACCATCGTGCGAACAGAAACATGCCGATCGCCGCGGAGCCTGCTTGCAGTGCGGACCCTACAATCGAAATAATCGTGGCAATATACAAGGCCTGCTTCCGACCACGCGCGTCGCACATCCAGCCCATGGTCCAGCAGCCCATGAAGGCACCGGCGGAGAAGAGGCCACTAGTGGCACCGAGGATGCGATTGGTATAGGCATAGTTGGGCTCGGTCGGCGCAGCTGCCAGGCCAAAGTATTTGAAGAAGCCGGGCTATACTTGCGACGTGTTACTATGGATGGACCCGAGAAATGAATGGTGGATGGACCGACCTGACCAAGGGTTGTCGAGATAATGCTGAAGCAATACCCATACGACAACGACCCTAGACAAAGGGCGAAGACGATCTGTTCAAGCAAAGGTCAGTTCACTGGTGTCCTGGGTAAGGTTGAGCTGGTATTGGTGTACGCACAGAGAGGTTGTACCACGAATAAAATCCCTGTTCCTGCGCCATGGTTGTTGAAAAGTCTCCGTCACGACAAGGAGGTAGACAAGAATTTCCTTGCAGTCCCTTTATAGCACGACATTGTGCAGGGAACAGGTTGGGCACGGATCGCCAAAGAAATCGACCGTCTTGTCCATACTGTCCAGAAAGCCATCACGGTTGGGCTTCCGACATTCCGGCCCTACAATTCCGTGGCACGACGAATCGCGTGGCTGACCTAGGTATTTCCGTACACTTTCTCATAGTCATACTTTGTATTTAACTGGGAAGGGTAAAGCGGGTTGGGGTCCAGAATGGACGCATCTTGGGGAGACAGTGGCATCAGAACTTATCAAAGCGTTTGCTCGGGTCTATTATGTGGGTTGCTTCAGCCTTGACTCCTCCAGCTATTCTCCGCCGAAATCAAAGCTACAAGCTCGCTTCGAACAGTCGCTCCAATTGCTCTCTCTGGGGCTCCATATCTTCTTCGAGGTTGGGGGCGAGGTTCAATACCCGTTTCTGCGGCAGCGTCCCCTCCACGAGGCCTGGGATGTTCTCTCTGCTGAAGCCGAGATCTCTCAGACCTCTCGGTTGATCCCCCAGCTTGGCCAGAAAATTTGCCAGAGCCTCGCCGAGGATTTCCCCAGCGCTCTCCTTTTTCGCGGTGCTGATGTCCACGCCAAACGCCTCGGCGGCAGCAAGATGTCGCTCCGGGTTTGACGCAGCTGTGAACTTGAATACACTGGGGGAAGTGACTGCGACACTGACTCCGTGAGGGATCAATGGCTTGTCGACAATATAGCCCTTGTGCCTATACCCAGGGTTTTGACTCGAGATGGGATAGCTCATGCCGTGGCACAGATGGACGCCTGCATTCCCAAACCCGACACCGGCCAGAGTAGCCGCAAGCAACATCTTATTTTGCGCGTCGCTATCTTCGGGGTCTTTTACTGCCCGCGGAAGGTATTTGATCGTGTCTTTCAGGGCTTGGAACGAGAAGACGTCTGAGATGGGGTTTGCGCCCTGATACGCCGGCCGAAGGATAGGATTCAACGGGCGTGGGGTCCGTTGGTTATAGGGGATTGCGGTCCAAGACTCCAAGGAGTGGCAAAGGACGTCGAGCCCAGACGCAGCGTGGACTGCTGAAGGCATCGTCCTCGTATTTAATGGGTCACAAATACCAAAGGTCGGTTTGAGAGCACGAGAAGCTACACCAGTCTTTGCTCGGTGTGAGGTCAGATCAAAGATGGCGGTGCCCGTTGTTTCCGACCCTGTGCCCGCCGTCGTTGGTATCGCGATCAGTGGCAGAAGCTTCCGAGACACGGGGAGTCCACGGCCGAGAGGTGCGTTGACGAAGTCGAGAAGCTCTGCCTCGGGGTAGCAGGTGTAGAGATTCATCATCTTGGCCGTGTCGATGACACTTCCACCACCGACAGCGATGAAAGCATCAGGCTGGCACTTTCTCGAGAACTGGATGGCTTCGAGAATCCTAGATGTATAGACAAATGGTCAGACATACAAAAATGGTCTTCCAGGAATGAAGTGTGTGGACGGGTAAAGCCTTACGAATGTTCTTTCGGCTCCACAACCACCTTGTTAAACACCGTATAGCTCAAAGCCTCTCGGTCCAACGACTGGTGCACCTGCTGCATGGCATGCAGGTCTTGGATGTTAGTGTCCGTGACGACGCAGACGCGCTTCGACCCCAGGTTCTTGACGTCCATGCCCACTTCGGCGGTGCACCCGGGCCCGAACCGGATACTCGAAGCTGCCATCTCGAAAGCATATTCCTTTTCGGCCGGGAGTTCTGCCACTTTGGCTAGATGCTTGGCCGTAGCATGGAAGGGCTGGCTATGATGGACTCCGGGGTTGGAATGGCAGCGACAGTTTGGGGGGTGGTGGAATTGGACTGTCCGAAGGAGATCGAGGGCTCGAGAGGCTGCGGATGCTGGGACGCGAGTGATGACGCCCATCTTCCCTTCTTTCTTACGCAGTGAGCTACTGACGCTGTTCCGACTGGGCGAGTAACTTACATGTGCTCGGCTTGCTTGGTCGTGTTTTATTTGCCGGATGCCTCAATATGTAGTAGTGGCAGGCCATGGGCGGCGTCCGCCTCCACGGAAACATCCCAGTCTCGTTAGTGGGCTCCTTTGACCGCACGGGACGATGGTCCGGCATCTTGGATCGATATGCAATCGGCAAAACACGGCCTTGTAGGTCAGATTGGCGCCTGGTTGGATAGAGCTGGCCCGGCATAAAGGAAACCGGTCCGCTTCAGAGATTGGGACTCGATGAGTGCGGATCGAGGTGCTTGCCCTACCCGCTTCACACTTGGGGGTAACTCATCCGAGCTAGAAACAGTCGTATCTCACTCTCAATTCTTCTCAGATGCAAGATCGCCCGTCAAGAGACACATACAAAGTCATTGTTGACAACGCGCCGGAGCGTAAATAAACAAAAAAGCGCAGTTTGAGACACTCGTCACAATTATATTATCAGTTACAGTTGCGCCTCCTCCCCCTCCTCCTCGTCACTCCCCTCACGCTTCTAGAAAGACACAATAGTGAGTTTACAATATTGATTCCACTGCCTCACAAATCGGCAACAATTCAGAAGATGAAGAACATGGATCCAAAGTTCCACATGCCTCCGCCTCCCACCACGATATTCAAAATCTCCTACCCCGCGCCCTTCGTCCTTCTGATCACGATACAACGTGAAAAACAGATGAACTCGATCCCCTTAAGAGGTCACTGGGAAGGCGAACTCCTCCTCCAGTGGTTCGACTCTGAACCCGAGCTGCGCGTCGCTGTCATCACGGGTGCTGGGAATAAGGCCTTCTGCTCCGGCCAGGATTTGATCGAGCAGGAGGAATTCACGCATAACCCGCCACACCCAAAGGAGAGAAAATTCGCGCCATCGGGATTCTGTGGGCTCAGTAGGCGAGGAGGCAAGAAACCCGTCATTGCAGCTGTCAACGGGTATGCGCTGGGCGGTGGATTCGAGATTTGTCTCAATTGGTGAGTCTAGCTTCGACCACGGAGCACTTAAGAGAATGCTGACACGGCCCCGCCCAAAGTGACCTTGTCGTCGCGTCTCCAACAGCTTCCTTTGGACTTCCAGAATCGTCAATAGGAGTGTATGCCGCCGCGGGAGGACTTCCACGGATAGTGCGCATCTGTGGCATGCAGATCGCTGCAGAGATAGCCCTCGCCGGGAAGAGACTGACCGCACACGAGGCCAAGGCTCTTCAGCTGGTCAACATCGTGACCGAAACCCCAGAGAAACTCCTACACGAAGCTCTGGCGCTGGCGTCAAGAGTCGCCAACATGTCCCCGGACGCAACGATTGTGACTCGCGCAGGTCTGAGAGAAGCGTGGGAAACGGCAAGTGTGGAGAGGGCCTGTCAGTTGACCGCAGACCGGTATGAAGAGCCGCTACTCGCCACACCAAATCGGGACATTGGACTGCGGGCATTCAAGAAGAAACAGAAGCCGAACTGGGTCCCTCCCAAGCTTTGAAGGGGTGGTCGGTGACTCTGACGAGCGTGCAATGGCACGTCAAGAGCGCGAGACATGTGCATTTTGCCCAATGTCCCTCCACTCAATCACGGAAGCTCTATGCCGATCGCTCATGTGCTGAAGAGTGTCGTGGTCATGTTCCATGCTGAATCGTGCAGCCACCAGTCATCTTCGGTGGTCAGGGTGAAGTCAAGGTTAGAATACTCAGTGGCGTCAGCGGACGTAGGTGGATTCGTCGGAGCCATCTGGGCAACGTGAATTGCAGGCGGTCCCGTAGCAATCCCCGTTATGCTCCCGGGCATACTGTTGGGAGACGCCGCAATGACCTTCTCCGGGAAAATGTTGGTCAGAGACGTCTGGTTGAGGAAATGTGTCAAGCTCGACCTCATCCGTAGCGTGACTGGATAATGTTTCTCGACCGCTTCGAGGACCTCATACAGCGAACGTAGCCATCGCACATCGTTCTCAAATGGCTGAGAGAGCTGGCGCATGCGAATGATATGTGATGCCAGCGCAACAGCCGCCACGTAGACATTGTCCAGCATCACAGTGATAACATTCTCCAGGCCGAAGATGTGTCTGTATGAAAGCACCAGTTTCGCTATGCGCACGGCGTTTTCGTGCACCACGGCATACAGGTGATCAAGGCTTTTGGGCTGTGCGTCGTCTCTGTCAGACGCGCCGGACTGCCCTGCCTTGATCATGGCGCGATGTATTGTCACCTGCATCCCGAAATACTGCATATGAGGCCCATATGCTTCGGCATCCAACTCGTCGATTCGAGCATCGTCAAAGGCAAGTTCTGGCGGAAGACCGTCAAAGACCGAACGCAGGTTAATCTCGAGCGAGCAGAGGCGCAGGTTGGCACTGCGGTCGGCATGGCGAATGGTGCCGAGCGAGTTCAAGATCTCGACAATGTCCACCATCTGAAGGCACAGCGCAACCCACATGTCCAGAGTATTAGTGTAGCATCGGCCTGCCACAATGCGTCGTACCGCAGCGATAACGGGTGATGAGATCGAGGTCGGTCGTCCAAGGTACAAGCTCCACAGTGTGGCATAGACGAAGGTGCCGAGCAACAGAGTCTCCCTGAACGCGGCCTCCTCCTGTTTCATATTGTCGTCTTTGTCGGGCGAAGCGAGATCCACATGCAATGCGAGATCTACCAAGAGTCCCGTGGCGATGACTGATGAAGAGAAAAACGCCTTGTTAGCAGCAGCCGCAGCAGCACTGTCACTTGGGAACAGGGATCCCACTCACTGCTGTACGTCCACCCCAGCCTGGCGCGGCCCCGCGTGGCCTCAAAGTCACTCAATAAGAGGAAACCCTGCAGCGAGGCGATATTCGGTTGCTCGAGCTCCGACGAGATCTGCGCCTTTGCGCGCTCGGCATACTTCCTGCCCAGCTTCCTGACCGCGCTGGATGTACTGTTCCGCGTCGCCGCGGCCACGATGACGTTCTCCAGGAAGTTGGAATAGAACCGGTGCCGCCCTCCCTTTCTGCGATCGCGCATGAACAGGTCTTCGTGGACAATGATTTGGGAGTTTGGCTGGATCTTGAAGAAGATGCGCAACAGCGCCTTGCACAGCTGTTGAGAGTCCATGTTCATGGTCGTCTCCTGTGGTAGATCATTCTCGGGGGTTATGGCAATGGACTTGATCTCGGGCGAGTGAACATGGAGCTGTGTTGTCGACCCGTAGTAGGCGGGATCACCACAATTGCCGTCTCGAAGCACACGAGGCTCCCCTTCCCCAATGTTGGTCATGGACACATCATTGACAGAGGCCGCGTTGGGTCCCAGAGAGGGCAGATTGTTTGGGAGTGGACTGAGATGGGCCAACGAGGGTCCAGTAGGGATGCTGGGGACTGCATATTGGACTGTTCAATGTGTCAACCTCGCAATGTGGGAGGGTGTCATATCACAACACATACGATACGGGCCTCGCTCGACAGGAACCGTCTCAGGAGGCTGACTCTGCCTGTTTTCCCATTAGCATGATGCCCCTGGTATTGAGACCTACGGCGGGATCCTCAACGCACGCTTTACTGGCCCAGTCAGTCTTGTGGCTCTGGTTGAGATCAACGGGCCATTCTGGCGCCGCCATGTCGGAATCCGGCACTTCATCGTTGCGCTCAGGCTGCTGCTCAATGACGATCGTGTCTTCGGGAGGGTCAACAACGGTTGGGTTGTGATCGATGGATATTGGCCGCGTGCTGTCTGGTTGGCGCACTTGGGAGTCGTCGTCGACTGCCATGGGGACGACGTTGACCTGCTGGGCCTGCAGCGCGGCTCCCTCGGCCGATGCCTTTTGGATCATGCCCTCCAGAGACCGGATGCGTTCTTGCATCTCTGCCAGTTTGTGACGAGCCGCACCATTTCTACACGCTGCTCGTTAGCCCCCTGTCTCTGGCAAGCGAACAAGCAGGGATCTCGCCGCGAAAATCAGCCCAACCTTACCTTCTACGATCGCTATCGCGGTCTATGACACATGCACAACTTGAAGACCGACACGGAGTACATTTTGACCCTGGGGGTATCTTTTCGGCATCGCACTGGTTCCCACTCCATCAGAGACAGTTCGGCATGGGCATGCGACAAAATCGCCTTTGTCTTGCATGTCAAATCTCACGATGGATCTGGTTTTGCTGACCTTGATTTTGCGTTGGCGACAATTGGTGCACACGAGGCGAGCGCGGGCCTGGTTCCTCGGCCCCTTGGGAGGATGGTCTTGAGCACTCGATCGCTCAGTCATATTTTGCCGGTCAAGTACGAGGTGCTAGAAAGTGTCGTTCATGATAGATGGCAAAACAGGCACCGTGGCAACCACTTTCAGGGGAAGTAATGCCGCCAACGTCTATTTGAAAGGGTGGTATTGTTTTTTCACCAGTTCATCACAAGTTCTCTACTAGATCTCAGCTCCGCAAACTTGGACGCGACAGTGGGTTCATACACATGTCGACTGGTCCGTGCATGCGGGGTGCTTCCAGAGGCAAATTTTGAACCCCGGAATCAAAGGGAAACCATCCCCCAAAGTGCATAATGCAGGTCGACCAAGTCACGATGGGCCAGTCAGCATCCTTGGGTTTCTATTCCACTAACGGAGCCATGTCCTGGGCGCGACTGGACTGGGGCGGAGGCGTGCAATCACAGGCTGCGTCAAATACCCCGGAGGTCGCCATCGAGGTCACAAGGATCAAGGAGGCAAGGTACTTCGGACTGTCTGAGTCAGGAAGGGGGGCGACGTAGGCAGCTTTGGGCCACAAGACAACGGAAATTGGTAGCCGAGAGAAGTTGCTATTGCGAATCGACACCACTCGTTTGCTCACTCGTTCGGCAAACCCTTTGCCGTGATCTCTCTTCAAAGCGGAAAAGAACCCGGGGGGGATCCGACATGCCGTTTCGTGGGGACGGGCAGGACGGATCAATAATGGACGAAGAAAAGGGGGGCCTTGGAAATATTCAGTTCGTCCGTGGGTCGACTAGGCTTTACGCCCAAAGCTTCGCCCACATGGGCTGGATCTAGGTCGACGCCATATCTGGAAGAAGCTGGGGGCTTCGCAAACAACTCCCTCACTTCCTTGCTGCCTCGTCCAATTGTTTTTGGATGTTGGCATGGTATCGATCAATCCCCGCGGGGCGAGCCATGACTGTCAACAAATCATCGGCACAATCGACCCCCTTTGGCAACTCGCAGGTCAGATTTCTCCTGAAGAGACACTGGCCCGGCCCTGCCTCCTCGAATGTGTAAGTGATGGTGCAGATACCATCAACACCCCCCGTCCCGTCTGGCAACTTCCCGATGCCATTGATCTGCTGGATTGCCCACTTGAACGGCCGCACGGCCGTGATCAGGGTCCAGGTCGAGTGGTACGTGTTGGGAGGGAGAGTCACTTTCTCGGTCCACGTGTAGCCCACTTTCAAGGGCAGGTCCTTGTGCATTTCTTCCTCGCCGACCATGCCACCGCTGCCCTTGTAGTTCTTGCCCCAGGTGGTCGGGTTGCTTGCATAGTCGTAAACCACCTCACGGGGATGGGTGATGACCGTCTCGGAGGTGTTGCTCATTACACCCATGGTTGCTGTCCTTTTTGGGGGGGGGGGGGGGGGGGGGGTTGGCAGCTCTCGAAGTGGGTTGAAAATGGAAAGGCTGTTGTTTCTTTTTTTGGCTGTAATGTTCCTCTTGAGGTCTTTATCAAAGACTAAAGGAACGTTATATCCTTCTGTCCACTGGGAGGGACTCTATTTGCCGTGTCAGAGGTCCAATCAGAGTCTGACATCGACCGAGGTCTAGGTATACCAAAGGTGAATGTCCCTGTCCCCCCACCTTCATTCGGCTCAAGACGAAACGTGGCGGCAGAGGGACGGCGACAAAGCTGTGTTTCCCGAATCAGCTCTGCGGACACTCACTAAGCATCGGTTGGGCAGGGCAGGGCAAGGCTTGGTCGGTCAGCCTTGCCCGATCATTGTACCCTTCCTCGACAGGTGGTGAAGCAAAACTTTGACGTCGTCGATGATCCCATAGCTGATTGCAACGGTATATCTATATCTATATCTCAACCAGCCCTTACAGCGGCCATGTTGGATGCGGCAGAAGTTGCAAAGCACAATTCCCGACATTCATGCTGGGTGATCATCTCCAATAATGTGTACGACGTGACAGACTTTCTTGCAGACCATCCTGGAGGCCCCGGGGTGATTCTGAGATATGCTGGAAAGGTATGTTCTCCCATTGACTCGACTGTGATTGTTGATGTATTCCCTTGCTAAAGACACATGCCACAGGACGCGACTGAGGAATACGAACCAATCCACCCGTCTGGGACTCTCCAGCGACATCTCCCTGCAGGTTAGACCGTCACATTTACGATCATTATTCCTAGAAAGCATCTCATTCGGGCTGATAGACAAACATCTCGGTCCTGTGGACCCTTCCACCTTGAGCGCGCAACCCACTAGAGACAGCAATTCCGCTCCCGACAATAAATCCTCTCCGAGTCTGTCGTCCATCCCACATATTTCCATGTGTCAGAACCTCGACGACATTGAATCCGCAGCACGCCAGAAACTGACGCGCAAGGCCTGGGTCTACTATGACTCTGCCGCCGAGACTCTGGAGTCGTTCCACACCAACCGCCGCGACTGGGCCAAGATTTCGTTCCGGCCACGCGTGCTGCGTAACGTCGCGCGGGTGAGTATGAAGCGTCGCATCCTGGGCCACGACGCAGACTTGCCATTCTTCATTTCGCCCGCGGCCATGGCCAAGCTGGGCCATCCGGACGGCGAACTCTGCTTGGCACGGGGCGCGGCGGAGAGGAATATCGTCTACTGCTCAAGTACGTACAGCTCGGTGGCGCACGACGAGCTGGCGCCCTGCTTTGACCGGCGCGAGGGGAGGGGCGCGTTGAGTTTCCAGCTCTACGTGCCGAAGAAGAAAGAGGAAGCGAAGAAGCTGATCGACATGGCCAAGAGGCTGGGGTGTAAGAGTCTGGTCATTACAGTGGACACGCCCGTCGTGGGAAGGAGAGAGGAAGACGACAGATATAAAGCTGAGATTGAGGTGCAGGAAGGGCGAGAAGTCCCTAGGACGACGAGCGTGGCGGACGGCGAAGAAGCGCCGATCCTAAGAGGTTATCATTCCTCTACGGTCGACTGGGAGGATATCCACTGGATGAGAAAGGAATGGGGAAACGAACGAGGACCCGTGGCCCTCAAGGGGATCCAGACCGCTGAAGATGCCTATCTCGCGTCCTTGAGCGGCGTGGAAGCCATCTACCTGAGCAATCATGGTGGGAGGCAGCTGGACTTTGCACCGAGTGCGATCAGGACGTTGTTGGAGATCCGGAAGTTCTACCCTCAGGTGCTAGAGACAGTCGACGTCTACCTTGACGGGGGTGTGCGACGAGGCACAGATATCCTGAAAGCCTTGTGTCTGGGCGCGAAGGGTGTCGGTCTCGGAAGGCCGTTTCTTTACGGGTCGAGCGCTTATGGGACAGACGGGGTGCTCAAAGTGATTGAGAGTAAGTCGTGCCATCTAACGAGAAAGCCATAGGAGAACTGACAACATTATAGTGCTGAGTGATGAGATCGAGACGACGATGCGATTGTTGGGAGTGACCGAGTTGAGCCAGCTCGATCCACATTGTATCAACTACACTGCTCTGGAAAGGGACCTGCCCCAAGAAGTGAGAGCGGTGCAGACGGGGAGGCAATTCAAGCTCTAAGGCAATGATCCAGTTTTATTCTCGGCCATGCCTTTGGAATTTGGCCAACGCTCTATACAAATTCGTCTTGAGACCTCACAACTTCGCACCAGCGCTCCGAGCACCTTGACGAGCCGCAGCAATGTCATTCGCAAGACCGCTGACGATAGAGCCATAGTCGAAAGTGGACAGAAGAAAGTCCATCCCCTCCGCCGCACGTTTCCTCGCGTGATCCTCCCCCATGCCCATACACCCCACGACCTTGCCCAGTTTCTTCCCCGCGGCACATATTCGTTTCAAGGCGTTGAGAAATTCCGGCTCTGGTCCGTCCACCGCCGCCGTGAGTCCCAGAGACAGTCGCAAATCAGCTGGACCGATGAAACACCCGGAGACGCCCTCGAGGGCGAGGATCTCCTCGACGTTCTCCAGCCCCTCGCGGGACTCGATGATGGGTAGGATCGCAATATCTCCTCTCTTGGCCCTCTCAAAGTATCCCCCCATTCCTCCGTGAGGCCCGTCCGGGTGGCCAAAGGGCGCGTAGAGGGGCCCAAAACTCCTCCGACCAGCCGGCGGATATAGCGCACGATCTAGGATCGCTTTCATCTCGGCGACATTGTTGACCATAGGGATGATGATGCCTGCGGCGCCGCTGTCGAGACCCCATTTCACGTATTCAACCCCGTGTGATGGGATGCGGATGATGGGGAAGCGTGTCCCCCGCGATACTTGCACGTATGCGTGGACCATTTGCGTAACCACGTCCATGGTCAACGGGGCGTGTTCCATGTCGATCATGACGAAGTCGCCGTCAGCCTGTCCGGCCAGTTGGGCAATGATGGGTGACGGAATCGTCAAGACGGTACCGACAAGAGGACCATCCTGAGACTTGATTTTCTGGACAAATGTCTTTGGTGATGCACAGCTGTCTTGCGAGGTCCCGCTGGGAATGCCATAGGACGCCATGTTTGCCTCGATATACGGAGTGGTAAGGGGGGATAGATCTAGTGATGGACGTCTGGAGGTGTCTGTAGATGTCTCCGGCGATACCCTTTGCTATACCTGCCCTCGTACGTTCTTACACCTCGAAAACTAATGAATCTTTTGGGGAAGCATATACTGTGTCACTCCCAGCCACGGAAAAGATCCCTCCCGCTCTTATCCAAACCGACACACGGAACGTGCATGACTCGGCTGTGGTGGCTGGTCAGAGCAACCTATCGCTCAAAGGCCTAAGCATTGCCGCCACGCCACGCCCATTAACCGACTAATACGCTCTCTATGATTTTGGTTGTCCTGTGGCTAGTGTCTGCTTCTATTTCGACCACTCGGACAATATTCCACGCCATGAAGAAATCTCGGCCCACTGGTCAGTAGCACGTTAGGATTCTATGCGGAGTAGACAGCACATCGCTGACAGATGTGGGCTCGTCAATCGTAACATTTCCTATCGTCTTTCGGATCATCATGACCTTGATTGAGTGGTGTGCTTCGAAGGTGGAAGGATGCTCCGTGAACGCCTTGGTCGTCCTAATCGTATGCAACAGGGCAATGTCAGTTCTCAAAGCTCATAGGCAACCTCAGGGTACAACCCAGGAGGGAAAACGTTAAAGAAGTTGGCTGGAAGATGATTGAGGTATAAGAATAAAATTGCTGTTGTTGGCGCTGCGTCTGCACAGGTTGAAGCCCAAGCAACTGTGCTGCGCAGAACCACAGGGGGAAGAAGAACTATCGTGCAATCCTGAACTCGGAAGTTGTTATGCACTTGCACCAACCAAGAACCGAGTTGGATGTGAAAAGAATACTGGCGGCTACAGACTACTCTACGCATTAAATGTCTTTAGTCTGATACATCCTAGCCCAAGAGCCGCCATTGCCTTCGGAGCGATCTGTCCTGGTCTCCTCTAACATCTCGAAATAGTTGCAGGACTTCAACTTCAACTCCAAGAGCGAGACCGTCTCGGACATGCACTTGGCCAGGAATTCCTTTCGTTTGCTTGGGGGTACAGAGCACCCTGCAAAGCAAAGGACCAAGCTAAACTGCCCATCTCTTGTGCACCAGACGCCGGGCTAAAATGAACGCTAGAATTCTAGGCCCAAGGACGGAAACAACAACAACAACAACTGATCCTGAGTCGATGGGCAGATGGGCTCAAGGGCCAGAGGCCACGACGGAGAGCTCGGGCAGCACTACTCCCGGCAACTTCTGGACTTCTGGGGTGTAGCCCTCGTCGGCTATCCATCAGGGATCGCGATGAATCGCCCTCAGCAGCTCGGATATCGGCAGCCGCAGACGTGGCTGTTCTCTCGGACTTGTGACTAGAATGATTTTTATTGGGAGCTTGCGGCGGACACATTAACAGGGTCCAGGTGTGTGGCTGACTGACGTGAGAGAACCTGAAGGTATGTTAAAGCAGACATCTTACGCCCTATATCAACGGACTTTTGGTTGAGTGAACAAGCTCCAAAGATATTTCTCCAAGTCTCACAGTGGTAGCGTCCTCTCCTCAACATGGTAGCAGATTTGACACCGCGATATCTCAAGTTCACCCCGCTGGGGGGGACATTCGTCGCCCAGGTTGACGGGCTTGACTTCTCTCAACCCATTCCCGAGGCGGTTCGGGACGAACTCCTCGCCGGGCTCCAGAAATATGGCGTCCTCGTCGCACGAGCGACCAACATCACAGACGACACCATGATTGCCCTTGGACGGCAATGGGGGGAGCTGGACAACATCACGGCCCACAAAAAGGCCGGGCGCAAGATGCGTCTCCCCCAAGACGAGATCTTCGACGTCGGCAACATCGACCCGGACAACAACATCATCACCGCGGCGGACCCGTTGCGCATCTCCAGCGCCCGAGGCAACGCTCTCTGGCACGCCGACGGCGCCTACAATCCTCGACGCTCGGGCATCTCGATTCTCCGGGCTGTCGAGCTGCCACCAAAGGGCACCGGCGGCCAGACCGAGTTCCTCGACTCACGCACCGCGTACGAAGATCTCCCTGCGGAAACCAAGGAGAAGATTCGTGGCCTCGTCAGCCTCAACACCCTCCTCTGGAACCGCAAGCAGGCGAACCCCGACATGGACATGTTCAAGGACATCGACTGCACCAAGGTCCCTCTGTCCAGGCACAAGCTCGCGCAGATCCACGAGCCTACGGGTCGCGGCAACTTGTACATCGGCTCATACAACCACCACATCGAGGGACTCCCCGTCGAAGAGGGTCGAAAGCTCATCGACGACCTGCTCAAGCACGTCACGCAGAACAAGTATAAATTCGCCGTGCACTGGGAGAACCCGGGAGACGTCACGTTCTGGGACAACACGGCGGTCTTGCACCGCGCCACCATCGGCGAGTACAATGGCAAATATCGTCGTGATATGAGGAGGATCTCCACGTTCGATACGAGCTCATGGGCGTGGGGGGAGAATGATCCTGCGAAGTCCACCCAGATTGGACTTCAGTGAAGAAATTGTTGTATGTATTGTATTTGAAAACGAATGGCGAGTCCTCCGTCGCAGACTTTTACTGCTCGAGTAACTTTGACATTTCACAGTTATTTTGATAAGAATAAATTCTCTTTGTTTAAGTGAGCAAGCAATCCTGGACCCACTTGTAACGAAGTGGTTCGAATTGTTCACCTTTAGAGGTTTTGGGGGTCAATCGTCTAGACTGCCGTCTGTCTATATGCTCTAGTCTTGAGTCGTCCTTCCCAAAGACACCGCGCGACTCTTTCTCTGTAGTTCGATCAAAAGATAGCCATAGCATTAGGATGACTACCCACGCCTCCTGGAAAGTGTGACATGTGAGCAGAATGCTCTCTAGCGTTGGGCAGGGGAGGAAGAGCCTTACCGGGCACGTTTGACGGACTGCTCACGAAGAAGAAATGATATCGACCGTGTCTCTTGCACGCGTCCGCCAGCTTCTCAAAGTCCCACATCTCCCCTATGGGGCAACCCCAGCGCGGGAGCAGGTAGAGATGGTGGTTCCAGTCGTACGGGGTCGGCCACGACTCGAAAGCCGGCGAATCGGAAGCCACGGCCGCGAAGTAGTTGTCGTGCAGGAAGTCGACCATCTCCTCGCTGACCTCGACGCCGACGAATTTGAAGTCGTAGACGCCCGTCCCTTTGGCGATACTGGCGCGGCGGTCCTGGTCGAGTCTCTGGTAGTTGTCGATCCAGCCGGTGCGGATCATCAGGATGTCGCCGTATTGGAACGTCAGGCCCTGGGCTTTTGCACAGGCGAGGAGCTCGGATGTGGAGATTGGATGAGTCTCGTTCGGGTCATATTTCTTGTTGTTCTGCAGAGCATACGACCAGTAATCGATGAGAACTCCTCTTCCGACTTTGTGTGCTGTCAGCGCCGATCGATTTCTAACATAAAGGTTCTTCTATACCAATGCCATGGTCCGCCCATGCTTGAATTCCACAGCGTGTAGTGTTCATGATTTCGTCTTGGGTGAGCTAGCTCAATTAGTTCTGATGATAGGCGCCTGAAAGGGCCCCAATGCAGAGCAATGACTGACATTATTGTAAAAGACATGACCGCCACCATTAGCGATGCTGACCTGGAAGAGACGGTTAACCGTGAAAATTTCGCCTCGTCAATGAAGCGCCGATATGTCTCACATGTCTGAACCCGTCCCACTGGGTTTCTCGTCAGCTCCACCGTTCAAAAGGCTTTTAGCAAATCGCTTACCTGTGACCCTGACTGCGAGTTCATCTGATACAAATCGTCGTTGCCGGCCGGGCCCAGGCTCTTCACTTTCCATTCAAAGGGCTCGCGACCAAATGCTGGAGGATTGGGGAGATTCAGAGGCCAGCTAGATTCACATGAGGACTAGAACGCCAGATGGCAGAAATATCGCGTTTAACATACTCCAGATTGACCGTCTCCCCGGACTCAACGAGCTTCGCGGCCTCCCGTCGGCGGCGCGGAGTCAGCAGGTTGAGCCGTCCTAGCTGTGACGTGTCACTGTCAGTCCATCCCGTAGTGACGCGAGCACTTGAGAGGAGATGGTACCTCGTCATCCTTGCCCCAGAACCACGCGGCGCCCTTGGGAGCACCAGGAATGTCTGGCAGTTCCGCGCGTTTTGGGAGACTGTCGGAGTCCGGATCGAAGCTCATTTTTTGTCTTTCGGTGTCTCTATTGCGTGCTGGAGTCGCTTAATTACACAGTCGATTGATGGGAGTGCCTGTACAACAACCTCTAAACGAATCGCCGATGGAGGCTTATGAGTGACGAAGCTTGATTGCTCTTATATCCTTGGAACGTTCTACAATGAAGCCAAGCCGTTCTGCTGTTCCTGTGCTTTCTAACGGCGGTGCACCTCGGCAACACAGGGCAAAGGGGCTGGCTATATTACACACTCGGATCGATAGCCGCACAACACTTCAAGTTGTATGGTTGCTTCGACCGATTCGTGCGTGTCCAGGGTCCCACTGGCCCCTTGACCCCAGGGATGTATTGTTATTGGTGACACCGCAATAGATGGTGGAAGTGGAGAGGGTCTCTTATTGGGTTACTCATAGCATGCTAACCATATATGGATAGATTCAGAATGGCGACTCCACAGTATTGGACCCGCTCGGCCAATGACAGCATTCACAGAGTAAGCCTTTCCCTTTGGACTTGTATCCAATCGCAAAAGCAAGATCTCTCTAAACGTCGTAGTCTCTCTGCTCATCTATACCGTCCACAAGTCCAAGGTAGAAGGTTAGATCCCGTCCGTCCAGGTCTCGCATCGAGAAGCCGTTGCCTAACCAATACCACACATTCCCATGTCTGTATTTTATGTGATAGTCCTCATACCGCGGTGAGCTCAACAGTTCCATACTAGATAAAGAGTCAGCAGCATATCGCATGAAAGTTGGCCACCTCACTTGACATAAGAGAAGAGAAAGATTGGGAGAGATCACTTACTACTGCAGCCTGGTTCCCGGGTGAAGCATTATCCGCCCGTCGATTGTGCCTCCTTTGAACCAACTCCGACACGGTGCGTCGTAGACGGTTCGCTTGTTGAAAAGGTCGGCGTGCTCGGCGTATTGATCAATTATCTCCGTCTTGGGTGTAATGCTCTTGATATCCTCCAGCTGGATCTTGCGGACCATTTGTACAATGTACGATGCAAACAGCTCGATCATGGGCATGGCGCTTCCCTGCCCGAGAGGCCCGTAGGGGCCATAGAACGTGAAGTAGTTGGGCATGCTGGGCGCCCCCACACCAAGGTATCCAATCGGTTTCTTCGCGTACAGATCCTGTAGATTGATACCGTTGGCGACGATTGGGAATCGAGGAACCCAGGAGGTGTCGAAGCCGGTGGCGCAAATAATCACATCCACTTCCTGCTCGACGCCATCCGGGTCGATAAACCCTTTGGGAGTAATTTGGGATAGTCCACCTTCACAGTAGACCTGGACATTCTCTTCAATCAAAGCCTCGAGGTAGCCGTTACCGGGGCTGGATTGCGTCAGTCAAGCCTCGTTAGGTGGTGGGCGTAAACTTGGGCCCATTGGTGGAATGAAACTTACGTAGGCCTCTTGCAGCCAACTGGGAATGTTTTTGGGATCAGTGCTTCTGCCAGCTTCTCATGGCCTTTCAAGCGCCCTGTCATTTCTGTGTGGGCAAACTGATTCGTGTTGGTGAGCAACTTGTGATGTTCTTTTTTCATGGACGTACCTTCATTGCTGCCATCGAATCCGGAGTATTCTTGTGGAACACGTAGAACCCTCGAACCATCTCCACTTCGACAGACTTCCTATACTTGAGGTAGTAGTCGGGGTCATTGCGGAAACGTTTCTTCTGTTCTTCTGAGTCTGTTATAGTGACGAATTAGCACTAGTAGATCAAGCAGAAAGTGCTTGGGCAGGAGACATACATTCGAAATTCGTGCCGTTCTCTCCAGCGTACTTCTGTGCAAACCCAGCCGTCATCCAAGTCGGCGTCCGCACCCAAGTGTACAGTTTCGACACGTCCTTCTGGATATTGGCGACAATCTGGATCCCACTCGAGCCGTTTCCCACAACAGCTACTCTCTTGCCCTTCAGGTCCAGGTCATCTGGCCACGCCGCCGAGTGCGTCAAGATGCCTTTGAACGAGTGTAGGCCTTGGATATCTGGCCACTTCCATTTACTGTGCGTCGCTTAGCCTCCGCCACTGTGGCGTTGTTGAAATGCTTACTTTAAGAATCCCATTGCATTGACGAAGATATCGCACTGCTCATCGATCTCAGCACCGGTTGCGAGATCTCTGATCTTCAAGTTCCATCTTCCCGCCTCCTCATCCCAGTCGGCGCGCTGGACCTCGTGGCTCAACTTGATGTATTTCCAAAGGTCAAACTTGTCGACGACGCCTTTGAAGTAGGCAAAGATCTCCGAAGCCTCGGCGTAGTACTTGGACCATACTTCTGGGTTCCAGGAGAATTGGTAGGTGACACTCGGAATGTCGCACGCACAACCACTGCATTTCATTCATGTCTGTCACGAACAGTACTTCTGAGGCTGCAATGAGATTTTAGAATGTGAAAGCCACTTACGGATACTTGTTCTCCCACCATGTCCCCGCTACGTCGTTGTTCTTCTCATATATGACCAAATCGACATTCTGCAGGCGATCCTGTGCGAACTTTGCCAGGTTGATGCCCGACGCACCAGCCCCTGCGCAGATTATTCTGAGCTTTCGCGCGGTTCCTGAGGCGACTTCGTTGATCGAGTATCCGTTTTCATTGGTCGTTGGCCAGTTGTACAGCGCTGGATAGTTCTCCGGGGACACAGCGATCCCGTTTGCTTTTGGAATTTCCTCTTCTTGCACCAGTTGGACAGCCATGGTTGACGGGTTTCCTGTTAGTGAAAGAGCCAGCAATCTCTCTCTCTCTCTCTCTCTCTTCAAAGGCTGGCCTACACCTACTTACTTACCTGGAGCGAAGACTCACTCTTTCAATAAACGTGACCAATTGCCTCGGACAAGCTACAATACGCGCTAGGAATCTATGCGTGTCTTGCCACAACACACGGGTATGATCCGCTTCCGAGTCAGATTCGTACCAAGCAGTGTGTTTTCGGTTCGGTAATTTATCCGTACGATCCGCCACGCCTGGGACGAAGTGCATGTAATATTCGGTATAGCAGTTCAGATGACTCCCACGCGAGAGAGAGGGCTTTGTGACACAGTTTCAAAACCCCTGGAGTAACGGTTTAACTCACAAGGGTTAGTTTAGCTTTGAACTGCAGAGACGTTGCCTTTGAAGCCTTGATCTTCTCATTGTCTTTCTATATAGCGAACTATAAGATTTTCTTGATCACAGCACAGCAAGCGCATTTGGTGGACTCGCCACGCCCCCTTCGATGTTCAGTGGTGCACTTGTCACAAAGAACGTCCACCTCTTCTGTTTCTTGCATTCGGCGGCCAAAGCTTCCAAATCCCACAGCTCCCCCAATGGTGTTCCCCACAGACCGAGCGCGGTGTCGTGGATACCTGAAGGATTGTCAGTGTCAGCATTTATAGGGTCATAGCATTGAGGTGTGCCGGACGGGCTGGAGTGAGACTTACGGTACGGCATCTCGGCTGGCCAGGCTTCAAAGGCCATGTTGTCCCCGACGAGGGCAGCAAAGTGGTGGTTCCACAGCCATTCGATCGAGGATGCTGTCCCCTCGACTCCGATATAGTTGTGGTTGACCTTGCAGCCTTGCACCCTCTCCTCGTCAGTGGCTTCATTGTACCACTTGATCCAGCCCGTGCGCACAAAGAGGATATCGCCGGGCAGAAATTCACTTCTCTGCCACTTCGCAATCTCGTCTAGATCCTTCTCGCAGATCTTGTGCTTGCTATCCGCCCTGTATTTGATCCCTTTGTGCTCCGCCCATGCGACGTAGTCAAGTAGGATCCCTCGACCCGTCACACCTCCTCGTTTCAGCCATTCTGTGCGTCCAGTGTCAGATTTGGGTTCAGGGCATCGTTGTGACGGACTGTCCTGTCTGTACTCACCTTGAATTCCGTTCCTGGAGTTCGGATTCGGTCCACTGATTTCCTCGTGGGTCAGTCCGTTATAGTATTGCTGAGTCTCCTGAAAAGCCCAGTGTCCTGTCTGCTATTAGTGGAAGGTCCTCCTTGGTGAATCCGATGTAAAGTGGTACTAACGCAACCCATCCCACTGGCTGCTGGTCTGAGTATTGATTGTGATTTCGTCGTCATGTCCCACCAACGCGGGCTTCAAGTCCAGAAACTTGTGTATGATGGGATTCCGATTATGTCCCGGGTTGCGGATGTTCTCGAGTGGCCAGCTAAGGAGTCTTGTCAGCGGACCGCCTATCAAATATACGTCCCAGAGAGGTGAATACTTCAGCGAGACACTCACTCCCGCCTGGATCTCTTCTTTGGCACGGAGAACCTTCTTCGGCGTCAGCAGGTTCAGCGTTCCCAGCTCGTCCTTGACGCCGTCTTTGTCGAATAAGCCCCACGCGCAACCGTGAGGCATCCCCGGGACGGGTGGGATGTCCTTGTACGAGGGCAGGTCTTCGGCTTCCAGAACCATTGTGATGTATTCTTTCCCACAGTGTGTGTGCTCTGTCTGTGTTTGACCATTCCACGAACTAAAGAGTCGAGCCCGGTTTAAATGACTAGTTCCTCAAGTCATGTGTTGCGCGTCATGGGCCAGATGGGCCGTCCCTCCGTGTTTCGGGCCTTGTGCTCCGATTGATAGACTTATTTGTCTGGAAGGGCGGAAGACCCGAGATCCTATACTGTCCCTGTAAGCGTGCGGGATAACAGCCGCTCTACATTGAACGTAGCTTGTACTTCAAACATCGTCCACCGCCTGCTATACGGAAGGCTTGTTATTTCACTCAATGACGACTTTTCAGATATGCTGCCACGTGTGCGTCGAGTCTAGTACTCTAAGACGTCCCTCGGCAGCCTGTATATGAGCCTCTAGTGAAAGTCTACGACTGACGCACTGCCAGTGACTCTTTCAACAGCGTGTCCCCAAGCTCTCTGAGTACGTTCTTCTTGATCTTCCCACTTCCTGTCAATGGATACGAGTCACCGACTTTGGGATCGCCAATCCAGAAGACATGTTTCGGCGCTTTATGCCTCCCGAGTCTCCGCCTTACCCAGCTTCTTACTTCTTCGTCATCTGGTCGTTTGTCACTCGCAGCTTGTAGAAAGGACGCCACGATCTCGCCGTACTTGTCGTCCTTCAATCCCACCACGCTGGCGTTCATGATCAACGGGTGTTCCATGAGGATCTCTTCGATTTCGAGAGGGAAAATATTCTCCCCGCCTGGTGGTCACCAATAAGTTTGTTGCCCGGGTTATGAGGAAAGATCACGTAGAGGAAAAGGGCTGGAACGTACCGCGAATGATGATGTCTTTGATCCGACCCGTGATTTTGCAGTATCCGTCTTCGTCGAACACGGCTTCGTCGCCAGTATGCATCCACAAGGTCCCGTGCTCGTCCCGTATCATGACCTCCTTCGTCTTCTCCGGGTTCTTCCAGTAGCCCTTTTGCAGCAGATAGCCGGAGATACAGAGTTCTCCTTTGCAGCCGATGGGCACAATGTTTCCCTGCCCGTCAATGATCTTTGCCGATGTATGTGGTAGGATCGTGCCCACGGTGGCTAATCTTCGTTCGAGCGTGTCGTTCCAGGATGTCATGAAGCTGGCAGGAGACGTTTCCGTCATGCCTGAAGCTAGTCAGTCGTCGTATCGGTGGGACAAGTAGCGACGGTAAGGCTTACCATAGGTGTTCGTCAGGTACTTGAGGCTCATTTTCTTTCCCAGATCTTCCATCATCTGTCTCGGTGTTGCTGAACCTGCAGCAATGCCCGTCCTCAGCCTTGAGAAGTCGTGTTGGGGTCCAATCAGCTGCATCTCCGCAGCCCACATGGCGGGTACGCCGTGAATAGCTGTACATTGCTCCTCCAGGACGGCACTCAAGACGGATTCGGCGTCAAAGCTGTCACTGGGAAACACGATAGTGCTCCCGTGGGTGATCGTAGCCAACAGTCCCAAGACGAGCCCAAAGCAGTGAAACAATGGTGGAGGGCAGCAAAGAATGTCCTTCTCGGAAAGCGCCATTCGATCCCCAATGAAGCGCGCGTTGTTGATGATATTGCTGGAAACACACGTGGTTAGAGTACATGACTCTAAAAGTAGACTGGAACTTACAAATGTGTTAGCATGGCTGCCTTCGGGTTGCCTGTAGTCCCACTGGTGAATTGGAGGTTACAGACGTCGTGAGGAGATACAGCCAGCTCTGTCGTCTGTAGGGCCGTGTCGCTTACTTCATGACCTCTGGAAATAATGTCACGTAACGTCGGAAGAAATTTGTACTTGGTTGTCTGATCGTCTCTCAACAGAAGCAATTTCTGTAAGCCAGGTATGCTTGTGGCCCCGTTCGAATCCAGGAGGGTCTCGATTGTGCTATCATAGCTTCGTGTGCCGATTCTGGCTGTAATGAATAGCACCTTGCACTCTAAACCGGCCCATTAGCACATATGTTCCTGCAGGGGGAAAAGCAATACACATACCACTGGCAGCGATTGCCCGCTTCAGCTCTTCTGGTGTATATGTCACATTGAGCACCACGAGAATCGCGCCTATTCGTCCACACGCGAAGAACAGCTCCACATACTCGGCGCAGTTTCCTGCAAACACTCCCACGCAGTCTCCATGTCGGATTCCAAGAGAAAGCAGGCCTCGCGCAATCTCTTGGCTCCGCGCGCGAAGAGACGAGAAGGAGTGGCGAACGTTTTGAGCCCGAGACACCAAAGAGGTTCTGGAGGCAAGTCTCTGCGCCTGCAAGTCCAGCAATGTCCCGAGATGGAGGCTTAGTAGCTCTGGCTCCTTTGGGCCATGAAGAATCGATAGCCGCGTCTTCTGGTCGAGGTGGCGGAGAGTCTGATGTAGACGCTCAATGGCCATAATGGCAGTGAGCTACTGATGCTCCGGAGCAGAGAGGTGTAGCTGGGCTCCTACAGTCTCCTGTCGCGACCCAGTGCGTATTTACATGGACGTGTCGGAATCTTCTGTGTCAGAGATCGGTGGACACGGAACCAGCCCGTGACCAGGCTGGGGAGACCGGAGATGCGGTGCAGGAACCCTGACTAACTGCGAAGTGGTCCAAAGGGCTTGATCTAGGTCTCCTACAAGTATTCACATTGTCACAAAAGTGGCAGTCGCCCCATCGTAGCGTCTTCTGGCCTATCGAAGCCACCATGGGAGCACAGAATATTCCCTGATTAGCCACACATCTGTTCAGACTCACGTCCTCAGTGACCATCGTTCAGACTCTGTCCATTATTTTGGTCTATATACTGTCATTTTTCTCTTAGCAGCCATACTTGTTGCACATCTTGGGCTCAGAACGGCTACTTATCAGAAAAGATAGTGCTCAATGATGACTTTTTTTTTCACTCTAGGTGTCTCTTTTGCATACAAGAAACTGAGGCTCAAACCCAGATCACAGTATCGAAATGATTGAATTTCAAGCCTTTTCGGTGTCGTAACCCTGTCCTCAATACGGAACCCGATCTTTGAGCGATGCAGTTCAGTGTATCACACGTTCGAGCTCCGGTTAGCACGATCAAAATGAGCCTGCCACGGGATGAAGCTTCCAGTACCCGAATTGGAAAGTGGAGGCCACAACTCGACTCCTCATTGGTTTGTTTCGTTGATGCTGTTGTGCATACAAGTAGACACAAACACCTGCCACCAGCTACAAGAAGGAGTACGGTCCTGCTCCGTGGCAGGGCAGTTGAGCATCTCGACCATCATGTCTGAGGCTGGCCGGATCCACGTCACTGAGCTGGGTTCATTCCCTCGAGCCAGAGAGACACGCCAGGCTTGACTGCCCAGTCGGGTCGGCAATATGTACCCGAGATTTGTGGACACGGATCCCCACCGCATCTTCCGCCCTGGAACCTGGCCACTTTGCCTGACGCCGGCCAACGCCGAGAGGACGGATCTTTGGTCTCGCGCTCGGTATTTTGTGAAGCATGGTGGGAAAAGGTTGAATCGGCCGGACAGGGTCAACCTCTCCATCTTCCTTGATCTCGGAGTGCTACAGCTTGAAAGACCTTGATCGAATGGTAAGCCTACGAGTATATAGTATTGAGGTTTGGCAATTTACACCAGCCTTTCACTCCACGAGATTTACATTCAAGTCGCAGGGATAACTATGCATGTATTGAGTCCCTAGTGACTTTCTTCCAGGCACGCTCATAGTAGACTGGTTGACTAGCTACGCTTTTCACTCGATTATGCCCGACCCATTGCTCAACTCTGGAAGGGATTTCCTTGGCTATCACTGTGGCAAATATTAGGCCACGCGACGTTCTTGTTCCTTGTAGTTCCAGAGTCTTTGACGCTTGCCCCGCCCACCACAAATGACTTTTCGCACCATCGGGGTTGACTTTTCTTAGGCGCAAAAGTAGGCTCGGAGAGACCCTCCTCACACCGAAGAAGAAATGGTTGGCGGCTCCGGGGCAACATGTGGGGGATTTGAAAGCGTGGCATCCCATCTCACACCTACGCTCGCTTGCTACCGTAGGCATAGCCATCGCACCACTTTGACAATCCGGAGCATGTTCTCTCCTCTTAAAAATCTAACCCTTCAATTTGAGCCACGATTACAACGCAAGCTGTCATAGGGAACCTTTTCAGTGACAGAATGGCAGAGGAGGCCAGGGAGGCTGAGATTGAACACCCGCGCGGAATCAAAAGAGTAAGACAGGCATGTGCGAACTGCAGGTAGGCATGAAATCACCTCCCGCCCACGGAGTGAGGTTTTTTTTCCCTTCTTCTCCTCTCTCTAAGTGACCGAACCAGGCGCAAGAAAGTCCGGTGCTCGGGTGAAAGACCCTCATGCTCTTTCTGCGCACGACTTGGGCAGGACTGTCACTATCTACGCGAGAGTACGCTGGATGGAAGGGATCCGATGTCCCACGGAGGCGGATCCTCCAGCCGATTAGAAGTATGAGAATGCTCCGCACGAAGGTCTCTGCCATCAAGACAGTATTGACTGATTCATCGAGGAACAGGAAGATCTTATCGCTCGAGTCGCGTCTCTGGAAACGAAGCTGGCTCAGCTGAGTCAATTGAATGCGTATGTGCTTCTTCTGTTTTGCTCTTTTTCTCCCGGGCGAAGCTGATTTTTCAGACTTATCCCTGCTTTGACCAGCGCGTCAGGGCAATCGAAATTGCTTGACGGAAGCTCGGTGGCAGCATTAAACGATACAGCGACTTGGAGTGACAGATCGTTACATTCACCCTCTGTGGGCAGCACTAGCCCTCAGTCCGTTCAGCGGCGGTATGATGGCGTCTTTGATCCCCGTTCATGTATAAGTAAACTGATTCGTCTGCGAAAGCTCCTTCCAAGAGTTGCCACCAATATCTGTCCTCGAAAACGCTTGCAATACCTTCTTCCAGTACTGCCACAATCAACCATACACATTTTTCCACGAAGGACACTTCCGAGAACGATTGCAACAAGGAACGTGGCCTAACTACTTACTCTTTGCATTCTTAGCATCTGCTCTGCGTTACTCAACAGACCCATGGTTTGAGGGGAAGCATAGTGATGCCCTAGAAGAATATGCGGCGGCTTCGTGGAGGCTGATTGTCGGTTGCGGCTGTGCTGTCGAAGAGGGCGCTGACACGGCGGTCGTGCAAGCCATCTCACTTCTAGCCGTCATCGATTCTGCCGGTAAGGTTGTGTCGAATCCCCGAAGTTAGTTCAATTACTAAGAATTTGATAGCTGGGAGAAGACGGGCGGCATGGGTCAAGATCGGTTTGGCGGTTCGAATCAGTCAAGACCTCCACCTGATGATGGACCCAGCTACCAGTCTGCCGGAGACGGAACGAGAGGAGCGCCGACGATTGTTTTGGTCGATTTACCTTCTGGACCGATTTGTTTCGTGCTCAAAACAGCGGCCTCCGGCCATCCTAGACTCGGACTGTCAAGTACAACTCCCTTGTGACGAGCTCGATTTCCGTCAAGGCATCGCGCAGAAGACCGAGACGCTCACAAATCTGGGCACGGGGGCTAGCAGTGGTCATCCGGCGTATAGACCAGGACAGTTTGCACTCCTTGTGCTCATGGCTTGCGTCCTGAGTCGATGTGCGAGGTACATGCTTGACAACCGCGATTTTGCAGAGGAGCGAGCTCCGTTCAATCCACAATCGGACTATGTGACCATATCGTCGATTCTTCTCTACTACGAATCATTCATCGATTCTGGCAGGGCGGTGGAAGAGATCGTCCGACTCGGTATGCTCAAACAAGACGGCGTGGTTGACCAGCAGATGGTCGGACATATGATCCTGGCACGGGTCCTATTTCACCTGTGCCACTGCTTACTGAATCATCCATTTCTCCTCCGGCAGCGGGTGAATGCGACACAAGAAAGGACGCCGACAACTTGGTTGGCGAGGTCGCTGGAGGTGGGACTCGAGCATGCCGGGCGCTTGACGAGAGTCTTTCGGGACGCAAAGGACACGGGCTGTACCGTGGCAACCTCATTCTACGGATATTGCCTGCTTGTGGCGGGCACGATTCACGCTCTATACACGCACTCGCAGGATCCGGAGCTGCAGCAAGAATCCATGGGCTATTTGATCTCCGACATTGCCTATCTGGACGATATTGCACGATACTGGACGAACACGAAACTGATCGTAAGTCCCTCTTTATCCTGCCTTTTATGCGCTCCCACTCACACAAACCTATCCAGGCATCCGGACTCAGAACGTTCTGGGGCCACAGCGCCAGGTTCAGCAGCCTTCTGGACCCCCAACCTTCGCCGTCGACGTTCAGTGTCCTAGATCTCGAGATCCTGTGGACGTCGGTCGACTACGGAATCATGTCCGACCCCGACAAGTCCCTGTCGCAGAGCGTCTGCGCCTCGGACGCGTCGCCGCTCGGATGGGGCATGTCGCCGTGGAAAGACGACAACGACCTCGTCGACCACATCTCGGACGCCGACGACAACCCGTTCCTGCACAGTTTGGCCATCGTGAACACCCCGCTTCCCCACGCCACTGGGACCCGGACGCCCGGACAACATCGCATGTCGCTCAGCAGTATCCAGCCGTTTCTGCAGCTCAACTCGGTCTTTGGGACACCCAATTTTGGATTGGACTCCCCCAAAGTAAGTCAACCTGCGATAAATATTGAAACCGACACCGCATTGGCCTTTGGGCCGACGCGGGCACGGTCTTTATCGTGAGAGTGGTCGGGGAGGTTGGTGGCACCGGACTTATCCACTTTGCTGGGGTTGAAGATCTGGATGCCGGTGTATCTGTATTTCGCATGGGGAGTGATCCATTCAACAGAACATTTTGTGATGGGAGTTTACATCTCTAAGGAATGGGTTTCTGTAATGGAAACTTGTCTCTATTAGCCAGACAGGACCATTTGCTTCACCCTGTCCGAGGATAGCTGCTACAGTATCGTCTCTACAAATTCACGGTTGAGGACAACAGCAATAATCCCAAAGGGTTAATATGGTTCGCAATTGCTTTTGAATGGACAAGTAACTTCTCGCGAGGAATTTTAATGCGAGAAGATCTCCCTGACCTTGAGCTTCCGTGCCGCAATCCTCTTTTCCTCGTCCTCGCTCAACACAAACGAGTAGAATTTCTTCTCCAGCCCCTCGCTCGTGATGTAGGGACTCAGGTCCCCATCTTCCCTCATTTGATTCTTGGTGAAGCCCAGGCCCATGAATGCCCACATGTTCTGCTTGTTTTGGTACTTGATCTCATAGTCTTCGAAGCGCGGAGAGCTCGTCATCTCGCAATAGTGCAGGGAGCTGCCGGGCCAGACCGAGTTGACCCTCCCGGTCTCGTTGTTCTTGTACCAACTGCGACAGGTGGTCTCGGCCCAGCATGTCCCTGAGATCCACGCCTGTGCATGCTCGTTGAAGGCATCGGTGACATCCTGCCTCGGGGTGAGGGAGTGGAGATGGTCCCTCTGCATCTTCTGGATGACCTGCACGATGTACTGTCCCACGGACTGGAGAGGTCCCATGACTGATCCGTTCGACACGGGAAACGTCGGGCCCTGGAACACAAAGTAGTTGGGCATGTCAGGCACAGCCAGGCCGAGATAGCCCTCTGGAATGGTCTTCCATTTCTCCTGGAGCGAGACGCCGTTGCGGCCGATAACGGGGTACTTGGGCTTGTAGCTGACATCAAATCCAGTGGCGCAGACTATGGTATCGACCTCGACTTCCGTGCCGTTGGCCCCAATCACGCTGGTTGGTGTGACCTTTGTAACGGCGCAGCGATGCAACGTCACGTTGGGCTCTTGGATTGCCTTCATGTAGGGATTGCCGGGCGTAAGACGTCGACAGCCCGGTGAGAAGCTTGGGATCAGCTGTTCGTAGATGTCGTCCCGATGGATGTGTTCCCGCATCCGTTTCGTGAAGTAGTCTCGGACGATTTTGGCCTCTGCGCTCGATGTCATCATGGCTTTGAGGCCCATGGCAGTGTTGAGCTTGCCCTCGATGGTCTTTGCTTGATTGATGAGCGCGGCGTTGTCGTGTTTGAATCTCTCTCTTTCGTCGGCCGTATCTGTCAATGGGGTCAGCACGCGATTCAACCTCGAGGTATTTGATCTTCAATGAAAAGGGGTGACTGACAATCGAAATTGTCCCCCGAGTGATCAGCAATCTCAGCAAACCACACGGGTGTCCTGACGAAGACGTGCATAGACTTCACATGTGGCTGTAGTGTTGGCACCACCTGTATACTCGTAGCGCCAGATCCGATCACCGCTACTCGGTCTTGCTTCCACTGGGATGCACCATACTCATCAGGCCATCTGGCGGTATGCAGTAACCTGCCCTTGAAGTCCTTCAGGCCTTGGACTTCCTCGGGCAACTTCCACGAGTTCAGTAGGCCATTGGCCGAGACCAATATGTCACAGGTCTCTTCAATCGTTTCGTCTGTGTCGTAGTCGTGAATCGTCACATGCCATTTACCCTCATCTTCGTTCCACTTTGCCGCCCGGATAGCATGGTTGAACTTCATGTACTGGCGCAGCCCAAAGCACTCGACTACCCGGGTCAGGTATCGAAAGATGTCATCTGAAGCACTCAGGTATTTTGGCCAATCGGCGTTGAGCGCAAACGCATATGTGTATGCATGGGATGGTACATCGCAGGCACAGCCAGGGTACCGGTTCTGGAAAGCCCAGTGGTTAGCAACACGGTTGATGTATTCCTGAGTGATAGTCAACGAATCTTCTTGGTTACCTCAAGCCAAGTTCCTCCTATATCACCATTTTTCTCGTACACGACATGCTCAACATTCTCGCAATGCTTTTGTAACAGATATGCCATGAGGATGCCGCTGACTCCGGCACCAATGGTAAGCACCTTAACCTTTCGGTCCCCCGGATCGTCGAGCACAAAGTCCGGGACCGTGTAGCCATCTTTGGTGTGGCCAAGTCGATACCCATATTTTCCTCCCGGGCCATTCGGGTCAACAACCCCATTCACCGCACCATTGCCGTTGACATCTGCCCCGGCTTTGTCCACATCAAAAACCATGGCTGTGATAAGAAGCGAGAACCGTGTCGATGGTATCGTGTCGTTGCACAAGCGAGGCTTGTCTTCCTTTAACTATAGATCAATGTGGGATATGCATCTGCAGGCGGCAGTGCCAAAAGGCATCTTAGTCAGGAAGAGCCGGTCCATCGGAGTCAGAACGGGAGGGCCCTCGAATGATATGGACAAGGTTTTTGTCCAATGCGGGAAATTATACATTTTCTGACATGAACATGTCGTCAAAGCCTTTGCGAGAGTTCAAGAAAAAGACAAGTCGGGCACTCCTGACGCTAGGTTTGGGGTCCATGTAAGTTCAATTTGTGGCACGTCTTGATACGCTATGAAATCACCATGACGGGGAAGAAGTCAATGTCCGAGCCTGGTCTATTCAAGTGTCTTATAAGAGCGTCACACAGGCTCTCAAGCTGCAGCACCCCCGTCTACCGGCACGATTGCTCCCGTGATAAATGACGCTTCATCGCTCAGCAGGAAGGCGATCAGGTTGGCGACTTCCTGGGCCTGCCCTTTCCTCTGCAGCGGTAGGCTGGAGTATGTGTTTGTCGTCTGATTTGATGTTGAAGAAGGTGCTCCCGCGAGCAAGCTGTCAAGCATCGGCGTTTCAATGGGACCACTAGGAAGGAGAAAGTGTCAATATCGTGTCTCTTGCACTTTGGAGAAATCAAGACTCACGGAGCAATGGCGTTGACCCTGATTCCCTGGGGGCCCATTTCTTTGGCAACCGTCTTCGTCAGTCCCACCACTCCATGCTTGGAGCAAACATACGCCCCCAAGCCTGGTCTCCCCGAGATCCCTGACAGGGAGGATGCGTTGACGATGCTCGCTCCCGGCTTCATGACCCGAATTTGCGCTCGCACGCAATACATCAAGCCACTTAGATTGATGGCGATCATCTTGTCCCAGGTCTCATTCTTCAGGTCGGCAATGTTGGTGAATCCCAGTTCGATGCCGGCGATGTTTGCAGAGGCGTCGAGACCGCCAAAATGCTCCACGGTCGAGGCGATCCATTTGTCCACCGCGTCGCTAGATGATACATCGAGCACGGTGCCGACAACCTCAACCCCCTGACTTTGCAGCTCACTGACCACCTTGTTCAAGGCATCCTTCTGGATATCAGCCAATGCGAGTTTGGCTCCTCTCTCGGCGAGCAGTTTTGTGAGGGCTAATGCAATGCCAGAGGCGGCACCCGTAACGGAGACTACTTTTCCTTTTAAAGACATGTTGCTGTATTTACTAGAATTGCATAAAGTCGTAGAGCTGTGGTTAGGGAGGCTTTTCTACTCCAGCCAGTATACAGCAAGATTATGTATCCGTTATCTGGTCGGGAAATTGTTGGGCGAGGGAAGCCAGACCCGGCTAGCAACCTTCCTACCACGAACAGGAGACGGATAGTGACGATCGATCCGAACGGCATGCATCCGCTCACGTGCACTGTGGAATAGGTCCAGCAAGATCCTTTCAGCAACAATAAAATCATGTCGGGAATGGGGCTCAACCGAGGTGAGGCCCTTTAAGCTAACGACTTGAGGGGGCCTCAATCGTACCCGTGTTTTTGAACGAGGTGGACCACGAGAGACGTACACTAATGACAAAATTTCGTCAAGGGGTTGAGGTGTTTATAATGGTGGAAAGGACGAAGATAGCAACGGATATCTTAATGCTTGTGTACGGTACATTCGTCCCAGTTGTAAAAGGCGAGTGCCGCTGGCGAAAAAACGATAACATGCTTTATTGAGATGTACACAAGCGCCATGTATAATCAACCGTCCATGATACAGCAAGCCTTTTACATCCTCGCCAGTGACGCAAAGCTCTTGCTCCCCCGGACCTCCTCCAGCTTGACAACGTCCAAACACATCCCCAGCACATCCCTCGTGTCTCTGGGATCAATGACCCCGTCGTCCAACACCACGCCACTCGTCGTGTAGCACTCACTGTCGCGCTGGACGTCGTTTCGGAAGCGGTCGACCTCTTTCCGGATCTTGGCCATGTCGACTTTCCCTTTCCTCTTCGCGCTGGACACTTGGACGGTTTCCATCACTCCAGAAAGCTGGTCGGGCCCCATCACGCTGCACCGCCCCGTTGGCCAGGTGAAGATGAACCGCGGTCGATATGCGCGGCCGCACATGGCGTAGTTACCCGCGCCGTAGGAGGCGCCTAGGATGACAGAGATGTGCGGGACGGTCGAGCAGCTGACGGCCGAGACGAGCTGGGCGCCTTTCTTGATGATGCCGGCATGTTCGGCTTTGGTGCCGACCATGAAGCCGGTGACGTTGTGGAGGAAGATGATGGGTAGATTCCTGAGAGAGCATAGGCGTGAGATGAAAAGCTTCTGGAGCAATAGCGGGACAAGGCGGGTAGGGCCTGGACTTACTGTTGGTTACATAGGCGGATGAACTGGGCGGCTTTTGACGCCTCGTCGGGATTGATGATTGGTGTTTGATTGGCTATGATACCTGCAGTGTGTCCTGTGCATCCAATACTCAGTACCTCATATGTGTAGGGCTTCTTTGGAGTGACTCGAACTTCAAAGAGGACATTCATGTCTTACCTGTAATACTTGCCCATGCAGTGATGATGTTCTTCCCGTAGGTGGGCTTGAAGTTAGATAGCCGGGAGTCGTCCACGATCCGCAGTAGTACTTCAGACATATCGAACGGCTTGCGGATGTCTGGGTTCACAATCGAGAAAATGTCGTCTGCTGAATATCGTGGCGGGAGGACCGGATTTTGAGCCAGTGATAAGGATCTGGGCCGCCTGTCGAGGGTGCCGACCCATTCCCTTGCTTTCTGGATGGCATCGAACCTGGAGATCGATCCCATCAGCATCTGAACACGACGGGCAAACTTCTGTTGTTCGTTGCACATCTTACTCGTCAGAGGCAATTTGGTCCGCGAGCCCAGTGACGGAACCGTGAACCCTTGCGCCGCCTAGATCTTCGGCGTCCACCGTCTCCCCCGTCGCCATCTTGACCAGAGGAGGTCCACCAAGGAACACTTGGGCTTGATCTTCGACGAAGATCGTATAGTCGGAGAGGGCTGGATGATAGGCTCCACCAGCGGTCGAAGAGCCAAATACAATTGCACACGACGGGCGCCCACGTTGACTTCGCAGAGACAGGTCACGAAACAACTCCCCTCCTTTGTGGAAGACACGGAACTGTTGCGGCAAGAATACACCGGCCTGTGGCACTTGAGTGTCAGCGTGGTCAGTCATAAAGGGCCACTTTGAAGCTCACCGATTGCACGAGCGATATCAGTGGCAGGTCATTTTCCAGCCCGATCTCCATGATACGGCTTTGCTTAACAACTGGGCAGGTAGACTCAGCCGATGATGCCCCCTTTCCTTCTCCATGGCGCGGGTTCCTCGCTCACCTGTAATCTCGTTCCAAGCACCACCACTCTGGGTCGGAATGTGTGACATTATCAAACATAGTGAGCCACTGCGAGGTTGAATCAGTAATTGAGAGTCGCTTAAGACCGAGTGACTTCGAACTTGACGCTGCCAATCCCTGCTATCAGGTTTGCGCAAGGGTTGGAAGTCTCGACACCAACCCCTGCAAAGCTCCCCAGCTCCAAAAACGGCGACTCCGGATCAAGCAGCAGCGCGATTCTGTCACGAGCTACGCAGATAGCGCGTTAGCGGAAGACAACTGGCCACCTAACGTATTGGTAGGCAAGGTGGAAGGGGAATAATGAAAGGTGTGCTAACACAGTAATTGTCCGCGGTCATTGTGTCTGCGGACGTTCTCATCGTCGCCTTCCCGGCTGACTTTCTCCAATATCGTTTCGAATCTCTCTAGAACGGGTTTCCAGTTTTCGGCATTTTGCTGGTACTGTGCAGCATTCAGGTCCAGCTTCGAGCGAATGACCGGGAACAGGGTCGTTTGCTGCGACATCTTGTTGTGTTGTGAGAGAACAGGGGATAGATTGTCGCTGATTGTACTTTCTGAGGGAAGATGCAAGTCCTAACCACGTACGTTACGGACCTCGGTTAAAAGATGCTGGATCAGGACAGTTGGGCGGGTCTGTTCTGGGGCTCTCAATGGCTCGTCGCGGGCGGGGAGCCGTGCCCACCTTGGAATCCCAAACCCAACGCGAATGGGGCAGAATGCATCAAACCGATGTGAAGGTAGTGGGCCTGGGATTTCTACATCGCAGCTTATTCCAATTAACTAGGGGTAACAACATAGCTTCTGCACGCTCAAACATAATCACCACCTCTAGATCAGAACCGACAAACATTTTCTGTTGAAGGTCCCCAATCTGAGAGCTCGGCTAGCTAATGCCGCCAATCCAAGCTCGTGTGAAACACCGTAATACGAGGTAGACCAGACAGTGGCCAAAATAATCTTCCATCTTCCAGAATTTTCACAGACTTGAATGCCAAATTTATGAAATTCACATTCTTCTCCTCCTGTAAACCTCTTGAGACGGATGGAGTGACTTGTCGATCACGTGCCCGACCCTCCTCTATGCCAAGACGGCCGTAAATAGCCGGGTGACTGGCCAATAGGAGTTGGCTTTTCCACTACGGAATACAGCCTCCTGAATGCCTAGCCTTGTACCACGACGTCCGATATTCGAGGCAGAAGCCACGACAACAAGGGTTGGCTAGCCACGATGGGAGAGCCCGAAGGATTGTGCTCTACTCTTACTGACCTCTGGACATGAAGTAACTCCTTTTTAACACCCGCCGCGCCAATGTCACTGGATGATTGATCCTGAGAAGTCTTGAATTCCTATTGAACCAGCTATCTCGCAGCGGTCTCATCTAACATCTCTAGAGCTCTGATTTGTCTAATGCCGAGAGTGACTCATCGATCGCCTGGCTAAAAGACTGCCAGGGCATTGGGCGGAGAAGCCACACCCCCCTTCACGTTCAACGGGGCACTCGTGACGAAAAAGGTCCAGCGCTTCAGACTCTGACATTTCTGTGCAAGAGCTTCAAGGTCCCACATCTCTCCAATCGGCATCCCCCACCATACTAGCAAGTAGTCATGTAGAGCTGGAGTCGGTCGTCAGTGGGTAGCCCTTTGAGACAAACAGCTTGTGTGCTCACCATATGTCTTTGCAAACGGCTGCGTCTCAAAGGCGACTGCGTCCCCAGCTACGGCCGAGAAGTGGTTATCCCACAGCCAACGCACCATGTCCTCTGAAGCTTCAGTGCCGATTGTATTTGAGGATCGCATGAGAGCGTTTCGTTCTTCGTCGTTAGAGCACTTGTTGTAGGCCTGTATCAAACCGGTCCGTAGTATCAAGATGTCCCCGTGCTTCAGTTGGACATTTTCTTCCACTAGAATCTGCTTTATCACCTCGAGCGATATCACCTGCGATGTTGCCGGTTTTATTTCGACTCCATTTCTTTCCGCCCACGACGCAAAGTCGACAAGCACTCCCCGCCCGATAACACCTCCGCGTTCGCTCCAAGCTTTCCTTGTCAGCAGATAAATAGACCACGACAAGGTGTACACTTACAATGGATACTAAGTTCATCTGTTCCTATGATGTCATCGTGAAGGATTCCGTTGTAATGTTGTTTCGTCGTCGCATGGCCCCAATGCCCTGAGTCTGTCAAGATTTGTGATTCAACTGGTGGAGGGATTGTAACTGACTAAAGCCATCCCACTGCGAACTTGACTGGGTGTTGAAATGGACAATGTCATCGAAGCAGCAAATTGGCATGTTATGCTCTTTGCCAACATCTTTGATTGAATGGTGGAATTTCTCGCGATAAAAGGGCGAAGGTGGGTTTTCTAGTCCCCAACTAGCAGCATAGGAATGAGAATCAGTGCATGACCGATTTTCGCATACCCATTATCACTGTCGACCTACTTCAAAGTAACGCTCTCGCCTGTTCGGATCTCTTTGGACGCCTCCAGTACGACGCTCGGCGTAAGGATGTTCAGTGTCCCAACTTGATCCTTCACGCCGTCCTTATCGAAGATACCCTAGTACCAATTCAGAGTCGAAGATCGCCAGCCAAGATTGCATGTACGAACCCATGCACAGCCCTTTGGAGTGCCCGGAACAGGGGGAAGTTGGTCAAAGGAAGGGAGAGCTCCAAGAGGCATGGTGAAGGCACTGCTGGCTTGCTTGATGTTTGATTGCTAAAGTGAGTATCGAGCCCTTGATCACTCTGTACCGCACAGATACACTACATCTAAGCACTGTGGTACATTATACGTGCGGGTCACCTAGTTACAAACTGACCATTGAAACGCCTGCGGAAAAGACATTACCGGCCGGACAGGGGTGCCTGGCCGGTGAATGTCAACCGGGAGCGTCTCCAATCAGCCAATGGTCATGACACCCTCGTATAATTCTAGACAAATCAACATCTTGGATGTTTAGGTAAGACTGACCGGTAATGAATCGGCTGCTGGAAGATTGAAGCCGAGGATAACTGCCTCCTCAAGTTGGATAAATATGAAAGGGATGATTGAGACGGCGAGCCTCATCTGATGAAACAATAGGTAATTCCATCACACACGCTTGTCTTAGACCATCAAAATCATTGTCGTTTTGGAATATTTGTTCTGGCGCAACGTCCCACGGAAATGGCTGCCCAAAGCAAGATCAATGTCCAACCCCTCCATCCAACCTTCGCTGCCGAGGTCTCCGGAATCGACTTCAGCAAGCCAGTACCCCCGGAGGTGATCTCCCAAGTTCAGGATGCTATCGACAAGTACGGTGTGCTTGTCTTTCGCAACGCAAATCTAGACGACGATGCCCACGTGGCATTCGCACAGTCATTCGGGGAGCTCGAGCCCACCCCAGCTTCCAGCCTGGGCGTCAAAACCCGTCTTCCCAGTCCGTATATCGGGGACCTCTCCAACCTCGACCACGGTAACAATTTGAAGTTGTTCGAGGATAAGATGTCTCGTCTCTTCGCCAAGGGGAACGAGCTATGGCACGCCGACATGCAATACCATCCCCGACGATGCAAATACTCGACCTTGCGCGCCGTGAAGCTCCCTCCCAAGGGAACCGGCGGTGAAACGCTCTACGCCGACTCCCGAGCAGCCTACGACGATCTCAGCCCGGAAATGAAGGACAAGATTGAGAATCTCGTCGCTTATTGCTCCCTTCTTCACAATCGACGAGTGGCGGCTCCGGAGCTGTACAAGGGCGTCGACGTCTGGGACTGGCCTAACGCCAAGTACAAGCTGGTATACCCCCACGAGGGAACAGGACGGAAGAATCTCTACGTCACTAGTTATATGCACAAGATAGAGGGTATGTCACAGGAGGAGAGCGACAAGTTGCTTGACGAATTGAGAGCACATGCGACCCAAGAAAAGTATGTGCACACAGTGTTTTGGGAAAACGATGGCGATATGGTCATGTGGGATAACACCGCAGTGCTGCACCGGGCAACCGATGGCTCGGGGTACATTGGGAAATACGTTCGAGATGTCCGTCGCACCAGCTGCTTCGACAGTGGAAAGTATGCGTGGGGCGAGAATGATCCCAACAACCCCTGGATCATCAAGCTGCCCAAGGACCCCCTCGGGGCTTCAGTGGCGTGAGTGGATTGACACTGTAACTATCGTACGAATAATTGAACATCTTTCACTTTGAACGTTTTTCCAAAAAATGATGTCGTCTTGATTTGTATGAGGAGGCCGACAATGGACAGGATACCGTGGATGATGGACGTACAGTCAAAGACATCTGGACTTGTATATGGTCTAGCTCGGATACATCGTGATGCCGTGGGTGGCCAGTTGACCAGTCCGCCATGCGACCTACTCAGCCATCCCCCTTACGGGCATCAAAAGAGAAGACCTACTTCCAGATTGCCGCCAACATCGTATTCTGTGCCTCCTGTCCAAATGCTCCCCCACGCAGCGTCGGCTTCCAGTCTTACCGAAAGGGGACGGGTACCCCAGACTCTCCCGGCCGTGATTCGGCTAAGCCAATGCTTGTCAGGCACGTTGGCGTTTGCCTTATCGAAAGTCCTCGTTTAGGGATCTAGACCTGCACGTCCACGCGGAGCTCCACGGGGAAATTTGACGCTACCGGGAAATAGAACCGAGCTCCCGAGTCCTTGTGGTATACAAATTAGAAGTAACAAATACATGAGGCTGTCCACCCCGACCCCGGATTTTCAGAGGAACGTGGCCTTGTTTTAGTTTTTCTTCCCTCCAGTATCACTGCAGTCATGGCTAGTGACACCGCTGCGAACACGATGAACGAAAAGGTCGACGACGTGAGGGTCGAGGAGGCATCGTCTTCTCCGAATGAGCTCTCCGTCTCAGGTCCTCATCCACACCATGTAGAGCATGCGCCGGCCGAGTATATCAATGGCAAACCATACTGGCAGACAAGCCTCTTTCTGGGTTCCTTCTGGGCCATCGGGCTCGGTGTCCTTGCCTGTTATGCTGGCTTTGCCATGCCTGCAAACACCCTCCCGCTGATCAACGAAGATATTGGTGAGAACTCTCCGACCCACCTTGTTTACTTTGGCCTCTTCACTAACGCACCTCAAAGGTCCCAGCGCTGATATCAACTGGGTCTCCCTCTGCTGGACATTAACCGTTGCTATTGGCTATACCCTCGTTGGAAGACTCAGCGATATCTTTGGGAGGAGGTACTTCTTTATTGGAGGTGCCGCCCTGGGTTTGATTGGAAGTATCGTGGCCGCCACGGCGAAGACGGTGAACCAATTAATCGGCGCGACCGTCTTGATCGGATTGGCAGCCTCGTCTCAGATCTCCTTCACCTATGTGACGGGCGAGCTCGTCCCGGTCAGACATCGCTTTATCGTCAATGGTTTGGTCAACGCCGTCAACATGCCAATTGGTGTCTTCGGCCCTGTGATCGCCCGTGCATTTATACTCCATACTTCAGCGGGCTGGAGATGGAACTATTATCTCACCATCATCTTGAGTGAGTACTAACACTCCCTTTTACCAAGTTCCCCCAACTGACGGAGAGTCTAGACGCGCTGTCCCTCATTCTATGGGCTCTATTCTACTATCCCCCTGATTTCGCCCATCTCCACCGTGTCCGTTCTCGCTGGCAAGAGATCAAGAGTATCGACTATGTCGGCGTCGTTCTCTTCTCGGGAGGATTGCTGCTGTTCTTGATGGGTTTGTCGTGGGGAGGAGGACAATATCCATGGAAATCCGCACATGTCATCGCCACGATAGTCGTTGGATTCTTGACCCTGGTGGCCTTTGTCTTATACGGTACTCATTATCCTCCACTGCAAGGATCGAACCCTACTGACCACGAGCAGAAATGTACTCTGGAGTCTACCGGCCCCTGGTGCCGATGCATATCTTCAGGGACTTCCAGTACGATATGATCGTCGTCTTGACGACAGTTGGCGGCATGATTTATTATTCCATGACTGGTATGACTGCCCCAAAGATCTCGTCTAGCTCGGAGGCTGACTTCAAATAGTGATTTACCCCGTCAGTCTCGGCGTCTTCTTTTCGAGTGACCCGATGACGGTTGGCTGGCTTTCCTGCGCCGTGGGCGGCGGGACACTGGCCGGACAAGTCATTGGCGGCCTGCTCGCGATGCGTATCGGCTACATCAAGTACCAGATGATCTTTACGACACTATTTATGGCAGCGTTTATCGGTGGATTGGCGGCGCAGACGAAAGATACCCAAGCGTGAGTTTCACCCGTGGCCTGCTGAAACGTACACAGATACTGACTCCATCCCAGCCTATCGAGTGCCTTTGCAACTCTCGGATCCTTTGGTGTCGGATACATCGAGATCCTCGCGGCCACGGCGGCAACATTCGTGATCAAGGACCAGAAACAGATGGGCACGCCCAACGGCATCTTTGGCAGCATCCGGAGTGCGGGTGGCGTCCTCGCAACAACCATATACCTGACGATCCTGACAAACCGCATGGCGACCAACACGACGAACATCGTTGTTCCTGCGGTCCTCGAGGCCGGACTCCCACAATCGTCTCTCGAGCAGTTCTTGACAGCGCTGAACAGCGGGATTGCTGCAGCAATTGCCGCCGTGCCGGGGGTCACCGAGAGGATCATCGTCGCCGGCTCAAGCGCATTGCTCGAGTCATATACGGACGCGTTTCAAAAGGTGTTCCTGGCCAGCATCGCATTTGGCGTGCTCTCGGTGATGGCCGCGGTAGCGATCAGGCCGTTCACCAAAGAGGAGCTCGCAGGGACCATTATCTTTCATTTGGGCGAGAACAAAACGCATCCACCGGCGGCTGGGGTCGTGGAGTCTCAGGAGGATGAGAATGAGGCGCCTCTTGATTAAAGAGGGAGGCTTCCACCGGGCAGCCAATTGGACCTTAGAGAGCTTAGCCTTGAGATTAGATCCAGTTGAACGTTGGCCGTCAGCCTATAGTCTTGTTTGCTTCAATCAGGATCTTTCAGAAGGAAGATCCCCGCCGCATGCTCAGCGACTGGCGATACGTTACCTACTTCAAAAGTACAAGTCTGAGAGTATGCTGTGGGAGATCGAAGGTGACCCTAATTACTACAGTTGAAAGCTTTCTAGAAAGAGATCTCTTCACATGTGCGTATCGGCCATAGACTTGCTGATCTGTTTCGTTAAGCGCCACCTTGACTTCTATTTCCAGTAAAGAATCGTGAATGCATGAAGACACGTAGAGATTTCTTGCCAATGCTTCGGAGTTCAAGGCCAAGCGCTGCCCTGCTCCAATTGCGATCCAATTGCGACATGTGGAAGTCATCCTACAACTGCAGCCGGGATATCGAACCAAACGATGATCCTTGTCGGTGCGAGATACGGTCTGCAGACCTGAGCTCGATACCCTAGAGGACATGGACAGGGATTCGGTACCACGTATTTCTCTCCTAGACAGTTATGCCTCTTCCCGCACACATGTTTGATGCTACGGATTTTGTTTACCGTCCTTTTCCGGCGCCGCATCAGGACTCCACTACGGAGAAATGGGGGGTATCGATGTAGACGGCATCCACCACCCCTTTGTCATGGATTCTTCTATGGCCACCTTGGGCGTTCTGTATGCTGGAGCCACATAGACACTTTCAACATCCAGGCACAAAGACCGCAGCAGGCCCAGTATGACGGCGTTCAACTGGGCATACGTTCGTGGCGCACCTATCAAGTTTACCAGGATATGTGCCTTGTACAGCCTCAACGCCGTCTTGCTCACTCTTCGTCGCCTAGTATCGCCGGCTTCATCTCTTCCCACAAACTATGTCACTGCCTTGAAGTCGCTTCTCCTCAAGATCTTCTTCTTGAAGGACTACAAGTTCATATACTCCACCCCGCCGGCGGCGTTTGCCGCGTCCAGGCAAATCACAGGCCAAGGCTGGCATGCATACGAAGTCGATTGCAATCCCAATCTGGCACTCAGCGACTATGACGCCGTCGTCCTGTACTTTCACGGAGGTGGCTATGCCATTGGTGAGCCGATGCAATATTACGAGACGTTCAAAAGGTGGCAGAGGAAGGCTGCTCAGCTTGGGACTCATCTGGCTATTGTTTCTCTACGTTATCGTAAGACTATATACTCCCCTCCCTCCGCGATTTCTCTTTATCGAATGGACTTTTGGTAACAAGACCAGCACTCTCGACCGAGCAACCCTACCCGGCACAGCGCAATGCGGCATTAGCAGCCTATCAGCACTTGATACAGCAGGAACACGTACCACCAAGCAAGATCATTCTATGCGGCGACTCTGCCGGAGGTACGACTCTATGACTACTACCCAGTACCCTGTCGTTTTTCTCATACTTACATAAATCTTGCCAGGAAACCTCGTCGCTTCCCTACTGGTCTACCTCCGCGACCACGACGACATCCCTCGCCCAGCATGCTCCGTCATGATCTCCCCGTGGCTGGACCCGTCGCTGTCCAAGACGGCCAAATCACCCTTTGCGGGAGTCGACTTTGTCTACGGCGACGGGACATGCGAAGGAACACGAGGCATGGCCCAATTGATCGCCGGGAAGGACCACAGCCCCAGCGACCCGGAGATCTCGTTGGCCCTGAACACCGACCTCAAGGGCATCCCGCCGCACCTGTGCTGCTACGGCACCGCCGAAGTGTACCAGGAGGATTCGAAGATGTGGATCGCACAGTGCATGGCGGATGGCGTGGATGTGACTGAGTACAGTGGCAAAGGCGCCGTGCACACGTTTGTACTGGGGGGGTTGACTGCGGATGCGAAGCTTGAGGAGGAGGCGGACGGGGTCTTCTTGGGCTACATCATCAAGCATCTTCCATTGAGTCGATGCTAGGATATATTGCAGTATTATCAGTCTAAGCCGGAGAGATGTATATTCCCCCCTCACAAGCATCTCTGGTGTCAGACACCCCCGTTTACTGACTCTGTGGCCGTACATCGTGAGTGTAGCATGTCACACTTACGTAGTATTCCAATCCATTCTTTGTTGTCCGTTCAAGATTCCGCCATTTTCAAAATGTCTCTTCTTTCAACCCACTTTTTGACATGTTTGATGGCGGCATCTCGATCATCTGAATGCGTCTATTTCCACATCCTCAGAATATATTTGCATGGTTTGGGACGTTGAAACAGATCAAAGACACGCCGCAGACATAGACATTTCATCCAGCTATCCACTACTCCTCTGGAGAGTCTGACTGGTTGTTTCGTTGAATCCAAGGCCCGCACTCCACATTCTCTACTCTACCGATCACGTACCCTCACAGGTCTCTCCCAAGAAATGTCCACTACATCCCTCGCTCCCGCTCCATCGGCATCACTTTGAAAACTGATAACTCGAAAACCCGCTCTCAGCCTCCTTCTGGCAATGCGCAAAGTACTGGACCAGACCCCCGAAATAAAAGAGGACGTTCAAGGGCTTGCCCGGGATATTCGCGCCGATGTACCAAGAGCGAGCCTTTTGAGACGCCGTAGCTAGCAGCGTTGACTCGAACGTCTGTTGTACGTGGCTGCACCAAGCGTCGACGGCCTCTTGCGTTACTTCCATCCGGTTGTAGCCATGAGTATCCATGTAGCTGATTGCCTTGCCGATGAAGTCGGCGGTATTGTCAATGATGACGGGGATATTGGCAAACGGTGCCTGTGGCCCTGATATCATAAACATGTTGGGGTACTTATGGACGCTGATCCCCAGGTGAGTTTCCAGCCTGGGATTCCATTTCTCTGCTAGTGACTGGCCATCCTTGCCCCGAATATCGATCTGGGTGAGCGCGCCAGTCACAGCGTCAAACCCGATAGCGAAAATGATAATGTCGAACTCGTATTCAGTAGTCCCTGTCCGAAGTCCCTTCGGTGTAATCTCCTGGATGGGATCGTCGGCAACACTGACGAGCTTCACGTTTGGTCGGTTAAAGGCTTCATAGTAAAAGTGCCCGAGGGGTGGTCGTTTAGCCAGCAGAGGATAATCGGGGCAAAGCAAGTCCGCTGTCTTTTGATCCTTGACAATTGTGCGGATCTTCTTTCTCACAAACTCCGAGGCTACTTCGTTTGACTTCTCATTAAGTAGTAGATCGTCAAAGGTCTCAAAGATATAGCGGAACCCGCCTGCTTCCCACCCAGCTTCGAGAATCCTTTGGTGGTCGTTTTCATCCTTGACATCGGCAATGGTGCGACCAATAGTGGGCATTGCGAAGCCGAACACCTGGCCTCGAGCTTGCTCCCATACTGCGTCATAGCTGGTCTTGATCTCCTTTAGCTGATCTTCCGTCAATGGGTGGTTACGAGCTGGTATCACGTAGTTCGGCGTGCGTTGAAAGACTGTCACCGACGCAGCGGTATGCGCAACAATGGGCACGACTTGAACTCCAGTGGCTCCAGTGCCTACCACGGCTACTCGCTTTCCCGCGAAGTCGATCTTCTCCTTTGGCCAATTCGACGTCTGATACCATTTTCCTTGAAACGAATGCAGACCAGAGAACGGCGGCGCTCTCGTCGCCGAGAGGACACCCGCTGCCGTGATGAGGAAGTGGCAAGTGTAATGAATGTTATCCGCAGTCCTGACATCCCAGATATTGAGGTCTACATCGTAATGTGCCGACTTAACGCGCTGTTTGAACAGGATGTCTTTGCGCATGTCGAATCTATCGGCGACGTGGTTCAAGTAGCTCAGCACCTCTTGCTGAGGGGCAAACCGTTCCTTCCATACCCAGTCTGTTTTCAGCTCTCGCGAGAAGTTCATAATGTAGCTCCAACTCTCGCTGTCTGTCCGTGCGCCGGGATATCGATTCCAGTACCAGGTGCCACCCACGTCGGAGCCGGCTTCGATGATCTTGGTCGACAGGCCGAGTTTGCGAAACTCGTGCAAGATTCTCAACCCACCGAACCCGGCTCCGATGACGACTGCTGCATAGTCAACGTCTCGATTGAATCTATTTTTCGATGTGCGAGCCGTGGTGACTCCGTTTTCCATCTTCGGGACCCCGTTAACGGCCGGTGCTGGCGGTTCCAGGATGGGCAGGACTTCAGTAGACATGACGACTCGGGAAATTAATGCTGGCCTTCAAAACCTCCAAAATCAGGTTGGATAATTGTTCCTGATCTCGAGTGTACTGGGGCTCGCTATGTAGGGCAGTTGGATGAATGACATATAACGCATTGTTGGCATTTCGTGCTCGATCCGCGAGTTGTACGCGGAGAACCACCAATCGCAGTGATTTCCGCGGTGCAGCCTTGCGCTTCTTGTGCCGGGGATTGGAATAGACCAGCAACGCGGAATGGGAATCCGTTGTTTCAACAGTGCGGCACGTATTTTCCGACAGCCAACAGGACCGAAAAAGTCGTTAGGTATCAAAGAAAATGGTTAGTGCATAACCCATTGGAGGATCTAAAGCCGGGAGGCTTGAAAGGGAAATTCCCACCATTCAAGTACCCAGCACATAGTTCTATACCCGGGCGGACATACTAAGGCTCAGTTGGTTTCCTGTCATAGTATTCAGAAGTTTCGCGCACATCCAACACAATGTCGGCCGCGCCTAATCCTGAATCCATAAGAGACAAAATCGAGGGCACCGTCGACACAGAGGCATATGCTCGGCTCAATGGCGTTGACGAGAGATCGATAGAGGCAGAAAAACATGTGGAAAAGAGAGGCCACAAGAAAGTCATTTTGGTGGGCGCTGGAGTCTCGGGCATCACCAAGGCGGCGCTCCTTCTCAAACACAAGGCGATCAGCCTCGAGGATTTGGTCATCTTCGACGTGCAAGCCAATTTCGGCGGGGTGTGGGAGAAGAACAAGTATCCGGGATGTGCTTGCGATGTTCCAGCGTTGCAGTATACCAACAAGTTGATGATCAATACAGGTAAGAAAAGCACTGAGTACTGTTTGTGGTCAGTCGATTGATTGAAAGTCTCAGAGTACACGCATTACTACGCCACCCGGGATCAAATCGCCAGCTTCTACGTGAAGATGGCGCACGATCTCGGGCTGAACCGGTGTGTCCAGTTCCAGACATTTGTCAAAAGCTGTGTCTGGGACGAGGCTCGCTTCGTCTGGCACGTTGAAGCTGAGAACCAAAAGCACCGTACAATTGAGAAGTGGACAACCGATGTCCTGATCCATGCCGTGGGAGCCTTTGACAGACCCAAGTTTGGTCGCACACCGGGTCTAGAGTCGTTCAAGGGCTCTTACTGGCATACGTCCCGCTGGAACGATCACGTTGACCTCAAAGGCAAGCGAGTCGCTGTAATCGGCTGTGGTCCCAGTGCTGGACAGGTGATTCCGGAGATCATTGATCAAGTTAGCGAGTTGACAGTCTACATGCGGACGCCGCCAATGGTGCTTCCAAGGAAGGATTATCAACGGTCAGAGTAAGGGCACCACTTCAGCTCGTTGGGCCAGGTACTGATTATACATCCAGAGCATGGATGTGGAGTATGAGGAATGTACCATTCTTTGCTTCAACAGTCCGCAACGCCGCCTTCGTCCAGCAATGGCTTCTTGGCCAGTCTGTAGTGACCCGGGGCTCCTACCTCAACAAGACACTCACCAAGAAAGCCCATGCATTCTTGGACGAACAAGTCGAGGACAAAGCACTACGCGAACTTCTCCGTCCGGACTACGAGTTTTTTTGTAAGCGACCACTGTTCCTCGACGACTTTTACCCTGCGCTGACCAGGCCTCACTGCACCGTGGTTCGCGAGAGCCTGGACCAGTTCGTCCCCGACGGGATCATTTCGACCGATAAAGCCACCGGGGTCAAACACGAGCGTAGTTTCGACGTCATTATCTTCGCGACTGGATTCAACCTCGCACAGTATCTCCAGCACGAGACGATCATCGGGAGAGGGGGCGTCAACTTACAAGAGCAGTGGAAAGCACATCCGTCCGCCATCTACGGCGTGGCCACCACCAACTTCCCAAACTTCTTCTTCTGCAACGGGCCCAACGCCAACACGTATTCCTCTTTCCACCACGAAATGAACGAGGTGGCTTCGGACTATACTTCGCGCATAGTCAAGGAGATTTTCCAGCGGAGCAACCACGGCACAAAGTTTGCCGTCATGCCCAATGCCGAGTTTGAGCAGAGCTACAACGATGAGATACAGAACAATCTGGGTCACTTGGTGTCGCAGAACAGCGCGTGTAACAGCTACCACAACAACGCCGATGGACATAACACGATTGTTCACCATCGGAACATCTGGAAGCTGTGGTGGAGGCTAAAGAAGATTGATTGGAATGAGTGGGACATTTCGATGGCTCGGGATATCAAAGACTAGTCCATGTGTGGGACACGGAGGTACATAGGATTAATCATAACAAAGTAAACCTAGGCGAGTATAGCACTGACCTTGTCTTCAGGCCAATACGGTGTAGGAGAGTTTCATCTTGAATTGAGGTGTGATCGACGCTGTGTGCATAACCAATGTGCAGGAATGACATGTTCATGACTATCGTGCTAGCACTTACGATGACACGAGTGGTGTCCTCAACCAAAGTGCGGTACCTCGTACGCAATATTCAAACTAAAACTTGTTATAAAGACGCTAGTGGAGACGGAAAATGATATGATTCGCTGCATTTATGAAAAATTACCGTATCCGGTATCGGGCCCCACATCCGCATCCTTCAGCAGCTCGACGCTGTTTAGCTCTTGGTTAAATGCAGTGTGCGGCAGTCAACCACCCCCGACCGCGGTGAATGATCCTTGACCGCGGGCATGGCTTGGCCGTCGAGCTGTCTGTCTCCTAGCTGAAGAGACCGAGAGTGTAGGGATGTATTCGGTGTTGCGGGGCCCCGGACGGGGTCAAGACAACCGCAGAGGTTTCAAACACCACGGCTTCCAGGCCTGTTGTAATGCGGTATAGAAATCAGGGAGCAGCGCCCGTCACGCCACGAGACTTCTCTCTACTACCTCTTACCACCGAAAGAGCCAGTCCGCCCATTTCCATAACAACATGGTCGAAGATCCAATGTCGTCCACCCCGGAAAAGTCAGCTGAACCGGCGATAGAGCTGCGTGAGACTGTCAACGATGGCCAGCAAACCGTCAGTTCCAAGCCATTCTGGCAGAGTCCTCTGTTCATCGGCTCCTATCTTGCCATGTCCCTGGGAGTCACGGGTTATTACACCGGTTTTGCCATGCCGTCGAACACGCTGTCTATCATCAATGCTGATATCGGTGAGATTTCTAGCCTTTGGCGTTGGCACCTGCTACGAAAGCAAGCATCTGACCGGTTCTGGTAGGGCCCAGTGCCGATATCACTTGGGTGTCGACTTGTTTCACGCTGACGGCGGCGATATCCTCCACCATTGTCGGTCGCCTGTCTGACATCTTTGGACGACGATACTTTTTCGTGGCGGGCTCCATGTTGGCCTTGATTGGGAGCATCGTGGCCAGCACATCCCAGACCGTCAATCAATTGATCGGGGCGACGGCACTGATTGGTCTAGGCTCAGGCACGCAGTCGTCGTACGTCTACGTGATTGCCGAGATCGTGCCCTACAAGCACCGCGCCCTGATGATCGGACTGATCAACATCCTCACGGTGCCGGCCAGTGCGTTTGGCCCTCTCGTGGCACGGGCCTTTATCCTGCACACGTCGGCGACATGGCGGTGGAACTACTACTTTGCCATCATCCTGAACGGCTGCTCCACCATCCTGTGGTTCACGTGCTACTTCCCGCCGCGGTTTGAGACCCTGCACCGCAACCGGTCGCGGTGGCAGCAACTGCTCAAGGTGGATTTTATCGGCATGTTGCTCTTCTCGGGGGGCATGTTGTTGTTTTTGCTGGGTATCTCCTGGGGAGGGAACCAGTACGCGTGGAACTCGGCTCATGTCATTGCCACCATCGTCGTCGGCGCTGTTATGTTGATTGCATTCATCCTCTTCGGTGTGTACAAACCGCGGTGCTACGGCAAGCGACCAGTCCGACCGCAGCGCTAATGGCTTATACAGAGATTTACTCTGGGATTGACGAGCCGTTCATCCCCTTGTCAAGCTTCAAGAATATCCAATTCGACGTCATCGTCCTGTTGTCGGTCGTGGGAGGGATGGTGTACTACTCGAGTGCAGGTGAGATCTGGTTTTTTCATTCTATTTCTGGCCCTGTCTTCGTCAAATCCCAACTGACCAATACCAGTGATCTACCCAACACTCATCCAGATATTCTACACAACAGACATCTTCCGCGTCGGCGTCCTCACCTGCGCCCCCACGGCAGGGACCTGCTTCGGCCTGTTCGCAGGAGGTCTGGTGTGCGAAAAGATCGGCCATCTCAAGATGCAGTATATCTTCTCCGCGTGTGCCTTGACGGCTTTCACGGCAGGACTTGCAGCCGCGAACGCCAGTAATCAAGAGTATGTCTTACATGCTCCCTCCTCATCATTGTGAGTGCCGATACTGATTTGGAGAGCAGTCTCGCAACGGCCTTTGGCGTCCTCGGAGGCTTCTTCGTCGGCTACCTCGAGCTCCTCACCGAAAGCACGTCGACAATTGTGCTGAGCGACCAGATGCTGCTCGGCTCGTCGATAGGAGTCTTGAACACGCTGAGAACCGCGAGCGGGACGATCGCCAGTAAGTAGAACCAGCGCCCAAACCCAGTCACACACAGATGTGATCTGGTAACAATTTATATACCCCCAGACGCATACTCACTCTGGCTCTCCACAGCTACCATCTACGTGTCCATCTTGACCAACACGGTCTCCGCGAAGATGACATCAGTGTTCGTCCCCGCGGTTGTGCGAGCAGGTCTCCCCACCAACATGGTCGAGCGGTTCGTCGCCGCCTTCACCAGCGGGTCCGAGACGGCGATCGCCAATTTTCCCGGCGTCACGCCCGAGCTCCTCCGCACCGCGACGACGGCGTACCAGGCCTGCTACTCGGCCGGGTTCCGGAAGGTCTTTCTGACCAGCATCGCCTTTGGGGGCTGCGCCATCGTCGCGTCCCTGCTGTACAGGGACATCAAGCCCGAGGTCATGGAGCGTGGAGTCGTCGTCCACCTGCAGCGTCCTACCCGGGAAGAAACGGTGATTGTGCAGGGAGCACCCGACAAGGAGGAATGAAATAAACAGGGAAAATCAAATAGAACGAAAGTGAACGAAGCATCGCTGATCTATCAAGATCCCCTGGCATCTTGTGGCTGTGGGATGCTTTGCTGGATTCTCAAACGGCAGTCCAAAACAAAAGTGGACGGTGTCGGTAGACTATCAGTGTATACTCGCTGAAGCTAGGGGGTTTCAAGTAGCCACCCCGTATGGCTAGGGGTCATTGCTCGGTATATTGAGCCTCCCCCCGATGCCCCCTTTTGGGGATCTGTCGTCTCTGAGGAAAATCAAGATCCCAATGTCCATGCATGCATGATTATGAAAAGGCAAGAGTAGTGGCCTCGCGCTATTCTCATACCGCACCAGTCATATCGTGTCGTATCCTGCTCCCAGCGACTAAAGAAGGACGGCTTCAGTAGTGGTCATCCCCCAGTTCAGGGGTGAGACGACCTCGAGGAATCCAAACGTACAGGGCTCTCCACCGTGATCGGTCTGGAACCACGGGTTACAAGCTGTGTTGTTGCTCATTCCCGGTCCGTGTTGGACGTCAGCCATGGAAGACGGCTGCTGACTCGCTGGTGCTGGTGCCACTGAGACATCCGAGCCGGCCACAAGGGTGCGGTCCGGCGAGGATGATATCACCGGCTCGCACCAGCGGGTTGGGTTAAACGGCGCGGCTCTCCCGCTCGAATGGCTCAGTGTTCTCTTGTCCTTTGCTCTCGGCGTGGCGGTTTCATTCTGGCCACTGCCACCGCCGGCGCCGCCGTTCTTGGCCGCCGGACCACGCCAGATGAATTTGTCGAGCCCCGTGCTCTCCAACAGCGAGTTGAGCACCGTGATCATGCGCTTGACGACCGGGTAGTGCACCTGCAAGCACTCGCAGACTTCGAGGATGCAAATCAACCACTTGTGGTCTCTCAGCCCGCTGGCGTTGTTGTCGTCGGACGCCATGCTCGTGATCAGCGTGCTCGCCGTGGTGAAGATGATGTCCAGCATGAGCGTCGCGAACCCCCAGTCTTCAAAGGCGAGACGGCGGATTTCCAGCGTCTGCGCAATATTCACGGCGTTCTCGTGCATGATCCGCTGCGACTGCTCTCGGCTGTGTGGCCACTCCCCAGAATTCCGGCCGGCCACGACAGAAGAAGACGCGTACAAGTGTTGGCAAGAGCTGACGGTCCTGTGGAGGAGGATCTGTATGTTGCAGAATTGCATGTACAGGACACACAGAGAGGGCGGCCAGCAGGTCGGGTCCTTTTCGGTCCATCGCAGGTCAGGAGGCAAGGAGGTCTCCCATCTCGTGATGGCCTCGTCGAGCTGTTTGCACTTTCTCAGCGCCTTTTCGTGGTCCATTTTGATCCGATTACACGCGTTGACCATCTTTCTCACCAGGCTAGACAGGTCGACCCACGCATTCAGTAAATGCTCTTGGTACTCGGAGTAACCGCACGACATCCACGCCATGAGGATATTCGAGGCCTTCAAGGACGAGGGCCGACCCAGAAACACACTCCAGACTTGTTCGTATACAAAAGTGCCATACGTCATGCGTTGCCGTGCAATGGCGTCGTCCTTGGTGATGATGCCCGAGTCGACCAGTTCCGTGCAGTCTTGGTGCAGACCCAAGTCCACTATGAGACGGCATGCAATACCTGGGTTGGTCAGTATCGCCAGGTAGCCAAGTTTGGTCAAAACAGACAACACAGCGAAACGTACCAACATAGATCCACCCCAAATTCTCGCTCCCATTTGTACACTCGTAGTCACTAAGGAGACAGAAGCCGTGGATGGTGGACATGATGGGACTTTCCAGTTCTTTGATAAGCTGCTTTTTGGCCCGCTCCGCGTACGAGCGACCCAGTTTCCGGACCGACTCGTCTTTGTCGAGGCGTAGTGCACAAGCTATGAGGGCGTCAAGGGCGAACTGAGAAAAGTGCTGGGACCGAACTCCTCTCTCGTACCCGGCCATAAAGAGCTTGGGATCGACCAGGTAGATCGACATGTCCTGGAACTTCCACCATTTTTCCAGGTATTTTGCGCGGAACTCGCCAGTGTCATTGACGGGGCTCCCTTGGTTCGTGTAGGGTTCCATGGGCGCGGTGTGTAGCCAGTGACCAGGGAACCGGCCGTCGAGGGTATTGATGGTGGTCGAGAGCTGTTCATCCCCAGGGCCAGGAGGAAGAGGGAATTGTCCGATCAACGTCGAGGGCCTTTCGAATACGTCATGATGCCAGTAGTTGAGGCCGAGATCGCACATACTGGGGTCTGCACTGGTCAAAAGGGGCACTGGCCAGCGAGAGATGAATTGATATCAGCTCACCTTCTCTATCACGGGCAGACGAGGACTCGGGCACTCCGTTAATGCTGGGGATTTTGTGCGTCTCTGGCGTTTGAGAAGGATCACAAGGGTGGACCACCATCGTATCAGGCACAGCTGTGTGTTGGTTAGACAATTCAGCATACATGACATGACATGAATAGACAAACCGTCGACCAGGTCATGACTGTCCAAGCCGTCAATCTCCATCGCACCCAGCACATTGCGATCGACCTGCGTAGAAAGTGCCCCATGCAGCTGTCGGGGATCTGTGGTCTCGCCTTGACCAGGTGAAACCCTCGGATTCTCATGAGACGGTATACTTCTCTCCTCGGGTTGCTGAAAACTTCTGATCTGGGACTCGAGGGACTCAAGCCGCTCCTCGAGCTGACGCACATGTTTCTTGGAGGCGTTGCTGTCACAGGATTAGACGGAGCTCCCGAGGCCTTTGGAAAAAGAAAAACAGCTGCCACCCACATCTTGCGGTTGTCATCGTAGCTCACAATACATTCTATCCCAGAGTTTCTGCAGAGTCGACAAGGCTGTCCATTTTGCATGAGCTGTACATTGCACTGTATCCATACACTATCAGTCAGCCACACACCCACACATACTCAAGATCACCGACGGAATTCACCTTGACTTTTCGTCTCCGGCACGCAGTACAGGCGACGGAAGCTCTAGACCTCGGAACATGGAGTCCCCTTGCCGTGTCCCCTGCGGTAGGAGACATACTGGCCGAGTTTCTCCTCCTATACTCAAGCCATTCATTCACGTCGGAGTATTCGAAACCGTCAAGTAGCTGGCTGGAGTTCCAATCCTCACCCGGTTCGCTTCAGAAGGACGAAATGGCAGATCAGAAAAGAGCGGGGGGGTTGGCCATGTTGGCCATGGCAGAAGGGGACCCCGGACCCCGGACTCCGCCACCCCCTCTTCGGCTCTTCAGCCGTGCCCAGTTATTTCAGGCCAGCCACCACCCCCGCAGCTTCGATGGCAACGAGGCTAGTGTAGCCGCTTCTACTAGAAGGATGTGGGAAATTGATAAGTAATCTACCACTTGGTAAGATAGAGAACGACTACGAGGCTTTCTCGCTGCAACTTCATACGGCAACAGGGTCACATCCAACAACAGAGCAAGGTCGTTTTGTATCTATTCTTCCACTCCGATGTCGCTCATAATCTGCTCCTGGCCTCAAAGCTGAGCAATCGGCGTGGCAATTCATTCTCGAGTTGTCTTGCATTGACATGGTCCGGAGTGAGCTGGTCCAACGCAGTGACGCCCATCAACCTCATGGTACTTTCTACCTCGTCACTCAAGACTAGGTAGGAACAACGGTTAGCTGACCTTCAACCCGGTAGGTTGGGATTGTGACTTACTTTGGACGGCTTTCATGACACCATCCGTACCATATGCCCCAAGAGCATACATGAATGGCCTACCCAGTCCAACGCCAGTGGCACCTAGACACAAAGCCTTGATCACGTCGCTCCCCCGACGAACGCCACCGTCAAGATAAATCTCCAGCCTTTCCAGGACGTGCGGGCAGAATGTCCTGATCTCCAACAGCGTCCGGAGGGCGCTAGATCCAGAGTCAAGTTGCCGTCCTCCGTGGTTGCTGAGATAGATACCGTGCACGTTCGCACGTAGCGCCGCTTCTGCGTCTTCGGCACATTGGATGCCCTTGAGGTAAATCGGGCCGGCGTCTCCCCACTCTCGACGGATCCATTCGAGATCGCGCCAGTTGAGCGTCGACGAGTGAGCGCCGCGTAGAACGGGTGCCTCTTCTCCCGGGCTTGCGTAGAATGGACGAGGAACGTCGTCGTCGCCGGCCTCATATGCTATTTGTGCCTGGAACAGCTCATCCTCTTCCCTTTTCCCTCCTACGGCTGTGTCGACCGTAACGAGCAGTCCTTTAAACCCGAATCTCTTCGCGTTCCGAATCAGCACCTCGGTCCGTGATCTCTCCTTTGCGACATAAAGCTGGAAGAACAGCGCTGTAGGTTTGTTTGGCTGTACATGGCTTGCGAGCTCTTCGTGCGGAACAGAGGAATAGGTGCTCACGCAGTATGGGATTCCGTATTTGATTGCGGCGCGGACAAGGCAAAACTCTCCGTCAGGATGAGCTAGACGCGCCATTGCAGCTGGTGCGATGAAAAACGGCAGGGAACTCTGGAACCCCATGATACGCCGACTTGGGTCTACCTTGGCCACATCGTTAAGCGTCCGTGGACGAAGGGAGATTCTTGACCAATCCTGTCGATTCCGGTAGAACGTCACTTTATCTTCCGCCGCCGAATGGAAATAGACAAAGGCTCGCTCTCGGATCGATATACGAGCTGCCTTTTCAAAGTCGTCAAGATTCATGCATAGCATCAACGGGATTGGGTCCCCTTCTTTGTATTTCCTCCTCGACGCTTTTACACCGGCCTGGTCGACAAGCACTGGTCCTTTGTAGTTCTCTGTGAAAGTCAGTGCGCCATCAAGCGGCGGATGTCCATCTCCTCACCCTTGCTCAAATATCTTTCCAGAGTCCCAGGAGGATGTAAGGGCTCATACGCCGAGGTGGCATCCTGATATAGTGTGAGAAGGGGTTCCAACAGTCCATAATTTTCTCATGCACACCTGGCCTGCATATCGAAGGATGATGGCTGAGCCGCCAGGGTGATGATCCAGAAAGTCGGTCAGATCGTACACATTTCCTGAGATGATGACCCAGCAAGAGTCTTTTGTGTGATGTTCCTCCACCTGCGCCTTGGTGAGCATCCTGTCGCTGTGAAAACTGTAACTCAACAACAGTATTCCATGAAGGCGGATTGAGTTGTTGTACATGTCCTCCTTGCCTTGGTTCAGATGGCCAATGCGAAAGGACCGAACTAAGTCTCCACCAGTAGTCCTCCGTTGGTATGGTACCCCTGCCTTTTAGGCTGTCCAGTGGAGCATACCTGTCTCCTATCACAATCAACGGCAAATTAAAAGCGGAAAATCCATTGCCGTCCGCCCCATTGGCTAGGTAAATCAGGCAGATCCAATCGGAGAGAATGTGAAGACAAACGCTGACAGTAAGAGTCAGACAGTCTCGGATTGCAATGTCTTTGAACAAAACGACCGAGTGAAGCTGGTCCTATGGGTATGGGAATTTCCTTCGAGTACTCTTACAAGAACAGATAAGCACAACCAGTCTCGTCGAGGCGGGTGTTTCGGATAGCAGATTCCGGAGAACCTTTATAGACTAAGAATTGCCCGCATATTGATTTGTCTGAAGCGAACAGTATAGTCAACCTCACCTGTGAAGCTTCTATCATAATTCAATTCATACTGAGAATGTCTTCCCGCTTTGAGAATCGAGTTGTATTCGTCACAGGCGGTACTTCCGGGTTGGGAGAAGAAACGTGTAAGCTGTTCGCCGCCGAAGGTGCTCAAGTCTTCATTACAGACCTGGAAGAGAGAAGCATTTGCAGTCGCGTCGGGCCAAACACTTCCTTCTATCCCTGTGACGTGGGAGACCTGTCACAATGCGAAAAGGCCGTCGCAGCGTGCGTGGACAAATATGGTCGTATCGATGTCCTCTTCCACAATGCCGGTCGGTTCGCGCCGCTTGCAACAGTACCACGCCACGATATCGACTTGTTCAAAGATGTCATCAACATCGACCTAATATCCGGGTTCTACCTCGGACGTCTCGTCATCCCTATCATGCAAAAACAAGGCAAAGGAGCCATCGTCATCACCTCGAGCACCACAGGGCTAGGCGGCGACTTCGGTGTCCCAGCATATGCCACGGCAAAGGCAGGTATAGCTAACCTGGCAAGATGCATGGCTCTGGATCATGCCCATGAAGGCATCCGCGTCAACGTCGTCTGTCCCGGCTACATGATCACGCCGATGACCTCGGGGTTTCGCCAGATGCCAGAGGCCGAAAAGTTCCTGGTAGATAGCATCCCCATGAAGCGCGGAGCTAAACCGATCGAAGCAGCTAGGGTAGTGCTCTTTCTGGCATCTGATGAGGCGTCGTATGTGACTGGGCAAGGTAGACATGTCGCGTTCTGTGTGTAGTCCAGTACTAACGCTACAACAGCACTTGCGGTCGACGGCGGGTGGACTTGTGGTTCGGGGTCGCCGAACATGGCTCAATGGCTCGCTTGACTGATTGATCCAAATTTGAGTGGACGATGGAGGTGTGTATAGCAGCTAATAAGAGTAGCAGCAGAGACAAGGGAGCGACGTCATGTTGCAATGACTGGCATCAGTTGGCACTCACCAATTTCCGCCGACTGATTGCGCCTGCGCTTTGAGGCACAGCTATCGCTCGACCACAACATTTGCTTCTTTACTGAGCTCGCAAGCTTTTGATATATCCTTGACATCAGAACCTACCCTAGTATTCCAAATTGGAGTAGCTGTCTTTTCCCATTTCCGAAACTTGAATTGATATTCCTCTTTTCAACATGGGACTTTCGCATGTGATATCACCTTCGTGGTTGCCTGCGATACAATTTGGGCAATTTCTGGGTTTACACCCTGCCTTGCTTTCTCCAGCGGCGACAGATCCAGGCCTGGCTCTTTGGCAAGGAGACTCGCACCGCGATCTAGGAGAAACTGTACTCTGGCAACGTCACCCATCCCAATGGACGCCCACAGAGGTGTTCCAGTGAACATGGAAACATCGCAAAGGTCATCAAAATCCGCAAAAAGGACATTGTCGACCGGTGCCCCTTTATTGTACAATAACTCGAGGATTGTCAACGCGTCCGGGTCTCCCGCAGGTCTTTGAGAAGTGAACCAGACCAATTCGCCTGTTGTCGCAGAGCCACCAAAATCCAGGAGAAGCTGGACGATCTTGAGTGGCGCGTATTGGACGGCACGAGAGAGCGGCGTCACTCTGTATTTTGTGGCGAACGCATTGGGATTCGCGCCGTGGACAAGAAACCATCGAACGACATCTTCGTCGGCACCTGCCTGAATGGCGCGTCTGAATCGTTCAGCATGTGACCGCGTCTTTTATCCGTACATACTCACCCTAGAGATGGCGGATCACAGTAGCTCTCAGGCGTATTGATGTCCCAGCTATTATTGAGAAGGACTTGGAGAATTGGTAGAGACTTGGACTCGGATGCGAGGAAGGCTAGCCCCTTCAATTCATTATGGGTGGGCGGGCGGTGATTGAGGAGAAGAGCGAGTTCATCAGCTCGACCTTCGGCGGCGGCATCGGCGGCAGCGATTCGTAAAGGGATATCAGACATGAGTCTTGCTATTGAGGCTTGGTAGGTCCACCACTTGTCGGGTGTGTGGATTTGGAAGATGTGACTCGCTGGGCTGCCAAGGAAATGTAATGACCGTCACCCTGCTCCCTGAGAGGTCCTCGGGCCGAAGACGACCGAACAACGCTAGTACTCGGTACACCTTCCTATAGTTGATTCTTTCCCCTGCGCAGGTCAGGGCTGCTTGTACACAACCATCTGTCGATGCGGATACGACTCATGTCCTTGGTGAGGCTATGCTTTATCAGACTAATAACACTGTCCGGCGGTGATCTCCAGCAAAGCCACAAGCATGATAACCCGCTAGGGTCACCCGACCTATGCCAATTCCGATGAAATGGTGTAATTTTATCGAATGTCTGCTTCCGAAATCTCGACCACAATTAATTGGGCTCATAAACTGACTGCAGTGAGATGTAGAGGCCCTATTTTCCAAACTTTGAACGGAGAAACTCCCCCACCTCCGAGATGGTGCGGTCTGCCTCTGGTGCCCGGCCCGCCATGAAATGGTACACATGTTGCATTTCTGGCGCCACCTCGAGATGCGCCTCAACATTCGCCTCCCTGATCTTCTGAGCGAGTCTGATGCCATCACTCATGAGCAGCTCCCAACCGCCAACGGAGATATGGAAAGGCGGCATGCCGGTGAAATCTGCATACAGGGGGTTGGCCAGAGGCTCCTTAGGCGACACTTTGTCCCCCAGGTACAAAGACACGGTGATATTCGCTACACCAGGAGGTGACAGTGCGTCCTTGTCTGCGTTCGATACCTGCGACTCGCCCTTAGTTTCCATGTCGACCCACGGAGAAAACACCACCACGGCCGCTGGCAGTTGGATCCCGAGCTGCTTCAATTTGAGGACCGAAGCTGTTGCAAAGTTCCCGCCCGCTGAATCCCCCGCGACGGCAAGGTTCTTCGCATCAAAACCCTTGCTCAGGAGCCATTGGTACGCCGCCACAGCATCGTCGAGGGCGGCTGGGAACGGATTCTCAGGTACAAGACGGTAATCAATAACTAGGGCGAGACTTTTCGCCGCCTTCGCCAAATGCCCGGCAAGTTTACGATGACTTGATGGAGATCCTGCAAAGCCCGCCCCGCCATGGAGGTAGAGTATCACTTGGGAAGGATTCGCATCGAGTGGCTTGCACCAGATGGCCGGTCGCTGCGTACCGGGACAGCGGACTTCCTCGTACGTGACATCTGTCGGCTCAGAGGCAGGTTCGTGAAGGGATTCCAAGAGTGCTCGCTGGTCTTGAATGCTCATCGGCGGACTGGCCATCATCCGCTCCTTGATCCCATTGTATAGGGTGACCAGGATCTGTGATTCCTCTGAGGCAAGCATTCTGACGAGGGGGTGCTTGGGGTAGCTGTAGGCATCGTTTCATTGGTGAGACTCTCTCTTACGAGTACCTTGATATATTGTGCAGGGTGTCGGCTCCTATACAGCCGACAGGCTGCTTGGTACGGTACAGCTTTGGCTAGGCGTAGGGACGGGGACCAAAGAGGTGTTTCTGACCTCGGGTAAATTCTGAAGGCCAGGGCCCGAACAGTTGTGGTATAGCGCAGTAAACCGAGCACAGTAGAGGATTGCCCTATTGTCACTACAGGTCTTTCCCCCTGAGGACCTTTCAGTCTCGGTTTGTACCACGAGCATATACTAAGAAATGAGTCCAGGTGCATTCCCAAGTTAATATATCGAAGATTATTGGTTCTACAGGAGCTCGTTCGCTTGGTGGAAGTTGATGGCGTACAAGACGATTGCCATTCAAGACAGTGCCTTGACGGCCAGTTCCAGGGCCATCAGGGAGAATAACTACTAAAGCACTGAACTAGGCAGACTCTCCCATATTGTCCACTACCTGAGTCTTCCTACCACTGAGAACTATTTTTCTGAACGTCCTGTACATAAAGTCCCCTTAGCAGCGCCAACGCGGGGAGATTTGCCGCGACGCCAGTAGCTCGGGAAAGCATTTCCTTTGTATTTCGATCACTTCTGACTCGGTTTTCTTTTGTGAGTGAGAGCGTTCTTGGGACATTACAACAAATCTATGGTATCAGCTATTTGACACCCAATCCAGCTGAGCGAACTGGATAAGCTGTCGGCTAATGTGATGGACCCCGCCGCGAGTCCGCGAGTCCCCTTCTCTGGGCACATCAGACTTCTTACCCGGCCCCGGATTGAAACCGAGAACGAGAGTGAGCTCAGAAACGCGGAAAATGCAGTTCATTTAGCCACGAGTCAGACATGGGCCCGATGCATATGTATCTCAGCGGACAACTTTCCACCCGTATTGAATATCCAAGTAGCGTGTGGGGTTCTATCAAGGTGAGACGTTTTGTCGTTTTGTACCAAGTTACAAAAGCTCTCGTTGATATAGCTCCTCCTCCTCCTTTGTATACTGCACAGGTCATATTACACATCTATCAAAATGATCGAGGTCGGAGTGGTCAATAACGAGACGCTGTCGGCACCAACCGCAGAGATCAAGGAACAGGCGCAGAAGAGCAACATCGCGCTAGACTTTGATCCTGACGCCCTGAAGGCAAAGTACATCGCTGAGAAGGAAAAGCGAAGCAAGAATGGCGGACTAGAGCAGTATCAGCTGGTCAGAGAGCATTCCAGCTTGCTAAAGTTTGTCGACGACCCCTATGTCAAGCCGGGATTTACTCGGGAACCCGTCAAGCATCTCTACGATGTCGTCGTCGTTGGTGGCGGGTTCACTGGAGTTCAAGTTGGAGCGTGTCTCATGGGCCAAGGGATCACGAACTTTTGTATTATTGAGAAAGGGGGCGATTACGGGGGCACCTGGTATGTTGCACTGTTCCTCTCCTAGATGCACAGCCCCAATAACTCACTGCAAAAGGTACTGGAATCGATATCCCGGAGCTCAGTGCGATATCGAGTCTTATATCTATATGCCACTGATCGAAGAGATGGGTGTCATGCCCACAGAGAAATATGCTCGGGGCCCTGAACTTCAACGCCACGCACGAGCAATCGCCGACAAGTATAGCCTGGAAGATCACACACTATTCCAAACCATCGTCAAACGACTGGTTTGGAACGATACCACGGCCACGTGGAAGATCGAAACTAGTCGTGAAGACGAGATCGAAGCTCGCTGGGTAGTCCAGGCTCCCGGGCCACTTCATACCCCCAAGTTCCCGGGCGTGCCAGGGATCGAGCTCTTCAAAGGAAAGAGCTTCCACAGCTGCAGATGGGACTATTCGTATAGCGGTGGCACCCCCGAGAACCCAGAGCTGACCAAGCTGAGAGATAAACGCATCGGGATCGTTGGCACGGGAGCAACGGCAATCCAAATCGTCCCACGCGTTGCCGAGTGGGCCAAGGACCTATACGTCTTTCAAAGGACGCCTTCCTCGGTCGATGTTCGAGGCAACAGGCCAACAGACCCCGAGTGGGCCAAGTCTCTCACCGCGGGCTGGCAGAAATATCGCATGGAGAACTTTGCGACTCTCGTGTGCGGCGGCCACGCCGATGAAGACCTGGTCGCTGACGGCTGGACCGACATCCTCCGATCACTGGCAGGCTTCTACGGGACTGGAAGTGATGCCGATGATCCACAGGCCCTTGCGGTCAAAATGCAACTTGCCGATTTCAAGAAGATGGAGTCGATCCGCCACCGCGTCGACAGCCTGGTGAAGGACCCCAAGACCGCAGAAGGTCTCAAGCCCTGGTACAACCAGTTTTGCAAGCGTCCGTGCTTCCACGACGAATACCTTCAAGCGTTCAACAACCCGAATGTCCACTTGGTCCACACGGACGGCAAGGGCATTGACCGGGTGACAGAGCGCGGCATCGTTGCCAATGGAGAAGAAATCGAACTCGACTGCATCATCTATGCTACGGGATTCGAGTTTGCCGGCGATTTCTGTGGTCGCTTTGGCGTCGAGATTGTCGGCCGCGGCGGCCAGACATTGAGTGAGAAATGGAAAGACGGCGCATCGACCTACCATGGGTGGTCTATCCACGGCTTCCCGAACTTGATGACCTTGACGCCGCTCCAGTCCGGCTCCATTCCGAATTTCACACACAACGTGGTCTTCATGATGCCACATCTCATTTACCTCATGGAGCAGTTTAAGAAGCGACACATCAAGAGCATCGAGCCGTCTGTCGAGGCCGAAGCCGCTTGGGTGGCGGAAACGGTCGAGCTGGGCAAGTCCCGAGGAGACTTCCTCAAGGAATGCACTCCCGGCTATCTGAACGACGAAGGGGTGGTGAACGAGGTGACTCTGAGGAACCAGCCCTATGGTGGCGGTGCGCCCAAATTCAACCAGATGCTTCGCGAGTGGAGGGAAGCGGACCGCATGGAGGGCATGTTGATCACATACGAGAATGAAAGTGACGAAAACGGCACATTGGGTAACTCGACGAATGGGAACCTTCAGAGTCAACCTCCGACCAGCACAACAGTGCAGGTTGCGAGTGCATAACGGGAGCAGAAACACGTCAACTTACGGGTGACATACGGTTCCGATAGCAACTCCATGCCCAAGCTAGGCCAAAGGCCTGGGCTTAATTTCTTGCATAGCAAGAAGTGTCTCTATTTGCAATACAAAAATCTCTGTAGCTACAAACAGTACGGACCGAGTCAGACTTGTTCAGACATTATCGCATTCAGCTCATGATTCCTTGTCCGGGCTTGGTCCCCGGGTATTGGTCTGCCGGATATTTTTGGACGGATCGAAAAAAGACTGTTATACCGAAAAGAGGAGTCACCGAGTATCCTACATAAATACATAAATAAATATACATTGACACGCTATTCTACCGTCACGCCACAGTACAAAACGCCTCGTGTCTTCCAACTCCATTGACGAACCATCTCTGACACACCCTCGCTCCCAATAACTTGTGGTATTCACTTTGCGCGTCCCGACATGTCCACCCAAGGCGGCTCCAAAGCCATAGCCCCGACACTTTTCAAAGGGCGCGTCGGCCTCGTCACGGGAGCTGGATCACCCTATGGCATAGGCCGATCGATTGTGCTCCGCCTGGCCGAAGCGGGCGCCGAAGTCATCTACGCGACGGACCTGAACCTGGGGAATATTTCCAGCCTGGAGAAATCCGTCAAGGAAATCAATCCGGGCTGCACGGTCGAGGGACGGAAGCACGACGTGGCATCAGAAGAGCAGACGGTGGCGCTGCTGAAGTCCATCGTCAAGAAACACGGCCGTTTCGATTTCTACTTTGCCAATGCAGGCTTTGCCGACGTCAAGTCTGTTCTCTCCCCCCACGTTTTTTCTTGGAAAATTGCATTCAATCCATACGCTGCAAAAATGGCCGGCCCAACTAATCAATCTGGTGGGCGAACGCAGGAACATCAACGACTTGACCACGCGTCATTACGAGCGCGCAATGAACGTCATGGCGACGTCGGTGTTTTACGCCATCAAGTACGGCAGTCAAGCGATGGCCGTGACATCCCCGGCGAAGCCGCAGTCAGCCGGGACGATCGTGGTGACTGCATCCGTGGCGGGCGTTTCAGGCCTGTTCTCGGACCTTGGATACTGTGAGCTGACCCGCGAGGTATTCTCTTACATGGCCCCAAGACACATCTGACACACGGAGCAGCAACCGCAAAGACCGCCGCGATTGGTCTGGTCACGCAAGGCGCCGTGAACCTGTCGGCGAGCAACATCCGCGTCAACGGCGTGGCGCCCGGCGCCGTCCAGACGAGCTTGATAGTCAACGCCCCCTTCGCGCAGCAGGAGAAGGAGTTCAATCTCGTCATGAGCGAGTCGGAAGCCAAGGAGGCGTTCCAGAAGTACATTGACGTGCGGGGCGTCCAGGACCAGCAGCAGTACTACTACAACCGCGTCGCGCAGCCCGACGAGATCGCAGATATCGCCGTCTTCCTGGGCTCGGACCTTTCGTCCGCCGTCAACGGGCACGTCGTCGTGGCGGATAGCGGCAAAACCAAGGGAGCTCTTGGGGAGTCTTACGTGGGACCCGTTCCTCCGGTGCAGCCGTTGGACTTGTCTTGAGGTCCAGAATCACACGATCCAGTAGTGAGGGATGGAGAGAGGTAGAGAGCATTTCTCGGATCCACGACATGATGCCAGGCTGGAAGTCATTGGCACTAGTCCACAATTCAACAGAATGGTCGGCTTGTCAATGTGATCTTAGCTCCATTACCATTATCTCTCTGTTTACCCTTCGACCTTTGGTCCCCCACCTTGCACAAGGCTTTGCCCCACCTCGACCCACCTTCCTAAAGCGGGTTTGTCCTGGGGATGTTGAATTTCGTTGAGTTTCAACGGCATAGTCTACCATTTTGCTCTCTCTACATCTCGCCGAGGGTACTCTTGACGTTGGGCACAGATCCTGATCGAATAGAGTACTCCCTTCTGCGGTACTATTCAACAGCCAAGGGGGCAAGATTTGTCTTTTTGGGGAAAATTAGATTTTCAGGCCGCAAATGTGTTTCACCGTGGAAAGTTGCCAAAAAGCTCACAGACAGATAGATTGATACCTGTCAATAATACCTCATCGATAGCTGTACGGGTACAATCGGCAGAGAATCCTGACCTCGCCAAAGGCCCGCCGATTAACGTCTCTCTCATCCGTTACGGACGCTTTTACATCTTGGATTCCGCGACTGTCTCGACATGATGATCTTCCATCTTGCTATCCTTTTCTGCCGGTGGGGTTTCGAGGTTCGTGACAGGAGTGGCAGTGACCTCGTCATCCAGGTGAGCGACTGGTTCTTTCCCGAACAGCTGATCGATTTCTTCGAGCGCAAGACCTGCCGTCTACATGATGAGGAAAGCCAGCGCGTCAGTAATTAATTGCTTGTGGCATTTTTTCTTGGAGCCGAACCAAATAAAAAAAAAAAAAAAAAAAAACAAAAGAGTACCGGACTCGAATTCGTAAGGTGGTGGCTTCTTACCTCGGGAAGGAAAAAGTATTGCACCACCGTGTGGACGATCCCAAGACACATGAAGACCAGGTAGTACTTCCAGCCGATGGCGGCTTGGGCGGTGGGCAGGAGTTCGAGCCAGAGCGTGTCGCAGAGGAAGAGACCGCATAGGCTGATGCCCACGGCCTGACCGCGAATATGGGTGGGAAAGATCTCCGAGACGACGGTGAAGGTGTTGGGATCGATGAATGTGCCGTACCTAAAGTGGGCGAAGAAAATACAAATTGAGCACAAAACTCGCGCGTAATAGTCTGCGGGAACGATTGAGATACTTACCCAAGCACATAGAGGAACAGAAAGACGGTGACGGCAATGGCCATATCTTTAGATCCAGTGTTGCTGTAGCTCCCGATCAGCCCGGTAGCAACAGTGAAGCATGCCACCGTGCCTCCGAATCCGTAGACTGGCAAGACGAGTGTTAGTAAGTACGCCTCAACAAGAAAAGGGGAAAGTCAACGGGGTTTGGGCTTGTATATCTTACCCATGGCCCAGCGACGCCCGATCCTATCAGATATGAAAGCACCGAGGACATTGGCGATGAGTCCAACTGTGTTCCAGGCTGCGGCCAAGAGAAGAGGCATAGAACCCTTCAGGCCAAGGGACTGGTAGATCAAAACGTTATAATTGTTGATGACCAGGATCTGTGCATTCATGGTCAGCGCTCCCAAGTCTCCCGACAGTACTCTCGGCTACCTACACCGGCGTTCTGACCACCCGCTGCGACCGTCAAGGCCAGGTATAATCTCCTTCGATACGACTTGTCTGTGAAGAGTTGCCATCGCCCTCCAACTTCGTAAGCACGGCGGTCCGCTTGCAGCTGACGCACTATCAAGTTGAGTTCTCGATGTGCAAAGGAATCCTCAGGGTCATTAACGTCGTGGTGCAAGCGACAAAGGATCTTCAGGGCGGCGTCATTTTGTCCACGTTGAACAAGCCATCGAGGGCTCTCGGGGACTAAAGTGAGGGAACTAGTGGTCAGCAAAGCGAGATCTCACACATGAGCGGAATTGTTTTCTCTTGCATACTGAACAGAGAGCCGACTATGAGGATAAGGGCCCAGAGAAGGAGAACGGCATTTGGGAATCGCCATGCAAACGTAGAGTCGGCCTTGTAGTAGCAAGCGAATCTGATAAAGAGCAAACGGTCAGTGTTGATCTTTTCTTGACGCCAGCTTGATGACATACCCTATCCACGCGGCCGAGAAGTATCCAACGTTGATAAAGCTCCCATGTGCACCTGTCATCAAGCCTCGAGAGTGAGGTGGAGCAACCTCTGAGAAATAGGTTGGCATCGCGACGATGAGCATGCCAGTTGGTATCCCCGTCAACGCTCTGCCGACTAGGTACTGCTGCTCGTGAGCAAAGTGTGGCACATTTCAACGTATGTCGGGTACAGACCATGGCCTGATTGACGGCACCACACTGAATCGAACCTCCCACAAGACCAACGAGGCAGGCGAGCAGGAATGTCCTTTTACGGCCCAGCGCATCGAGAGACCAGGCAGACACCAAACAACCGATGAAGCCAAAGCCAAAAAAGAGGCCGTTGGCAGCACCGATGATGGTCGCCGTGTGCGAGTATCCGGGTTCCGTTGGGACTGAAACCAAGTTCATTTTGCTGTAAAATGTCGGCTGGCCTATCGTGTTTCCGATCACGGCCAGACTGTAACCGGTGAACAAAGATCCAAAGGCCGCGAAGAGCACAACCTGTAATCTAGACGTGAGCAGATGGGAGGATTGGTCACGATGCGAGAGACATACCCATAGGTTGTAGTTCGAATAGGTCTCCATGTTTGAACTTGCTGGGGTTTTCACAGTGCTTAGAAGGAGGTTGTATCGCAGTCGTCCGAGGAAATTCGCAATGAAGCCAGCAAAGGTGAGGACGTGCTCAGAGTAGCAGCACAGACAACTATATAAGTCGTCCTGCTCAAAGGACAAGGATGGTTCTCTAACCGAGGATTCCCTCTTCCTGATTGACAGTTGGGGACCCCAGATCCCAGTATTCACTAACCCCCGCATGGTTCCACGGTCCCAGTAACGTGGGTCAGCCAATCGAGGCTCTGTCTCTTTGTGTATCGTGCTGTAAGGGCCTGCGAGTAACTGCAAAACATCCTCGGTAACAATACCATGAAACGAAGCCAGCGTCTTGGTCATGACTAAAGGCAAGTTCAAGGCGGTCACAACAGTCTAATAAACGTACTAGTCGAGCAAGCGTCTTCGTCTCGCAAGCCAACCTCGGTTGGGTTCAATTATACTCTCGAAAGAATCGATCTAGAGCAGCACGCGCAGGTTCAGTTCAGACCACTCGTCCCGCAGTGGTATCATCAGCGAGAATGTGCCTCGATCACTAGACTGGAAGTGCCACGCTATCTAGCTAAGCCATCCTCCTCGGCATTCTCGAAGGACATGTCGGTCTCTGTCGGTGTGTACGCCTTGTTGTTCTTTCCCACAAAGTCAAGAAAATCTTGTGAAGGCAACAAAGAGTTCGCTTCGGGATCCCAGTCCATGTCGAACCTTGAAGTAAATGAAGTTAGTAAAACATCACTAGGATATACTGACCAACGACGGGTTGAGTCAAGTCTTGAAGCACATACTGATGAGTCGGTTCGCACGTTGTAAACTTGAAAAAGTCCAGTTCCAAGTTGGAAAATATATCCTGGTCGGGGTCAGGAAAGCCGAAATCGATCGATGGCTGATCTGAGGATGGGGATATCTGGTATTCTTGATAGGGGCCGCTCGACGATCTGGCGTCCAGGAGGCCATTTGCCGAACCCAGTGAACCGTTCGGTACTTTTGTAGAGTTTTCCTCGTTGCCTAGTCTTTTGGTTCGATTCCTCATCCTCGATCTCGCTTCAGAAAAGAGTCGTATGGAGAAATCGGCTGCCCAATAAGTTCTGCGCAGCTCTTGTAAGACGGTCATGCAGGTGTCCAGCTGCTGAAGTCCCACTTGGCGGGACAAAGGGTTCGCTTGGGAAGCCTCGTAGAGATGCATTTGCATGGTCGGAGAGATTGCTTGGATCCTGTCGACGAGCACAGGTTAGCGGCAGGGTGAGACGTACGGTGGGAGAGCCTTTACAAAGCTGATTGGCAAACACTCAAGTAGCCCAACTGACTCAATTTGATGAGAGTAAGATTGACACTGGACGCGGCTTCCAATACCCTTGGCATGATGGTCGATCTCCACGCCTTGTGCTCGCTGGGTGATAAATCAGACGGTGACGACAAGATATAAGGCCGATACAACGCAATCAAGACGTTCCTAGAGCGATTGTCAGACCTTTGTCGTCTGTCTTCTCACTAACTTTCACCAAAGTACCTTTCGAACAAATCGAGCTGTAGGGAGAATAGCTGTACATCGGTGTCCTTGTCCAGGCCGGTCGTATCTGTTCTCATCTCAAAGTACTCAAGCAAGCTTTGCTGGCTCGTTTCAATCTCACTCGTAGTCGCTGAGAGCATCCCCGGCCTGTAGTGGCTTTTGAGAATGCGTGATAAGACGATGCTCAAGTGGAGATACTCGATCCAGCATTGCCCAAGGACGTGCATGGAAGCCGGTATATACTCTCGAAATCTGTGGTCTCGGTCAACTCCACTGACGAGGAGAATGTCCTCGGGGGTTGGCATGGGAAGATCTGTGTCTTTCGAATTGATCCTCATGGGTCGACCTAAACCAAAGGATATCCAAGTCTCCCGAAGGTAGCACGACCACCAGATCAGTCTCCAGAGGCTGTGATACGGGTATTTCGACTTGGAGGCCGAGGGAGGAAGCCGTGCTGGATTTCTGTGCAGCCCGACTGAATGGCACAGCCCGATCGCAACCCCAATCCAGTACCAGGAACCCGTGCGGTCTTCGGTATCAACATACCAATATGCCAGGAGGATCACAGACTGTATTAACACGATTTTATCTTTCTCATAGTCGACGTCGTATAATGCCTAGAAAATGCAATATTAGTGTTCGGCTTGCGGGAAACCAAATGCAAACGTGGTAGAGTGTTCGGACCTTTGCCTTCTGGTACATGTCCCGCTTCATGGCCTTACGGGAGCGAAAGCCTGCCTTACGAGCTAGCTCTGGACTGACAAACTGTGACAGCGGTCAGTTGTTGTTGCGTCAAAATGCCAAATCTGCTTGGATATCATACATTTGAAGCTGCGAAGAACACACTCCACAGAAGCATCAGATTGAGCTGCTGTAACCCATGCTCCTGGTAGCGGACCAGGAAGCGATTGGCGTCCAAGATTGGCAAGAAAGGGTGAACATATCGAAAATAGTGTCGAATAAGCTCGTCGCACACGCTCTGGTCTGGCAACGTGAATGCTCCTTTTGTTCGTAGCAAGGTAAGGTCTTCTTGACACACGGTCTGCACGGCAATTCGAGGAACCAAGTAGTGAGACGGCCGCTCGGTTTGGCAAACGTCCATCACAAAGGTCAAGACATTAGTTTCCCCTGTGCGACGAAGACGATGAGTACCAAGCTCGTATCACTAGACACTTTGCGGTGGTGGACCTACCTGCGTAGAACGGCGCGGTGGAATCTTTGTCTGGGCTGCCATTCATAGCATCGCTGTAGCCTCCGGGGTTGTCACCTTCATCGATATCGGACGAGTTCAAGGTGTCGTCTTGAAACTCCACAACGTCACGGCCATGCGTGGCAGGTTGGGACCTGACGAAATCCGACGTACCGCCTGCGGGCAGACCGAGAGACGAGTCGACCCGGACATGTCTCTCGCTGGATTCGCCTGAGGTCGCTTCGGACGGCGCGGGCTGAGCATCATCAGAGGGACGCGTTGCCAGTCCGGCAGAAGGCTCGCTGCCGCCAGGTTCGACGCCACTACCGCGTGCTCGTCTTCTAGTTTTATATTGTCTTTTCTCACACATCCATGTCAGTGCAGTGCGCCGATAGTAGGTGCAGTGCAGCCAAGCAATCCGAGATACGCACCTTGGTTTCTTTCGGGATGCCACTGTGCAATCGCATCCATCCTGTCGGCAATTCCAGCATGGAGGACCACATTGAATGACGTTACATCTGACCTTGCGAGCATGACACTGCTCGCAGGCTACTGAAGCCCGTTTTCGTGTACGTTGGTCCGGTGCTCTGCTGCCGGGAGACTTGGGCGTCATGTTTTGGCTCGCAAACGCTGCTGTTGAGTGACCGTAAAATTTCCAACCCGACGGCTACTAAAGCGCGCGTCGGCTGCCTAAGGGGGCCTGTCAAGCCTGTTTAAGTCTCCCCCTTGGAGCACACAGCCTTGGCCGGCCCTCGGATCGCGAACCCCGCAGCCGGAGAGCGCCGCTGGCCAGAATCCTCGCCGAGAAAGAGAGTTGACATGTTTGCTATTAACCACCTTGTAAAAGCCCGGCAGGTGACACCCGCGGCGGCCAATGACTAAGATCCTGTGTTGCGTTTTCACGAGATAAGGCTTCCCCCCGCCCCCGCCCCCTTACAAACGAGTTACCCTCGGTCCATGAGATTGGTCGTCTGGGCCCTCAGACCCGATATCTAGATTATGCCACTATCGGCTAGACTATGGGATCATGGCATGGCTAAATGCTCCACAAATCAGAGCTCCCTCGCTTGTTTCACTACTTCATAGCTTTGTATCTTAGAGGGAGCAATGAGTAGTTACACAGAAGCACCCCGGCAAAAGGTATACATTTGTGGAACGATTCCCTTGGAAGCCGACCAGAAATTCTCACACCATTTTGAGTCTACCAAGAAACTCAGCATGAGCTAATACTATATACATCCAAAGTTGTCGTATCTTGGCCCAGAGGCTAGATAGTCCAGGGGGAGTCGTCGTTGCGTATATAAGGTGCAAGTCCGTCGATGTTCGGCTTTCCATCAACCTGCTCATAAAATGCCTTGATTTTTCCATTCCCCAGGAACGCCCACTGATTGTCGTTCTCATATTCGAACTCGTAATCTTCAAAGCGCGGGACTTTGATCGTCTTGACATAAGTCAGGGCGCTTCCACACCACAATTGAGGTTCGCCGTCGACGGTGCCGTTCTTGTACCATGACCTGTGGATGTCATTCAATAGTGCTCAGGATCGTGAATGAGGGAGATCCTTACCGGCATGGCAATCCCCATACTGTTTTTTTGTGGAATGCGCTCATATGTTCATGGAATTGATCGGTAGCACGACGCTTCGGTTCCACAGATTTAATCTTCTCTTCCTGCATCTTCTTCATTACGGTGATGAAATATTCGCATGCTGTCTCGATCTAGACAGCGGTTTTGTCAGCCACATGTCAAACAGGAAGTGGGCGCCAAACTTACGGCAGGCAGAATGGTGCCATTTCCCAAGGGGCCTTGTGGGCCAGTGGTCATGAAGTAGTTGGGGAAGCGAGGAGCGGCAATCCCAAGATATGCGTCGGGTATGTTTTTCCACGCGGTTTCCATCGAGACACCTCCGCGTCCGATGACCGGGAAGGGTGGAATGAAGGATGTATCGAACCCAGTGGCACAAACCTACCGAAGGGAGTTAGAACTCGGCCAAACTGTAGAATACACCTCGCAAGACTCACCAAGACATCAACATCGTGCAAGGTTCCGTCAACCATCTGCACCGCAGTCTCGGTGAGTCGATGAATCTCGCCGAAAATTGGCTCGACATGAGGCTGAACGAGCGTCTCAAGATAGCCATCCCCGGGTGTGATTCTTCGGCATCCCGGAGCCCATTGTGGGATGATCTTAGCCTTCAGCTCCTCATTCCCCGGGCCCATCCTGTCTTTCATTTGCTGGACCATGAACTTGTGCATTTGCTGCTGCGTCGAACTGCCGTTGATGAACATGTCCGTAAGAACGTTCATTTCTGCTTCTATTCGACGACGGAACTGAAGATGGGCCTGAGGATCCGCCCGGAACTGCTCCTTCTCTTCTTCTGTAAAGGTAAACTGTTCGTGCTTGTTACCCTTTGTCGACCCGGGGTTCGCATCACTTGTGCTTTGGTGTTCACCGCCATGCTCATCCTGGAACTGAAGAGCAACGGAGCCGCCCAGCGCGGGCGATATCCAGGTAGGTGAGCGCATGAATACTTTCAACTTGGCCACATCTGGAAGGAGATGTTAGTCGCGGCTCCTTGGTCGACCTTTACCTCAGTAGATGCCGTCCAAGAACCAACCTTTTGCAATCTGGGGAAGAATCTATTGACCTGTGAGACACAACTTTGACATGCTGCAAGTTTCGTCTTCTTACCTGGATCCCACTAGAGCCATTCCCAATGAGTCCAACAGTCTTGTTCTTCAAATCCAGGCTGGCGTCCCATCTCGCCGAGTGCAGCTTTGGTTTTTGAAACGTCTCTATACCAGGAATGTTGGGCCAGCTCCATTTGTTCAGGAACCCGGCTCCGTTTATGAGGACGTCGCATTCATCTCTGAATATCCTCGAGGGGGTTGAGGTGCGGTCCTCGATTTCCAATCGCCATTTCGACGTGTTCTCGTCCCAAACGGCTTCCTTGACAGCATGAGAAAGCTTGGTAAACTGGGCGATATTGTGCTTCTCGTAAAATCCTACACGACTAATGTCAGAAAAGGGGATTCCCAATCATCAGCGACAGATTGACCTCTGCAATACCCATGGATTTCTTTGGAGCCAGCATAATACTCGGACCAATCCGGCTTGGGATCGAAGGTAAACGCTTTACAGAGATTGATTAGCGTTTGTCCCCTCGACCTCACTCTTTGAGAACTTACTATAGATATGAGCAGGTATGTCACAGGCACATCCTGGATATCTATTTTCTAACCACCTGGCTTGAAGTCAACATTGTCATTCTCCGAAGAAATCCCATCTCAGCACAAGTTTCTTACGTTCCACCGACGTCGTCGTTCTTCTCATAGATTGTCAGCTCGAACGAATCCAGCAGCTTCATCATCTTGTATGCGAGACATAGTCCTGAAATGCCCGCGCCGATGCATATCACTTTGATAGGTCGAAGGACCTCCGAATGGTACCATTCTGGCACCTGGTAAGTGCCCAGCGAACCCATATTTACCGAGTAACAGTCTTTGGTCCAGCCGATAGCGTTATCGATATCAACACTGCAAACAGCTGCTGAGAAGATGCTTCCGCGAGAAAAGTTGCTTCGCCCACCCACCCCGCTATATAAGTCTTGGGAGCCAGACCTCATTCACTTGCCGAGGTCAGTACGTATTTGTGACAGAAACGAAGCCCGATCTTGGACCATCATGCAAGACCCGCTCGCCACCTCCGCAAACCCCGTTCATTCCCCCACATTTCCCGATACTTTGGCTCCAGAGCTGGAGGCTTCGTGGTGATTGGACACAGTCAAGGTTCAAGATTGACTTACATGACTCGAGCTGCTCCAGCTGTAGGGGTATTTTCTTTTCTGTATTGTTGCCGAAATTACCTCGGTCAAGATTTGTGTCGATGAACAGCTGGATTTGGTTTGAGAGAAAAGCGTTTTGCAGCGGTTCAAAATTGATATCTTTCTGGACCCCCTGTCAGTCCACATCTATTGCTTGGTCGAAATTGATCATCTCCATGTATGGCAAGGTGGACAAAAGCAGACACGTACAAGTTGCTTGGATTGCAAATCAAACGACGTTCATGTCTGAAACCCTAACTCTTGTCCTCGGACAGCGATTTTCTTCATAGGTAGGGATATACGGCAGGATCGTAGGTAGGTCTCGTCAATGTTACAGTCCTTCCCACCATCTATGACACCGAGCCATTGGTCCCTGCAGCTTTCCTGATGCTATACTCCATCAACCCATCACCTGGACCGATCAGCTCCTTGTACTTGCCACCAGACGTGAATTCAGCCGCTTCATTCAAGTAGGGAAGAACTGGCCTGGCCGAGAACTCCCTTCCGCTGCACTCAATGGCCTGTCCAGTCACCGTCGCGTCTTGCAGGATATATTTAATGGCCTCAACGATCGTCGACGTCGGCGTAATAACCTCGCTTGGGAGTGCATCTGCCAACTCCTTGCTGAAGATGGCCGTGGGCACCGCACCAGGGCAAATGGCATTGACGGTGATGGGCTCGCCGTCATCCTTTAGTCTCTGCCCAAGGGACCGAGCAAGTCCCACAACCTAGACCTCGTCCTTCGCATCAGTCACAGCCACCATCAGTGACAACAGAGGTCCAGTGGCTGGGCTGGTACTTACGCCATACTTGGCCGCCGAGTAGAGTGAAACATCTGGCGCGGAGTACAGCCCTGCTGAGCTCGACGTCATGGCCAGCTTTCCTCCTTTCTCGGGATTTTTCCTGAAAAAATGTAACGCGAGGTACGACGACCAGATGACGCCCTTGAGATCAACATCGATAACCAGCGAGTCCGGTTCTTGGGGGGCACCACGGTAAAAGTCCTCTACAGGACGACAAAAGTCGAGTCTATCCACTATGCCCTTCTCGACTTGTCAGTGACCCGCAGACAGGCTTTGTCGAACATACGTACCGCATTGGCAAACACTACAGTCGCAGGTCAACATTAGTCTTGGACGCATTCGCACGAGCCAGAACGGAGCGTATACCAAAGTCGACTTGACCCCATCTCTCCACGGTCAACATAAACGCGTTTACCTGATCATTGTAGACGGCAACGTTGCCACGAACAAAGAGCACCCGGTCCCCAAATCTTTCGGCAATCTGTACTCCAGTGGTTGTATTCAAGTCGACGACTGTGACACTCCAGTCTGCATCGACAAGATGCTCGACGACGGCCAGACCAATTCCCGAGGCTTTGGACAGATATTAGAGTGGTGGAAACACCATGCATGGGCAGGACACTTTACCTCCTCCCGTGACTATGGCGACTTTGGCAGGCATTTCGAGTGTAGACTCCAACCTAGTAGCTCTTGTCGACACAGCGAGGGCCGAGCCCCTGGAAGTCGGTATGTAACAGGCACTGCTAATCAATGCACAGCCAAGCAAGACTGAAAAGCCAGACAGATATGATGCGTGGTCAATAGGTGTTCTGTGAGTGGTTGCACTGGCTGCCTGGCTCGTCCAAGCAGCCGCAGCCTTGTGGACAGGGGGGTAAGCGGAAGCCGGCTAATCCGGTATCATGATTGCCGCAACATGTTGATATTAGTCCGAAAACCTCTCTCGCGTGACTCAGACACATTAACCACCGTCAATTCCCCCCTGGCCGCAGTTGATGAAGACTTCATAGAGGCGGCCCTTCAGCCGGCAAGGCAATGATGCTGCCCTCGCCTTAGCCAACACGTCTCGCCAGCTCTGGATGCACGTCTCAAGGATGGGCGGGTTCAGCCCAGTCTTCACCAAACACCCGGCTCAGGGAAAAAGCGCACCAATATCTGCGGGTTCCAGACTTCCGGGTGTGGAGTTGTCCTGGGGTTCCCACGGGGCTGGTACGGTTCATCCTTCGGCCCACCGGCTGGGATGGCGACTTATAGATGCTGTATGTGAGACGCCAGGTCTATCTATCCAACTGTGGTGTGACATTCAAGTCGTGACCGCAAGCAGCTTTGTTTTCCTTGCCATAGTCAGGACCAGGAATTTTGAGAGACAAAAAGAATGGCGGCCGCGATTGAGCAGGTCCCTTCCTCAAAGGAGGATGCGGCGATCGAGCATGCCTCGGTGTCCCAAGTCGAGGAACTGAGTATCGACGACCTGGCCAAGCCTGAGGATATCATGATCATTACGACTGAGAATCCTTATGGCGAGATCAACTTCATCGGAACCTACTGCGCCATCGCGCTCTCTCTCATGGGGGCCTACGGTGGTTGGACCATGCCAGCAACGTCTCTGTCTTATATCAATGCCGACCTAGGTGCGTCAAGACGATATCAGGTCCATCAAACACACTTCGAGGATTCATCTGGTGCGGATTCTGACAATGCGGTTGCATAGGTCCCACCCAAGACATCAACTGGGTTGCTCTCGTGTGGACTCTGTGCACGGGCATCGGCTTCACCCTCGTGGGCCGCCTCTCCGACATTTTTGGACGTCGCTATTTCTTCATCGCTTCGGCCGTGTTGGCGACTGTCGGTTGCATTGTGGCCTCCAGAGCCCAGACCGTCAATCAGTTGATTGGGGCAAACGTCCTGATCGGCCTCGCTGCGGCGGCGCAATCTTCATTCAACTACGTCGTCTCCGAACTGGTCCCTGTCCGACATCGGTTCTACGCCCTGTTTGGCGTCTACCTCTTGGGAATTCCCATTCTCGCATTCGGCCCGATATGGTCACGTCTGTTTATCGTCCACACCGCACAGAGCTGGAGATGGGATTACTACATGATGACCATTCTGAGTATGGGAACGCTCCTCCTCGGAAAACTCCCCTCAAAAAGCGATGTCTAACCTGTCTCGCTGCCAGATTTTGTCAATGTGCTCCTCTGGACCATCTTCTACCACCCACCGGACTTTGAGCACTTGCATCGAAACCGGTCCAAGCTGCAGGAACTCAAGGAGATCGACTACGTCGGCATCTTCCTCTTTACGGCTGGCATGCTCCTCTTCATCATGGGTCTGTCCTGGGGTGGCGTCCAATACCCATGGAAGTCGGCACACGTGCTCAGCACGCTTGTGATCGGAGCTGTCCTGGTCATTGCCTTTGTACTCTATGGTTCGTCCGCCTTTGACCCTCTTTCTAATTTCTCTACCCGAAGGAAGCAGCCCCTGGCTGACTAGGAACATAGAGGTTTACATGCCCTTGCGCCGGCCGATTGTTCCGATGCACCTGTTCAGAAACAAGGACTACTCGGCGCTCATCGTAGTGACGACTGTGGGAGGCATGATGTACTTTTCAATCAGCGGTAAGTCGAAGTGATCTGACGGCTACCCATGACCTCACTTATCTTCCCATTTGCTAACTCGCGTTTATCAAAAGCCATTTATCCTCAAATGGTGGCTGTCCTGTTTACGAACGACATTGTCTACGGCGGTATTCTCTCGTGCACTGTCACCGCGGGCACAATTGCTGGGCAATTAATCGGCACCGCGACGGCCGTGGTAGGTGGGCGCATGAAGTGGAAGCTTGTGGCTTCTTGTGTGGCCATGACTGCTTTCAATGGCGGCGTTGCGGGCGCTGGCGAGGATAAGGCCATAGCGACTGCCTTGTCCTGTCTCGGGGCTTGTATGGTCGGTATCCTGGAGGGTTATGCATGTGGTCTTGTCACCATTGTGATCGACGACCAAAAGGAGCTGGGCGCGGCAGGAGGTATTTTCGGCAGCGTCAGGACAATTGGCGCTGTCGTGTCAAGTGAGTCTCCCATCAACACTTTGTGTGGCTTGCTTCTATACACTCGTCTTCTCCTCGAAAGGGTATCTGAAACCGATACTGATAACCTGGATCTACAGCCGCCATCTTCACATCAATCCTCAACAACAAGCTGTCGGGACATATCTCCGGGGATGTCGTCCCTACCATTGTCCAGGCAGGCCTCCCCGTGTCTTCGGTGGAATCCTTCGTCGGCGCCCTCACCGCAGGCAACACAGACGCAATGAGCAAGATCCCAGGCGTGACGCCGACGATCATTGCCACGGCAGCAACGGCACTCAAGGACGCGTACTCCAAGTCCTTCGCCATGGTGTTCCTGGCCAGCATCGCATTTGGCGGCTGCGCCATCATCGCGGCCCTTTTTGTCCCCAACGTCGACGACAAGATGACGCACGAAGTTGTGCGCCGACTGGAGGCGAGTGGCTTGGGTAAATTCGGCGGCAAAAGGGAGAAGAATGCGACTTCTGTCACCGAGACCAAGGCGTAATGGGGCTGTTGAGAGTGGTGTGTGTCTAACAAGGACGACGTTGCCAGATTTCCAGACGTGGCAGCCATGTTGGAGAGATTCTCAATTGCAGAGTCGTGCAGTATTCGAGGAGGTCGGAAAATAATCTTGTGACCCTAAAACACCCCTGGGCTCTGTCGACTTTTGGGGGGAGGGCCAAGCTTGATGATTCTGCATTTTTTTCCTCTGGAGTCCGAGCCCAGTAATTCAAGTACATAGTCACCCACTGCCGTAGCCTGATAACGAATAGTGATGATGGCAGTAGGACTTATTATGGGGCCTGGCAAACAAGGCTGAATCGTCCCAATCAGGAAGGATGTGGACCCCCTGACCCCCTCTTGGCTTATGTACATGTAGAGTATCTAATTAAAGGCCTGAGAGGATTCAATCCCACTCCGTAACATGTCACATTTTGGCGGGATGACATCCTCATTCCCACCCCAACTGCATCAGAATCCCACGTGGAGATCATCGATCGTGCAAACGCCTTGGTGAAGTCATGTGGTTTACCCCGTCTATGTTGCAGGTAGGCTGCGAAGCTTCTGGTGTGCAGCACCCCCCAGAACAGGATCTCCCTGCTGGTCCAGGATTCAGGCGACGTTCCTTCATCAGCTTATGTTATTTATTTGATCCACGCACCGGCTCTCTTTCGTGACCGAATTTCCAGATTTCCCGTGTCTCAAGGCCATGGATTTCTGTCGGGCCTTACACCAAGGCCGTACACAAAGCCATGTTTCCACGGCAACCGGAGAGGGTCAACACTCTGGCCACGACCATGATTGGGTTGTTGTTGGGACATCCTCCACTGTCCGGACGGCATGGCTGATGAGAGAGATGTCATCATGACTGCCAGCTACCTTCTTTTTCAGAGCTGAGATGTCCAGCACTGTAGGGTTTGTGGCGGGGCTGAAAAGTAGAGTCTCTCTCTGTTTGTCCCCAGCCTTGATCCTTGTAGCCCGCGTGCCCGCCCAAGGTTTATTTCGTATCGACCCAACAACCACAGGAAGGCTTAAATGGAGCGTGAGATGCTTCCTCGCACTTCAACACCGCGGCCATGTTTCTACTGGAGGTGTTGCTGTCCTGCTCCGAAAAGACAAGTTTCGGTGGACAGGCTATAGCCTGAAGCATTGGAGACCCAGGCACCCAGGTTATGTCAAGTGATTGATCATCTCAAGCCAACTGGTACAACTGAAGAGACAGTCGGAGTAACAGCCTTGAGCATTGCGCACGCGCACACACACTCTCTCTCGCTAAAATACACATGCGCACCACGGCGCTCTTCGTGGGTCTACTTCCACAGCTTCAAGGGCGGGACACAGAGTAAGGACCTACCCTTTTTACAGATCATCGCGGTCACGAGACACTGTCTATCTACCGCCTACCGTGGCAGCACTCGACTAACAGAGCCCAACTACCAGTAACGATGGAGCATACACCGAAGTCGTACAAGCCACGAGCTGGAGCTCCTCCGCGTCCTACTACACCACGTACGGCTCGACCGTCACGACCTACATCCCTTGCCCGGTCATCATCAGCTACACAACGGTGCGGTACTGCTCGACCTGCAGCACGTGCGGCGGGAGCTGTGGTTCCACCACACAGGTGCAGACCACCACCACCAGCGCCACCGTCTGCGTGCCGAAACTGTGTTCCACGGCTGTCAACGACGTCGGCCAGGCGACCACCACGCCCTTCGTGGCGGGAGAGTACGCTATCGCCTACGTGACGAGCAATGGCGGCGGCGGACAACCCGCTGTGACGACGAGCATCCCCGCGTCCTCGTGCACGGCTTACGAGCAAATCGCACTCAGCGAGATCGATTGCCAGACCCTCCCTGTGTGCGGCGGCGGCGGCAGCGGAAGAAATAGCGGACTCACGTGCGAAGCGAAGCCGTGCACCAAGTACACGGACAAGAACGGGGACGGGAACTACGACCCTGACGAAACCCTCACCGAGGGCACGCAGTACTTCTTCACCGAGTTCGCACGGCTCACCGTAAACGGCCAGGTCACATCCACGGCGGCCAGTCTATGCGAGGCGCTCACCGTCCCGACACCATGGGCCGCCGATGTCCAGGCCACAGTCGTCTGCGGTTCTGACGACAACAACAATAATAACGACAACACCAGTGCCGGCGACGGCGTCCAAGTCATCACGTACACGTACACGACCGACGGCGCCACCGTCGTCGTCGCCACCACCCTCCCCTCGCGCGGCGGGCCTTTCCATCTCACTGCCGCGGGCGACGGCAGCAGCAGCAGCAGCAGCAACAGTGGCTATGGGCTCCGCGCCGGGGGAGATCCAGGAACGACGGCCCTCTTCTGGACATGTGTCGGCACGGCGCTCGTCGCGGGCGTGGGCGTGGGCATGATTGTTCTGTGAGTAGTTGAGGGTCGTGAGATGACGCAGGGCACGAAAAGGAGAGATAAAGGAAGAGAATATCGACAGCACCAGACGTATACGACATTCGACATTCGACAACGTTCGACAGTACCTACATAGGTACCTTGTACACGTACCTGCCGGTAGAGGTAGGTATGTATTTTTACGAGGATGACTCCCTAGGTACCTACCTGCACAGTCGACGACGACAAAGAGTCCCTGATAACAATGTAGAGTAAGTATACATACAGCCCGGGGCGGCGCAGCACAGCACAGCACAGCACCACAAGGGAGGGGGGGAGGGGGGGGTACCAGGCAAGCGATCAAGAATGCCATTCTTTCCGATGCCTTTTCCCCTACTTCTCGGGTGTATGGGAGAACACACGGAGATTCACCATGAGCGCGCACTCAATGGACATGTTACCTAGGGTATACATGTCATACACATCATACATACATGATGGTACATAATGGTACACGACGGGACACGACGGGCCATGACTGACGTCGCGATGGTCGCGATGGTCGCGATTAGATCAGAGGAAGAAGGACCTGCGTAAATATGTGTATGTACGTATACACAGAAATTGGACAGAGGGTGGTCTGGCCGTCTCGAGTATCATACATTATATCATGCCCCTATAGGGGTCTCGTGCGAAAGGAATATGTTTACATAACCTCTATGATCAGGTATAGAGAAATGCAATGGGATGGAAAAGAACGGGAAAGGTTTGGATGATGGGCGCTCATGCATATCACGTTTACCATCCCATCCAAATGGAAACGACGGAGAGAGAGAGATGCTCGTGTTGATGTTGTCGATGTTGATTTATCCTAGCAGTACTTAAAGGGTGTCGCAAAAAAAGATTCCCAAGTCGAGTATCGAAGTATTGAGAATGGCATGTCGTCAGTGAGGCTGGCGCCCCCTTTCCACCTCTGAAAAAGCCAATGTGGCCACCATCAGTCCATCCAATTGTTCAATCCGCTTCATCGGGAACTCCAACAATCCCTGACCTATGGATCAATGCAATCCTCGTCAAAAAGTCATTCCAAACCTCCAGAGATCTTTTGATCAAGTCAGAGTCCAGTCTGCAGGCACTCTAGCAAGGTATGTAGCTGTCCAAAGGTCTAGGTCTGAACTGTGCCTCGGAAATATAGTGCGGTTCGTCTTCTCAAGGCTGGCGTTTGAAGGCTGGCGCAAGTTGCTCTTTGCTGGTCCTGTGGTGACTGCTTGAAGTATGCTGGTCCTAGGATGCTGGAAGGGGAGACTAGTGAGCCTAGGTTATTGCGTCCAGCTCATCACAGTTCTTCCTGCAGTTCTCTGATCTTGTAGTATATTTCCTTCAAGACCTCTTCTTTACCAACCTGTTCCAGCCCATTAGCAAAGCAGATGCAACTAGATTGTCGAAAACAAGAGGCAGATATCGATAGCGGTACCAACGAAACAGCGCTGGTGATGCTTACCTTTATCTGGAAACCCGTCGGCTTCCCTCCCTCCAAACCAGTGAGGTGCATGGTCTTTCCACTCGGTTCTTTGCCGTCGTGTGTGCCCACATTCATCTCTTTAAACACCGGCGTGTTGAGCAGTAGACGATGTGTACCCATGGCGCGCATGATGAGTCGACCCCTGCGTTCCAGAGTCACAGACGACTCGCGTTCGCCGCCTTCAAGAGCAGCTTCAATATCTTCTTCGTTTGTTTCCACAGAATCGTCTTCTTTGGGTGCCTTCTCTCCTCCGTTTTTGCCGTCTGTGGCAGGTGTTTGCACGGTTGATCTCGCTTCATATCGCATGTTGATCTTGAAATCCCCTATTCCGCTCTCCTTCCACTCCCTTTCAAAGTGATATAGCTTCGCCCGACAGCTGAAGACCGTCTCCTCGTCTTCTTCTCCGGTATTGACTACCGAGTATCAGTTAGCAAAAGCCCCTCACTGGAGTACCAATACAAACTCACGCTCTTGCTCGCGGAATCTCGGGTCTTGCTCGGCTTCTTCGCCCGCCGCTTGTGCTTCGTCGTTTCCGCCTCCGTCTTCACTATCTTCCTCGTCTTCATTCGTCTTCGCCCCAAATGGCTTCGGCTTGCCAAACGTGCCTGTCGCTCCCGCCGAAGTACCAAATGGGGAGAGGCCCGCACCAAGTGGTTTTGCAGCACTTCCAAACCCGCTCCCTCCTCCGAATCCAGCAGCAGACCCGAAGCCGCCTCCAGACCCAAAGCCGGACGTGGGTTTACTCGCGAACGGTGACGCACCTCCGAATCCGCCAGAGGACGATGCGAACCCGCTCGTTCCTCCGCCCCCACCAAATCCGCCGCCAGCTTTGGCTGTCGCACCTACCGCTCCGAAGGGTGACTTTTCGGACGCAGCAAACGCTGACAATCCAGAAGAAGCAAAGGCCGAACTTGACGTCCCGCTCCCGGGAGACAAAACCGAGTCCGATGCTTTCTCCGGGGATTTGGGGGACTTGGGGGATTTGAAGCTACTGAACGGCGAGGTGGTTGATGTGTTGGCGAAGCCTGATGATGCCGTGACCTGTAGTTTGGCTTCTTCTTTGGTTGATGGCAGGGCTTTGACTTGGGTCTCGGCTGCCACTGATTGCTTCTCCGAGCTAGCAGCAACACTAGATGATTTATCCTCTGCAGTTGATCCATGGGCGTCCTGCGCCATAGCAGCAGTTTCCATCTCCTCCTTCGAGGGGGCCAACACTAGAATCCCAGGCCCGCCGGGAGACTGCTGTGCCTCTGCGTCACTCTCTTCCTGGACCGGGCTCGCCATGTCCTCGTATTTCTCAAAAGTCTGTATCTCCTCGTCGTTCCCCGAAATCTCTCGGGATCTCATCCTCTTGTGTTGGCTTCCCTTCTTTGGGAGAGGGGCTCCTCCATTTTCGACACCGGGACCAGACTCTTCGGTTTGCAGGTCTTCGAACGATCGTTTCTTCGACGGACGGCCTCGAACTTGTCCATTTTCGCTTTGTGACTCGGGCAATGATTCGACCGTCCCAGCATCGTCCACAGGGTGATCTCCAGCGACTCCAGGCTTTACCTTGGAATACTGCGAGAGTCCTGCAATGGATGTTTTCTTCAGTTTCTCCCGCGCGGTGCGTTCGCCCCCCTCGCCGTCTGAACTTCCTTCTTGAGGCGGTAGATCTCGTATGACTGTGTCTTCTGTTGATTCCTGCGGCGGTGGCAGGTGGTCTGCTTGGTCGCTTGTAGCCATCGTGGGTGATTGGAATCGTAGTGACCGGATCTTGTTGACGGAGATGTTCTGCAGCCCGTGTAGCTGCGGCAGTCTTCAAGGAAGCGGGGACTCGCAGGTTAGATCCTCCTTTGTGTGGACACCGTTATCCGACCGGTTGGTGCAGATGTTGAGATTGGCACTGATGGATTGTATGATTGGGTTCTCAACCTTCACACCGTTCAGGCAACTTCCCCCTCATGGACCCAGCCCAAGTCTTCTTGGATGACACGAGTACTTGACCCGAGTGCGAAAGGGAGTCCAGAAGGACTGCTTGCGCCTCGAGTACTTGGAGGCTCGAGAGGCGGTGCGAAAGCAGTGGTCGTCTTCCGTGCTTGGTGGTCGGAATCACAGGTCAACAACGACGTTTGCGGGAGGGTTTCCCAGTAGGAACTTGGGACAGTTTGGGTGCAGTAGAAGGTGTAGAGTATCCCTTGGGAGTAGCCCCGACGTAGGCGCTACAGACCAGAGATGGATACACAGTCAGAGGGATGTGTGGTCGGCACAAAGATACAGGTACGATATGATTGAAGCGGCTCAAGACGCATGATGCGCAGGCACCTGCTCCGCACAAACAACAACTCACAAACTTCTCATATTCCGCCCCACTCACAGCAAATGTCGTCAGGGCCTCAAACCAAAACACTTGAGACGTTGCCATGCTATTGGAGTCCATTATTCTACATTACATTTTTAGAATACTAGACTGGCAGTGCGAGAGGCACAACAGCCACCCATTCCTGGAATCTAACTAATAAAACATAGGCAGCCGAGACTGACATAGAAGACAAAGAGAGGATAGACGCTCAGGGCCACCCTATTCTTTACAACCCCTGATCCTCCGAGGATACTAACTCCGGCTGCTAGTGACCATGCAACAAGAACAATGTATACAGGAATGCGCGCAATAGTTGGGAGGCCGAGCGCGCTTAGGAGGGCGGCAATGGTGAGTGGGAACAGAGTATACCCAATAATGGAGACGGATTGCATGAACGAGCTGGAAAAAGGGTCAGCACTGGTGGAATTGAACAAGGGATTGGAAGGCCTCACATATTTCCTCCCAGCAGTTTGATCTGGAGGGTTACCACAGCTTCGCCAATCCAGACCAGGGAAAAGACGCCAGAAAAGACCAGGTCGGTCTGGCCTTTGCTGGCGCGCATTGAAAGGAAGACGCTCAGCAGCAGGCAGAATATTAGAGGGCCCCTTGGTACAACTGTTAGCATGCGTGCAGTTGGCAGTAGATTTTATCTCACCATAGATCCCAGTCTCTTAAACCGTCGCTCATCCCTCCCTGCAGAATGCCATCTGCGTCAGGCCAGCGACCTAGAATGCCTCTAAGATCTCTTCCCAATCCTCCTCCCTGGCTCTCAACATCGCCCATGCCGGTGCCCTGTCTCTGAAGCATGCCCCCAAGCAAATACTTGGGGTAGAGGACTTGTTTCATTTTCTCCCACACGGCGAATAGGTCTCGAGATACCGTGTCCCAGACACTCTCATCGATGGTGTTTTGTGTAGCATGCCTGTCTTCACCAGGTATTCTCGAAGTCAGATAGCTTTGGTTCAGGGGTGCGCTGGAAGAGGAGGATTGAATGTTGCCTGTCAAAGGGGCGCGATCGGAGGGTTCGTCGGGTTCGACTTCTGCAGAAAGTGAGCCTCACTCATGTCTTTGTTGATTGAGCCAGGGTCCTGTACCATCATTGAGGAAATCATCTTCGAGTACTTCATGGTCGTCGTCATAGGAGTTTCTCGATAGTCCACTGGCCATGGTTGCTAGCGTGTCAACATCCGCGGGTGAAAAAGGATGCCTGACAGCAGTCGCTGAGATAAACAGCAGTGAGGATGTCGCGCAATCACGATATCATGTAGAGCGTGTCGGACTGAGGTTGGTCGATATAATGGAGCAGTTTGTACGCGGTTGTCGCAGTCTCTATGGGGAAGGTCTTGTATTATGGCAGCCTCTGAACCAACTGGTGACACAAGAGATCAGGCGTGGGTCACCTCAGTGGATAAGTCAGACATTACGTAACCCATATTGGCCGTCATCATCCCTTACACCCTGCGATACTATACAACCGTCGCAGTTTCACACACCTTCCGCAATTCCAGCTTGAGTGAAAGGGTGGTGCGTCAGTCTCTGGATCAAGAGATACTACCTGGCTTTCATTCAGGGTCTTCAACTTTACCTTCATCACCTTCAAATGTCCTGTTATCCGCCAGTCTGATGAATTGCAAACCTTTCTCCAATCTGTCAATGAGCATCGTATCAAATGCCTTCTCCTTAAAGCTAACCCTCCCGGTCCACCAGTCCAGCAAAGAGGTTGCCCTCGCGCCCTCCGGTGCTCGCAAGAGCCCTACACTCACATCGACCAGATCCGGCCTTTCGAGGCAATTCCAGAAGACTGTAGCACCACAACGACAGCAAAAGTCACGAAAACAGCCCTTGGAGCTTTCAATCTGTTTCAGAGTGCCCATAGAGGGGTCCGGCGGCCTTCCATCAAGCTGAAAAATGTTGGCTCTCGGGATAAAAGCCCAGGCTTGAATTGGCGACCCGGAGGCTAATCTGCAAGACCTGCATGCACAAGTGCCTGCCAAGTATTTGGAACCGTTTGCACGCAACCACCACTTGATGTCTTCCCGATTCCGCGAGATGGGAGAATGATCGGGGACAAGCAAGTCTGGCCACGGTGAAGAGCATGTCCTTGAGAGGATATTAGGCCGGGTGATGCGGAAGTTGACCCCTCCACAATGACAACGTGCGTACACGTCGCCTAAATCTTCAGACATCATGGCAACCTCGTCCACTTCACCTTTTCTAATAGGAGAGCTATTGTGGTCGCTTCGTGTTGAAACATCTCGCGTCAATCCCGTAGCAAGAGCTCCGTCCGGTCCCTGCAAATAAAGAGGTACTGAACAACCGTCTGCTTCGGCTAAGCAGATAGCCAGTCCCCCATCTTTCGTATCACCAACAAACTCATGTTGGACAATTCTTTCCAGACTCAAAGCTGACGTAGCTGATAGCCCTGCCACACCATCGACAACACCTGAGCAAACGGTCCAAGTGTCATCTTTGTGGATGTTGACAAACATGGGGGAGCCACACATGGGACAAAAATACCTGGTCAGCTTTGGGGAGGAATCATATTTGGTAAGTCCATCCGCAGTATTTGGTCTCGACGTGAGGGGGAGACACGAGAAGTACAATCCACCAGTGCTGTACCGGCAGCTGTTACATGAGCAAGAAGACACGGGAACAGGTAGTTGGGAAGCTATCTGTAGTGTCTCTGAATGTTTCCCACACAAGCATGTAACATTGACAATTGTGGTCATGGCTGCAGGTTGAGCGAATTGTCCGCAAGTGGAGATGTCAAGCTTCTTATGTGACTCAGCTTCTATAGCAGCGGTGTCATTGCCGAAGTAGACAGCATTGATGACCAGGGCGCGACGCAGGACTGCCTCAGGCACGAGAATATAGATAGAGAGGTTTCGACTGTCTCATTTGCTTTGGTGTGACGATATAAGAGGCAGTGAGATGGGGGCCAAGGGGCGAGGGGCAAGGGTGTCGCTGGAAGATCGGATCGTGTAAAGGTGACCTCTAGCGATGGGGCGACGATGTCGGCGTAAGAGGTTTCGACAGAGGGAGACGGAGGATCTTTGAGCACATTATTAGCATGGTGGTTTGTGGGATACAAGGGCCTTATGCAGCTATCGGGAACTTGGTAAGCAGATAAGTAGACCAGGATGATGGATCGATCGATCACAAGGGAGTCTTCCCTGCATTGCTTTGTCGTTCTCTGGAAAGAATAATATTTTAAGAGGCCCAAAGCAGTTTAGGGTGTTTGGCACGGCACACGCATCGCCGCGTAGGATGCAACCGAAGCGCATCCAAGTCCGAACATAAAAGCGTGGCTCCATCTCGCTTCCTCTCTCTGGGTTCCTCTCCTTTTCCTCTTCCTTCTTCCTACAATCAGCAACAAGAAATCTCCCAAGTCTTTTGTTCGCATCCCGCACACGCCAGCTGTTCAGTCTTTGAACAAGCAACCCCGCAGTCTACTAAGCAAAGCACTCGCTTCCTAACAACAAAATGGGTATGCGCCTTTCAATGGAGGAGGGTTCGATTCGTTCGTGCTGCATATGGCTGACTCGCTGCATCTAGAGCCCTGCTGCGGCTGTGGCTCTGCCTGTGAGTAGCATTACCCCACCTCGATTCAAGGAGTATCCTTTGCTAACATGGATACAAGGCCGATGCCCTGCTGGCCAATGTCAATGCACGTGCGTTATGATCGATCCATCACTGTGGTCGGCAAGAAGTGGCAACTGACGAGCCCGCTCACAGAAAATAAATAACCCACCGCATAACACTCCTTCTATCACTTTATTTTGCCCGAACACAGAATACCTTTCATGACAAGGGAAATACAGCTGCACAGTATGCTCTGGCAAGAGATGGTTTAATCAGACACGGCAATAGGGATGGCCATTGTCGAGATAGAGCAGACAAGCAAACGTAGCTTTTTATGAGAACAATGATATGAAAAAGCCGTCAAGGCCATTTCCAATGAACTCCTAATAGCTGGAACCCTAACACCAGAATCGTGAGTCTACAAGTAGAGAGTACTAGTACAGGTTGCTGGCTTCGTGTCCCGGCTGCTGGTGCGTGCCGATGCGACCCGATGAACGGACTGGCAGCACGTGGCGGGGTAATCATTAATTCTGTCTTCTCTTATCGGCCCCTTATCGTTATCTTATCGAACTGTCTCTCCAGGGTCTGGCGGGGAAGCACCTCCGGGCTGTAGTCAGCGCAGGGGATACCGAGAACAAAGTAATTCTTTAAAGCTCAATATTTCTTCTCCTGCAACGATGAGCAAACGCTGTCTGCCAGCGATCTCGTCGACTGCCCATGTCCAGCCGGAATTCTCACCGGCTTTGCTGCTGGGCATCCTCGAATATACCCTGTTCCTGACTAAGTTGAGTCATACTGACGCAATGGTGCTTTAGGTGTCGCTGCACTGTCGTCCCCTTGAGGTATGAGGTAACTGCCATGTTTGGTACCGACGACGACATCGCGGGTACCGTCCATCAATCTAGCTCGCTTGACTGAGGAGCCTAGCGTCGACGGGTACCGGACTCGCCTGCCCTTCGCCTTAGGGAGAGATTCGCCCTCTTCACTACTACTTCGAGTTCTCTCAGGCTATGGAATTTCGTTGCTCGCCATGCCAGTGCCAGTCCATCTCTCTTCCCGTGTCAAAGGCTCCATATTTGGCCTTGCGGTGTGCGACGCACTCGGGGGCCCCGTCGAGTTCAAACCCCGCGGTTCCTTCGACCGGGTGACGCAGATGCTGCCCAACGACAACTTCGGTCTCCCAGCGGGTTGTTTCACGGATGACACTTCGATGACTCTGTGCCTGGCTCACTCGCTTCTGGAGTGTGGCGGCCAGTCCAATATCGTGCACCAGGCCGAAAAGTACATCTCGTGGTGGCGGGACGGATACATGTCATCGGTCGGTCGGTGCTTCGACATTGGGGTCTCGACGAGAAGTGCGCTCGAGATGTGGGACAATTTCCTCCATCTCGTGCCTCGGGACTCGTCACCACCGGTGGAAGAGACGGAGCGTGCGATACTCAAGAAGATTTCCTTTTCGTTCGGCAAGGACGAATATTGCGGCAATGGGAGTCTGATGAGAGTGCTCCCAGCGGCCTTGCTCGCCCCCAGCGAGCCGGATGCCGTCCATCTGGCGCACGAGAGCTCGCTGCCCACACACCCTCATCCGCGGTGCGCCCACGCGTGCATGATCTACACTGCGTTGGTCCTACAGGCGCTCAACGGTGCGTCCAAGACCGAGCTTGCCGTCAGCTTGGCCGAATCGGTGCGAGAGGTCCCCAGCAATATCTCCGACACTCCCGTCGAACCCGTGCTCGCGGAGAGGCTAGGCAAGTACCAGACACTAAGAGATTGGGAGGAGACGCCGGCGGAATCAATCCGGAGCACGGGCTATGTTGTCGACACGCTCGAGGCGTCGCTCTGGGCCTTCTTCAACGCCGACACTTTCGAAGAGGCCGCAACCCTCTCTGTCAACTTGGGTTACGACGCGGACACTGTGGGCGCGATATGCGGTGGACTCGCTGGGGCATATCACGGGTTCGAAGCCATTCCCGACCGCTGGCTGCGCGAGATGAAGAAGACAGACGTCCTCGACGAAGTAGTGCAGAAGATAGTCGAGCACAGGACCAGAACAGTTTAAGCTTGTTAGACATTTCTACATGGTATGGAAGATGCATACTCGGTACTTTTTCTCCTCTACTCGACTATAATCGTCCAACTAGTTCCTCAGTCATGCCCAACCCACTCAGGCAGATCCTTGGGCAGAAAAATGAACCAATATCTCTGGGGTGGAGTCGAGACATAGGATACTGCGTACTGTACACTTCTCCACCCAGTCATGAGTTTACCAGACATGCGTAACCTCTTCCAAGTTTAGTTTTTTTTGGCGGGGGTTCGTCATAGAACGAATCATCAAGCGGATAGATTGGTTCGTCTGCATCGGTTAGCGTATGGTGGGTAAGGTAGACGAGGGGATACAGTATACATTACTTGTACGTATGCACAAAGTATGTTGGTTACTCGGTTATGTAGGATTTGCCACCGCCAACAGCAAAGACAGAAGGATAGGCAGACACAGACACAGGAGACTAGGAAAGATCATCTGACCTGACGTGACTGGTTGAATTTCAGGCCAAACGAAGAAATCAGTGACGCCACTCCAGCGCAGGCAGCGAAGAAGCTAAAAGGGATATATCAAGAATACCTTCCTCCCGAGTCAGGTATTTATATACAACCCCCCTCTTTATTTTCAACATCCCTACTTTTAGCATACGGTCATCCATCGCCCTTGACCTTTCAATACTCATTATCCCAAAGAGGAAAACGATACCTAAAGGATTTGATTTCGATTTCGATCCCGATCCACCTCTCTCCTTCATTCTCATTCTCATCCTCACTCACACCCACACACCCGCGCACCGCCCCAGGCAAAAGTACAACCACAGCCCACCGCCCACACCCCGTAAAACCCAAAACACAAAGTCATAATGTCCAACTACTCATACGGCTCGGACCAAGTGTCCCGCGGACAGCACCAGCAGGGCACCGCCGGCTCTAGCGGTGACAGCGGCACCAGTGGCAGTGGAGGCAACTCGTACGGCTCAGTATTCTACAGCGCATCGGCGTCGTATTCCATGTCTAGCTCTACTTCGTCCTCGACCGGTGGCAGCAGCAACTCGAACCACGCCCAGCGGTACAGCGAGACCATGACGAGCAACGACCGCGACGGGACCAACATCCGGCGCGTGGCCGAGGAGACGGGCAGGCCCACACTCAGCGAGGAGACGTATATCCCGCCGCAGCGGGGGTCCGTGGCCGGGTCTAACTCCTCGACAGGCGGTGGAGGTAGAATCGAGGATGTCACTGATCGTGACGGTGACGGCGACAATGACGACGAACAGGCCGCGAGGGATCGAGAGTACGAGGAGAGGATCGAGGAGGAGTATGCCAAGCGCGAAGGCGGTGCTTGAAGCAAGCCATCGTCCCTCTCCTTCTTCGTCTCCCTTAGTCTGATTCCTTTTTCGCTGGAAACCCCTGGACTAGTGGGATGGAGGTGGCTGGCCTGTTGTCCTTTTTATGGGCTCGCGGTGATTACCGTGTAGGGTTCTTGTCTGTATCATCACTGCTGTTATTACTATTACTGCTGCTACCACCATCGCTACCACCATGGCTGACTTATATTCATACCTGTACATATATTCTTGCAAGAAAGACGAAGGACCAGGCTTTGAATTTGAACAGCAGCAGCGCTCGCTGTATGAGACAAAAGGAAAGGCGAGAGAAAAATAAAGACGACGAGGAAGAAAAGGGTTCACTTCAGTGCACTGCATCCTTGCCTTGCTGTCTAGGCATGACCTGCATGACTTTTATGCCTACCCATAAAAGGTGCTCAGTGGCTCACTCACTCTTACCCCTCTCCCTCATTGGACAAAAAAAAGGGACAAAATCACCTACTCTCTGGAACTACACCAAAGGCCAAAGGAGGATTACAAAGTCATCTCATCTCATCTCAACGAGACGGGGGGGAAAAAAGACAGATTCCGGTAATGGAAGGGGTATATAATTTGCTGTGTAGTCTCAAAACCAAAACCAGTCCGCTCTTCTACCACTCCTATCTATCTATTCCACCAGTAAATATCCAGCTCTGCGTGAACATCTGAAGAACCCTGGCACGTATAGGGTAGGAGGAGGTGTAAGGGAAACATATGAGACCATGTCAACAACTGGTAAAGGAGATGAGGAGGACGGGTTGTTCAATCCCTTCCTCAACGCTCGCTCGGATCCAGTTGTCTGCCTTCTGTCTCTCCCGGCCAGAAGCCAACGGGAAATGGATCTCCCGTTGGTTGTGGTTGACGATGGAACGCTTCGCACCTGGCGGAATAAGGTGGACGAGTGACGAATGACTCGACACAAACCAGCCTCGCACGCACAGTGACCCATGAAATAGTTCTTTTGGGCCGGTGCAAAGACAGGTTGTTTGCTCCTCCTAGATCTTCAGCTCCTCTAACGACGCCGCAGCCTCCACGCTCTTCTCCTTCGAAAGGATGAGCGGACTTGTCGAGATGTCGATTGTCTTGGTGCATATCCATGCAGACGCGTACATGTTGACCCTGTAATAGAGAATGAGAGGCCTGGCTCCAAAGGATGGGACAACGTGAGAAACCGTTCTTGACTCACCGATCGATACACTTGCCAGAATCCCGTCTGCCCACGCAACTGGCACTAAAGCCATTCTGCTCAAATATGTCCGTGTACCAGGGCCGCAGCGCTGCAGAGCGGAACAGGACACGACCTCCAAGCTTGAGGACCTTGTTCAAAGCTACGATTTGCTCCAGAGCCGCCGAGTCCTTGTCACTCGGGTCGAACCAGTCCATCGAGTCCATCAGCTGCAGATGGTCAATGGAGGTTCCCTTGAAAATAATTCATCAGACAAGAAGCCGCCAGACTTACAATAGCAATGGTCAATGTCGACGGGCTTATCCTAGCAATCACTTCCATAATTTCATCCGTGTGGATGCGCAGACCATCAAATGCATCGGGCTTTGACAGCGTTGCGTGCGCCTTGACACCAAGGTAGCGAGGATGGCACCTGTTTCATTGCTTCATTAGTTGCCCAAAGAAACCAAGTTCAAGGCAGAATGCTTGCTTACTTCCTCGAGAACTTTCCCTGTAAGCACAGATAATAGAAATAGTTCTCTCTGCTGATCTGCGTTGTTTCCACCACAGGATCCAAAGTGTCGACAACGTATTGCCAGATAGCTTCGCCGCAGAGCTTCTTCGTCCGGGGCAGCCCCGTCCGCTGTGCATAGTCGTCAATGATGAGAGCGTGCTGGTTGGGAGGAACTCCGGCCGCTTTCCACGCCCACCACTCTGTAGACACCACCGTCTTATGTAGGGGCCAGCTGAGCAGGAGATTCCTGATCTGAGGCCACATCTCGCGCTGCTCGTTTAGCGTCTCCACCTTACATATTGTGCGCACTTTTGCAGTTAGACCAAACGTCTTGAACAGCCACCGGATGAGCTTAATGGCGTGTCTGGACCCCCCACTCTCGTACAGGCCCCCCTTGGAGGAGAAGATGTAGGATTTGCTGAGCCAGTACTGGAACGCTTGGCTGGACATATGAGGACTGAGTCTGGAGAGCAGGAGATTGCGGAAGTCTGGGTGCTTGCCCTCGCCAAAGAGTTGCCACACGTCGTTATAAGGGAGGGCGGTGAAGGCGGCAACTTTGAGCTCGAGGAGGTGGTTTTGGTTCGGGTTCAGATCGACTGCGTGAATACGCTTGGGTCGTTCAAGCAGATAGTCAAGAATGTTGTCCCCAGCGCTGGTGATGGTGAGGATAACGTCGTCCTGATTGATCTTCAAGAGCTGATGGTCGACCTTGGGATCTTCCCAGTTGAAGGCGTAGATATACTCGTTGCCGAACTGTTGATGTTTTTGCAAAAGGTCATTGTAATAGATTCGCCAATGGTGCTGTTGGTAAAACGCTGAAGGAAGAGGCAGGTCATTGCTCAAGTTGACAATAGCCGACTCATACGACTTTGAGCGCGGAATGCTTTGTTGTGCGTCCAAGCTCCGCTGCTCCTTGAATTTCATAGGAGATAGATATGGTGATTCCGTAAGAGCCGCATCGAGTCTTTCCAAGACTTCCTGCCCCTGTTCAGCGAAAGCTTCGGCATCTCGTCTGCATCCAACGAAAATATAGTATGGGATGCTGTGATGAAACACGGTTAGTTACTCAGGCTTCAAGGACAAAGGAGAGAGATCGAGGCGATTGCCGCAAGAGAAGCATCGCTTGAGCCTGTCACTCCGTCTGTGATGGAAGGGGATACACAAGAACTCACCCGCCGAGAGGGTAGTTGCGCTGGCTTGTTGACAAGACAGTACCAAAGCGATACTCGACGTAGTCCCTTCGACCACCATCAAGGTTGACTCGATCGGCATCGAACCACGTGCGCCAGAACATGCGCCCGAACCAGTTCACATGGCGGTTGAAGGTCCCACCACAGTAGTTCCTTGAAGAGATATCGACAATGCTTTGGACGTAAAAGTCACAAATGCCAATCAAGCCTCTGGGGGACAGAAATCCTGCGACCATGTCGACCACGCCATAGAAATCCGGGATCATGGACAAACTGTAGCTCATGGTGATCAGATCCGCCGAGGATGGAGCGCACGCGACCGACCTCGCATCCTGGCACAAGACGGTGACATTCTTCCAGCCGTTCTTACGGACTCGTTCTCTGGCGACCTCACACAATGAAGTGGAGAGATCGACGAGGAACACATGTTCGAAGAAGCCATCGATACCCACCAATTTGTCCATGACTTCGATGTTGTACCCAGTGCCGCCCCCAATGTCATACCATACAGGCTTGCGCCCTTCTCCGGAGGCCATTTTACCCTGCAACTTTGCCACCAAGATCGCAAGCATATCCTCTCTCCCTCGCAACAGGCGTTTTCGGGTAGAGTCATAGACATTTGCCTGAAGGAGAACATGAGCACCAAGGAAAAAAGAGTAGTAAATTTTGTCTACCCTCCTACCTGAGCAGAATAGAAGCTCTCAAGAGCCCCTTGCTGGCCAATGTCGGCTCGTCTGTCGTGGGGCTTGAGCATACAGGCATAGACGAATTTGAGATAGGGATGGGCAGCGACTTTGTCAAGCGACACCCGTCCGCCAAGTCTATACAACACAATACCCAGGATGGTCACGAGGACGAAGAAACCGGCACCGATCAAGCCAAGTTCGAAGTGGAAATCCTTGAGTCGCTGCCATTCTGCTGCGTAGTTGAATTGTGCCATTGCTGCTGATCAAACCTACACAACAACGACACCTGCAGGTCCAAGGGAGAAAAGAAGAAGAAGAAATGCTGAGGGTGCTCGTGAGCGTCTTCTCATATTGTCGGGTGTTTATGTCTTGACCGCAAGACACAGGGAGACTCTGGGCAACGAATAAACCACGGGAAGCGAATTCCACAAATCGGATCACTAGAAACAGCCATATGGCGCACTGAATGGCGAGGACAACCGCCGTAGAGCCTCGAGAACAGTCCGATTAGGGGGACACTGGCAGCCAGATTACCCAGAGCTGGGGCTGCAGGTGAAGCCATCGAAATTCGGTGGGATGAACTTTGTCGGAAAAAGTTCACAGGACATGTGGTGAGAAGCTCTCTGATAGCTATTCAGGGGGACGAATCAACGTCGAGAACTTGGCGCGTGGACGCTCGATAATCCTATCGCGGGCGAGTCGGGAGAAACAAGCTTGGGCAGCATCATCTCGAACGAAAGGCAAGAATCCGGTGCACGTGTTGTACAATTAAATCGACAACTCCTTGTTATTCGATATTCATCGGCTGCAGGGCCACGAGATCCCATTTCTGTCCTGCAAATTGGTGGTCTTTGGTGATAGTGGGGATCGCCAGGTCCTGGTGCCGGCCCAGCGCAATGCAGGTCATCCACCATCGTTTCTCGTTTCACTTTCCAATCTCGACAGGAGGTCTTGCGCCTTGTCACGTGCTCGGGCAGCCTCACGGCTGTGCTCGTCCTGGTCAGAAGGCTGGTGTGTGATGGGAGATGGCGCTGCGTGAAACTGATCCAAGGGCATATCGACAGCATCCAGACCATCAAGCCTTCCGAGGTAGGCACAATCTTCATGAAGGTCGGCTATCCAGAGGGCGACCATTGCACGAAGTCTGATGAGTTCAGGTTCATCCATGTACGGAACGGTGGCCATGCAAGTGTCCATCCTGGATGCAATTTGATCAGCCTGTTCAAGCTCCCTCACCTTCTTGTGTGATTGACTGTTGGACTTGCCAGCCCGAGGAGAGGACGTGACAGAGTCCATATCACTTTCGTCAACCTCATGCACCGTTGCGTACTGAAATTGGACCACGTAGATCCAGAGGTTGAACATGGCGAGGTAATAGTCAACAGCATTGACGGCCTCAGGCCATGACTTGTGGTAAGGATGTCTAACGATAAGTCGTTCGTAAAAGCGCTTAGCGTTCTCGAAACCCTCGTGCGTGAACGGAAGCGCCGAGAACCTCTGGGTAGGAACCCGTTCCTTGGGTGCCCCATTACGAAGAAGCACTTCAGCCACAATGCCCATATAGCCTTGAGTACGGACTGCGGCATATTTGCTGACGATATCCTCACGGAAGATCAAGCCTAGCGCACGAGCAGCACGAGGGAAATCTTCCTTGAGGAGCGAACGGTGGACTATTGTGGTCAGGGCAGCGAGGTGCTGAAGGTGCAAAGACCGTGAGCTGTCTGATACCTTTGACAGTTGTGCGCTTTCCTTCTCTTTGTCCACCTCTCCTCGTGCCTCCTGACTATTCGTTGGGGGCACTTCAGCGTGCGGGAATGGGAAAGGTGGTGGAGGCTGATCCAACGGCTGCCCAGCAACACGACGTTGGAGTCGCTCGACTGGAGTTACAACAGCGGTATAGTCAAGGTTGACAGAGGTCTCAAGTTGACCGTCCACATTATAGATTGTCTGGTTGTCTTGTTCTTCGCCCTGTGTGGCATCATTTTCCTGCATTGTCATTCTCTTGCGCTTATTCTTTCCTGAAACTAGTTCCCATGCTGTTGGACGGGCTCGTCGCGTTGCGACAGGTGGTACAAAAATGTGCGGCATGATTGCCTGTGGTATTGTTCAGAGAGGTAGAGCCGCTGCGTGAACACCTAAAAATGAAGGCATCCAGATGTATAGCCGCGTGCTCTTCAGGATGGCGCCCAAGTCCGCGTGATCAATAGGCTTCCCTAGAAATAGCGTCGCACCGAGTCCCGCGTGCTGCAGTTGTGATGTAATCCATTTCAAGACTTGTGCAAGTTGCTCGACGGGATCACAATAGTAAAGAGACAGAGTTATATAGAGAGTGATACAATCCAGGATAACGGAAGACAAGCATGGATCTGGACAAAGGCATGTAGATTAATTACATGAGGAGTCACTGATGTTGTTATTGGGCCGGGGCATTTGTTGTTTGATCGGGTCCTGAGAGGTCAAAAGTGCAGGGTGACCAAACAAAGTCCGTGCTTTGGTCCCTTCGTCCCTTGGGGCGACTTTTGGCTTGCTCGCTGCCCAGCGCTTCAGCCTTTCCTTGATCCAACCACACCACACCACTTCCAACCTCGACTCTACCAGGCTCAACCAAGCCACCGTCCTGTAAACTATCCTAGACATCTCGCTCTCTCTTCCACTGGCCACGAATTCCATTCTCTCCACCGGCATCCCCACGTCCTCACCAGTCGTCGAATAGAGCCCGATTCCGAGCGTCTTGATGTGTCGGTCCAGTTGCTGACAGCGAACGCAACCTTGGCCACCGATCAAACCCTCTGCCTTGAATCTCTCCTTCCACGCCCGTAAACACAACATAGTCAGATAAGTCGGCTCAAGATCGACGACGAAGTCCCACAGATCCACCGCTGTTTGAATATGACACTATAACTGGTTTGTCCCTGTTGCGCAGGCCGAAAATCAACTGGCCTCCACATATGGGGAACACCACGTCGACTCCTCGTGCTCAGGCGGAGGCTGGACTGATGGAGGAATTAAGGAACACTCCGGATGGTGCGGAAACAACAACTGGCGATACTGGCACCGAGGGCAGGAGTTCTCGACTGGCGAGACGGAATACCCAGTCATTGAGAATGGCTGGTCAGAGGGCTAGCACTCTTTACGACAGTTTTCGACGACATCGATCTGTTGAATCGGTCACATCTCGTCCGAATGCAGGCCATTCGTCATCCCCTCCTTCCGAGACCGAGTACGAGCAAGAGAACAGACCGCTGGTAGGTTTGGAGGATGTGGACATGACAGACACAGAGGCCATTGCGACACCTATACTATCGCCATCCTCGAGCAGGAGAAGGTCAACAATGTCAAGATTAGGCTCAAGACTGCTTCCGGATGCCGTTGCAAGAGGTCTGCTACACAGTGGAGAAGAGACCGCAGAAGAAGGTCGGGCGTTGCGCCATGGGATTTCGGGGCGATTACGCCCTTCCGTCTACGAACGACCACCGAACTCAGACTCGAACAGTCGGGTGTCTCTCACTGGTTCTATAAGACGACGGGGCGAGAATAGGACTGGATCTAGACGACGAGCAATTCGAGGACCCTTTCCTGCCCTGCAAAGCATGAGTCAACCGCGTGGGTCTAGCAATTCGTGGTCGGAATCTATGGACGAAGATATACGAGAGCTGCCCCAGCCTGCAGCCTCTGATCTACGACATCGAAGCAGGTTCAGCAGAGTTCGGGATTCTATGTCCATCTCTCAACGGATTTCGAGCCTATTTCGCCAGTCCACGGAGCAGCTTCAGTCTAGCCAGGAAGGTCGAGAGTCTCCTTTGAGGCCGGCGAGGGTGACGTTCGCCGATGAATCCGATCATCTCCTTCCATCCATGCCTTCCGCTGACCATCGCCATGAAAATGATGATGCTCCTCATGAGTTAGATGCTGTTGAGCCTGAGGCTCGGACTCTCCTGGCCGGACCCCGAGTCACGTCGGGGATGAGTACCATTAGACGCTTTCAGCCGGGCCTCCGTTCACGATCAACAAGACTGATACGAAGAGGGGAACATCCGCCTCTCTCACAGGTGCTCCAACTTGCTGCCGCAGCCATCGCGGCTCAGCTTTCCGGCCACGCCACAGCCGGTTCTACTGGTCCGCGTCACCTTGGTGGTGACACTTTTGATGGCAGCATTCAGAACTTTGTACAAACGCTACAGGAGGCGGCGACCGCCCAAGCCGGGGAAAACATCGATGTGAACGCACCGGATGGTGACCTGCCACCAGTGAACTTTATGAGAGTATTCCAATTTCCAAACGACGAAAACGGGTCGCCCATAGCTTCCCAAGCAGAATCGCGCGATGTTGACCATATGGACTTGGATTCCATCGCTGGACCTGGCGAAAGCGATCGGTCGGTTACCTTGGTACTCGTTGGGGTCCGATCGCTCCCGCACGGCCAGGACAACACTGGCGGCGAGAATGGTACGCTGGGCCCTAGTCTTGACACCCTATTGAGCCTTCCGTTCTTGCCTCCAGCCAATGTTCTCCGGAATGGAAGCTCTGGCGCTTTGTTCCGCCGGTCGGATGGCAGAAATAGATCAAGCACACGGCGACACTCGATGACCAACTTCAGCTTTCCCGCGCAGTACGAGACCCAGAGACATCACCGCACCAGGACACAGACCAGCCGCTTGTCGAGCCACTCAGATCAGACTGTGCCCACTACACCTGACGCGGGCGCCTCCCCTACCTTGCTCTCAGAAACTCCTCCCGGCCCCATACCTCCTCCTTCGACCCCAGCAGACATCAGGAGTGGGCATGCCACTCCTATTCGGCGACCTTCCTCAGCCTCGGCTGCGCCTAATCAGACACTCTCCGAACTTGACGAGGATCGTCCACATGATCGCATCGACGACCGTGTCCCAGAAACTTCGTTTAATACCGCTCGACAACGACGACGAAGCGACTCTGAGTTCGCCCGCCGGCCCGAGCTGGGATCGGGTGCAGCAAGGCGCAATGGGATGGTAGAACCAGATCCTCCGCCAGCAGGTGTTGGGCGAAGTTGGCTGATCTATGTTGTGGGCACCAACGTTTCGGCGACACATCCTGCTTTTGCTATGCCGAGCTTGTTTACCGACAACCCATCCTATGAGGACATGCAGATGTTGTCAACCCTCCTGGGACCTGTCAAGCCCCCTGTTGCAACCCAAGAAGATGTGAGCGCCGCTGGCGGAGTCTTTCGGCTGGTTGTCCAAGACTCGGGCTTCCTCGGGGAACCCGACTCTGACGGCGATGGTTCCTCGCTTGTAATAAACTTGGGGGAACGATGTCTCATTTGCTTGTCAGACTATGCTGCGTCGGAAGAGGTTCGCCGCTTGGATAGATGCAAGCATGTCTACCACCGCGAATGCATCGATGAAGTGAGTCACCGCTCCCCAGATCATATGTATAGAAATTTACTGACACCATTGCAGTGGCTCACAACTGGTCGGAACAGCTGTCCCATGTGCCGTGGCCAGGGTGTGCAGGAGAAGGGTCCATCCTCTAATTCCTCGACGAATTCTGGCACCCCTTCCTCGACCACCACCGCATGACAGAATGGTCGAAGAGAGCTTCTGAGATCTTTGCGCGGGAGCTCACGTACTTTACGAATTTTCTTGGAGCGTTTTCTTGAAAGAAGCTATCAGTTGTGGCGCACTTTGGGTAACAATGGCGAAGAGACGGCTACTGGACCGGAGTATGCAGTCTTTACAGACTGGGAAGACTGGGGGACTGGGAACTGGTCGGCTTCTATATCGCCGGAAGGAAGTTGTTTTCATGGATCTGGGACGCTCTGATCAGACACGAAATTTGTTTGCGTTGCTACATAGCCAGGGCTTTGGGTGTTGGTCGGAGAGCTGGGAAGCTTGGGGATGAATCTCAATCAGGACGTGTATGTAAGGATCACACAGAAGGGCTGGCTCCTAATCAGAACTCGCGGTCTTTTGTGACGCATAGGGAATGAGGATGAGCCTTACGTTTTTACAGATATTATCTACAGAGCACCTTGTCACTTGGTGCCCTGGTTTGGTTCCCTATCTTGTCGTTGTCCCCCTGATCAAGTTACTAGTCATCCTCCTTCAGATGTGTTCTGTCAATGATCCGCAACTAGGCCAGGGACTTTGAAACACGGGGCTTTGCATTGGAGCAACAAGCGAGGATTCGATACGAGCCTTACCGCGCCTCCGGAATGGGAATTGACTTGTGCTAAATGTCTGTGGGGGCGACTTGTGCAACTCGAAGACAGCGACTTCATCAGACTTGGACACGAGCGTTGCACGAGTTGACCTTTGTCCTTGGGGGGAAATAGCCAGGCGCCGGGCACATGGAAAAGGTGGAAACAAATGCGCAGGAAATGACCACAAAACTAGTGGCTTCGTTGCAATCCCACAATCGAGTTCCTCACTTCTCTGCATTGTTAGGAATCCACCAGCTTCCGACGAAACAAGGTCATTCACCCATACCCACTACCAGGTACGATACAGACCGAACACTTCGAGTCCTCAGCCTCCGACTCAAACCTGCGATCCCCTGTTCCCTCCTCTCCTCCCCTCTCCACCCTCCGGATACCACCCCTGACCAGCCTGGGCCATCGTCATTGATGTTCCCACCTCCATCTTCCACCGAAACACAAGGTCTAGGCAGCAAGAATTAGAGCCTTCAGGAACTAGGACTGATAAGCGTCTCATCGAGATCAGGATGATCAATGATATTGAATTTGGTCCGGAACTTGCCAGCGAGTCAGTTTTGGCTTCCTCCTCAAGCCGTCCGAATCGCCTTGCCACCCTCACCTCCACAGTAGCCTCTTCCTCCATGTGGGCAAACAAAACGGAATGGCTTGGTGCAATGTGACATTGGACGCCAAAAGATGCAAAAGAACACTACCAGTGGCGCTCTCAAAAGGCCAAGCCGCCGTGTTACTTGTTGGCCACGACTGTCAACCACCAATGGACTTGAATTGGGGCAAAATACGGAGTACTCGTACACACGGTGTTTCGGGACAACCGGTTGAGATGACGAGAATCCATCCCTCTGCGAGCCACGCCGGCTTTGTCACCAAGGGATTTTATTGGACAGCCGACATGGAGCTCCCACCCGCTGGTGCCCTCGACGCCAAAGCTTGCAAAGCAGTAAAAAAAAGTGGGCTTTCTGACTGGAGTGACAGCAGGATCTGCAACCAGGGTGAATAGAGACCAGAGGGAAAAGCTGTGCATCCCCAAAAACCATGCTAGGCCATGACTGCACCCACTATTGGATGTGAACAGCTTCATCCCCGACCAGTTTGACACGCCTATCGACACTAAAAAGCCGTTTCGGGTACTAGTATGTTGGCTTCGCTCGTGTCCGGACACCTTTTGACTCGGTCCAAGCCAGAGCGAATCAATCCGCTATTAGGTGGAGCGAAGAGGAGCAAACATGAGCCTTTTCGCGGTGCTCTCATCGCTCGCTCCCCGGCCCCCTCCCCCCCAAGAAAAACGGTAGTGCAGCTCAAGCCCTATCACTATCGACCCGACCCATCCTCGTGTTTGGGACAGGCTTGTAAAGGTGCAAGAGCGTCCCACAAGCCGCAATCTCATCGGAATTCCCTCGTGCCATTCTTGGATACAAAATTTGGGAGCAAAACATACCAAGTAGGCATGGGACCGTGCTTGGGGAACCGGATTGAAATTGCCGGCCAACAATGGTTCAGAAGGTCGAAAATTACAATGGTATGGGCGCTGTTCAGTACAGCAGGACTCCATTCAGATCAGGAGATCGACCAAAGGTCCCCATCCAGGCGACTCTGGCCCATGCTGCTTCTAATTCTGCTTCATGACAGCCTCCTCCTGAGGCCCAGACCAACGACACAAATTTAGGCTAGTTGGGGATATCCCAGGGCCAACATGGCGGCCAACTCCATATCAATTACCGTTTCCATGACCCTGAGAAAAGGTGCCAGAGCGGCGCCACTGATGCAAACCAGTCCATGGACCATGTCCTTCGGAGCAGTTGTCCAACAGCCAACCGTGCCAGCTTCTACGGACCGAAAAAACGTGGCTTTAGCTTTGGCTGCTGGGGGCTTGCTGGGCAATGTGCCAAAGTCCAACGCCGTTGAGACTGTTTGCCCGCTGAATCAACCCCCTGAGTTCAACGGATACCAGAAATCTGTGTTCTGTGCGAGCACGTATACAGTAACAACGACTGACACCAAAAGCATGGCTGATGGTGTTACATACCCTGGTTCACGATCGTTGTTATATTCTAGGTCGCAACCAAGATCAGGACGAGTAGAAGAGCTCCTGGGGCCAGATGCCTCTAGAGACTTTTGTGGGGGGTTCACGCTCTCGGTCGACATGATCGCGCCCCTGGTTGTGGTCCATTATCCCAGACAAGGAAACTGATGGGTCATGTACCCCGTACGAGGCAAACGCTCACCGTGGCACCGATATTTCCGCCGGGCAGCATGAACAGGCCGAATTCGGTGCAGGCCAATTTACCTCTGCCGCTATGATTCGAGTTCCGACCCATGAGATATCTCACTCGCCTGGTTTGTCAGAGCCAGGTTCCCTCAAACCTGGTCTCCTAGCACGAAGTTTGGGCAAAAAGCTACTACCAGTACGACCAGATAATCTGTATCGGATGCTCGCAACCCCTGGATATCGATACTGTTAGATGTCTACCGAGTACTCGTACGCTTACCATCTCCTAGGGTCCGCGTTGTTCTCAGATCAGATCCTAGGTTCGACAAACTATGCCCTGCCACTAGGTGAACGCTCTTCGAATTATACCGTGCTGTACCTCCCAGATCACCCCGATCTTCTGCGCTGCGGCTCTCTTACACTCTCTGGAGGCTTGGGTGGTTTGTGCCGAATCCCAGAAATTTCCGATCCCGCCGTTCACACCAGCCTTCGAGTGCATGGCGTGTGGACTCTTTTTAGGGCCCCTAAGTCCAGGGCCCTGGAGCTTATGGTCGATTCTGGACGCCCCGTGGGCCACCCATTGATCGACGCTCGGGATCGCCCTCAGACAACCCCAGTCAAGTCCTGGGTCTGAGTTCACGTCTGACGACACTACTACAGTACTTGCCCACCACCTGAAAGTGTGCTTAGAGCAAGCAGCAGGACCCCTGTCCCCTGCCCGACATCCACCGTCGCGGTATAGCGCTTTTGCAATCATTCGCTACTTTTTGGGCATGGGGCCTAACAGAGCCAGGAGGGGTCCCCTTCCAACTTCGAATCTTCGAGTCTTGACCTCTTCATTTTTGGACAACACCAAGCTGGGTGGTACAATAGCAATCTGTGCCCGTGGCTAGATACAGCTTCATTTTCATTTTGTACTGCGCACTTCCCTTCCCATTTCAAGCCCGGATGTAAATCCATATCACATCATCTCCCCTCATTCAGAGAAATGCTTCAACGGCCTGATTGATCATCTGATTATCCTTGGTCCCGGCGTCATAGCCGGCTTTGGTTGGCATCTGCGAACTCTGAAAACTTACCTGGCAGGTCAAATTTGCCTCATTCTGCTCTGCTCAAATCACAACCCACAGAATTGAGACAGTTGTTCCAGCGCGATAATATCTTGCGGCGAGACTCAACGAGACCTGCCTGGATTTTCCTTCGGTCCGACTGGCCTATCTGATACGGCAATTAGATGTCATATCACGCCTTTGCAATTTTTCCCGCCAAACCAACCCTAAATCATTGTCAATTTGTGGCCTGAACTGAAGTTTCCTGTCTCCCACGCCTTTTACTCTGCGCCTGAAGCCTTCCCGCCGGCCGTTGTTGGCTAGAGATCTGGTGGATTTGGACGGCAAGCGCTGGTAGTTGGACTGAGACAAGCGTATGGAATATCAGTCGTTGTTACACCGAGCTCGACAAAAACGATTGCCGGTATCGTCATTCCTCGGTCGTCCAACAAGGAGCTTTCGGTCTCAGCAAGCGATTCTCCGTACCACAAAGTAGTGGTTGGCTCTCTCAGAAGTATTGGTGACCAGCAGGTTTATCCAGGGGCACGGCATTCTGTGAGAAAGTGCACGAGGACGACAACAAGTATTTGTTTCTATCTGTTGGTGAAATACCTATTGTCCTGTGTCACAGTCAGCCATTTGGAATTGTGCGACTGCGCATCGAGGCATGAGCGGCCCCTACGACCACGGCATGAGTATGCCAATCCCTAATATACTGGACGCAACCTATCCGATCTACGATGGCGCTTTCAACACAGCATACCCCCGGCTGTCCGGACCGCCAACTCATTTCGACGGTGTCGCCTTCTGGTACAATCCCACCACCACTGAGCAACTTTACGACAGGCAGGCAAGCCTTCTCGGTGGTCGTCGTGGAGCAGCACCCCCCAATAGCATGGACTCTTCCGCTGTCAAACATCGTCGAACTCGCAGTGGTTGCTTTACCTGCCGCAGCAGGAGAGTGAAGGTACAATCCCGAACATTGCCCTGTTTAATACTCCCTCACTAATCCTTGATCAAGTGTGACGAGACGAGACCTGTCTGTGACAGTATGTGATTCTTCCAATTGCTACAGAATCTGTTACTGACTCCTAACTCAGGATGCAAGAAGGGTAATCGTGAATGCGAGTTTCCTCAGACGACCTCGTCATCGAAGCGATCCAAGCATGGCGACGGTCGGGGAACCAAGGACCAGGCCGCGAAGAATGAAATCAAAGACGAGAGCATGGCTGGGCTGCCCACAATAAAAGACGAAAGCGAGGAAGACGAATCTCCATCGTCCCCGGCAATGACACGCCCACCACCACTGCGAAGTGACAGCGGCCAATCCGTGACACGAAGCACAAAAGCCAAGAATGCGTCGGAGGTATCATCTGGTGTCAAAGATCAAACCAGTCCACAATCGAGCGACGTATCGGATACTCGCTCCAGAGACGATACACCAGCATCGTCACTGCGCACACTTGGCAATTCTGCAGAAATGCAAGCACGACAGGCAAAGATAAAGTCCTTGAAACCGGATCTCCAGAAGTATCTACAGTTCCAGCAAGAATACTTGACCTTTTACCACTACTTCTTCAAACTCGACCCTACGGACTTTGTGCATGCAGAATTTATCGACCTTGCTTTGACTTATGAGCCACTTTTATATGCTGCCGTGGGGTTTGCGGCATACCACTACGAGCTGAAGCAGCCTGAACCCAAGTTGTCGCATTTCCTAGGGTACCACAGCAGATCACTGTCGATGCTTAGGAAATCGTTGGAAAAGCACACAAAGGTCACCGAAGCCACGCTGCTGACGGTTTTGCAATTGGCGACATTTGAAGAATACATTGGCGACTGGGTAAACCTGGTGGGGCATCATCGCGCAGCCCTGACCATGGTGCGTGATCTTTACACGCCCAGCACGATGATGGAAACGGATCTAGGGAGACGGATCTTCAGCTGGACCGCTCGTTTGGATGTCATTGTGGGTCTCATGGCGGGCAACGAGACACGACTGGACCGTCAATGGTTCGAGGCGAATGCGGCGTGGTACCACGGTCAAGTCGAGAGTGACCCAGAGATCGATGTCGATATCGAGAATACCATGGCGTATTTCGTGTCATCAAATCGACTGATCGGCATGGACATGGCTGCCTTATTCGCCAAGTTTGCCAAACGCGAAATCAGCGTGGAGACGTTTTGCGCAGAAAACAGCGAGATCGTTGACAGAGTCGAGGCCATGAAACGCCAGATTGAGTTGTTCAACGACGAATACTACCGGGTCCAAGAATTTCCGGTGGAGAAGAGTCGACCTTTGGCCGAAGACGATATTGTGAATCCTTATGTACCAGGAGGCCTCTTCAAAGACGCTCTCTGGCCGCTGAACTTTATGTGGATCGACTGGTACAGCATTGAATTGTTGCAGAGATACCAGACTGCAATGATGCTTCAGCAACCAATGCCTCCCGAACTCGAGCAGATAAGTCTGGAACAATGTCGCATTTATGAGGCCATGGAGCGCTGGCCGGACGCCCCCAATGGATCTATCTTGGGAGCCCATGCACCTCTGGGTCTTGCTTCAGTTTTCCTCAAGAAAGATGCCAGACACGTCATGTGGGTGAGAAAAAAGTTCGCCGCAGTGGAAAGACAGGGCTACATCTTCCCCCCATCGTTTCGAGAAAAAATGGCACAGATGTGGGGTCTCACGCGCGACGAGGTTGGCGAAAATGAGGCCGTGGAAAATTGGTGGCTCCCCAACGACGAAGGGAACATTCCCATGTTGAAGGAGATCCGCAAAGTGGTAACGGAAAGGCACGCAAGTGACACGATCACCAGCATGGAGTCTGTTGCCAGCGTCCGAGATTTGAAGGCCATCTTTGAGAAGCTAGATCTTCGGACTCAGTCGGTTGCAAAATCAATGGGCAGTGACGGCCAATTCAGTCCACAAAGTGACACCAGCGGACCCATCAGTGACCGCGGAAGCAACCCCAGCTTCAGTCCCACCAACATGAATTTTGCGGATGCGGTAAAAGGAAGCATATCAGGAGCCGTGCAAGAAGGAGGGGGTCTCTGAAACGGAGAGCCACGCGGCTCAGATCGATGTCACGCGGAGACCATGAAAGCAATATGCGAGGCTTGCTAGGAGCCCTGCACGAACAGCAAATACTTCGATGCGCCAACAAGACGAGACGAGACGACGGACCGAAACAAGCGAATGATCCAAAACTCGGGCTACTTGTCAGACGCTTGGTTCAATAAGTCGGCTGCTTCGACATGGTCTTTTCCGAGTTTCAAATTCTGGACACACATCCAAGATGTCCGTGTACAAAGCTATCGAGTCGACGGACAGGCCAGGGAGATGGCCCTCCAGGACGATCCTCCGACTTGTGATTGAGCGTATGACAAGACCAACCTGTCGACTCTGTCCCTCTCCACTCTATCCACGATTTACCTTTTCAGGTGGCATCGCTGTATTCTGTTCTGTCGTGTCAAGGGGCTCCAACGCTTATCTGCAAAGGTCAAGGTCATGTTCAATACCAAGGTGCAGGGCGACTTTTTCAACTCTTTCCACTCGTGAGGTATTTTACATAAAAAAGAGAGGGAGAGGAAGAAGGAGGTTATTCACCACGCCTATCGAGCGCAGATACAATATTTTTTTTTTCTTAGGCATCGAACAAAAAAGAAAAGTAATAGATAAAAGGGAATTGGCCAGCCAGATGGCCACCCAGCAGCCACATCACACACACAACTCACATTTACTCTTGAAGAGTCTGTCTCTACTCCTTCCCGCACATGGACATGAACATGCACGCATGATACCCTGATAATTGCAAGTATTGTACTTCCACGCCCACGACTTGTATCGTCTCTCTTTTTTTTTAACGAAACGTTCAAAACAATAAAAAGACCGAGAGCGAGACATCCTCGGGATGTCGAGTACTTACTACTCGTATACTTTTTTACTTCGAACGAGATTCCACACGCACTGTAGGTACTGACAGGGTCGGAAGAACAAGCATAAACCCAGTCAAGACATTAAAAATAAACACCCTGGAAAGAAAACAAACCATCAAGCAAACAAATCGGTCAGATACACCTACCCTTGCTGACTCGTAATCCGAAGTTGTGATCAAGAGGTTGGCCCGCCCAATAATCACCCTTGCGACCACTCCAAGATAGATGTTCAAACTCCACTGCTAATAACCCCGGAGACATGGGCTCTTTTAGGATGACCGTTGAACGACGGCGAGTGCCGAATGAGAACGGGACGGGAAGCGTATTCGCCTTTTTTCTGAGAGAGGGGGGAGGGGGGGAGGCCTTTTCTTTTCGAGCCTGGCCACTTGCGTTTTGACCCAAAAATCTTGTGGTGGACTGAGTTGGGGGTTGACCAAGGCCCTTGGTCCCCCAAGAAGGCCTTTCTATCGTAATACCCGGCCCATCATCGATGCAGTTGAATTGGCTGTGGAGAGGGAGAAACACAAACCTCCCAAAAAGCGCCCTACTTTTTTTTTCTTTTTTGTGAAGGAGGGGGAAACTTTGACCCAAATGGCTTACTTTCGTGGATGTTGGGCACGTACCTCTTACATACCCGCTACCGGCATTTGCACTTGTACAGAAACTTTCCGTGGTACTCGCTGGGCGAGTGTCCTAGTCCTAGACCACTGACTTGCATTTTCTTGTTTTATCTTCAGACGCTCTTGTTGTCAGTTGTTTTCCGAAACGGGCCTCCCTCAATCGTTGTCCTCGGAGTCGCAAGTCTTCTGAAACGGTCCACATGTGCGGATGAAAGTGTTTGTGGCTCCGGCTGGTTTTAAAGGTCCACATTAAGTTGCTTGCTTCGACTTTCCGGCTAAGCTCGACGGGAATAGGCTGGCTCCATCGACAAGCAAGGTACCGGGTGCGTGGTCTTCTCAGTTCTGTGTCACCTGTAGCGGCGGCCATAGTGGATATCACACAAAGTCCAGTCTCCGTCTGAAAGTTTACTTCCCATTCATGTCGGAGGGTGTACACTCAGTCCCGAAGCTCGACCAAAATGAGAAATGAATACGAGGTTATGCAGAGGTTCGGAAAACCCGGACTCATTTGGCCTTTGCAACCGCCGCAACAAAGCCAAACTGTCCTTGGAGCTGCAGGGTAGTCACACGGGATGCTTCATCCGGTTTAGCCTCGTGAAGTCTGAAAGCAAGAAGCCCTGACATACCTCATTCCCCCCTGAGGTCCGGGATACGGAGGCATTGGAACGATAAAGAGAGCAGGCGTCGTGCCTTTGGATAGCATAGTGTTTGTGAGTACATAGGTATGCATGGTGTGATCCTTGGAGTGCCTTGGCTGGCGGCGCTCGCACAAGATTCGACGCGTTACCATTTGTATGTTTGAGTATTTGGAGGTAGCACTACCGTAATGGTGCCGCCTCTTGCTAGCGTGCCGGCCCGGGTTGTTGGCAATAGTGGTTGACATTAACATAGCAACCCCGCGGTCGGAATGTAGCTGTACCTCGCCCTTGCTGCCATTCTGTCGTGAATTAGGGTTCGAAACTGCTTGGGAGAACTTTCACTTGTCTCCCATGGGTAGTGTGGAAGGTCATCTACCGTCATTCACCATCGCAGACTCTTTTGCCTAACCACGTAGGGGGGGCCGAGTAAGCCCGACCTTCTCTTCAGTAGAAGACCTATACAAATTGGCGTACGACTGACCGGGATCGGCGGGGGGTCCGACCGCTTTGAAGCTCCCAGGGCTTGCCCATTGTCGCATCGCACACTCGCATGGCAAACGGCCACAGGGTGGATTCGCCATTCAGTTCCAATCAGCTGCGTGTCTCGAACTGCGCCAAGCTCGACGACCAGAGAATAGGAGTTTAGTGTTGAAGCTTGCGATAGCAGCTAAAAGGATACATTTCCCAGAAAACCATCACCATTCTAGCCTGGAGTAGTTGGGTCTTGCAGTGAAGTGGCGTCTCCCGTACATCTAGAATACGTTGGTGGGTGTCCAGTAAGGAGACCACTGCCACGAACGAGCCATCATCCGGACGGTATATTGCTTGTTTCATTGGAGGTGTACTCGGTACTTCAATCCCTGTTGTGGGTAGAACAAGTCCATCCTGCCCAAGATAGAGACGGTCCGTCCACGAAAATCTGCTGCGAATAGCATACATTACCTGATAAAGAGCCAGTGTAAATCCTTGTGGTTAACCGAAAAGCATGAAGGAAGCTTCTCGTGGTGACATTAGAGGTAGAGAATGTGTGAAGATCCCCACACGCTGCAAAAGGCTGTCAGATGCAGGCTAGTCTAACCTGCAGTGGTGGGGTTGATTTGGCCATACATTGGGGGACGGAGGATGTCCGGTTCCAGTACTCTGAGAGCTCGATTTTTCGAGGGATTGTCGCGGGTCCAACTTCGCCTGCTTCGAGATCTACTGGCTCAAGAGTCATCATCATCGCCGTGGCGTAAGAAATGGGGCGACGGCCTTGGTGGTTGCCCCTTCGTCGTCAATGTTTAATCAGTTCTTCCGGGAGCCAAAGGAGGGAATGTAAGGTCCATCTGGGCATACTCGTGAGATCGATCGACGACAGGGTTGCCAGACGACTCTCCCCCGCGCCGAGGAAGAGCCATAAGGAAAGAGAAAGTCAGGTGGAGGGGCATGCAGTTCGTTGAATCCTTGGGGGCAATAATCTTGCCGACTAGCATGAGCCACAAAAGGTCTTTTAGACATAGATAGATCTGCTGGGTTTTCTCCTCGTTGGCTTTTCGCCGACTGCAAGGTTTGTAATTGAACACCATGCCATGGGGTTTCTGAGAATACGAGACAGGAAATGGCAACATGCGTGGATAGCTGCTGGCTGGAGATAACAGCGATCGTAAAACGAAGAGTCTCGGAGGCTAGGGCGATTTCAGGACAATTATCGTGAACATGATGAGCACAAGTGAAGGGATTCTAACAATCCGGCAATATCGTGGATGGGCCTTAAAGCGAAGCCTGTTATTGTTATCCGATAGGAGTGAGTGACCATCTTCTGTCGAGTAATGCCTACTCTTTCCCTAGGGCAATTTATGCCATCCAGCAAAGGCATACAGTATGATTCTGATTGTAGTGATCCTTTGGGGGCCAACGATTGGTGCTATAGAGACACTCGGTACTGTCCACAGTGAAGTCATTTGGTACCGGACAGCAACTTCACAGGCGCAAAGATGTTGTTGCCAGCCGGGTCTAATGGACATGAAGGGCACAAAGAGCATCAGCCACGACGCCACTAATGAAGGAGGCATGAAACGTGGAAGTGAGTGTCAAGCATCTGTGCTTCTCTCGCTTCGTCCCCTGGCGCAGCTGCGGAATGAAATTCGGGTTGTGATCGGCGCACTTTCCCCATTCGGGTGCGCAATAAATATTTTTCCACCGCGTAATGCGACCAACACGATCGGAATGGGAACTGTGAGAACTCACTTCGCCTTCCCCAACTTACTTCTCTTCTCAAGTATCTCACCACAGAAGTCTCAGTTCCTGAGTCATGGACTCGTATCGCCCTTCTAGTGACGATCGTCGGCCTTATCGAGACAGCGACTCTTACCGGCCCCGCCACTATGACCCTCCTCCCCCGCCTCGACCTCCAGCGAACGGCGGCAGTGGCATGTACTACTTTCAAGGCTCGCTCAACTCACGCGACAGAGAGCCGCCGGCGCCCTCTGGCTATCGCTCAAGATCTGAGTATCATGGTGCGCGGTCGCAGCCCCGACGAGACCAAGCTCGCAGACCTCCGCCGGCTTTTCGTAAGACAGCGGCAGACAGGCCTTTGCTGAGACTTCGCCATGACGACTCGACAGATCCATCCCTCGAAGATCCCAACTCGACCTCCAAGTCCAAGTTTCGCAACGTTGACGAACTCACTGATAGTGAAGAAGAAGAAATGGCGCAATCCGACGAAGACGAAGAGGTGGCTCGGCGAGCGAACAAACGTGCCCGAGTAAATGGACCTGAATCTCCTGCCATGCTTGCGCCGCCAAAATGGTCAAACCCTGATCCATACACCTCGCTCCCTCCTCAGGCAGAGGCACCTGCTAAACGCATTGATGTCGTCAAAC